TCACGTGACCAATTTGAAAGTGGAATAACTCGTCAACAAGAGCAGATAGAAGGTCGTTGACATGGGCGCTGTGATCTAGAGGAGTTGAAGAATCGAATGGTGGAGTCAGAATGGTCAAAAACTCAATATTGACGGAATTACCTTTTTTGGACCTTGGAGGATGAGACAAGACGGGAGCCAAATTATGGGGAAAATCAACAAACAAGCTGACCAATAGCCTTCCTACAGTTGCAGTATCAACACTGATTCTTCTGCTTGTCGCCTGACGCTTCTGGTTTTGTTTGTTTCAATTTAAAATAAATACATTGCAAAGTGGGCAACATTTTTCCACAGTGGCCAAGAGACGAAATACATTTCAGCAGCCCCCACTTTGAGATGCGTGGGTGGCACGGATCGCTCGATATTAGAACATCTCATATTATCCATAACGAACTGTTTAGTGGGGGGGTTCGGTCAAACAGAAGACACTATTTGACTAGCACCATCTCTGTGTGTTTATTTGCTGTCGCTTCCTGCACCATAGAAGTGCAGGTAGGCACTCAGGGTCTTGACACCTTCCAAATAGTTGGCAACGTCGATCTTCTCATTGATCGAGTGAGCACCGTCGTCACCCTTACCCATTGGCAGAAGCAGGACATTGGTCTTGAGTTGTTCTTCGAACGTCAAGGTGATTGGAATAGAACCACCTTCTCTGGTGAGATCTGGCTCAACGTTCCACACGAGCTTGGTGGCTTTGCTAGCGGCAGTGAATGCTTCATTGAATGGATCACTAACCCAGTAGTTTCCATCGTGGATGAGTTCGACGTTGAGCTGGTTTGGAGACTTGAGCTCGGCGAATTTCTCCTTCACGAACTTGAACACATACTCGTCCAATTTACGTGGGTCCATGTCTGGAACAGTTCTGATAGAGAATTTACCAACAACCTTAGCTGGAATGACGGTCTTAGCTCCTCCACCAGAGAACGCACCCTCAATTCCGTGCAAGGAAAGAGAAGGGTATCTCCATCTGTGCATCAAAATGTTCTTCTTGTCCTGGTAAATGGCAGTCTTGGAGCCCGAAGCAAGATTCAATTCGTCAACGTCGAATTCGATCTTCTCGTACAATCCCTCCTCTGTCTCGGTGACTGGGGCCACCATCTCGTTCACACCTGGAATCAAAATGTTTCCGTTGGTGTCGACCAACTTGGACAAGACGTTAAATAGATCGGTCATTGGCTCGTGGATAACACCTCCAAAGATACCGGAGTGGAGGTCGGCGCCAGGTCCACTGACACTGACCTGGTAGTAGCTGCATCCACGCAGACCGTATGTGAGCACTGGCTTTTTGGTTCCAAGCCAGTAGTTGTCAGAGATACAAACGGTGTCGACGCCCTTGAAGTACTTGTCTGCCTCCTGGGCAACCAATTCGTCAAGACCCAAAGATCCGCTTTCCTCCATACCTTCAAAACAACAAACAAGGTTGACAGGAAGCTCAATTCCGGACTTGTTGTGCGCCTCGATTGCGTTCAACCAACCGATCACAGGACCTTTGTCGTCGGTGGAACCACGGCCGTAAAGTTTGCCGTCCTTCTCAACGAGCTTGAATGGGTCTGTATTCCAGCCGTCCTCAAGTAATGCTGGTTGGACGTCGTAGTGGCCGTAAACCAAGACAGTTTTCTTGGCTGGATTCTTACCGAAACGAGCCAATACAATTGGAGGCAATTGTAATTTTGGGTCCGAAACTGGAGGTGGTTGAATACCGAGATCACGAAGCTGTATATCTTCAGCCCCCAACGATTCGAGCTGGGATTTCAGGAAATCGGCCATTGCAAACACCTTGGGTCTGAGAGATTCATCGCCCGAAACAGAAGGAATGGCAACGGCGTTGGCCAGTCTGGTGATATACTCTGGCTTGAGCTTGTCGATCTGCGCAAAAAGCGGCTTGATGGATTCAGAAACACTCATTTTGTTACTTCTAGAGAGAAAAGAAAGGGGGCGAACAAATTTGAGCATGAATTAAGAGTAAAAATTTGAGCAGAAATGGGAGCCACATCCCAAATTCCAGAGTGGTGGGGGCATATCAGATTTACGGCAGGGGACTCAACAGACTGGGACATTGGTGGTGGGGGACTGGGTGTAATCCTGTAGTTGAATGCAGGTCAACTGTGAGTCAGATGTTGGATGTTTAGAAACAGGCGATATTTAAAACCGTATGTAGTGGGGGTGTACACGGGAAGGTGTTTGGAAATCGATATTGGGACAAGCTGAGAACGAAACAAGAGTAACACACCTCTTTCCATCTCTCTAATGACCCATCAAATCCGCTCCAAGGCCTCCCCTTCTCTCCAGTCTTGTCTTGCACTCCAGCTTCATACTCCGAAAGCCGGGTAACACAACAAGCTCCATGTCACACCTGCTGGGCTCCATCAACAAGCAGCATGGCCACAATAGCCAGCTGCATGTTACGACCAACTACACCCCCCACCACATTTCCCCCATCGCTTGCTACCCGATCCGCCCTGGTAGCTGCTAATCTGGGCAAATTGGGTTGCGCACGACGATGACTAAATGGATCCAAATTTTCACCGTTGAAAAACTTATCTTCAACATGTGTGGTATCTTTGCAGCGTACAACGTCGAGAAGATAGGGTCCTTCAAGGACAAGGCCCTCCAGTACTCCAAGCGGATCAGACACCGTGGTCCTGACTGGTCGGGAAACAAGGTGATCAACAACACCATTTTGTGCCACGAGAGATTGGCTATTGTTGGACTTGACGCCGGTGCTCAACCAATCACTTCCCCGGACGAGAGATACACTTTGAGTGTTAACGGAGAGATCTACAACCACATTCAGCTTAGAGACGAGTTGAAGGACTACAAGTTCAAGACTTTGTCTGATTGCGAGCCGATCATTCCACTTTTCCAAAAGTACGGCTTGGACTCTCCTAAATACTTGGACGGTATGTTTGCTTACGTGCTGTACGACAAGCAGGAGGACCGTATCATTGCTGCCAGAGACCCTATTGGTGTCACGACGCTGTATATGGGCCGTTCTTCCCAGAGACCGGGTGCTGTGTTTTTTGCATCCGAGCTCAAATGTCTGACTGACGAGTGTGACGAGATCATCTTGTTCCCTCCAGGACACATCTACGACTCGAAGACCGACGAGACCACCAGATACTTCACGCCGTCCTGGTGGGACCCAGAGTCGGTTCCAACCACTCCTGTTGATTACACCAAGATCAGAGAGACTCTTGAGCTTGCTGTGAGAAAGAGACTGATGGCCGAAGTTCCATACGGTGTCTTGCTTTCTGGAGGTCTGGACTCGTCCTTGATTGCATCGATTGCTGCTCGGGAAACTAATAAGGCTGCCAAGGAGGCTGATTCGCAAACCGAAGGAATCGACGCTTCTCACACCTTGACCGGTGTGGACGAGCAGGGCCACCTTGCTCTTTCTGGATGGACCAGACTGCACTCGTATGCCATTGGTCTTCCTGGAGCTCCAGACTTGGTTGCTGCCCAGAAGGTTGCTAAATACATTGGAACCATCCACCACGAGCACACTTTCACTGTTGAGGAAGGATTTGATGCTCTTTCCGACGTCATCTACAACTTGGAGACCTACGATGTGACGACCATCCGTGCCTCGACTCCAATGTACTTGCTGTCCAGAAAGATCAAGGCTCAAGGTGTGAAGATGGTTCTTTCTGGTGAAGGTTCCGACGAAATCTTTGGAGGATACTTGTATTTTGCTGCAGCACCTACTCCAAAGGAGTTCCACTCCGAGTGTATCAAGCGTGTCAGAAACTTGCACTATGCCGACTGTCTTAGAGCCAACAAGTCGACCATGGCTTGGGGATTGGAGGCCCGTGTGCCGTTCCTTGACAAGCAGTTCCTGAGCTTGTGCTTGAACATCGATCCTAAATACAAGATGATCGACCAGAAGGCCGGTAAGATCGAGAAGTACATCTTGAGAAAGGCCTTTGACACCAGCGACGATCCATCTGCCAAGCCATACTTGCCAGACGACATCTTGTGGAGACAGAAGGAACAGTTCTCCGACGGTGTGGGATACTCCTGGATTGACGGATTGAAGGAGCTTGCCGAGAAGAGCGTCTCTGACGAGGAGTTCGCTAATCCAAAGCCAGAGTGGGGTACCGACGTTCCAACCACCAAGGAAGCTTACTTCTACAGATGCAAGTTCGACGAGCTTTTCCCATCCAAGGCTGCCGCATCCACCGTCATGAGATGGGTGCCAAAGGCCGAGTGGGGATGCCACGAGGACCCATCGGGAAGATACGCCCAGACCCACGATTCTTCGGTTCTTAAGAAATAGAGCTAGTAGTACACTTATAAAATACATGAGCACAGCCGTGCTAATTTTTGATTTATAAATCTCCATGTTTAAGAAAACAAGTCTCTCTTCGCTAGACTCCAAGTCGACCATCCCGCGAATACGCGAGCAATACGAGTATCTGAGCAAGATCGTTCTTATTGGCGCGTCTGGCTGTGGCAAGTCGTCCTTGCTCCATCGGTACATTTCGCGGGATTGGCGTACGTTGTCCCAAACAATTGGCGTGGGGGTCGCATCTAAAGTGGTTGTGGTGGGGGACAGCACCAGGTTGAAACTCCAGATCTGGGACACCGCGGGCCAGGAACGCTTTCGCGCGCTCACCAGGTCCTATTATCGCGGGGCCGGCGGAATCGTGGTGGTGTTTGATCTCAGTTCCAGATCCAGTTTCCAGGCTGTGTTGGAGTTTATCCAGGACGTTTACAACCTCACGCTTCCTGACTCGTGTATTGTGCTCGTGGGTAACAAGAGTGACCTGGAAAGCCCGCTATCCAAAACGGAGATCACAGAGCTGGTCGAACAGTGCTCCAAAACGTTGCAACGGTCTGTCCAGTACATTGCAACGAGTGCGCTAGAGAACTCCAACGTGGATGCCATCTTCGAGACCGTTGCCGGGTCGATTGTCACCAAAGTGGAGCTTGGTCTGCTGAATCCAGAAGACCCTTCCAGTGGAGTTCAATACGGAGATCTCAGTTACGATGCCATCACAATAGCCACGCCTGAAAACCGCGGATGCTGCTGATCACTCCGAAACAGGCACACTGTCGATCACAAACGAGTCCACAAACGGGAATCCGCGTGCGTCCACTTCTTCCCGTCGCAGAATGTCCACTTCTTCGCCCTCCTCCTCTATTTGTTTATTCATGTCGTCTTCGTCGACGTAATCGAATTCGTCTTCTTTTTCCTCGTAATCGATATTCTGCTCAATCTCCTCGAAGTCCGGAGCCAGAGCACTCCATTTCTGCGGAATCACAACCGACCAGATGAACAGTGTTCCCGTGTCCATCGTGGAAGCCACGATCCAGCACTTTCTGTAATTCCAGTCCACGGCCAACAGCTCGTCGTTCGATCCTTCCAGGATCTTAATCAAAGATCCCAGTGCCGTCTCCCATATGTACACATCGTGCGTTGCTCCCAGAGTAGAAGCACACAAATACTCCGAATTATGGTTAAATCTCAGAGCGTTCCATTGCAGTCTGTTCACGGCGTCCTGGTACCGGTTTTCAAGCTCAAACTCCCATTCCCCCACAGGAACTTCCAGTTTGGGCATTGTGTACTGTCTGATGATTCTGTCGCTGGAGTTGACGGCCAGTTTCGCAGAGTTTGGTGAAATTTCAATGTTTTTGATATTCGACCCACAAACGTTCAAGCTTCGCACCAATTGAGCGGTCGAGGTTTCTATCACATTGAGCCAGCCCTTGCTGGTCCCCGTGAAGATGTACTTTGCGTCCGGCGTGAAATTGACCGTCAATGTAGACTGTCTTGGTGGATTCTCGACTCCATATGGACTGGTAGCCAACTGTGTGATTTTGGGCTCGTTCTCCACGTCCACAAAAACAGGGTCGTTATCGACCAATGCGGCCACAAACTGGAACTTGTTTGCGGGATTCATCACGCTGCACCAAACGGGACATTCGAAATTGCAGCTTCGAATAACTTTGCAGCTCGAAAGGTCCCATAAGTTCACTTTCCAGTCTCTTGACGACGACAGCAGGTAGCGGCCGCATTTAGACCAACATAACGAGGTGATTGCCCGTGTGTGGTCGCGTAAAACTTGGATCGTGGAATTGGTGTCTGTGTCGATTATGAGAATGATTCCATCGGCCAGACCCGACGCCAGGTAGTCGCCCTTCTGACTGAACCTGATCTGAGTTGAGTGTCCGTACGCCAAAGTCTGGATCAAGGTGTCCGGGTATTCCTTGGCAACGGCGAAGGGGTCCAAAAGAGAAAGGTTCATGAATAAACTAAACGGTGAAAAAAAAGTTTAGTGTGCCAGTGGGGAGGACCGATGGCACAAAACAGGTATTCCTCACAACAGACGATTTACTTGTTTCTGGCGTCAATGTAGCACACGTTGTCACGCGGGACACAGTCTTCCCCCACTGTTGAGTAAATAGCGTGTGTTCCTGACACCCACTGCTTAGACCCCTGCATATCTGCCACACCCACCCAATGTAAATCACGGAAATTTAAGCTCTCTTTTTCTCTCACATTTATTATTCTCATGTCAGAACCCCCTGTCTTGGAGCGGCTACCGCCCGGAACTGAGCTACACGTTGGATCCCACCGCGCAAAGATTGTCAACTACATCTCTGCCGGCGGGTTTGCACACGTGTATCTTGTCCAAATCAGCGAGAAGCCGGATTTCGCTTGTCTCAAGAGGGTGGTTGTGCCCAACAAAGAAGGACTTAATTTACTGCGTGCGGAGGTCGAAGTGATGCAAAGACTTGCTCACTGCGACTACGTGGTAAAATACATAGACTCCAACGCGTCCAGAGTGGCAAACACCCACTCTTACGAGGTGCTTGTGCTGATGGAATTGTGTCCCAACAAGTCATTGCTGGATCACATGAACGCCCGTCTAAGCACAAAGCTGTCGGAACCGGAAATTCTCAAGATCATGCTGGATATTTCACAAGGTGTGTACGCTATGCACAAGCTCAAGCTGATTCACAGAGACATCAAGATCGAAAACGTTTTGATCGACGAGAAGTACACTTTTAAACTGTGTGATTTCGGATCCACCTGTCCTGTGCTGCGTCCGCCGCGCAACCAGCACGAGTTCCAGCTATTGACAAACGATATTCTTAGACAAACAACCCCGCAGTACAGAGCTCCCGAAATGATCGATCTGTACCGCGGATTGCCCGTGGATGAGAAATCAGATATCTGGGCCGTTGGCATTTTCCTTTATAAATTGTGCTACTACTTCACGCCGTTCGAGACTGCTGGAGAGCTTGCCATTTTGCATGCCGCTTACCGGTTCCCGTCGTCCCCGCAGTACTCCCCTTCGCTGAAAAACCTCATCAACATCATGCTGCAAGAGAACCCAGTCTACCGTCCAAATATCTACCAAGTCATTGCCGAACTGTGCCACATGATGGACAAGGACGTCCCCGAAGGCATTGAGGACTTCTACAGACAGGGAGAGTACAAGTATCCTACGCCAGAGCAGGTGCACCCGCCAATCCAGCAATTCACAGCAAGCATCATCCCAATGTACTCTCCGTTCAAATCGACACCGCAAGACCCTGTTGTTCCTGTCCTCACCGTGGACACTGCCAAGGAGCAAGGCAACACATCGAAGGAGCAAACAGGAGCGTCTTCTGCGGGTCTGAAGACCAGCCATCCATCTCAAGATTCCTTGGTCGAGTTTAACATGGACAAGTTCCCTGAAATCCACCTGAGTGGCGAGTCTGCGACCGCACCGGTGGTTCAGCCGACCCCAGAGAAGCCTCCAGAGCCTCCACAAACGGAGAACCAGCCAACGGTGCAGCCTGATTCTACAACTTCGAGTTCCACACCTATCAAGAAAAAATGGTCTGCCAACAATCCGTTCCCGCATGACCTGATAGACCTGTCGTCGGACGCGCAGCCGGTGCCAGCAGCTGGGCCAGCCGAGCCTTCCAAGCTCCAGGACTCTGCAGACGCGCTCCACAAGCAATTGGACGGGTCGGTCACCAGCCTCACCAAGCTACAAATTTCGAGTTCCGAAAACGAGGCTAAGCCAGAACCTGAAATCGATGAATTAAAGTCAGAAACTGCATCAACAAAAGCTACTTAAATCTGAAAACAAACACAGAACCGACGACTAGTCCCGCTAGCCTTTCAATTCAAACACTGGTCTCAACGCGGAATCCACCAGGTTGGCAACAACAGGGGCTATCACAAGATTTGCGCAATAAACCACCACCATAACCAGCATCAAGTTTGTGAAATGGAGAGCCCAGGACTCTTTCTTAGTCAACATATAGTGGGGGAACAAGAAATAGTAGAACCCATACGCGTACTTCAGTCCATCGATCACGCTCATGGTGAAATTCAACGTGTTGATAGTCAAAAGAAAGTTTTTTTTTAGTACAGTCAACAATACATGCACGCGTGCACGGGTTTCCTCCCCAGAACTAATTTTTCAAGGCAGGAACGCGAAATCCCCGGCATCGGGTAGCTGGTCGTTCTGCCACGGCCATGCAAACATGTCGTCTGGCTGGCTGTAGCCGACGTCGTACATAGGCAGCTGCGTGCCCATATTCAGCGGTTTGTTGGAGCCCTGCATCATGGAGAGACCTGTTTGCGGGATCTGCTGTCCGCTCTCTCCCGTCCAGACCGAGATGTTGTTGATCATCGCTGTGGTGCGGCCCACAAACGGCATCATCTCGGGAATGTTTTGCACCGAGTTGAACGGAGGAGCCATGTACGGTTGCGGCATCGGCTGCGGCATCGGTTGCGGGCTGTAAGTTTCTCCGGTTGGTAGCAGCTTCAACGGCTGTGGAGACGAGATCGATGCGGTCGTGATCGGCTGTTCGGTCAAGGCGCTCGCGGTGCTCCGCAAGCTGGACGGCGACGACGCAACGTGCGGCGCAAGGTATGAGTTCTGTGCGGGCAATGGCGGCGAGTGGATCAACAAGTGGTTGAGGCCTTTTGGAATTGTGCTTCTTGTGAGCTGGCCCCGTCTCTTGCTCATTTCCTCCTCCTCACGCCGGTCGGCGTCGGTCGGCTTCATGTTAAGCTCCGACTCCACGGTGTAGTGCTGCAACGGTTTGCGCATCGTGGCTGGAGGCATAGCGATAGGAGGATGGTTTGAAACCTCTGACGAGTCTGGTCCGCAACGAAGGATCAAATTGCCAATCGTGGCATGCATCAGCTCCTCAAACGTTTCTCTAAAAGAGAGCGCAAACTTGGTCCGCTCAGACATCACGTACAACGAGATGGAGCACGCACGCAAATCGTCCAGCCCGGCAAACAGGGTCTCCGAAACAACGGGTCTTGTGTGCTTCTTGTCGTCTCCAAGCAGCTTTCTGCGCATGTCGTCTCTGTTCCTGTGCAACCATAGACAATATATAAGAGTGACTCCAGCAATAAAGGTTGTGTGAACGTTGATTAACGAAAAGCCTCTAATGGTCTTTTGATGGAATGCTTTGATGCTCTGGCAGATCTGGCCGGCCGCAGCTTGGCACTCCTTGAAAAGTCTGTCTTCCGGGTCCAGAAGCTCCAGGAACGGCTGGATCAGGTTTCTGACCGACCGGTAGTAGTAGATGTTCAAAGTTTCGTTTTCGATACCCCGAGTGAACCCGTGGCATTCATTCCGCCACGTTTGCAGCTCCTGGAAGAACTGCTCCACGGCAGGGAGCTGGTCCTTCGTGGTGATGGACGTGCTGCCCAGGATATTGAGCTGCTCGATAAAACGGGCCTCGGTGCGTCGGATCTTGATGATCTGGTTGATAAAAAACGGCCCGTCAGTCGGGTGCATGGCCTTAGACGGCTCGTACTCAAACACAGGCAGGTCTCTGTCGGTCTCGCTCTCTCTTAAAACGAACGGCTTGGAAACTGCCACCGCTATGGCTTTTTCCAGCAAGTAGCAGCACCAGAACAGCCGCATTTGACGGTCTTTCTTCGCTGGCGGAATGTTGCGGTAGCTGGCTGTCTTCTCAAGCTTCAGCTCGATGCACAGACTCATCGATTCGCAAATCACGTCGTAAAGCCCGTTGCTGTCCTTATCGGTCCTGATCAGATTGCACGACAACAGCATCAACAGTTCGATCTTTTGCAGCTTGAGCGCGTTCTTCATCAGCACAATGTGCCGCAGAGCGGACGAGAAGTACTGCAACGGCTCTGGGCCTTTGTACTTGCCCGTTGTCTCGTGCAACATCGAGCTCAGAGAATAAACAAGAAACATCCTTGCACAGCCAAAATGGTAGTCGTCCTCAGACCTTGGCTGTATGCCGTTGTAATAATCTGTCTGGAACCGGAGCACCTCTTGTTCATTTAGCGCCGGAAACTTGTATTGTAGCAGGGCAAAGTAGATGTCCACGAGGTGTTTGGCGAGTTTGGCGTCCACGTCGAAAACGGGTTCCTTTTTGAAAAACTCTTGAAGCCGAAATCGTGCAATCATGGACGAGTTATAGTTATCGGCGAATTCGAGCAAAAACTCGTCGTACGGCTTGCTGACGGCGGAATAAAACCTGTTCACAGACGGTTGCACCTCATGTGGGTTCAATAGCGGGCGGATCTTGCGGTATTTCGTCGACGCCTCCCCGTTTTCCTCGCGGGGATGTGTTTCCAACAAACGTTCTAAACGTTGCACTTTTTTCTCCAGAAAAATGGTGTACTCGCTCTTCACGTTGGCCTTGTTACTTGTTCCGTACCGCGGCGGCTGGATACACGTTGTCTGCGTTTTAATACAGTTGGTACAGCTTGGAGACCGTTGGTCGCACTTTTGTTTGCGTTTCTGACACAAGTAGCACGAGGTCGACCGCCCTTTCTTGTCCTTGATCTGGGTGGGGACAGGCGACGTGCTGTTGAGCTCTGGACGCGGCGTCAAGGGCACGGCAAAAGGTTCCATCTTGGGTGTTCGTTCCAAATCTCACCCGGTACACCCCTATATTTGATACTTTAAAACAAAAAAAATTATATAAGCATTTTCGGTCTCCGTACACACCCCACGAGGAACTGCATCCGTTTACCCCACACTACTCATTTTCCAACGTGCTGAGTCCATTCAAGCCAAATAAGAACCCGAGCTCCACACGACTCAGTCTGTTGACCGTCTTGCGTGCCGAAGGGTCCAAGGCACTGTCCACAAGCTTCTCTTTTTCCGCCTGCAAATCCATGATCCTGTCCTCCACAGTTCCCCGGATTAATATCCGGTGCACGTACACTTCCCTTTCTTGCGAAATCCGGTGCACTCTATCCTGTGCTTGCCTTTCCACAAACGGATTCCAAAACGGTTCCAAAATGATAACGTGTGACGCACACGTAAGCGTAAGTCCGACATTTCCTGCTTTTAGCGAAAGCAGCATCACTCGTTTTGCATCGTTTTGGTAAAACGTCGCCACGCTCGCGCTTTTCGCCTCCACGTTCATAGACCCGTCGTACCGTAGAAACTCAATCCCTTGTTCTTGTAGAAACAACTCCAAAATGTCAAACAGCACCATGAACTGCGAAAAGATAATGATCTTTTCTCCTGGCTTGTTGATGAGAATATCGTTGATCAGCGACAAACAACGCTCGATCTTGGCAGATATAACCAGTCCGCCGCCTTCGCTCTCAATTAGCTCCTTGACTTTCGCCGCCCTTTGCACAGAGTTCAAAGTCTGATTCTGGATGTTGAATTGTCGTTGAACCTGCTTCCAATCTTGCTGCTTGTTGCAAACAGCATCGAAAACAGGCAACTCAACACACAAACTCTCGCTGCTGGCCTTCTCGCACGTCTTGCACCGCGCAGACCGGTCGCCGTTCCAAACGGTTTCCTGGTTGTCCTCAAAAAATTGCTCCACACAGTCTTTGCACACAGAATGACCGCAATTACCCAGAAGAATCACATTCATGTCTGCTTCAATCACCTCAAAACACATCTGACACGTGAACCCGTTCCCGCGCTCTTCATTTATCTGCTCACACTGTTCGGGTGTAAACTTTCTGGCCGCTTTGAACCCGTTCTTGATCTGATCAGCCTTGAATTCTCGCTCTTTATCCTGTCCGATCTGCACCAAAAACCTGTGGTCACACGCTTGTCTTAAACGTAGCAACAGTGTCAATATCTCGCTGTATTGACCCTTACCACCACCGCTTTCTGCCTCTGTGTTCAGAATCTGGTTTGCAGTACGCGCAGACTTGGCTTCCAAGGCAAGGTAAAATTCACGGTCGTCTGCCTTCATTTCAACATGGTCCACCACAACGTGTTTTTCCGGAAGCTGCAAAATAGGTTTTCCGTCAATAAGCGAACTCTTGGTCCGACGAAGAAGAATAGCAGAAAGCAGCGCCTGCACCGTCCGCAAAGCGCGGCTTTCGTTACCGTAATTGCCTCCCAGCGGATTGGAAATACGCTCTTTGAACAGTTTCTCGTCGCAGTATGGCTTGATCTCCAAAAACCTCAATATCGGAAACAGCTCGTCAATGTTGTTCTGGATAGGAGTTCCCGAAAGACACCACCTATATTCAGCCTTGAGTAAAGCAACGGCCTTGGATCCCTGTGTAAGCTTGTTTTTGATCGACTGGGCCTCGTCCAGGAATATACGTCGAAAAACGGCGTCTGGAGTATAAAAAGGCGACTCATACTCCAATCCACCGTCGCCGCGTTCAGGCAAAGTAGACTTCTTTTTGTTTTTCAGATCCTCAAGAGCTTCCTTGTAATGTTTCTTCATTTCCGACGTCAAAGTGTTGTACGACACCAAAACAACATCAAACTTGGACATGTCTTTGAACCTCGTGAGTCTGTTATTTTGGTGGTAGATGTAGTAGTTCAATTGATGCTCTTTCTTCAACTTGAACTCCAACTCTTGGCCCCACTGTTGTAAAAGCGAAACTGGAGCCACCACCAGATTAGTATTACAGGAGCCACTTTGCGCACTATTGGCCACCATCAGTGCAATTGCCTGGACTGTTTTACCGAGTCCCATATCGTCAGCAAGGATTCCTCCTTTATTTTTCGAGTCTTCCATGCTGAGCATCCATTTCAACCCGATTCGCTGATGTTTCAGCAGCCCGATACTGAGCTGTTCCGGGGTTTTCTCTATTCCATCCTCAAACTCTTCGTCGGGCCGAATATTATCCAAAAGATCTTTGATATTGTCAGCTTCGGAATTGTCGTTGTAGCGTTGCATGTACGGATTGAAAGCGTACAAGTTCGAGAGACGGTTCATGCTATTCTCACCGAATTGGTACATCGACTGGGCGGGTCCCAATGCCTGCGATGGCTGGAAATGTTGTGATTGCTGCGTGTGCTCGTAATTTGCTAATAGGTTGATTTTGGACGTTGTTTCTCGGATCCGTTTGAAGTAGTCGTTTATCTTGTTGTTTATATTGCTGATCTTCATATGATAGCTGGCAAGAACCTGTTCTGACAGTTTACCAATACCACCAGAGGTGAACTTGATAAGAGAGGTGCGTCGTTCGATCAATGATTTGACAACCTCGTTCAGTTTTGTCAGATGTTCTCTTCCCTTCACCAGTGAGTCACGAATATGGTCTCTGTCCACGGGAGGACTGGCCTGATGTGGTTGAACAGGTTCTGGATGCGAGATGGTGGTGGAACCGACAAAAATGACTTCGTCATCGGACTGTTCACTATCGTGATTTTCATCTTTGATTTCGTCCTCCACGTCGGAAGTCAGATCGATCACGTCCGAGGGACCCTCTTTGACTAGCTGGTCGAGCTTGCGACGTTTATCTGGCGCCTGAGACTCGCTTTTCACGTTCGAGTCCTTTACGCCATTGGCACTATCGAACGGGGTATAGAATCTGACCTGGGCAGGCATTTCGGGCGAAACTTGCGGGGACTCCGTGCTGGTGTCTGACGAGGCCGACCCAAACAGGTCCTCGTGCAACGGCGAAGAGTCGCCCTCTATTTGGATGACTTCCCCATCGTGAGAAAACATTAAGAAAATAAACAAAAGATAATTGTTTTTGCACAGCCGCAATATGTATATCTATGTAGCAGAGCGATACAAAAAGGACTAAGCCTCGCCATTTTCCTCTGCGATGAGCAACTGGACCTTCTGGAGCTCTTCCTTCAGCTTTGGGTGGGCCGAGTTGAAACACAGGCCTCTTTCGAAATCGGTTTTTGCAGCCAGGAGATTGCCCAGACCGGTCTGGCAAACACCTTTACGCAGATGGTTTTCTGGGATGTTTGCGGCCAATTGGCACAACATGTCGGCATCCGCATAGCCGTCGGCCCAGTTTTTCAGCATGATGTTGGCGTCGCAGCGGCCAACAAGACAGATCAGCACCTCGCTGATGGTCATTTGGAAGTTCTCGAACTTTGGTCTGGCGGCCGCAAGGCCGAGCGCGACGCCAAACTGTTTGGCCGCGTCGTTATATTTCTTGGCTCTCATCGAGTTTGCTGCGCTCTCGTGCATTTTTTTGATCATCATGCTCAGGTTCTTTGTGTAGTGGTCTTTTGTTGGCACTGGGGGAACATCAACGTTCGAGTTCACGTAGTCCTTGATGAGCGTGTTCAGCTGAGTAATCTCCAGTTGTAGGTCTTCAAAGGACTTGGCAGGAACGTCTTCGTCCAAAGCCACTTTTTTCCCCGTGGAATCATAAACCAAGGGCAACGACATTGCGACACTGAAATAATTAAATTTAATTTAATTATTTTCCCAGTGTTATGCCCAAATACTACTGCGACTACTGCAAGTCGTATCTGACTCACGACTCGCTGAGCGTGCGTAAGTCGCATTTGCAGGGCCGGAACCACCTGTCGTTCTACTGCGAGTACTACGAGGAGGTGGCCAGGAAAAACGGGCTCTTGGAACCCAACGAGCTGCCGTGGGAATATAGCTTAAAAGTGCACTACGGCGGGATGCCAGGCACACATACTGCGAAGTCCGAGCTGCAATTGCCTCCTCCACCCACGTTGAACGGGTTCCCCAACCCACCAGCGTGGATGACATCCTCCGACACGTCTGCGGAGAAGAAAACCGTTGCCGACTGGAAACGTGCAACAGAGCCGGTGAGCGATCTGGCCAGACCCAAATGATATAGAGCGAATAATAGTGGACCTTTACTGTTGTAGTTGCCCCTCTCCTCCCCTTGCTACCTTCCTAAAACTGGTCGTGCACGCTTGTCCAAAAAAATTTTCCTTGATTTTGCTGGATAAAATCAAAAGGCGTGCCTTTGTTTATCCCTAAGTTTTAGTTATGTCGGCTCAACAACAAGTTCCTACATTCAAGCTCGTCCTGGTTGGAGATGGTGGTACCGGTAAAGTAAGTATAGCACAAGCAATGTCACAAACAACTAACATTTAGACCACTTTCGTCAAGAGACACTTGACTGGAGAGTTTGAGAAAAAATACATGGCCACCTCCGGTGTTGAGGTCCACCCAATGTCGTTCTACACCAACTTCGGTGAGATCAAGTTCGACGTCTGGGACACTGCTGGACAAGAAAAATTCGGTGGATTGAGAGACGGTTACTACATCAACGGTCAATGTGGTATCATCATGTTCGACGTCACCTCCAGAATCACCTACAAGAACGTTCCTAACTGGCACAGAGACTTGGTCAGAGTGTGTGAAAACATCCCAATTGTCTTGTGTGGTAACAAAGTCGATGTCAAGGAAAGAAAAGTCAAGGCCAAGACCATCACTTTCCACAGAAAGAAGAACTTGCAATACTTTGACATTTCCGCCAAGTCCAACTACAACTTCGAGAAGCCATTCTTGTGGTTGGCTAGAAAGCTTGTTGGTAACTCCCAGCTGGAGTTTGTTGAGTCTCCAGCTCTTGCTCCACCTGAAGTGTCTGTCGACGCTGACTTGATGGCCAAGTACCAGGCTGAGATGGACCAAGCCGCTGCTATGCCATTGCCTGATGAGGACGACGCTGACTTGTGATTCTTGTCTCCATTATTAATCAAGAGTGTTTTGCTGTCACGGTGTAGAGATGTATGTATTGGAAGATCAAGAAAACTAACCATGTTTTTAAAACAGCAGTGCACAGCACACGGAGAGAGAGCGAAAAAAAAAATCCACCAATTTCGGTTACGTAGCCCCGTCCACCTCCCACCTCTGCCTCTCAACCAACGAAAATTCTCCGTTCTTATTCGTACACATCTCTCAAGAACGATCTAAAATGTTGAACCTTGTTGCCAGATCTTCAGTACGTGTGAATCTACATGCCATTGCTAACTCGCAGAAACTCGCTGTTCGTCAGAACGTGAGAAATCTTTCCGTTTCGGCCGTGAGAAACAACCTCGTGGCCGATCTCTATCTCAAGGAATTGAAGGCTTTCAAGCCAACCCCACTGTCTGCTGCCGACGCTGAGGCCGCCACCAAGGCATGGAAACTTCCACAGGCTGCTAAGGTCCCTGCTTTGGAGGCTGAGGGTGCCGACGCCCTGGCTGAATACGACTCTTCCAAGGTTGAAGTGGCCGAGAACGCTGGTGCCGCTACCACCGAGGAGTACAACCCAGACGACTGGTTTGTGTTTGAGGAGGAAGAGGAGCCAGGCCACCACCATTAAGAAGTATAGAAGAATATTACATCATTAACGTCTCTTTAGTCCATGAATGTCTATCTCCGGTAAATTTCCAGTACTTATTCCACCGCGTGCCACACAACGGTTCCGCGTTCAACAGTCTCCCCCACTTGGACGCTCGCATCAGCAGCGGGGAACATGTCCACCGAACCGTGTTCCAGCACGGGAGACCAGCTGCCGTTATAGAACAGTCTGACCACAGAAATCGGCTGCTCCAGGTTGTTCTTGTCCCAGAACACGCCCTGTGCCCAATTGCCCACCCGCATAAACCTGCCCTCGCCGCCGCTCTTCACCTCGAACACGCGGCACGGCACGGGCTCGATGCTGGACGACGACACCTGGACTTTCTTGTCTGGGCTCGACTTGAGTGGGTCCACACTCATCCACATCTCCACGTAGTTCTCCACCTTGCCCGTGGCAGAGTTGAGCATGGCCCCCGTTTCGCGACGGGTCCCGTCAGGCAGCTTTTCAAAGTATCCCACATCTTTGGAGATGTCTTCCTTCAACGGGTATTTCGCGGCCTGGCCGGCCAATTCCCTCTTCTTGGCCTCGGTCCACTCGTGGATGAACACAGAGTCAAAGAAATCGTGCGAGAACTCGAGCTTGGACCCGTCAGCTGCCAGCAGCTTGGCCTCCCCTGCAAAAGCCCACTCAAAGGGGAACGCGAGATCGGACTTGATCAGCGGGCGCACGTCCACAAACTTATCCTTTGGTGAGTTGAGAATCAGTGTGTCGGTGGCCTCTGCGGGCTCCGGGGCCGAATCCCACGCAATCGAGAGTCTTGTCGAAATGCTCATAGTCGATCGACGCTAAAATAAATAATATAGAAAATATCCCTCCCGCAATAAAATTTTTACAACGAAAAAACCATCGATGGGAAAAGGAGCAGCCAGGTTTGGAGGAAAGAGCGGGTTTCTTCCCAAGCCGCGGGAGATCTTCAAGCAGCCATACAAACACGTTGTTTACCAAAAAGAGAAAGACACCGGGTACGCTGACGGGATACAGCATCCACGGGGAACCACCAGAGACCTTATTCGGCCGCCGGTGGTGACGCCTGAGGAGCGGTTGTTGCGCACGGCACACCCGCCGAAGACGGTGTATAACGCCGAGAGCATGGCCAAGTTGCCTGCCGAGCAGCAGGCCAACATCAAAAACGCCGAGCTTCGAAGACAATATCTGGCCGAGTCGTACAAAGCTGAGGTTTCGAGACTGGAACGGCTCGAGGCTTTGGAGCGTCGCAAGGCCGAGGAGAAGGCCAAGCGCGAGCAGGAGGCGCGCGAGTACAAGCAGAGTAACGCCGAAGTCTACACGATGCCGACTGTGGAGCAGTACCTGGACGGTCCGTTTATTCGTCCCAGAACCGAGGAAGAGACTGCTTTGTTGAAGCAGAAGCGCCAGGCCAACAGAGACACGATGATTTTGAAGGAGAAACAGGACCGTGCGGTGAAGCTTGTGGAGTTGTACAATGCGACGGCGAATTTTGCCGTGACGGAGGAGAAACTGAAGGAGCTTGTGGATAGCGCATTTTCAGAAAGAAAGCTGCAGAGTGTCCGCAACGTTCTGGGCGTGGACACGAACCGGTTGGGCACGACTCCAGCCTCCGGTATGTTTGAAAAGACGCTGGAAGAGACGATTGTGGGAACGGTGAACCGGGGACCATCGCTCGATACGGTGGAAGCCACTTTAGACGGCTTCAACGAGGCGATTTTGGAAACCGCACAGCAAACCATCGAGAGTCGCAAATTGGAGCTGAAGGAAATGACAGAGGAGAAACAAAGACAACTACAGGAGCTGCAGGAGAAGATGCTCCGGGAACGGGAGGAGTCGTAGCTGTACATAGATGCAATTCTTTAGAATGGTAACATTATCTTTCGAGCTGATGCTCTAGTTATACATGGGTATGAAAAGCAAACAGGTTCGAGAATGGTTACAAGGACTCCTCGTCGGTAGCCTTTTGAGTTCTTTTGATCTTGAAGAATCTGATTCCGCCCTCGTTGGAAGGCAGGGTTCCTTGGTTGGTCTCATCTGTTGGCTGGGAGACTGGGGCAGACGTGGCAGGTGGTTGCGGAGCGACCAGTGCCCGGTGTTCTTGGTGGACCTTGTAAGCTTTGTGGAGCGAGCTGCAACAGGTGAGGAAGAAGACGATCAACAGAGCAGTGAAGGCAGCCCAAGCCATACCGAGCATGGAAGGACCCACCTTGGCTCTGATTCCGGCGTCGTGGAACTTGTTTCTCACCATCACAGAAACAGCGGTTTGACAAGCCACACCGGCCGCACAGGTGATCAAACTGAGAGACACAAAGAAGACAACAACCTGCTTCAGGGCTTTCCAGCAGAATTGGAACAGCAAACAGATGAAACTCACTCCGGCAAACACGAGAGCCACCAAAATCAGTGGGAACGAGAACCGGGACAGGTAGTAGTAGGTATCTCTATTGCTCACAAAGTCTTGGGGCAAGGAAGTGGAGTTACCAAAGTTGTCATATGGAGACAGGGGCTGGTCAGGGCCCAAGGCACCGCACTTACCGTTAGAGTGCGAGTCGTAGTTGGAAGGGTTGCAAATACCCCAGAAAGTCCATCTGGAAACGTCGCCAGCATTGCTAATTTGGGACGTCTGAGCCTGGACCCAGTAAAATTGGTTGAAAGGGAACGAGGACACAGAACCAGAGAAAACGATGAAAAGTAACACCAAGGTGGTTCCCGCCAACAGCAGGAGAGTGAGAAGTCTGTTCAAAGTGGTGAGAAGCATAGCGAACTGAAAATTGGAGAAAAAAGTTCGAGAGCAATTACTTTGTATATGACTTTGTGAATTTCACCTAATTATACTTACACAGAAATACATAAACAACTACTATGTATAATTTGCTAAAAAGGGAGAAAAGTTTTTTCGAATTAGCTCGAGAAGTTGCCGTTTTGGGAAAGTGACAAACAGGATTTGCAATGACCCAAACTGGATTTCCTCCCGGGACACACTAACTAGGGAAAACACTAGCAACTAACAAAGGAGTGGCAGAAAGGAACAATAGCAATCCCAGGTGGACGGGAACTTTAATTTGAGAGGCTTGCTGGAAACCGTTTCGAATCTCACATCCATTTCCAACTGCTCACCCCGCCTAACACCCCAACCCTCACACCATAGTGCCCCGTAATAAGCCCTTTTTATTTTATTTTTCTTCCTGTTATTGTTTTTTTTGTACAGATCATGGAGGTCATCGTGCTGGACTCCTCCGACTCGCCTGCCCCCGTGCGACGCTCTCCGCGGCTGTTCGTCTCGTCATCCAGTCCCTCCGCACGCCGGCTCGTGGCCAAACGCCAACCCAAGCTCGTGCGATCGTCCGCACACGCGTCCAGCTCCCTCCCCAGCATCATCGAGATCTCGTCCAGTCCGAGCACACGCAAGTCCAGACGTCTGTCGAAGATTGCCTTGCCCAGCTCGCCGACCATGGAGTCGGCCCCGTGTGTGGCTGATGTGCCTGAGCTCGACATCACAGACCAACACAACCTGTCAGTCCAGGAGATCAAGTCGATGTCTGCCCCTCCTTCAGATGACATCCAATTGGGCAGCATCTTCGACATTGGCACAAACACCACGCTGGTGTCTCCGCTGAAACCATTGCACAAAGAAAGCACGCCCACCACGGCCCCACGCTCGGCATATTCTCCAGAGGAGCTGGATGCCATGCTTGAACATGCGCGTATTGCTGCCCCAAAAGAACTCAAACAGATCAACAAGATGCAGCGCACAAAGGAGGAGCTTATGGCAGAGGTGAAGATCGAGTTCGAAACCAAACTCCATGCTAAATTGCTCGAGATCAACGCCGATCTCGATAGTCTGCTTGAACCGGTGCAAGTTGCCACTGCCTCGCTGTTCCTGCCACTGATCCAGTTCAAACGGACAATTCAGTCGGTGTACCACGACGAGAAAGGCGCGTTTGTGCCCGTTGAGAAGTACGACACCACAGAGTCGACGGTGGTGCTGTTCTACGAAGCAGCAGACCTCGTAGAAAAAATTAAAGACGACTCGCTCCGCACAATCATCACCAGAGTCAAACGGACTCGCGACAACGCAAACATCGTGGTCATGATCAACGGTTACGACCAGCACCTGCAGACCCTCCGCACCCAGCACAACAGGGCATTTGTCACACAGGTGATGCAGAAAATGGGCAAAGACAAACCGCAGCGCAAGCTCGAGCGAGAAAACAGCACCATTTCGGCAGAGACTGTGCGACAGAAACTTGCAGAGCTCGAGATCTTCTTTGGGATCCATCTGTTCCCTATAAAAGGTCTGCGGGAGCTGGTCGAGTGGCTCAAGTCGTTCTGCTACACTATGGCTTCCAAACACTACGACCCGCACGAACGCCACCCGGACCTCGCCAACGTGGGCAACATCCGCTCGGGCCAGACCCCTGAAGAATGCTACCAAGAATCGCTCAAACAATTTAAATATCTAGTTACCTCGACAGCCCGCACGCTTGTTAAGGAATACCCAACGCTTGCAGAACTTGCCCATACCTTACAAACCAAAGTTCCATCGCTAGTCCGGACAGACGTGGAACAGAACCTGAAAAAAGCCTTTACAAGCACCGATCCCAACGAGCTTCTCAACGACTGAGTCATTTCTTACTCAATCCACGCAAATACTCAACTTTCATATACGTTCTGGATGTTAGTTGCTAGAAATCACAATACTGACTTTAATCTCTGGAGATCCTCGTGAGAAATCTGATCCTTCATTGCTTCCAACTGTTCCACTGCCTGCGACAACAGCTTCTTTTCTTCCGCATCGAAAGTATACTTGTGTGAAATCAACGTGGTCACGATGTTGGTGGCCGAATCTATGCATCCAATGTGACCGTCCACCTTGATGAGCTTGAGCAAAGACGATACAACACCGTCCTGCTGCAACTTCTTCAGCTTAGACTTGTCGATCGATGTGGAGAGCGAAGCGTTCAGCAAGGATAGCGCTCTGAGTTTCAACTTTTCTGGCGAAGAGGTGTTATTCAGAATAGGTGCAATGACTTCCCATCCGTTGTGTTTCTCAAAAGATTCCACTCCTTTTTCGTTGTGTCTCACAATATTTGCCAAGGCATAGATGGCCTTCAATTTTGTTTCTGGCGTCGAGGTCAAAGCCAACTCGACGAGCTTGGCTGTTCCATTCTCTGTTTCCGCATACTTAAGGAAATCTTTCTGCGACTTAGGGTTGTTCTGTGCAGCCGTTCCGATACAAGAGCAAGCCAGCGCTTGCAGCTGATTTTCTGGACTGCTCAGCTGGCTTAGAAGCGGTTCCCAGAGCTCGAGGTTCTCAATGTTATTGGCGTTGTCGAGGTTCTCGATCAACATCTCGAAATTGTCGAACGCAACAAGCTTGTTCTCCAAATCAATTTCAGGACTCACAATCACGGCCATGTTCTGCTTCATCAGCGTCGGTTCGTCGGCGGCTTGTCCGAACAACTGAGAGAGGAGCTCTGGATCCGGCTTTGGTGCTCTAGCTTGCACCTCCTTGTCATCGGACTGGTTGGCAATCGACCACTGTAATAATTTCTCCATAGTATACTCTAGAATATTAAGAAAAAAATCTAGCTCCAAAATTATTATATAGCACAGCCGCATTTATAGCCAGCGATAGGTTGTCCGAAAAAGGAGCCGTCAAAACCATGTGGAAGAACAAGATTAAACAAATGGGTAAAGTGGAGTGATCGAAAGGCTTTGACGCTCTCAAACGTGTTCTCTCGTATCAAATTCGCCGGTTTAGCCCATCTCGTACAATCGGTGTAAAGATGTAAGGATAAAGACAAGTAGGGCGCGCTCAAAAAGTTCCCCCTATTTAATTCATCCCTTCTTCCTAATAGAAAGAGAACCTGCAAGCAGGGGTGGTCAAAACCACTGCTGATAAAGGGCAGGAGTCAACAATGGCTTCCAGGCAAGCACTTGGTTGCAATGGAGAAAATTGGGGAGCCTATAGACGCTGGCGCGGGTTCTGGAACCGAGCGACACTTTTCCGGAAGCTTTGGCGCGGGTGAAACTACCGAGCGACGCTCTATAGCTACTCAATTGGAACTGTTACTATCAATGGCAACCCTGGGTAACTGTATCCCTACTGTGTGACCGGTACTAATAATTTTAGCTCACTACCAAATCAGTTAGGAACAACACAAAAATTCCACTCACAAGGTTTGAGGATCACGTTGGATACAAAGATTGGAAAGCTCACCAGTGGGATCAAGAGTTGGATCAGCTGCTGGCGCGGGTTTTGGAACCGAGCGACACTTCGTTAGAAGATTTGGCGCGGGTACCCATTCCGAGCGACGCGTTGCTACACTCTTGTCTCGAGGCGAGCCTCACCGGTCAATGGATCCAATTGAGTTCATACTATGTGAAGAAGATCACTTAACAGTATTGCCATGCTTCAGAACATTACACCACTACATCTCTACCACCTGTTATCCACAAACATCTCAATTGAAAGTCAATCGTTGGCCCTACATCCCATGGCTTCTTTTAGGACCCATGGAAGGTCTTTGATGGAACATCGAGCTATACTTATGGTTTAATGTTTCAATTCAGAGACAACAGACTGCATATATATGGCAGTCCCAATATAGTGTGTCTGTGACTATATGGGGCTGCCATATATATGTGGCAAAATGCAGGGGGGGGCAGACACCTTGCATTTTGCCAATGAAAAGGGGTGGTAGCGTTGCAACGATGTTCGTCGGTTCGAAAAAGTGCTGTACCTCCCCTCCGCCGCATACGGCGGCGTCATAGCGCTCCCCTCCGCTGCTAATGGCAGAAGCAATGCATACTTCCTCCGCTGCGGTTGCAAATTTGGCAGGGCCCTCCCTCCGCCGCAAATGCAGCAAAAGTGAGGATCCCCTCCGCCGCAACTGGCAGCGTCAATATGCTTCACTCCCGCCGCAATGGTGAAAGGTTTGCATACCTCCTCCGACGCGGTTGCAAATTTGGCCGAGATTCCTCTCCGCCACAACCGGCAGCGTCAATATGTCTCACCTCCACCATAATGGCAGCGTCAGCGAGCCCCCCTTGTCCCCTCGATAGGCCACAAATGAGGGTCACCGCTTTCTATCGCAAATGATGGTATATGGTGACCCTCGCTCCCTTCTGAAAACAATGTCATAACAGGTGGACCACAAGAAAAGGCTAAGAACTTATGGAGAACCACTTTCCATGTCTTGACGAATTGATTGATTGTAAGATAGGCCGGCACTCCCTCGGATGTGACCAATATCAACCACACACAGAACCGCTTGAATCAAGTGGACAGTACACTCAAGTGGAAACCGCCAGAAACACTGGGGCGACCCCCAATTGAAACAAACAGGTAAGAGCAGCAAGTTTCTGAATTATCGAGACCAACACAACGAGCAGAGAAGACACTGAACTCGTTGTTCGATCCCCAAAATTGCAGATTAAAACTTCCTTGGCGTCTCGAGCTCAACATGTCAGAACGGAAGCATTCGGGTAAGTGGTGTGATTAGGTAACCGCCCCACAGACCATGCTTTGGCAGTGTCAAGCCGAATAACGCCCAGGCGCTCCCACAATATTGATCCAACTAGAGTTACATCTTCGTGTTCAACGAAAAACATCTCGATCGTGCTCACCAATCATCATAGTCAGCAATCAACACAAACCATATAGCGGACAGAGAAGACACATGAACCCGCCATATAGAAATGCAATTGACAGCGTCAAATAAGGACACGGAGCTCGACTGATTTGCGCTCAAAGAACCCCAAAGATGGGTGAAGAAGTAATCACTTGAAGACCGAACCACAGGATCAAACAGAGAGCTTGAAAACTCATATTCTGGTAATGGCGCCAAAAGAAGAAGATGGCAGTCAGTGATCAAGTGGTGTCAAACAACTTCGCGGCGGACGGGGAGTCTTGATAACTTGGGACCCCTTTTCTAACAACGTTAGCATGACTCAATTGATGTGACTTTATCCTTAACCGGGCGCTGTTTGTCATTGAACGCAAACAGCAGAATGATGAACTAAAGAATTCAAAGGTAAGTTAAATTTGATCGCCAGCGCCAATTAGTACATACATGGTATTAGCGCGCCGCTCATCTGCAATCGATTTGGAAAATAATTATTCAATTTTTACACCGCCATGGATGCCATCGCAGACAGAGCGTTCGCAGACACGCAGGCAAATCCTCACAAGCTTGTCGACGAAACACCATCTTCTCTTGCAGTGGTACTCGATATAAATCCTCTGGAATGGCGCAAACTGGAAGAATCTGGATCCATTAATCTGAGACAGGTTGTGTCTTCCGTTATTGTGATGCTGAATTCGCATCTTTCGTTGAACAGCTCAAACCAAGTGGCTCTATATGTTGCAAACAGTTACTCACACGGAGCACAGTTGATATACCCACATCCTGATTCAACAGTGTCTTCTAGATTTTTACACACACCTGGAATGTACCGACAATTTCGATTTATTGACGGTTCGATAGTGGACCAGATTAGTCACATTTTAAGCGAACAACCAGAGACTCTGGAGCAGCTTGTTGGTCGCGATCCAAAAAACCAGCATGTGAAGGGAACTTTAGCTGGTGCCATTTCGATGGCACTATGTCACATCAACAAGTTACAGCAATCAGACGAGCTCAACGCCTTGAACTCGCGTATCATGGTGGTGAGTATCAGTGATGATAGCACCTTACCATACATTTCTGTCATGAACGCCATTTTTGCGGCACAGAAGATGAAAATATCTGTTGATGTTTGCAAACTTGGTCCGAGCTCCACATTTCTTCAACAGGCAGCAGACGCAACTAATGGAGTGTACATCTACATTACCCAACCGAGCGGACTGATACAGTATCTGACTACGGCGCTATTTATTGATCCGATGTTGCGTCCTATTATTGTACTACCTACTGACGAAGCAATTGACTTCAGAGCGTCGTGTTTCATCACAAACAAAGTCATCGACGTGGGATACGTGTGCTCGGTGTGTCTCTGCATATTAAGTATAATTCCTGACGACGAGAAGTGTCCAACATGTCATTCGAAGTTTGATCACAATTTGATCACCAAGTTGAAGAGAAAACCTAAAGCACTTCCGCTAAAGAAGAAGACTAAAGAATAAGCCGATTCGCGACGCTAGAGATCTGCGATTTCAACCGGTGGAGACTTACTCTTCCTTGGCAACAGGTGGCTTAATCCGGGCCTGCGGATTGACTCCTGGGAAGACCAAGTCCATGTAACTGCTTCCGAGTGCGATAAGAGCAAAGAACAGCTTGAAAAGAGCTGGCTGGGAATCGTCATCACTAGGTTTGATGAGCGGCTCGTTCAAGTAAGCCTGGACGGCTAGGAAAACACAGGACCATGCCAGAGGCTTGTTTCTCATGAACATGGCCACCATTGGGAGGTTCTGGGAGGCGAAGGCCGTTGCCGAGTTGCGGGGCTTGACCGGCACGTGGACGTATCTTGAGGTTAGCAGGTTGTTGGGAACAAACTTACGGTTTTATCAGCTCTGGTCTTTTAAGATCTTTAGCCATTTTCAACTGGACGATAAATAAATAATTTCGACGATATCGAAAGTGGAGGCCAATTTTGCCTCGGAGGAGCACGTGATTCGTGCATCACGTGACCGCAATTTTATACACTAAAAAAATAATTTCCCACTTTGAGACTTTAGTAAGCCTGACTCGTTCACCAAGAAAAAAAATACAAGGGGGTTCGTTTAGTGAAAAAAAAACTGATGGGTTTATTGTTTGAGGATTATTAAGAAAACCCTTGAAACAAGCACTCAGTTTATCTCGATCTATTTACCGGACGTTTTCACCACACGAAAGAGGACTGGTATTGATTTTTTCTAAATAGACGATACGTCGCAAACGTTCTTTTTCCACTCGTGTCTTAGTGAATTTCCCACCAGTCAATTGGGTTTTTGGCGTCAAGTGAATTGTATTTCACCAGCACAGCATTTTCGACTCGGAACAACCACTATTTGAGCGCTAGTTAACGAGCGCTTGCCATTGATAACAGCATTTTCAACCAAGGTGGACCAAGTTCACATATTTAATTTCCCAAGCAGCATTTAGAACCTTCTCATGGCTTCCAAGACTGCGAGTGTTTGCGCCTATTTGGCGCGTGTCTGTGCAAACAGACCGATTCATTTCATCATCAGTACCGCGCTTGTTGCGTCGATCACGTACCTGTCGATTTTGGACCACTATGCTACCAGCTTGAACGCTGATTCATCCAAACCCGTGTCATTTTACCATCCGTCGGGATCTTCCGACTACAACAAGTGGGTCCAGGTGGAGAATCTATCAGACTATGACTCCATCGACCATTATGCACTGACCCCTATAAAATTCAAACGCGTGGGCGACTCCAGCCTGCCGGTGTATGACAATATGATTGTTGGAATGGAGGAAAACGAGAAAATCTTGGTTTCTGACTACTCCTCCACCGATTCATTGTACGAACAACTCGAGACCCTGAGTGGATCCCACGACACTGAGTTCAAGCTCAGAAGTTCCCATCGCATTGGAAGATACTACGAGTACATCAAGTCTCTTTTCTCCAAAGTGGGAAGCCTCATCAAGGGAGCAGAACCATTTGACATCATCTTGGTCACCGTGGCTTATGGTGCCATGTGGTTCACCTTTGCCCAGCTTTTCTTCGAGATGAAGAAATTGGGATCCAATTTCTGGCTTGCGTTTGGCTCGCTTCTTTCTTCTGGTATCGCATTCCTGTTTGCTCTTGCCATTGGAACCACCTTGCTTAACTTGAAAGTTCCTTTAATCTCGTTGAGCGAAGGTCTGCCATTTTTGGTTGCAACCATTGGGTTCAAGCACAAAATTGCATTCACCGCCCCAGTGTTGAAAGCCTTGAATTCGCGGTCTGGAAACGACGTTCCTCAGGTCATTTCCGACGTTGTCAAGTTCCAGACGGCAATCCCTCTGATTAAGGACCAATCGATCATCATCGCTTGTTTCCTGCTCTGTTCCATCCTGGCCCCTAACCTCACTGGACTGGTCAACTTCTGTGTGATGTCTGCTCTTATTCTTGCAGTCGATTTGTTTTTCACCTTCACCTTCTACTCCTCAATTCTCTCCTTGAAAGCCCAAATCAACAAGGTTCACAAGGAGATCGAGCTGAAGCAGTTCTTGGAAGAGGATGGAATCGACGAGACTGTGGCAGAACGTGTTGCTTCATCGACAGAGTTGACAACCGATCTTTTCCACCACGACAGCAGCATTGTCAGCTTCAAGGTGGCCATGATTGTTGGATTCATTTCTCTCCATCTGTTTGCACTAGGAACTTCGTGGTTGTACGATGATTCTGCTGACTACGAACCTGTGAACTTGTTTTCCACTTTCTCGCCAACCTTGTCCAAATCTGTTGCTCTTAATGTTCCTATCGGAAAACATGGTACTCTTGTCACTGTGATGCCAACAAGAATCTACAGCAAGGTTGATCTGTTCACCCAAGCTGAAGACTTTGCATTCCACATCTTCGGAAGAATGTCTACCGCAATTTCTGATCCATTGGTTGGAAAGTTCCTTTTTGTTCTTGCCGGAATCAGTGTGTCGATCAACATCTATCTTTTGAATGCTACCAATGCTCACTTGACCGAGACTCACGCAGTGAAGAAGGCCGAGAAAAAGAGAGAGAAGATCGAGAGAAGTAAGGTGGCTAACATTCCAAAACCAGCAGCTCCTGTTGTGATTCCAAGATCTTCCAACTCCAGTTCAGACGATATCAAGGAAGCGCAGATTATTGATGAGAGCCTGAGTGACGATCAATCTAGCAGCGACGTTGACTCTGTCGAGAGCAAGGCCGTGGGACCAAAGCGCAGCATTGAAGAGCTCGCTGAGATTCTGAAGGCTGGAAACGTGAAAGAGTGTACCGATGACGAGGTTGTTGAGCTTGTGACAACAGGCAAACTTCCATTGTATGCTTTAGAAAAACAATTGGTGAACAAGACCCGTGCCGTTGTGGTGCGTAGAAAAGCCATTGCCAAACTTGCCGATGCTCCTGTGTTGAACACCACCAAGCTCCCATGGAAGCACTACGATTACGACCGTGTGTTTGGAGCCTGTTGTGAAAACGTCATTGGATTCATGCCATTGCCTGTTGGTGTGGCCGGTCCTATGATCATCGACAAGGTGCCATACCACATTCCAATGGCCACCACTGAAGGATGTCTGGTTGCATCGACCATGAGAGGTTGCAAAGCAATCAATGCCGGTGGCGGTGTGCAGACTGTGTTGACCAACGACGGAATGACCAGAGGTCCATGTATCTCGTTTCCAACATTGGCCCGTACCGGTGCAGCCAAGATCTGGCTGGACTCTGAGGAGGGACAGAAGGTGATGAAGAGCGCGTTCAACTCGACCTCGAGATTCGCCAGATTACAGCATTTGCAGACTGCCATGGCTGGTACGTTGCTATTTATTAGATTCAAGACCACCACGGGAGATGCCATGGGAATGAACATGATTTCTAAGGGTGTTGAGTACGCTTTGAACTACATGGTCAAAGAGTGCGGATTCGAGGACATGGAGGTGATTTCTCTTTCTGGAAACTACTGTACAGATAAGAAGGCTGCTGCCATCAACTGGATTGAGGGCCGTGGTAAGAGCGTTGTTGCCGCTGCGATTGTTCCTGCCGACGTTGTGCGCAAAGTGCTCAAGTCGGATGTGGATGCCCTTGTGGAACTGAACGTTTCCAAGAACCTGATTGGGTCTGCCATGGCTGGATCTGTTGGTGGATTTAATGCGCATGCTGCCAACCTGGTGACTGCTGTCTACCTTGCTACGGGACAAGACCCTGCGCAGAACGTGGAGAGTTCGAACTGTATCACGCTCATGAGCAAGCTTGCGAACGGGGATTTGCAAATTTCTGTCTCGATGCCATCGATCGAGGTTGGAACCATTGGTGGAGGAACTGTTTTGGAGCCCCAGGGAGCCATGCTGGAGCTTCTCGGAGTCCGTGGCCCACACCCTACGGAGCCAGGAGCCAATGCGCGCCAACTGGCCAAGATTGTTGCCTCTGCAGTGCTTGCTGCCGAGCTGTCGCTGTGCTCAGCACTTGCGGCCGGTCACCTTGTGCAGTCGCACATGACACACAACAGAAAGGCTCCTGCTGCGGACGGTGCTGCCACGGCCACTTCCTCTGCTCCCGACGTGAAACGGCTTCAGGAAGGGTCCAAGATTTGCATTCGGTCCTAAATTATTTTGCTAGACATGTATTGCTAATGTTTTTGTCAAATCTGTACCCCGGAACGTTTTTTCTGGAATTAAATAGAAAAGCAACTCAGCACAAAAACATCAGCACATTTTCATTTTCATCTCATATTGCTGTATATTCAGGATGAGTCGTATAGAGCCGTCTGATTTCGATTCTGCGCCTATCAAGGTGAGCGGTCGGATATTGAACTGCATGACTCAATTGCCCAACCAGATTTATAAAACAAAGAATGACGAGTGGGATCTCAAGCCTTTACGGGGCAGTTCTGCGTTGCATGCGTCGAACTCGTTCCTGAGCGAGCACACCAAGTGGGAGCCGCACTTGATTGCGTGGACGGGGGAGCTATTTTCGTACAACGAGAACATCCCTCACTCCATCCCCACCAACCAGTCAATTGAGAACGATCCGCTTTATTTGAGCGAGGAGGACAAAACAAGGGTCACCGAAAAGATCCACGAGGCCAACAACGATAAAAACATCCATCCCGTGTGGCTGTTGCGGAAAGACCAGGAAAGATGGAGAAAGTACGCAGAAAACGTTATCTGGCCGATTTTCCACTACATGCAGCCGGCTCCCAGTGACGGCCGCGAGGAGGAGCAATGGTGGCACGACTACGTCAAATTCAACGAGGCCTACGCCGCCAAGATCAAGTCCATCTACCAGCCGGGCGATATTATCTGGATCCACGACTATTACTTGCTGTTGTTACCGCAGATTTTACGTATGGAGCTTCCACAGGCGTACATTGGACACTTTTTGCATCTGCCATTCCCATCGTCGGAGTATTTCCGTTGTTTGAGTAAGCGGAAGCTGTTGCTGGACGGGATCCTGGGTGCCAACCAGATTGGGTTCCAGAACCACTCGTTTGCTCGTCATTTCATCAGCTGCTGCGCCCGTCTTCTTGGGTACGAGGTGACTCCCGACAGCGTGCACATCCACTCTTCTATGGTGAAGATTGTGACGTTGCCATTGGGAATCGACGTGGCCAAGTTCGAGCATGACGCGTTCACCGAGCACGTCGAGTCAAAGGTGCAGACACTCAAGCAGCTCAATGGCAACCGCAAGATCATCATAGGCAGAGACCGGCTGGACTATGTGCGTGGAGTGGTGCAGAAACTGCAAGCGTTCGAGATGTTCCTGGAGATCCATCCTGAATGGGTCGGGAAGGTGGTTCTGATCCAGGTTTCTTTCAAGCCGTTCTACCATAGTTCCAAGCTGGACAAGCAGGTGAACGAGCTGGTGGCCAACATCAACGCCAAGTACGGCTCGCTCGACTACACGCCGGTGCAGAACTACAACATGCGTGTCAACAGAGACGAGTATCTAGCTCTGCTGCGTGTGGCAGACCTGTGTCTGATCACGTCTGTGAGAGACGGAATGAACACGACTGCTCTGGAGTACATTGTTTGTCAGAAGGAGACCAAGTCGCCGCTGATTTTGTCTGAATTCAGCGGGGGAGCCAGTATTTTGCAGGACTGTGTGCAGGTCAACCCGTGGGACTCTGTTGGGGTGGCCAACTCAATCAACGAGTGTTTGCTGATGCCCGAGGACGTCAAGACGGAGATTGAGACCAAGCTTTACCAGTCTGTGTCGCAGAACACAAACCAGGACTGGACGTGTCATTTCCTGCAGAACCTGATGGAAATCGTGGTGAAACTGAACTCGAAGCACGGCACGCCGTATTTGAACAAACCAAAGCTGTTGAAACGGTACAACCAGGCGAAACACCGGCTGTTCCTGTTCGACTACGACGGTACTTTGACGCCGATTGTGCGGGACCCGAACGCGGCCATCCCGTCTGCGAAACTGACCGGTATATTACAGGAGCTGGTGGCCGACCCGAAGAACGAGATCTGGATCATCAGCGGCCGGGACCAGGAGTTTCTGGAGAAATGGATCGGGTCGCAGTTCCCGCAGATCGGACTCAGTGCAGAGCACGGCTGTTTCATGAAGAAAGCCGGCGAGAAGGAGTGGATCAACCTGACCGAACGCTACGAGATGTCGTGGCAGGACGACGCGGTCGAGCTCATGAAGCACTACACGGAAAGAACGCCCGGCTCATTCGTCGAGAAGAAGAAGGCTGCGGTGGTGTGGCACTACCGTAAAGCGGATCCAGAGCTGGGCATGTACCAGGCTGCCAAGTGCAAGGCGGAGCTGCTGTCGAGAATGGCGTCGCTGGACGTGGAGGTGATGTCCGGCAAGGCTAACGTGGAGGTGCGTCCATCGTTTGTGAACAAGGGAGAGATAGTCAGACGGCTGGTGCTGAACTCGGACCCGTTCGACGGCAAGAAGCGCGACTTTAACGACATTCCGGACTTTATCATGTGTTTGGGAGACGACACCACGGACGAGGACATGTTCAAGGTGCTGAACTCTGTGGAGCAGGACTGGATGGACCACGGGCATGTGGCCAAGGACGGCAACTCGGGGGTGTTCCCTGTGACGGTGGGGCCGGCCAATAAGGAAACGGTTGCAAAAGCGTACCTTGCGGACCCGCGCCAGGTGTTGGACACTCTGGGACTGCTGGTGGGCAAAGTTTCGTTGTTTGACACGGCGGGCACAGTGGAGCTGGACGACCGCGGCCACCTCAAGGACAGTGAGAGCGCGTTGCGCTCGCAAAAGGCCCGTTTGGCGTACACCGCGGGGCGCTGATCACGTGACCCCGCGGATTTGAGTTATCTGCGCAGCCTGGGAAAATAAATTATATATTGCTCTTTAGATAGGATACAAAAACAATAGACGGCCAACTGGCAAGAAGATTCCAGATTCCCGTTCCATACTGCGCTAGATCCCGGTGACTTTGAGATTGTGCGGCTGAACCGAACAATTTAGAACAATTTGGCTAATTGCGTACAGATTCCGCGGATTCCGGACAGATGACAGAACCCTTTCCGAATCCGGCCCAGTCGGGGCAAACGGGGTTGCAAGAAGACTATGTTTCCAATCTTCTTGCCTCCAACAGGTCTCGCAAGCCTTCTTTAGCGTACGGAAGTATAAGTGATAATGAGCCTCCTCTGAGACGGTCGAGGAGTTTGACAGAATCCATTACCAATTCGATGATCACGGCCACCAATGCTACCTGGCGCCAGATCCAACGGCGGAGGTTCTTGTCTGTGTGTGTGTTTGGGTGTTTCATCATGGTTGTGTTCAACTTGATCTTTTTGCCCCGCACCTCTTTGGACAGAGACCTGCGTCGTTTGCATGGCGAGTACCTTACGTTTGATGATTGTTCAAGGTTGTTTTTGACCCAGTTGAATTTTAAGAACAACGCAAAGAGCTACATGGAGCTTTTGGAGGAGGACGTCCATCTTCCGGGCGAAAACCACGAGTCTATCCAGACCTATTTCAAAACGCACTTTAATTTCAAGACATACACTGACAAATACGAGACCTGGGTGAACAAGCCCGTGAAAACAGGGCTCAAGCTGGTCAATTCGGCCGGCCACGTCACGTACGAGGCCCGTCTCAAGGAGAGCGAGCTGCTCTCGTTCCATCCGTATTCTGCAAACGGCACAGTGAGCGCAAACTTTGTGTTTCTGAATTACGGGCTCGAGCAAGATTACCAGGCAATAGAGGAACAGAACGTTCGTGTTGACGGGCTGATTGGCATTGTTCGTCGTGGAGGCGCGTCTGTGGACTACAAGATCGAGCTGGCGCAGACGCACGGCGTCGCTGCGGTGCTGGTTTACTCAGACCCGCAAGACGACGGAGAATACACCAAGCAGCACGGCTACGAGCCGTTCCCCAAGGGTCCGGCCAGGAACCCGGGCAACGTGGACAAGGAGTCGGCGAGCTTTGTGGCAAGACAGCCGGGCGACCCCAGCACGCCTGGCTGGTCGTCCACGCTGTTCGCACACCGCGTGGACCCTGACACCATCCCCAAGATTCCGTCGCTGCCGTTGAGCTACGACGATATCGAGCCGATCCTGCGCTCGCTGGAGGGCCCAAGTCTCGGCTGGACAGGCGGGCTCGACTTCTCGTACTCGTGCGGCCCCTCCACAGACACGCTCGAGCTGGAGAACCAGGTGGAGTACAAGATCCGGCCGATTTACAACATTGTGAACGAGATTCCCGGGGTGATCAAGGACGAGGAGCTGATCATCGGGGCGTCGCGCGACTCGATCGGCGGGCTCGGCGGCGCCAGCAACGGACACGCCGCCATGATGGAGCTCGCACGCGGGTTTGACGAGCTGGTCAAGTTTGGCTGGAAACCGTTGCGCACCATCAAGCTGGTCTCCTGGGACGGCTCGAGCTACGGCCTGCTCGGGTCAACCGAGTACGCCGAGTTCTACTCGAACAAGCTCAGCAAGAACAACCTCGTGTACGTGAACTTGGACAGAATCAACGGGTCCAAGCTGCGGTTGCAGAGCCACCCGCTGTTCAACAACCTACTGCTCCAGGTGATGAAACAGGTGATGGTGGACACGGATCACACGCTGTTCGAGTACTTCACCGAGAAAAACTCCACGCTGGGGCTGATCTCGAGCGAAATGGGCGACTACTCGGTGTTCCAGACGTTCTTGGGCATCCCGTCGCTCAACATTGGGTTTGAGAACGACCCGGCCCGCGACCCGGTGCCGTACTACAACTCGCTCTCGGATTCGGTCAAGTGGTACAACACGCTCGACCCAGACTGCACGTACCCAAGCGTGGTGGCTCAGTTTGTCGGGCTACTGGTGCTCAACTTGAGTGAAAAGGAAATTTTGCACGTTAAAACTTACGACTACATTGCCGAGATATACCGCCATTACACGGACCTGATCCAGCGCGTGCCGGAGTACTGGCTCGAGCGGATCTTTGACGACGACACAAACGAGCGGCTGAACACGAGACTCGCCGAAACAGACACCCAGTTCAAGACGTTGCTCAAGAAGGGCCAACGGTTCGACGCCAGTCTCAAGACGCTGCAACGGCAGATCCGACTCGCGTTCCCGTGGTTCCGACTGCTGACCAAGATCAAGATCGCAGTCAAGTCGAAGGTGGCCAACCTCAAGGTGCGGTCGCTGGACAGGGTGTTTGTTGCGGAGCAGGTCGTGAAGGACCGCAAGTGGATCCGACACTCTGTGTTTGCGCCGTCGCGAGACGGCCGCGCGGCCAGCGTGCTGCCCGGTCTGCACGAGGCGCTCGACACCGCGAGCTACGACGAGTTCGTTGCCAGCCTCGCGTCCATCAACGACTCGCTCGCCAAACTGCATAGCAAACTCTCATAACTTTGATACCAACTTCGTGCGCGTCGATCGACGCGTCTCTTCTTTTTAGCAACAGGTAGTTTTCGAGAATGAAAAATTAAACTTAAACCACATCCACCATGTTCAAAAGAGCTTTCTCCACCTCGCGTGCCAACCTTGTCAAGTGCTATTTCGACATCGCCATCAATGGCGAGAAACAGCCTCGTGTCGTGTTTGACCTGTACGACAAGGTCGTTCCAAAGACCGCCGAGAACTTCAGAGCACTGTGTACCGGCGAGAAGGGCTTTGGATACAAGGACTCCATTTTCCACAGAGTGATTCCTAGCTTCATGTTGCAGGGTGGAGACATCACCCACTTCAACGGGTACGGCGGCCGGTCGATCTACGGCGAGCGGTTTGCCGACGAGAGCTTCGAGAAGAAGCACTCCAAGCCGGGTTTGTTGTCCATGGCCAATGCCGGTCCAAACACCAACGGATCGCAGTTCTTCATTACCACGATCCCATGTCCATGGTTGGACGGTGCCCACGTTGTTTTCGGCGAGGTTGTCGAGGGATACGACACCACCGTCAAGAAGATCGAGAGCATTGGCTCCGACTCCGGCCGTGTTGCTGGCGAGGTCAAAATCGTTGACTCTGGCGAGTTGAAGGAATAATTGTTTGTTAATAGTTGAATCACGAAGTTGATGTATGTTTGGTGTAGCGTTGGCGATCAGCCGCTTGAGACGGGCGGGATCACCCCGACAACGTCGCCGTCGCGTAGCAGCACGTCCTTGCCGAACGTGGCGACCGTCTCGCGCCCGCAGTCCACGTAGTCCTCGTTCACCACGACTCCGCAGGAACTCACCACGTACTCTGCAAACTCGCGCGTGTGGGCGGCCGCCATGTGCGCCACCACGTCTGCCAACGTCGGCGTGTCGCCCAGACGTACAGTCTCGCTCTTGCGTCCATTTGTGTGCAGTTTCGCAGGCCCGAAATACTCAACTTGCACCTCCACCATACTTTTCAAAATAAATATTATTTGCAGCACCGATTTCCGTGAAAAGCAACTACTTTTCCGAGTCCTGGTCGACCAGGTCGTCCGGCGACTCCTGTTGCAGTCCACGCAGTAGTTCCTGGCGCTTGGCCTCCTTTTTCTCACTAAACACCTGGAACACTGCGTGCGAGCTCATGAACGTGGACGCTTGCAGCTCGCCAAACTTCTTGATCGACCGGAACTGCGTCGCCGTCTTGTCGCACAGTTTGCTCATGTACAGCAGGTTGCGCTGGAGCTCGTTGAGCTGGTGGTTGAGGTGCTGGATCTGGCGTTCTCTGGTGGACATTGTGTTGTTGTGGGAAGAATAAAAATATCGCGTCGCGCAAATTATTTCGGTGGGGCAGAGCTGGGGGAGCTGAAGCACGACACCGCCGAGTGCATCAGCGACGAGTCCTGCGACTCAAGTGGGTCTGACACAGTGTGTGGCGGGGCCTCGGGCTGCGTGTCGCCCGACGCGTTGACGGCCGCGAGCTCCAGCTGGCGAGAGATATCAGAGGGTTGTTCGTCCATCACAGAGAACGGGTCGAGGTAATTTGCCTGAGCAAGGGCCGGTGGGTTTGTGTTGGCTTTGAAAACGGTGATCGAGACGCGGTGAAGTGCGGTGTTGAGGGATCCGCAATTCTGCAGCTCAAACTGGCCGTCTACGAGCAGTTTGTTGCAAATGGTAGCAGGCTCAAATAGACGGCCAGGGTCTGTTTCTGTCGACCCCGCAAATTGCATCGACATGGCACAGGTGTTCTTTGCACGGGGCATTCCTTGAACAAACACAAACAAACGTCGTAGCAGGGAATACAGCTGGGTATTTGTATTTTCGTGGTGGATGGAGGAGACATTGCCCAATTCAAATAAATATGCCTCGTTTGTGTTGTGCGAGGACGGCTCTCCAACAAACAAACACAGACCAGACAACGAGCCGCTGAGGATACTGGCAGAAGCGGCTTCTAGCCAGTCCAGTATCAGGTCTGCTCTCTGGGAAACCCCCCTTTTCAACACCTTCACCTTTAAGATTCCTGCCTCGCACACAACCCGGTCGTTGTCAAAGTAAGTCTCGGAAAGGAACCCGCGCAGATACACGATACTGGATACAGCCAGTGTCAAGAACACCAACAAAGGCTCATCGGTATGGTTCGACATCAAGATGGGTGGGGACGTTTTTTTTTTTTACAAGTGGGAACTAAAACCCAGACACGGCTCTCCACATCTCAAACACACTCGCTGAAATAGCTATGGTGACGGCCATGGCAACGGCCAGATTGGGTGCGCATGTCAAACTATTTAGCTGACGTAATTTTCAACCTTGAAAAATATTGCCATGTTAGCTCGGTGGACGATGCCTTTGGCACGGACAGCGTTCCGTCAAAAACGATTTGCGTCTACTCCGAAGGAGGTGTTCACCAACATTGAGGATGAAAGTGACCCAAAAAGAGCGTCGCTTTTCGAGTACAGCTGGGGTTCCTGGCTCAAGGACGATGCTGCTGAAAAGGAAAAGAGACGCACCCAGTTCTCTATCAAGGGCCTCAACACTGTTCTTTCGAGCATCCTCAAGCCCTTTGAAGGGTCCGTCTTGGTGCAGCCTTCAAATAACGTGAACGTGATCAAGAGCAACCTGGATGTGCTGAAGGAAGGATTTTCACAGATCAAGCAAATTAGTTCGATTCACGAGGGAAAACACCACCGGATCTACAAGCTGCAATTGGACAACCAGGAGTCCAATCTGGTGCTGAGAATCCCATACTCGTTGGAGTCGCCGCTGTACACCGAGCGCAAGATCAAGTCTGAGGCTGCCACAATGGACTTCCTCACCACCAAGCTTGAACTGGACGTGCCTCGGGTGCTTGCGTACTCTGGTGTTGCTGATAACGTTCTGGGATGTCCTTTCATGTTGCTGGAGCACAAGGACGGCGACCTGTTGATGAAGAGCTGGAACCCATTGATTCCAGGAGCCATCAACGAGGAAAAGTCCAAAGAAGAGCTGATGAAGGTGATTTCTCCGATTGCCGAGTTCAACTCTAAAGTGCAAACCCCAACGTTCAACAGCTTTGGATCGCTCTACTTCAAGCAGGACGGGTTCAGCCACATCACTGAGGAACCTTACGAGGGAGAGTCCAACGAGGAGCTGAAAGGTAGATGGGTGATTGGTCCAACCGTTGAAAAGGCCTACTACAGAAACAAGGTTGTTCCGTCCGAAATCATTGACCAGCACGTTGGTCCATGGAAAAAAGAGGAGCCATTGAAGATGGTTTCTGATCTTGCCAACCTGGAGCTCGAGAATTTGAAGCAAAAGGGCCAGGAACAGGCGGTTGCCGTTTACGGGAAATTTGCTGCCGTTTCGGATAAACTGTTTGACTTGAAAAGCAAGAGCATTCCCAACTTGGAAGAACTGTTAGTTCCCCGGCTAAATGTTCCAGATTTGGACCCGATGAACGTTATTGTTGGGGAAAAGAAATGGTTTGTGGACTTTGAAGGATCCAGTATCAAGCCAACGTTGCTTACTCAATATCCGCGGTTTGTTCAATACAGCGGCCCCAAGATCTTTGACCTTGAAAACGATGTGGAAAACTACTCTGAACTGGACGAGCTGTCCAAGCAGCAGTACCAGTACATGTTCTACCGCACGCGGAACCAATTCTACTGGGAGTTGGGGCTAAACGAGGGGAATAAGAAATTACTGGGCATTATTTCACCGGCTGTGAAATTAATCAAAGGAGCATATTTAAGTGCCCTTGATTTAAAAGCAACCGAAGATTATCTGTATGTGGAAAATGGCCTTGTGGAGCTGAGCACAATGTGGCCTCATTACGAACGAAGTGCTATTGTCTTGGGAAAGAACCCGATCGAATTTACCGAGAAGGAGCTTGAATCACACGAGACATCATATCAGGAATACCAGGTACTCTTATCTTCAATGCCGTTTGCCGCCACCGGCGGCTGGATCCCGCAGGATATGTTTATCCGGCTGATTGAGCAGAAAATTCTTGTGCAAAAAGGCTCTGACTACGAGATTGATCGTGAGAAAATACTGCAATAGTAGGCACAGACTGGAATTTTCGAGCCGTTTGTATGGCAATATTATGTAACAATGCTAAGGCACCAATAATATCTGCTGCTGCTCCTGCTGCAAAAAAAAAAAAACAAAAAATGTCGGCAAAACGCCGCGGTCGAGGCGTTCACTACCCTGGATGTTGGGGCGACGATCTAGGGCGGTCTCAATTTTTGCACGGTTGGTGCCACACTAGACACACAAAGAACCAGCCCCGACTTCCCAAAAACGGCCCCAACAGAAACGTCGTCGTCCGTATGACTGAAGGCTATTCTGTTTGACGTGTGCTGCTTAAATTGCAATCTTGCAGATTCCTATTGTATTCATCTTCACTAATAGAAGGCTTTATATTCTGGTGCATAATCATACGGCATTTTTTTCTTCGGCTCTCTTACACATGACTGTGGCAAACTGCAGAAAAGGTTTCTTTTCCAGATAAGCTGATAAGATTTTCTTTACATACAATACCCTGGTCATTTAAATACCTTCACCTTCGCTTAAATTGTTGGAATCAAAAATGTCGTACTCGAAAGAAGCCAAATCTGATTTTGACACATCTGTGTCTCCAGTTCAGGTTACCGATGCTCCAGGTCAAGAGACTTCGAAAGGATGGTTTGGAAACTTGAAAGACTCTTTCAAACCAGCCCAAATGGAGGAGCTGGACCCAAATCTTTCCGACGTGGAGAAGGCAAACATCATGGCTGCCAAATCTCCTCTTCAAAGATCCCTTAAGCCAAGACACATCCAGATGATCGCTTTGGGTGGTTCTATCGGTACCGGTTTGTTCGTTGGTTCAGGTTCCGCTCTGAGTACCGGTGGACCGGCCGCCTTACTGATTGCTTGGGGTTTGGTCGGTATCATGATCTACTGTACCGTGCAGGCCATGGGAGAGTTGACTGTTACCTATCCTGTTTCCGGTTCGTTTGTCCAGTACAACACTAGATTCATCTCTGCCCCATGGGGTTTCTGTATGGCCTACAACTATGCCATGCAGTGGTTGGTTGTTTTGCCTTTGGAATTGGTGGCCGCTTCGATCACCATCAAGTTCTGGAACGATAAAGTTAATTCTGCAGCTTGGGTTGCAATCTTCTACGTGGTTATTGTCATCATCAACTTTTTCGGTGTGAGAGGTTACGGTGAGGCCGAGTTGATTTTCGCTTTAGTTAAGGTTCTCGCAGTCATTGGATTCATCATCCTCGGAGTTATTCTTAACTGTGGTGGTGGTCCAAAGGGTGGCTACATCGGTGGCCAGTACTTCTACAATCCAGGAGCTTTTGCTGACGGTTTCAAGGGTGTCTGTGCCGTGTTTGTCACTGCTGCTTTCTCCTTTGCCGGTACCGAGCTCTGTGGTTTGGCTGCTGCCGAGACCGCTAACCCAAGAAAGTCTCTTCCTTCTGCTATCAAGCAGGTCTTCTGGAGAATCACCCTCTTCTACATCATCTCGCTTACCATGGTTGGTTTGCTCGTTCCTTACGACGACCCAAGACTTTTGAGTTCCAGTTCCGTCGACGCTGCTGCCTCTCCTTTCGTCATTGCTATCAGAAACGGAGGTATCAAGGTCCTTCCTTCTATCATGAACGTTGTCATCATGATTGCCGTGTTGTCTGTCGGTAACTCTTCCGTCTACGCTTGTTCTAGAACCATTGCTTCTCTTGCTCAACAATCCTTCGCCCCAAAGATTTTCGGCTACATTGACAGATCCGGAAGACCACTTGTCGCAGTCATTTTGTGTTTGGTCTTCGGTCTGCTCTGTTTCCTTGCCGCTTCTCCAAAGGAAGGAGACGTCTTCAACTGGTTGCTTGCTCTTTCCGGTCTCTCCTCGGTCTTCACCTGGGGATCCATCTGTTTCTGTCACATCAGATTTAGAAGAGCCCTTGCAATCAGAGGAAGAGGCCCAGACGAACTTGTTTTCACTGCTCAGGCCGGTGTTATTGGTTCTTGGTTCGGATTTATCCTGAACGTTTTGATTTTGATTGCTCAATTCTGGATCGCCCTGTTCCCTATTGGAGGTAAGCCAAACGCATCCGACTTCTTCATGGCCTACTTGACCGTTCCAGTCTTGATTGCATTCTACACCTTCTACATGATCTGGAAGAAAGACTTTACCATTTTCCACCGTGCTGCCGATATCGACGTCGATACCGGAAGAAGAGACTTCGACCTCGACCTTGTCAAGCAGGAGGTTGCCGAGGAGAAGGCTTTCCTCGCTGCCAAGCCATTCTATTACAGAGTGTACAAGTTCTGGTGTTAAAAACGTTGTTGTCGCGAGACTAATTTACCGTTGCCGTATAAAAGGCACCAATTTTTGAGCCGCATATATATCTATTTTATGTAATGTTGAAAAATACGTCACATTGTTTTCGAATCTGTCGGGCTTCTGGTCATTCGCCGCTAAGCGCAATGGGGCACAAGCTCGCGTGCGCTCCGTGATTTGTTGTCTGGAGAGCTGATATGGATTTACCGCGAAACCCCTCTTGCTGCATCTAGTAATTCTACTGCGGAAGATTTTTTTTTCGCTATTATGCTTGTTACTTTTTGACGTGAAGGCCGATCTCGTTTCTTGTTATAAGATAGCATTGGAGAAGAAAGTTTAAAACTTTTCTTTCAACTTTGCAATGCTCAAACAGGACGAAGAAAAGTTCCCCATCGAGCAGACTTTTTCTGACCATTCGGTGGGGGCCATTGAGGAAACCTCCAAAGGTGGGTGGAGCAATTTTATTGATTCGTTCAAGCCACTCCCGCAAATTGAGGTTGACCCAAATTTATCGGACATCGAGAAAGCAAACATCCTGTCGGCCAAGTCGCCGTTGCAGAGATCCCTTAAATCCAGACATATCCAGATGATCAGTATTGGAGGAGCCATAGGTACCGGTCTGTTTGTTGGTTCAGGTTCCGCACTGTCCTCAGGAGGTCCTGCATCTCTGCTTATTGCATATTTCATCACAGGAATCATGATTTTCTGCACGGTCCACGCGCTAGGAGAGCTTGCAGTCACCTTCCCCGTTTCCGGGTCGTTCAACCAATACAATAGTAGATTTGTGTCTCCTTCCTGGGGATTCGCCATGGCCTGGAACTACGTCATGCAGTGGATTGTCACGTTGCCTCTGGAATTGGTGGCTGCATCCATCACTATCAAATTCTGGAACAGCAAAATTAACTCGGCTGCATGGGTCTCTATCTTCTACGTGCTTATCGTCGGAATCAACTTCTTTGGCGTCAAGGGCTACGGTGAGGCCGAATTTATATTTTCCCTGATTAAGGTGATTGCGGTTGTCGGGTTTATTATTTTATCTGTGATTCTTGTGAGTGGGGGTGGCCCATCCCATGAGGTCATTGGAGCCCGCTACTGGCATGATCCAGGTCCGTTCCATTCGGGATTCAAAGGTCTTTGTACCGTGTTTGTCACCGCTGCATTCAGTTTCAGTGGTACAGAGCTCTGCGGTTTGACTGCAGCAGAGACCGAAAACCCGAGAAAGACTCTGCCAAGAGCCACCAAACAGGTCTTCTGGAGAATCACCCTGTTCTACCTTGTTTCGCTTACAATGGTGGGATTCCTCGTTGGCTACAACGACGACCGTCTTTTGGGAAGCTCCTCCGTCGACATCGCCTCGTCTCCGTTCGTCATCGCCATTAGAGACAACGGAATTAAAGTGCTGCCTACCATCATGAACGTTGTCATTTTGGTAGCTGTGCTTTCTGTCGGAAACTCTGCTGTCTTCGCAAGTAGCAGAACCATCGCTTCCCTGGCGCAACAGGGATTCGGTCCCAAATGGTTTGGCTACATCGACAGAGCAGGAAGACCGCTTGTTGGTGTTGGTATCACTCTGCTTGTTGGACTGCTGTGTTTCCTGGCTGCTTCCTCCAAACAGGACGAAGTGTTCACATGGTTGATGGCTCTGTCTGGTTTGTCCTCGATCTTCACTTGGGGCTCCATCTGCTTCTGTCACATCAGATTCAGAAGAGCTCTGGCTGTTAAGGGAAGAGGAACAGACGAGCTACCATTCACTAGCGGAGCAGGCATTTGGGGATCTTATTTCGGAACTCTGTTGAACTCGCTTGTTCTAGTGTCCCAGTTTTGGATTGCCCTGTTCCCTGTCGGGGAGCCTCCAAACGCCAAGGTGTTTTTCGAGGCCTACCTGACCGTTCCTGTCGTCATTTTCCTCTACCTGTTCCATGTGATCTGGAAACGCAAGCAATTCGTTTTATTTTTCCGCGCTAAGGACATCGACGTCGACACCGGACGCAGAGAAACCGATATCGAGGTTCTTAAGGCAGAAATCGCAGAGGAGAAAGCCTACATCAAGTCCAGATCCATCTTCTTCCGGTTCTACAAGTTCTGGTGTTAGGGTGTTTGTGTTTTTTCTTGGAGCAAAGGAATGGATGGATATTTTGGGGTTTTATCCGGAGCATCATAATTTCATGATTCCGAACTCGCAAGTGTACAAGTAACTAGACCACTAGATTAATAGAACAGATAGCTGTCTGACGATACGGACTATCTATACACGAAGGCCGTCCGACCTAGTGATGTTGCACCGCTGACACCTAATAATTATTTCATTGGTCCAAACTCGCCTTTTCGGCCCCGGAAAAAAAAGTCGTGTAACCGGATTAGCTATAATATTTGTTCCCGTTCTTCCTTTCTTAATAACATGCTTTTTCTCGCTCGCCAATCGATCAGATCCGTTCCAAGACTCAACCTGGCCCGTGTGGCCGTTGGTATGAGACAGCTCACCACCGTCAAGACCACGTCACAAGAAGAACAAAACATCTTGGTTGCCCAAAGAAAAAACAGACCATCTTCTCCACATTTGCAAATCTATCAACCACAGCTTACATGGATTCTGTCCTCATTCCACAGAATCACCGGTGTTGGATTAGCCGCCGGCTTTTACGCGGTTACGTGCACATTTGCGCTTTCTAGTCTGACAGGTTTGCAATTTGACACAGCAACTTTGGTGTCTTTGGTTGCCGGTCTCCCAGTGGCCGCAAAAGTTGCACTCAAGGCTGCTGCCTCGTTCCCATTTGCATTCCACGTCGCCAACGGTTTCAGACACTTGGTGTGGGATTTCGGCCACGAGCTCACCATCAAGGGCGTCTACAGAACAGGATACGTTGTTCTTGGATTCACCGCCTTGATTGGAACCTATCTCACCTTCTTCCTCTAAATATTATCACTACATTCAATAAATCCAACTAAAGTCTATTCGTACATCATGAAATCATTGTTGAACTTGAACTCATCGTCCACGTCTGTGGAGGCCGGCTCGATTAGCAACGGATCCGCCTCCTCGAGCAAATCAAGTTCTCCATATCCGCGCACAAGCCACTCGTTCGTCACGTCGTTCAAGTCGCCACACATGCAGCTCCCGGTCACCAGGCACACTCCACACGGGTGGAACTGTTTCTGGGTCTGTTCCTGCCGCTGTTTCTCTAGCAGCAGCTGTTTTTGTCGCATCTGCTCCGCAAGCAACATTTGTGCTTTTTGGCTCACCTCGTTCGCTTTGCTATCAGTCTTCTTCTTGCTCTTTGCAGTGCTCATCAAAATGTCCTTTGAGGACACAGATAGCTCCGAGAGAGGCCCGATGCCAACCCCAACCACCCCGGTGTTCCTTTTTTTCGATTCTCCGTTTTTCTTCACCCGCTTATTTTCCAAGTTGTAGCTTAAATTAATCGGATCAATGGTGATGGCCTCGTTCGATTCGGAAACAGAAGGCGTTCTGCTGGCCATCGAGTGCGACTCCTCAAGGTCGATCGGCTCGACACTCGATTGAAGCTCGCCCTTGGCCAGCCGCAAATTATGGATCTCCTTGTTCACTTTAGCAAGGATCTTTTTCAGGTTGTCGTTTTCTTTCGTCACGTTTTGCAGCTGCAACTTCAGGTCCAGCTGGTTGTTGGTGTAAAGATTGATGTTAGAATGGATCTGTGAATTGAACTTGAACTTTTCCGGCTTTTCCGTCTTGTCTGACTTCTTCACAGACTCGGAACTAGCCTTGTGCGCTTTCCCTTTCTTAATTTTAGGCCTCGGAGGTAGAATCCAGTTCTTAGAAGTGGTCAACACTATCTCATCCGATCCCTTGTTCGCAGCCGTTGACGTGCCTTTGCTCATCTGCACAGACTTTACCGAACTCGACGTTCCGGAAGGTTTGGGCTTGATCGCTATGGGGTGCAACGGCATTCGCGTGCTGCCAGACCCCTTTGCTTCTTCAGTGCCCGAAGACTTCTCAATATTCTGAACCATATTGCATTACACGCATAGATCCACAAAAGATGAAAAATCAAACGTCTTATACACTTGTCCTAAGATCCGCACCGTTTCCGTGGCTTCCTCAAACAATTTTTTTAAACTCTAATTATTCCAACGCTTCCATTCCACCTTTGCATAATTAGATATATTAACTCGGGAAAAATATATAAAACACCTCTACACCAAATCGATCCATATAGCCAGGAAGTCCAGTTATGCCCGCACACCAAGCTTCCATCCGGTGATGCTGACCCGCGCCACCGTCCACATGACAACAGCTAGCGCTGCTAGCGTTCCCGTGTATACCACAAAGTTCTGGTACGACTTGATCGATTGCTGTCCGATAATTGCTCCTCCGGCCGTCAATCCCGCTAAGAAAAGCAGGCCAATGACAAACGCAAGCGTAGCGTACCGCTTGCCGAAATCTTTCGTTGGAGACACAGCTCCGCAGCATGCAGGCGTCAAGCTCAGTGCAGAAGAACTGAAGAATCCGTAAACCGTGGCAAAAGTGTACAATGATGCCAAGCTTCTGGAATTGGTAGCATAGCCTAACCATAACGCCAAGTCAGAAAGCGCGATACCTGTACACATGAAAATCATCACATTAAAAGGCCCAACCTTGTCTGCAATGACTCCTGGAATGAATCTACCCAGAATTCCCACAGCATTCACTATAGTCAGCATAGTGTTACCTTGGGTTTCCGAGAAACCAATAAACACAATGAACGATGCGTAATAGGTCAGCGAGCACACAAGTGAGACCTCGATGAACGCTCCTCCCAACGTGCAGAACAGGAACTTTGGATCTTTCAGAGCTTTGAAGTCGATCGAACGTCTACTCATCAAATAGATGTTCTTCAACACGAGCTTGGTTTTCTTTCCAGGCGACAGATCTGGATCAGCAAACGGAGACTCGGGACGCAGTCTCTCTTTGCTGAGAGTGAAAGAAGCAAGAAGCAAACCGGTACAAATAAATGCCAAAATTCTCATGGTCCATTTGAAGCCCACAGAGATGTACAGCTTATTCAAGATCAATGGGTATATGATACCTCCCACAGATCCACCAAGCGTAGCAATTGCAAAAGCTCTAGCTCTTTTCTTCATGAAATAGTGTGAAACCACACCACCAAGAGGAGACATCAAGAATCCCAACCCTGTTCCTGCAATGAGTCCAAACACCAGGACAAATGATGCCACCGACTCACATTCACCTGTGGCAAATAGCCCCACAAACAGTAGCACTGTTCCCGTCATGATAGGAATCCGGCTCCCAAACTCATCAAATAGCACCCCTGAAAATATACCTGCAACGTAACTAATGCTCAAGAAAATGGAGAAAATTAACGACGAAATAGAAGACGAAACATGCTGCAATTGATGGTTATTCAGGTAGGATTGCACAGCTCCCACAGAATTAATAAGACCAAAATTGACGGTGAACCCGAGGAAAGCTCCAAATAGCACGATGTAAGCTTTCAGTCCTCCGTCAGGATACTCAATTTCGTCTTCCGAAACCGAGACCGAATCGACAGATACGTTTCTGCGGCGAAGTTCGATTGTGGTTTCTGCTTGGTATCGTTCTGCAGACTGCGAAACGTCTTTAGGCATATTAGATAAGACTTAATTTTTTGAACTTGATCGGATACTAACATAGTAGGTAAGAAGAGTTATGTGCCCTGTGTGGTGTCGTCCAATGACGGTTCGGAAAAAAAATTAAAAGTACACGGCTTATTTTCCCTTAACTCCCCAGTTGAACAACATAAGAGAAGAAAGATGAGTTTTTTGGGTGTTAAAGTGTACCGTTTCCCATTGGTGAAGTACTACTGGCCGTTTTTCGTCGGATGTAAGTATCAATTGGCAATTTTCTAACAATTTAGTTGGCCTCACTTTCTACGGAGTCGCAAAGATCCAAACTGCCATGATGAACACTTCCGAGTTCATTAACGACCCAAGACATCCAAGATTCAAGAAGGGTGACATGGAGAAGAAATAGAGACATAAATACAGATTATCTTATGAAAATGATGTTCATTTTTTAGTTACACGTTATGTTGTTCGACCGAGCTGTCCAACGCTTCTTTCAAAGTTTCAAGCAATTCCTGAGTCGGTTCCAGTCCAATGCTTAATCTGACCAGATTTCTATCGACACCCCATTGCTCGATTTCGTCGAGCTCTTGGTAATGTGCGAGGATTGAGTACGGGCAAATCAAAGTGAAATTTGTGCCGAGGGAAGGACCTTTGGATAATTTGACGTTGTTGAAGAAACAAACCGCATCGGCTTGGTCTTTGAAAACAATCGACATCAGACCACCGTAGCCGCCGTCTGCCTTCTTCAGCGCGTCGTAATGGTTTTTCGACGACATTGTAGACGGATAGTAGACTTGCTCCAAGAGTGGTGATTTCTCAAAGAACTTCAACACCTCAATGGCATTGTGGTTGATTTTCTTGGATCTGGCCTCAAAGTCACGAGAGTTACGTTCCAAGTATATTGCGTCTTGGGCCCAAAGAAGGTCCTCGAAGTTCTCGTCCAAGTACTCCTTGAACTTGGCGTAAAAGTTGGATTTTGGATTCAAAACCAACGAACCACCCATAACGTTGGAATCTCCGGAGAAAACCTTGGTCAGCGACGAGGTCACGATATCTGTGTACGGAAGAACATTAAGGTTTGTCATGTTACCGACAGTGTCGTCAACAACAACCACGAAATTGTATTTGTCACCGAGCTTTTTGATTCTGATCAAATCAGGAGTTTTCAAAAGCGGGTTGGATGGACACTCGCAAAACAGCGACAGAATTCTTTCTCCGCCCTCCAGTCTCTTCTCCAAGTCGTCAAGCGAGTCGTCGTCTCCAAATCCGTAGAAATGAACACCGGCTCCCCACTTTTTGAGAATGTTCAATGTGTCAACGTACGGGAATCCAAAACACACGGATTTGAGGTCCTTGGATTCCATGGTGTTCAGCAACAAGTGGTGAGCAGTGAAGATGGCAGTCATACCAGAGGAACACAGGTAAACGTCATCGTCGCTCAGCTCAGCAGAATGGGTAGTCGCGATTCTATGTCTAAGGATCGACTTTGCTTCTTTGGCGAAACGTAAGTCAAGGTTTCTTCCGAATCTCTCTTCGATGAACGTGGAGTATTCTTGGTTGTTTTGGAGCGAAGAGATGGAAGAGCGCGAATTTCTTCCGGAGGAGGATCTGTTGGAGTTTTGTTTGGTCATCTTGCGTTCTTTGGATGCGGTGGCTTCCAGTTTTTCACCCAACTCGTTCAGAACGTATTCGCCCAATCTGGAGGAAACACCTTCTCCGGTGTGCTGCCAGTAGGCCTTGGCCAGTGAAAACTCGGATCCGGGGAAGAAAACAACCGCGATCTGGGTCTCCACCTTGAAGGACTTCTCCTCGTCTGTCTTTGGTGGAGCCGTGCTCAACTGAAGGATACGGATAGAACAATTCGGAAGCAACGTTTTGGACTTGATGAACTCTCTGCATCGTTTGGCAACCTCGTAAGTTGGGAAAATCATGGACTTCTCGTTGTCTTTGGCATAGTTGAGCTCCAATAAACGAGATAATTCCTTCACCTTACTATGGACAAAGAACCGGGGATATCCAGAGTGCATCTTATTGACGACCCAATCCTGACCCTCTTCATACCCGACGGTGGCTTCCCATGTTGGGAGGGTCACGGAAACAGCGTGATCCGTGTTGTTGGGAATCGGTGCACCGATAGCTTGCGAAATAGGCATTGGTACAAGAAGTTAGCGAAAATGAGTAATGGAAAAATTATCGGAAAAAATTGCATTCTGGCGTTGAATGGGGGGTCTGTCCCCAAAGCTTCTGAGAATAGTTTAGCCGTGTGTAAACGCCAGATTTTTGGTTCAAAGTAAGCAGTGGGGCCGATTTGTCTAAGTAATACCGTAGATAATTCACCGTAATGACGGGATCATTCATTTTGAAAGATCCCCTGGCACTATTCGTTTCTATACTGGTGGACACCCACCAACACAACCTCCTTTACAAATCACACCGTCAATTGGCCGAATCCACGCCATCTAATAATACTGCCCTGGATAATGTTGTATAGCCTGCTAGTCAACGCTATTTTGTCACCATTTTCTCTTTCAAAATTTCTTACCTTTTCCCATGTCTACATGGAAATCCAAGCAAAACGTCGGTTTGCCGCTCTACTACAAAGATAAGCCACAGAACAACTCCTCACAGATATCTCGTGTCAGAGGTCTTTGGCGAGCACTGTCCAAGACACAAAGACTGGTGATCAAAGGGGTGGTCTTTTTCGTGGCATTTTATGCCTTGTTATCACGCTACGTTTTTCCTTCGAAAAACTCAACAGACATATGGACTGCTCGTCGAAATCGTGTCAAGGACGTGTTTCTAGAGAGTTGGAGTGACTACACCCGTCATGGGTGGGGGAAAGATGTCTATAGACCTGTTTCGCAACAAGGAAGAAACATGGGAAGGTTCCCTCTTGGCTGGATCATTGTGGATTCTCTCGATACGCTTATGTTGATGAACTGTGAAGAAGAACTCAGAGAGGCCAGATCGTGGGTGGCCAATGAGCTCAACTACGATTTCGACTACAACGTCAACACTTTCGAAACAACCATAAGAATGTTGGGTGGCTTATTGTCTGCACATTATTTGAGCGAGGATGATGTGTACCTTGAACAAGCGACAAAATTGGGAAACAAGCTGATTGGAGCATTTGATTCTGGAAAAGGTATTCCTTATGCATCGGTCAACCTCAAATCAGGAAAGGGTATACCCAGCCATGTAGATAGAGGTGCAAGTTCGACTGCTGAGGCAACCACTGTTCAATTGGAATTCAAATATCTCGCCCAATTGACCGGAGAGGAGCTCTACTGGCAAAAGGCCGAGCGTGTGATGCAATCGCTGAACGAGGCCAATCCACAAGATGGTCTAGTTCCAATCTACATCCAACCTGATACAGCAACATTCCAGGGTAAAATCATAAGACTAGGGTCTCGTGGTGACTCGTATTACGAGTACCTGCTGAAACAATACATCCAATCAAGGGAACAGGTTTACTTAGAGATGTATCTGGAGGCCGTTGCTGGAATTCGCAAGCACTTGGTTCGCTATTCGACTCCTAACCATCTGATGTTCCTTGGAGAGCTTGATCGTGGAATCGGTTCTCCTTTGAGCAACAAGATGGACCATCTGGTTTGTTTTGCAGGAGGGATGTTTGCTCTTGGTGCTACTGAGGGACTGGATTACGAAACTGCAAGCAAGCTTTCCACATGGACTGAAGAGAAGGAGCAACAGATGACCATGGCTAAAGAGCTTACTCACACGTGTTACAGAATGTACCACGATGTTCCAGGAACTGGTCTTTCGCCTGAAATTGTTGTCTTCAAGACCGATGTCAATGGAAAAGACGATTTCTTCATCAAAAATGCAGATAAACACAATCTTCAAAGACCTGAAACCGTCGAGTCGTTGTACTACTTGTACAAGATCACAGGGGATATTAAATACAGAGAATGGGGATGGGAAATCTTTGAGAACTGGGTCAAATACACCAAGGTCACCACTGGAGGAAAGGACAGTTTCCCAAGATACACATCTTTGAAAGACGTCACGATGGATCCGCCAAGAATGATTGACAACATGGAGTCGTTCTGGCTAAGCGAAACCTTGAAGTACCTTTATCTTTTGTTTGACGATGAGACCGATCCCAAGTGGGATTTGGAGAACTCCGTGTTCAACACGGAAGCGCATCCGTTCCCAAGATATTCAAAGCCACCATTTCCTACTGGCTGGAGACGTCAAGGAGAATTCGAGGGAGATGGCTCGAAACAGGAGCAGGAGATAGAGGAGCCTAAAGAGAAACCGGTGGCAGAACAGGTTGTCGAGCCTGTGGTTGATGTTCCGGAAGCCAAGTTAAAGGCCTCGCAAGATAATGCGGCTGTGGCTGATGCCATCAAGCAGAAAGGCGAGCTACCTGTGGCTAAACAACCGGTGGCCAAGCCATTGAATGAGCAGGCAGATAGTATCAAGGAGGAGATTGTGGCTGAGGCTCAAGTCTGAAACAGTGGAATACAAATCCTGTCTACCATGCCTCCGGGAATTTCCTAATGAGGTAAAGATATAGCGGAATTTTGATTTTATACAATCTTCACTGAATGGATAAACGGTTTTTTCCAGGTAAGAAAGCTCCAGAGGACGTTTGTACCACCACGCCCTGCGATCCCCGGCCGGAATCACTCCTCCCGCTGGACGTTGAGGAGTCACCCGAGCAGGATGACCCAGACGACCCTTTTGCTCCGTCCTCGTGTCCCGATGGTGGAAAACGGGCATACATGGTTCTTGCGGGATCTTTTATTGGACTTCTAGTTGATTTCGGTCTTGTGAACGCTGTGGGATCGATCCAGTCTTATTTGGCGCTTCATCAGCTTGCAGATGTGTCATCTGCTTCCAGCTCGCTAATTTTCTCGTTTTTTCTCACCATGGTCTACAACACCATTGTGTTCTCGGGAGTTCTCTTTGACGAGCTCGGATGCACCATTCCGACGGTGCTCGGGACGGTGATGCTGTTTGTTGGTCTTTTTTGCACGGGTGAGTGCGAATCTGTGGTGTCTTTTATTTTCGTGTTTGCACTTATAGTTGGCTCGAGTCTGGGCACGCTAGCAGGCCCATTGACCGGGGTCGTCAGTCACTGGTTCCTGCGTAACCGGTCCAAGGCCTTTGGAGTGGCCACACTGGGTGGGTCGGTGGGTGGTATAGTGTTCCCATTGTTACTGAACAAGTTATTCTCTACAGTTGGATTCAGGTGGGGCATGAGAATATTCGCATTTATCTGTACGTCCTTGCTTGCGATATCCAGCTTCCTGATCAAAGAAAGATACACCAACGCCAAAGTTGAAGAAACAGAGGCCACAACACCCACACAGAAGATCACACGGTTTTTCTCCAGGTTGTACGACCTGAGCAGAAAATCTGTGGATTTCAGCTCTGTGAAAGATTACCGCTTTGCATTCTGTATGGCGGGCAATGCCCTGGGCGAGACTGCATTGGGATGCTCCATCACGTACTTTGCATCGTACGTCACGTACATTGGATTCACTGAGACCACAGCGAACACAGCAATTACAGTGATGAACGCATCGGGAATTTTGGGCAGATATGTAGCAGGGGTTCTTGCAGACCGCATAGGTTGCTACAATGTCATGATCTTCCTCACTATGTTTGCGTCGGCAGTCAATCTCGCGATCTGGCTGGGATGGTCGACGTACGCTGGCAGCATCCAAAGTGTCTATTGTTATTCCGTTCTGTACGGATTTTCCAACTCGGCAGTCATGAGTCTGGGCCCTTCCTGCGTGGGCTCCATCAGTCCTACCAGAGAGTTTGGTAAACGGTACGGAACCATGATGCTGGCCGGCGGGGTGGCCGTCTTCTCTGGTATGCTCACAGCAGGAGGACTTCTGACCCACAAGTCCTTGGCCAGCTACCGTCATCTTGCTCTGTACAGTGGACTCTTGACTATTTTGGGGGTCGCTTTCTGGACCCTTAGCAGATACTTCCAGGTCGGGCTCAAGATCAATGTCAAGGTCTAAGGTTTAAAATACATCAGTCATTCGGTTACCACCTTAACTTCCACCTTGCGTTTTTTGGTGATGCTCGTAAGCGTAGCTTGTCCCTTGGCTCTCTTGGGGGCAGGTTTGGCTTTCTTCTTTTCAAACTTCGCTAGCTGCTCCTTTCTCTCTTTCTCGCCTAGCTTCTGTAGAGCAATGCTTTTCTCGATAACTTCTTTATCGTCCTTTGACTTCCCAACAAGCCATTCTAATAACTTAATGTCCTCACCAAACCCAGAATCGTCTTTAGGCTCGACAGGAACCTCCAAAATCAGAGGAATGTTTTCAAACCGAGAGTCGTTGGCCAACAATCTGAAACACTCCAGGCCCAAGAACCCCCACCCAAGACGCTGGTGCAGATCTCTGTTTGCCCCCAATGGAGCTTTTGAGTCATTAATATGGAGCGCACTCAGATACTGAGCTCCGATCTTGGTATCGAACTCTTTCCAGAACTTATCCCATGCTTCCTCGTCACGTAGATCGTAGCCAGCAGCGAAAGTGTGACAGGTGTCAACACAAACGCCGACGCGGTTTTTATTATCAACTAGTGCAATCACCTTCTGGATGTCTTCCAATTCTCCACCAACCAGATTTCCATGTCCGGCCATGTTCTCTATAACAATCTTGACAAAGCTGGTTCTTTCAATCGCCTGGTTAATGTTTGCTGCCAGTCTTTTCAAAGACTCTTCGTGATCTGATCCTAATGAAGAGCCAGGGTGGAAATTATAGTGGCCAATATTGAGTTTCTCGCATCTGACCAAATCATCGACAAAACACTCGAGCGACTGCTTGGCCTTCTCTGGATCTGGATTGGCTAGATTGATGAAATACGATCCGTGCGGCAAAACGTCTGTGCGCGGGTTGAAATTGTACTCTTTGCACAATTCAATGAATTTCGACGCGTCTTCGTCACTCACCATAGGAGAAACCCATCTCTTAGGATTTTTCAGGAACAGCGCAAATGAATTGCTGCCCACGTTCATTGCGTTCGTTACAGCGTTGTAAATTCCGCCGCCCATGCCGACATGGGCACCAAATTTGTTCTTGAATCCAGTCTCACGAATGAATTTGAACGACATGATAGTTGAAATAATTTTTCAGGCTGCTGACTTAAAGATCTGACTCAAAGGCTGGGCAAAGGTCCAAGATGAATAATTGCTGATGCTGTTTCGGATATTCAGACGTTTCAGAGGAACCTCCACGGGCTCAGAGATCGCCTGGATGATCTTGAAGTCGATCCGAGAAGCTGTATCGGGTTCCAGCTCTCGCAGGTTGAAAAATCGGAGTATAGCACGAGTATTCTCAAAATCAACCGCGTACTGCAAATGACCGTCTGGCGAGCTGATGTATACGCGGAAATCGTCTCTGATGAGTAGTTTGTCGCGTAAATTCTGTACCACTAGATCAGTCGCGTCCGGAAGGTAGCCGATTATTCTAGCAGTCACCACCACGCGCTCTTCTTTCACGGATTCCAGCTGGCTGAAATCGATCTTGACGGCAGGGGGTGCTTTTGGTTCTGGTTGTGGTTCCGGTAGGCCGGTACTAACGCTGTGTGCAATTTTTCGACCAGATTGCTGGCTGCCCAGAACTGTTTCCAAAACCGCGTCTGCCGGGACAAAATTGGAAGCCTGCTCTTTACGAGGAACTTTGGTTTGGAGTTTCTTTTTCGGCAGTTCTGCAGGAATGACTGGCTCAATTGGCTCAGGCTTGGCGGGATGCGCCTCCTGGAACACCTCAGGGTCCTCTAGTTTGTTGTGTTTTCGTGATTTTTTCAGATATTCGCTAAGCTTGTAACGCGACTCTAGTTTTGGCAGCAGTAGAGGTGGAGCGTTTTGACGGACCCTTTTCAGGAAGTCCTTGAGAGCAGGATCATTGGAAAGCGTTTCGGCGATATACGTATTCGTTAAAAGTTGTGGACGTCCTTTTTTAAGCTCAAATTTTGTTTGGTATATGTTTACCTGCAAGTCAACTTTCAAGAGGATCATCTCGTCAAAGGGAATATCGCACGGATTCAACGAGGGTTCTGGGAACGGTCTGATAGAGCGCATCTGTTTGAGAAGCGCTGCAAATTTTTCCTGGTGCACATCAACGCCCACAATCATGTCTTCTGTCGCGAAATAGCCAGTCTTCAAACGGAATCGATCTTGATAGAAACCTCTCTTAAACAGCTCCTCTGATCTGGTGAAGTCGATCATGTCAAGCTGGACAAAATTTGATCTCTCTAAAAGAGAATAGCTGCAAAGTACCCCATAAAACAAATGATATTGGTTCGCCTTCGGGCACGGGTGGGTGAGCTCAGAGATACTGATGGTCATATAAATAAATAAAACAAAAAAAAAGTTGATTTATTTACCATGAGACCTAAGAAGTCGAAACCGGTTCCGTCCGAGCCAGACTCGTCTGAAAGCCTATACATCCGGGCCACAGAAGAGGAAGAATCGGGTGACCGTTGGCTGGGTTCTGACCTTGCGAAAGCGTTGAGATTTTACCAAAGAGCATACTCTTTGTATCTGGAATCAATTAAGCTCCAACAGGACTATCTGGACTCGAGGTATAACGTTTCGCGACTGCTCTTCTATGTTTACGAGAATTTTGTGAAGAACGACGCCGTTTTGTTGGATGAGTTTGAAAACTGCGACGAGGCACTTGCAGGAGGAGCTGCTTCCGTGGTCAGGCCTCTGGATCAGATCATCTCTGTTTTCCAGGAATCGATCCAGATAGCAGAATCTGTGAGTGCTTTTCCGTGGGATCTGTACTACAATGCAGTCTTGTGTTTCCAAGACTTTATCGAGGATCTGGAGAAGAGCGACAACCAGACTTTTGGCGATATTGTTTCTTGCGCAGTCCAGAGTGTTGAATATCTGGAAAAGATCTTGGAATATCAGGTTAAGGAACTCGAGTCACTAACAACGGGCTCGGAAATAGAACAACCTACTCAACAGCAAGAGTACGAGACTCAGGAAGAGGCAATTCTCCCGTCAACAGCGTTGGAGTCCTGCGCCACGGCATATCGAATCATAGGGTCTGTGTACGACTCTGCAAAATCAGAGCACGAAAAACAAACGGTCGAGTCACAGTTTGGCCAGTTTGTACTTATTGTCGACCAAATAGTCGCTCAGTTAACGCAAAGCTACAGCAGCTCTAATCTGCTGCCACCACTATCGCCAGAGGACCTAACCCAGGTCCATTACGCAAGGCTTGGCTACGAATCTTCCAAGGCAAACAACTTCGAGACCCTTGTTCAGATCTGGAACACTGATATGACCCTGGAAAAGTTGCTTTTGGAAAACGAGAGCTACAGGACCTTCTTGGATAAGTCGGCATTATCACCGGTGGAACTTCGCACTGTTTTAGCAGCCATTAGTAGTCGGTACAAACAGGGCTTTGACTTACTGAAAAGCGAGTTTGACAATTCAAAACGAAACCTGTCTGCTAGTTCACATCTCGGAAGCACGATTGCTCAGATCTGTTCAATCCTCATTGAACGCGCTGATATTGACCTTGAGCGCTCGAAACTCGATGTGGTAGATGAAAAATCACGTTCCATCTTAGCTTCAAATGCGAACAAGCTTCTGAGAAACGCAATCACCTACGCTCAAATGTCCGGTGGTCTTCGAGAGAGCGCTCTAGAAAAGTTGGCGAGAAGAAAGAAATTGAAAGAAGCATCCACGCGGTTATGTCTTTTAGAAGGTAAAGACTCCACCGAGGAGCTGGACAAGATCGTGGGTGCAACTTTCTGGCCAAGAGAGTTGGCAGAGATACGAGAGCTTGGGATATACTGACATAGACAATGATGGACTTAATTTTGAAAGGAAACGCGTAAATGGTTTAGTGGTAAAATTCGTCGTTGCCATCGACGAGCCCCCGGTTCGATTCCGGGTTTACGCATTTTTTTTTGCAATTTTATTTTTTTAAACTATATGTCCAAGGTCCAACTGCAAGAGCGATACAACAAGTTCAGCAAAGCAGCGAAGTTCAATTTGAACTCCGAGGAGCTCTTCTGTGTCTGCAGGAGTGTTGATGATGGAGAGTTGATGGTTGCGTGCGATGGATGTGACGAATGGTTTCATTTCCGGTGCATGAAGCTTGATTCCAAGTACAAAGACCTAGTGAACAATTTCTACTGCATTTTCTGCAACGAGCTGTTCCACAAGGGGTCTACCTTATGGAAGAAGAAATGTCGCCTGGAAGGATGTTATAAGCCGGTGAGGATCGACAATAGCACGCAAAAGGTGAGTAAGTACTGTTGTGACGAGCACGGTGTCGAATACATGCAAAACGAGTTGCTGAAGAGGTTCAGCGAGTCTACCAAAGAGTGCAAATTGTCAGAGCCAGAAATCGTGAGTGTTATCACTCAGGTGGATAATTTTACCGAGTTCCAGGACTTGGGCAAGGAAATGCCAATATACCAAGGAATGGACGTCGACCTGCCCGAGGACAAAGCGCGTCGTCTGGACGAGCTAAACACTGAACTTGCGGAGCTGAAACAACTGGAACAGTTGTACGTCGCCAAGGAGAAATACATGGTCAAGCTGAAAGAGAAGATTAAACTCATCAATGAAAAATTGGCTGGGTCAGAGACAGGCGCTCAGACAAAGAAAAGTAAGAAACCAAAGGTTGATGTCTGTGGATATGACTCGCGGTTGATCATGAATAACGAAAGATGGAGTGAGTTCGAAGGCTCTGATGAGTACAAGAAAATGTTGCAAGATGTTGATCTCGGAATGAGCGATGATCAGTTGAAGTCCGCCTACGAGGAGTCCCAACCGGTCTTGGGGCTCTGTATGGTGGAAAAGAAAAAGTGTATCAAGCACGCTACATGGTTCAGTATCCAATACGACACAGTGATGCTAAAACTAAACGAGATTCTATACAAAATAGCCGAGGTGGAAAAGACCAAGTCTAGGCTGGATCGCGAGTGGAACTTGGAGAAAATTGAACAACAGTCTATTTAATACAGTACATGGGTTACTCCTCTTCATCATACTCCCTTTCGTCTATGTGTCTAGGCCGCCAAATCTCCACCAATCCGTCCTCTGCGCAGCTCACAACCACGTTGTCAAGTTCAGGGTGCCAATCAGCTTCGCAAATGCGGCCGGTGTGTCCTCCGTGCATAAATACGAGACATGGATCAATGTAATCGCCCTTTTTCTTCTCGTACTCTTTTAAATCGAACTCGCCGTCTCTAATGTTGGAAAGGTTCCAGACCAAAACTCTTCTGTCACTCGACGAAGACAGGAGCAAGTTATCGCGAAACTTGAGATCGACCACGGACCCAGTGTGACCGTAAAGCTTGCGGATTGGCTGGTCCATCAAACGCAGATCCCAGCAGTTGACAAGGTTATCGGAGGATCCAGTGGCCAACAGAGTTCCAATATCCTGTTGGAAAGCGACCGAGTTAACAGGGCCGGAGTGTGCGTTAGCGATCGAAATGACCGGCTTTGGGGACCGTAGATCGTGGATTTGTAAAGACAGATCGTCGCTCACAGACGCAATGACTTCGTTGTATTGCTTATTCCATGCCACGTCGTTCACGATAGCAGAATGGGTCTCAAATACTCTGGCTGGCGACTCGGACCCCATATTCCAGAGAGCTACCTTATGGTCCTCGGAACTGGACAACAACTGGTTCTTCGAGTAGATTGGGTTCCATTCGAGTCCGAAACCTTCCTTAGTATGGAACTTAAGTGTTTTAACAGAATTTCCGTTCAGATCGTAGATTAACACATCTCCGAAGTTAGTTTGAGTGGCAACAAGTCCAGACTCCTGGTTAATCCGCAGCTTGTTGATTTCTCCAGGATGTTCCCACTCGCGTTCCAGCTTGATCTGGTTCTCCAAAAATGCGTTCTTATCCTTGGCCTCCGCTGTTGGTAACCGGACGGAGTACTGTCTTAGATAATTTTTGGACCCATCTGAGGTGTGGGTTCCGGCAAGAAAAGAGGCTGTCACTGAAACATCCTTCTTTTCGAGGCTCTTGAGCCATTCGACGGTCAGACTTGGCCATTGCAACGAGTACGAATAAATAAGGTCATAGAGCATGGGCGAGGTCTTTTTCCATATTTTGAACTCCTCGTTGACCAGTTTTTCGGAAACCTGGTACTTTTCCTTGACGGAAACGGCTATTGAGTGTTAGGTTAATGGCATTCTCCAGTATTCTTACCTTTGGGTTCGGTTTGCACAGAAGTCATACTTAACAAGAATAATTTCTCCTCTACAATTAATTTACACAGAGGTCGTGTGGCCGCACAATTTTCCCCAAGGTGAATTAAAACGGTAGCAAGATGGGGGCAGATTACGAGGAACCAAAACGGCAGTGAATAAACACAAGAGTTGGGATCTAATTGGAACAAAGCTATTGTTTGGCCAGGTGGGAGATTCTTGAAATTTGGGCCGAAATTGGCCAATTCGTTTGACCTGTGCCTGTCAACGCGGTTGGTGCTTGATTCCAATCATCACTTGAAGCGCGCTAGCCATCGGTCTCATCGGCAGAGCAATGGAAGAGCCTGTTTGACAGCCGTTTCAGTGATTTATCGGTCTCTTTTGATGCATGGGATGGGTCGCGCAAAAACAGAACGCGCTTTATCCTGGTTGCAAGGGGTCGAGGATCCAGAAAAAAAAAGGTTGGGTGCAAACCAGGGTTCATACTAGCTCTATCTGATGAGGGGTTTAGCGCTTTCAGAGCCCATCATGATCCCGAGCCCGTCTGCGAGCTTCCCGCGTTTTTGCGGCCATTTTTGGCCATCTCCGAGTCCAAAATTTAAAGGTATCCCATAATCAGGATTTGTTTACTGACGCGTCTGGTAAAAAACTATATAAGGGCTTTGTAGGGCCCAGCAAGAAATAATTTTAAGAAAAAAACTTCTTGTCTCTTAATCATGTCTGTGCAAGAAACGCCTTCTAAAGTTACCGCCAACGCTCTCTCTACCCTCGACCTCTCTTCTGCCGACAAGAAGGATCTCACCGCCACCCTCACCGCCGCCGCCAAGGCCAAGGCCGCCGCTAATGGCGTTGAAGAGGAAAAGGTTCAAGAGGAGATTTCCGAGCAGGACAAAGAACACAAGGAATTCTTGGCCCAACACAAGGTCCACAGACACAAGTTGATGGAATTGGAGAAAGATGAACCTCTTTTGATCGAGAACAAGAGAAGATTTGTTCTTTTCCCAATCAAATACCACGAAATTTGGCAAATGTATAAAAAGGCTGAGGCTTCTTTCTGGACTGCAGAGGAAATTGACCTTTCCAAGGACCTGCACGACTGGAACAACAGAATGAACGAAAACGAAAGATACTTCGTTTCCAGAGTCTTGGCTTTCTTTGCTGCTTCAGATGGTATCGTTAACGAGAACCTTGTTGAGAACTTCTCTGCCGAGGTCCAGATCCCAGAGGCCAAGTGTTTCTACGGATTCCAAATCATGATGGAGAACATCCACTCCGAGACCTACTCTCTTTTGATTGATTCCTACGTCAAAGACCCTAAGGAAGCCGAGTTCCTTTTCAACGCTATCGAGACCATCCCATGTATCAAAGAAAAGGCCGAGTGGGCCATGAGATGGATCAACGATGAGGAGGCTTTGTTTGCTGAAAGACTTGTTGCATTTGCTGCCGTTGAGGGTATTTTCTTCTCTGGTTCGTTCGCTTCTATCTTCTGGCTTAAGAAGAGAGGTTTGATGCCAGGTCTGACCTTCTCCAACGAGTTGATCTGCAGAGACGAAGGACTGCACACCGACTTTGCATGTTTGCTTTTCTCGCACTTGAACAACACCCCTCACAATGACATTGTTCTCAAGATCATCACCGAGGCTGTTGACATCGAAAAGAGATACTTCACCGATGCTTTGCCAGTCAACTTGCTCGGAATGAACTGTGCTTTGATGTGTCAATACGTCGAGTTTGTTGCTGATAGATTGTTGCTTTCCCTGGGTTGCAAGAAGCACTACAATGTCTCCAATCCATTTGACTTCATGGAGAACATTTCTCTTGCAGGAAAGACCAACTTCTTCGAAAAGCGTGTTTCCGACTACCAAAAGGCCGGTGTCATGGCTAAGAATACTCAAGAAAAAGCCGACACCGAGACCGGTTTCACCTTCGATGAAGATTTCTAATGAGTATCACGCAACCTCAACCATTAATGTATACTAGAATGTTTTTTACAAATACGTGCAAGGATGTAGAACATGATTTTCTTGTGAAAATATTTCCCTGTGTTAATGAACATAGATTCAGGCAACAGCCAACCACCCAGTAGCATGATAAAGCGCACATACAAGGATGCCATTAATGCGCTGAATTCTTTGCAGTCCAACTTCGCCACTATAGAAGCTGCTCGGTTGACCGCTGGCGCCAAAAATGCTGTTTTGATTCCTGAGATGATCGAGTGGACAAGACGGATTGGATACAAGCCACAGGATTTGAACAGGCTCAATGTCATTCACGTCACGGGAACCAAGGGCAAAGGATCTACCTGTGCATTTGCCACCAGCATCTTGAACCAGTATCGTTCTCCCGTTCAAGTTCCTGGTGCCAAGATTACTAAGATAGGTCTCTACACTTCACCCCATCTTAAAAGTGTTCGTGAGCGGTTAATAATCAACGGAAAGCCCATCAGCGAGGCTCTGTTCACTAAGTACTTTTTCGATATCTGGGACAGACTCAATTCGACTTCTTCGGATCTGGACAAGTTCCCTAATATGGGTCCAGGGGTGAAGCCAGCATACTTCCGGTTTTTGACCCTGTTGTCTTTCCATGCATTCTCCAGTGAAAATGTTGACACCGCCGTTTACGAGGTGGGAGTTGGTGGTGAGTATGACTCCACCAACATATTTGAGAGTCCCACCGCTTGCGGAATAACGTCTTTGGGAATTGACCATATTGCGGTGTTGGGCAATACTCTAGAACAGATTGCGTGGAACAAAGCTGGAATTTTCAAGCCAGGAGCAGCCTGTTTCAGTGTGGAGCAGCCTGAGGAGGCTCTGAATGTGATCAAGCAGCGTGCGGTCGAAAAGAAGGTGGCTAGCTTTGAAGTTGTGGAACAGCGTCCAGACTTGGCCGAGGTGAAGCTGGGAATCAACGGTGATTTCCAGCGCCAAAATGCCTCGCTTGCTGTGCAGCTTGTCAAGGCACATTTGGAGAAACTGGGCGTGGAAATTGGAGCATGTGACGTTCTCCCTGAGGAGTTTGTCACCGGGCTGGAACAGGCTTCCTGGCCTGGAAGATGTCAGATCATCAAGGATGACAAAAGAGAAGACCTCACCTGGTACATCGACGGTTCACACACTACCGAGAGCATTGCTAGTGGTACTGCGTGGTTTGCAAGTGTCACGAACGACACTAATAGAAAAGTGTTGCTCTTCAACCAGCAGACTAGAAACGTTGAGAGTTTGTTAGAAGAGCTGCATTTGCAAATGCAAAAGTCTGGCAAGAAGTTTGACAACGTCATTTTTAGCACAAACGTGACGTTCTCCGATGGAAAGTACAGCGATGACTTGGTTTCGATCAACGTGTCACAGGAGAAAGTGGACACCATGGAGATGCAGAAGCAGATGGCAGATATCTGGAACAAATTCAGCAAGGAGTCCCGCAAACATCTCTTCCACGATATTCAAACAAGCGTTAATTTCATCCGGACACTGGAAGGCCCGCTGGACGTGCTTGTGTGCGGATCCCTCCATCTTGTTGGTGGGTTCCTGTTGGTCCTGGATAGCAGTAAATAGATTTAAATAGGGCTGCACAGCCGTGGAAAATTATAAATCAGAAAATGCTCAATCGCAGCGTCATTGACGAAAGGGCGATATATACAAAGCGAGCCCAGGACTATACTGAATTAGTCAAACAGTTCACCGATCCTGAGCTTCGCGATGTGGGGAATTATCGCATAGGAGACGAAATAGGAGCTGGCGCGTTTGGTAAGGTGTATCTTGCGTATCACAAGTTTTTAAGGGTCAAGGTTGTTTTGAAGAAAGGCGAACGCATCATTCCTTCAGGCTGTAATGACAACCTTATGCGTGAGTACTATTACATGAAAGAGTTTTCTGCTCACCCGAACGTTACGAAGATGTATGAGCTCATTTTGACAGAAACAAATGCTTATATGGTACTGGAGTACTATCCGGAAGGCGACTTGTTTGAGTATCTGACCCGGCACAAAAGAATCTCTTTAGATGAGAGCTTGAGGATCTTTGTTCAGCTGGCCTCGGCCGTTTTTTACATGCACCGCAATGGATGTTGTCATCGAGACCTGAAATTGGAAAACGTTTTACTCGACAAAAAGCATAACGTCAAACTATCGGACTTTGGATTTGCGCGCGAATGCTCTTTAGTCCAGCATGGATCCAGAGGTCTCCTCACGGAAATATGTGGCACCAGTGCATACATGGCTCCGGAGCTGCTCAAAAAACAGCCATACTCGGGAATAAAGACGGACATTTGGGCGCTGGGAGTGATATTGTACACACTAGTATCGGGCGAGATGCCGTTTGATGACTCCCTCTCAGAAGACGATCTTGTTAGCGCGATTTTGGAACAAGAGCCGTCCTATAATGACCAGCTATTCGGATCAGATCTCGTACAACTAGTGAAGTCGATGCTCACGAAAAACCCGGACAAACGAGTTTCCTCTTTGGAGGAGATTTTGCGCTCAAATCTATTACAACCATATGGGGCGCAGAGGCAGCTGGAGCTGATCAACAAGCTAATTTTTCACCACGATTCCCCTCCAGAATATACACACAGTGACAAATATATGTTGAAGGAGCTAGCCAGTATTGGCTTTGACAAAGAGTCTTTCAAACGCTCATTCTACGACGAGCAGATGGACCCCATCAACGGATTTTGGCAGCTGTTAAAAGAGAAGAACCGCCGCAAAAGCCGCAGCAAACGCTTAAAGAATCGAAGCAAAAGCATGCTCAGACTCTCAACGCCAAAACCCTTTGCAGAACCCAAACTCACTTCGACTCCAGAAAAGGTGCCTCCTCCTGCCACAAAACTTGATTCTGAGCCTGTTTCCACGCTCACAAGTCAGACGCTTACCAATAAGCCATCTAATGGCGACTGTTTCCAAAAGTCACACCGATCCAGTGCTTCTGAGCAGCTCAGTGTAACCAAGAGGAATCATACATTTTCTTTGAAGAGACTCTTCGAAAAAATTGGACGCCCGAAAGATTCAGATTCGGTTTTGAAACTCAATACGGAGCCGTTGAACGAGCCGGCTAAAGAGCAGGTGTCCACACGGAGCAAACGTTCAGGATCTCCCAAGTCGCAATCTTCGAAACCTGTTTCCGCCAATATTGTTGTGATAGAGCCCCAGAAATCGACCCCAACACGAAGTGGGCCTACAAGTCCAGAGAACGTGACTAAAGCTGTTCGACCACAATCGCTTATTTCATCATATTCCGTTCAGACCACTTACTCAGAAACGTCGAATGGATCTGGCTACGTGACCGGAAATTCCACAGATACTAATCAAAACGCTACAGCCAGCACCTTCATGATGAACGGACATTCTATGTCACACGTCTCGACGTCTACGCCGTCTGCAAGACCGCAGTACTCCCGCGTCGCTAGCGACTGGTCGGTGAACTCGAAAAACGTTGCATCGCAACCTGCTTCGCCGACCTCTTCATTCACGACCCTGTCAAGAACCAATTCTCTGGAATCATCTTCGCGCTCGGTGCGCGGAAGGCCAAAAAGACGCAAGGGAAGCGGTCTTTTTGGAAACTCCACGTCCAACAACTTTTTAACCAAACGTGGAAAGTCGCCATTACAATCGAAGCTCAACGCTAAATGGAGCTTTGGTGGGGTCCAAAAGACATCAAAGGAGAGTCGACGTGGGAACGATACAAAGAACCGCCAGCAGGTTATTGAGGAAGAGGCAGAGGACGAGGATTCTCAAGCGGAGCTGCTAAATGAAACAGAATACGCAGACGGAGAGATGGAAGAGGAGGAAGAACTAGGAGAAGTGGATTCTGAGTTCGAAAGGTCCGAGGTCCATGATGTTGCGGAGCGATTCGCCAATTATAAGATCGACCAACCCGTGGCATAGAGATGATTTAGTGTTAAAGATCTATCATAGAGCGTTAGAAAAAAAATGCGTAAACCCGGAATCGAACCGGGGGCTCGTCGATGGCAACGACGAATTTTACCACTAAACCATTTACGCAGTACACGGTGGATTTAGGAACGTCAGTGTACATAGGTCTATAATTTACTCTCCATGAAGATTTCAGAGTAGCTCGAATCCAATCGCAGTAGCCGTTGGTATTTGCTGGCAGCTGAATCTGTAAGCGATACTTTGGACCTAAAAAGATCGTAATAACCAAGAACCACAAGCTGTATCGGGATTACCAACGTGAGTTTGGTGAGTGTTTCTCCGGAAGCTGTTCTGCCATTGCTGCTCATGAGCCCGAGGAGCTCGTTTTTCTTGTTTAAGAGAGCCCCGCCAGATGATCCTGACCAGCAGGAAGAGCTACTGACTGTTAAGCACTGTATTTCTTGTTGGATGTTTCTGAAAAGGTGTTTTAACTCCACCACAGAATTGATACAACCACGAGAAATCAGTGGATGCAAATGAAGGGAGTCGCAGAAAAGTCCGTATGCAACCGACTTTGTGCGCATCAGTCGTCGAGAGTTGTCTTTCAAATCAAGCAGGATCTCCAAACTACTGGCGGCATTGCTGATTGTCAGCTCGTTTGGTAGCTTGGCAACGGAATCAAAGGCGAGGTTCTTTTTGATAAAGCACAAATCACATAGCTGACCATCAAACGGTACTAGCACATCAACGCCAGCAACCAGTTTGCCCAACTCAATGGTATTCCCACGGTAGTGTAACGCCAGATCCTGTGCTAACTGGTTCCCTGAGAATACAACATGGCGATTGGTTGCAATCATATTATCTTTAACGATGACACCGCTTCCCCAGTATCTTGTCCCATCTAGCTTGCCGCTTATGCCAACAACAAACGGAAACTCGTTTAGAGGAGCCATTGTCGGTAGTTGCGCCGAACATAGTCCAAATTCTGCAAGTTCTCCATGACTCAAGCTCAGTACTATCATTAAATTTCCCTGTCCATCAAGCTTTCTCAGCACTCCCATCACTACTCCAATTATGCTACCATCAACAGTGACCACACCACCCTCCATGTTCTCAAGGTATTTCAAGTCGCTCAAATAAACTCCCCCCTTTTTATAGCAGATGGTGGCTGTGCTGGTATAACCATGGAAAACATGACTAGTAGAGCTGAACGGAGAAGCCTCAAGCAAACACTCGTCACCTACTTCAACTCTATCCGATATGCGACTATAATTGCCCTCGAACGCGAGCCCGCGGACCTCCGCGACGACAAAGCGGCACCTTTCAATGTCCTCGCCAGTCACTGTGTCGACCTTGAACCCACCCATCGTGAGATGAGCAATTGACTTTTCGTCAACATCCACAAACTTCGGGCTGTCGCATCTGATCCAGCAAACCGGGTCCTTGGACTCCAGCGCAATGTAAACATCGATTTTCTTGTCCCCTATCAGCACATTGTTCGGTAATGCGACTAAAGTGACTACCAATGTTTTGTTCCCAAGTTGAAGTATTAGACCCGATAACGTGCACAACAAACTCTTTGTCGCGCAGTCGCTAATTCGCACGATAATCGAGGAATATTTTGTCTCCATCAATATCAATCTTTGTTTAATTAAAATTTAAGATTAATTAATTCGAATAGCTTTATCGTATCACATACAAAAAAAGAAGTGTTACAACTTCATAACGCGTTCAGTAACAAACCTTTGAGCTCTTTCTTGAATTCGTCAAGCTCATCAGTTTTGATCGGTGTAGACATAGATAATGATGGATCGTTGTCTTTTCCATCAAAAGTCTCGTTCGTGGTTTTTAAGTTCCCAGCACAAAGTTTCTCCAAGGTTTTTTTGAACTCTTCCTTGTCTTGATTCTCATGGGTAGTCTCAACAGAGTCGTGCTCTCTCTCTGGTGCATCACCCTCAAAGACAGTGATCAGATTGAAGTTAAGTCCACTACTATGCCGTTTTTTTGGAGGCGGGAACTCTCTCTCGCTCATTTGTGGAGACACAACTGGACTAGGTTTAGCTGAAACTTCAGGAACGTTGACACATTCCATCAATCTGTTATAGCTTTCGACAAGATCGCTGATGAAAGTCCCAATTTCAGCTAGATCATCGGGAGACCCGGATTCGTGACATTCAAGTGCAGCCAACCTATTGCTAATGACATCCACTTTGCGTGTAATCTCATTATACTTGAAGTCAGATCTCACAACAGGCACCAAACTGTCAAGCTCGTGCGATTGGAAATCGTTCATTAGCTCCAAACTTAAATTTTCTTCCAAAGAGATCAGTTGCTGTAGAACTTGTACAATTAAGATCAAGCGTGTAGGCAAATGAAGGTGGCTGGGAACAAGGTTTCGGCCAAAGACACGAGAACACATATGGATAAACTGTAGGTTATCATCTTTTTCTGATAAGCTTGCATTCTCGGCCAAAGAGAGCAAAGCACACAGGAAGACTTTGCGCAGCAGCTTGAAGCATTGCACTAGTCTGACAGGACTAGTAGTCAATTGATTGGGCGAAGGTGCTGAAGAGCTTTGAGATAGAACCGGATTTTTCAGTGCCACGGACTCACTTGAAACAGATCTTAATCGTAATGGTTTCAATCGCGATGGTTTAGGACTCGAGTAAAAGTCGTCACTATTGACGAGTCTCAAAAATTTGAAGTCTGGGCCCATCAGATCCAGCTGATATATATCCAGATACTTATGGAAGAAATCGAAGTCCACAAATGGAAGAAGAAAGCGTAATTTGGATCCTGTTGTTAAAAGTAGCACATTCATCGTACTGTTAAAAAGGAGTGGAGAGATTGACCTTTGATGCTCTTGTTTCTTGCTTGAAAGTGTTCGTGCAGGTCCCGAGTCAATTGTTTTCAAGCTCATGGAGATTCGTTGATCCAACACATGGCTCACACAAAGATATTTGGTTAACTTGTTGATCGCCAATTGAAGATAAATCTTGACGGCTATCTGCTTGTTGTTGTAATCGTGGAGCAGGAATGCGATTGAAAGAATCACAGCCAACTTCAAACAGGCTAAACGAACGCTATGCAGGTTTTTCTTCACAAAGTGAAGTAATGCTAATGCTAGATGGAGAGATTGGTGAGAATGAACATATCGACGGGAAATAAATTGTGACACGTCCAGAATCACTCTGTTTTGATTTTCCGGAACAGGGTCAACATTGTCAGTTGAGGTCATAATACTGGAGGCAATGATTCCGAATTTGAACTTGTCAAGCGCTAATTGAACGTGTTGTTGTAAGCCCTCGTATTTTTTCAAATAGTCTTCGAGTAATTGATCATAAGTGACCATGGAAATTTGTTTCTCATACAACGGAGAAGTGAGAACAGAAGAGAAGTTTGAGCCTTGAAATCGGATCGTGGGTCCACTGTTCGTTTGGCTGAGCGTGCTGGAGCTCCAATCTGGATGGGTATAAAGTTTATGCTTAGCATCACTCGACGACTCGGCCAGGGTCTCCTCAAACCCCCAGTCAGCCAGTGATTCAACAGTGGACCAAAGCTTTGGGTCTCGCCCAGGCCTGGATATTCGGGCGTCCATGTTGGTTCATAGGAAGAGGACTGTATGTGGTAAACGGACAAGAAAATAAAAACAAAAGTAGCCGCGCGTGATTTACCGAGCGACGCGTCGGGAATTACTGTTTTTTCTGATCAATGTGGGCAATTACTCCATGGTGTGAGTAGAGTATCCAGTGATCACATTCGTGCTGTTTCACGAACATGGTTGATGTCTGAAGAAGACTCGTACGATTATTATTAGCTCAAAACACCTATGTGGATACTACCCCGGTTCAAGTTCCGGAAAACTGCCTTCTTAGCTTAGTGGTAGAGCGTTGCACTTGTAATGCAAAGGTCGCTAGTTCAATTCTGGCAGGAGGCATTTTTTTTTTAATTTTTTTTTATTACTCCTCTTGATGTCGCAACGCGATTTTCGCCAGAAACAGGCTGCCACTATGAACAGTCTCGCAAGCCAGGATACGATGCTTGCCTACGCGTTGAGTCGTCAGTTTGAATCGATTCACGGACTGGAAATGAAAAGATTTCCCACAACTGTCAAGCAGAGTGAACATCAACTTATACGATACCTTTGCAGAAAGCCGCCCGTAAACGATGAACACTAGCATGCGGGTGCAAGAAGTTGCACCTAGTTTTCATTGAGGATATATCTATTTATTTATCAATTATCGCAATCCATAAGTCGCTCTAATATACATCATTAACTGACCTCATCTATTTGCGTTTGTCGCGCCATTCATGTCGTTTGCGCTTACCCACAAAACCAGATCGAGAAGGAGCTGGCAGTCCCGATGGTTTTTGAGGCAGCATACCGGATTTTCTTGGCTGGAGAGGTATTCTATTGGCATTTTTTGGTTTTCCTGAAAACTTACTGTTTTTCTCTTGGTTGTCCTGTTTATCATGCTTCTTGGGTTTCTTATCTCTGTGTTTATCTTGTTTGTATTCGTCAAACAAAGGTCGGCGTTTCTTAGGCAATGATGAGTGGTACTGTCTCCTCAATTCTCTAGGGAGATTTTCTCCCGTAAAGGCAGATCCGTTGATGTTTGGTGTTTTGGAGACCCGCTGTTGAAGACATTCGTCTCCATAATGACCTCTCTCTGCACAGTTGTAGCAATAAATCAAATCTGCAGGGTATTTGAACTTGTGAGCTTTGTTCTGAGGAAGCGTGATATAGCTTCGCCAAATATTCGGGCAACGATCGGCGGAGTGCGTCTTTGAGTTACAGTCTGTACAGAAGTTAAACTTCCGTCTTTGCTTGCACTGGTTGCGGAAATGACCTCTTTCACCGCAGTTGGTACAAACCATCGAATTTGGACATTGTGTCTCGTAGTGGTCGTCCACCTTGCCACACGCGTGACAAACAACTACCTTACAGTTGACTCTAATATGGCCGCGTCGATGGCAGTTTGAACAAACTGGTTGCGACAATTCAGGATCACTTACTCCAAAGTATCTTCCTTCGCCTCTCAACTCCACTAGTTCATCGTTATTGTGATTGACTTGACCATATTCAAGAGAATCCACAGGAGGAACAGAAGATTCTTCTTCCAGAGGACTGTTTTGGTTAGTCAACATGATGTTTGTTACCTACTTTCGATCCAAATCTTCCGGATCTGACATAACAAGACTGAATTTTTGAAGATTATTTTTTCTTGTTATTTTACCCGGACTTTTTTCGTTGAAAAGTGGAAATTTATGATATAACTTACTCAATAACTTTATTTTACTTACCATGGCTGAGATCGAAAAGAAAGTCCAAGCACTTTCCGTAGACGACAAGAAGTCCAAGAAGGCCGAAAAGAAGGGGTCCGATGATTCTGTGAAGAGACCTTTGGAGTTGAACCCCAAACCAGCTTTCATTGACCACAGAATCAAGATTTTCGAACAGATTAAGGCTAAACAAGATGCAGCTATTGCCGCTAAGGAAAGAGTGCCTGTCAAAGTCACTTTGAAGGATGGTACTGTCAAAGAGGCTATTGCCTGGGAAACTAGTCCGTTGGAGATCGCCAAAGGTATCGGCAAGTCTTTCAGCGAGAGACAAGTGATTTCCAAGGTGAACGGCGAACTCTGGGATCTCGAAAGACCATTCGAAACTGATTCGAAACTCGAATTCTTTGATTTCGACTCTACCGAGGGAAAACAAGTTTTCTGGCACTCCTCTGCCCATATCTTGGGTGAGGGTTGCGAGAACCATTACGGAGCCCATTTGTGTTTCGGTCCTCCAACAGAAGATGGATTTTTCTACGACATGGCTATCGATGAGGGAGACTACAAAGTTTCGCAAGCCGACTTCTCTAACATCGAAACTCTTTGCTCTAAGGCTATCAAAGAGAAGCAGCCTTTTGAAAGATTGGTGCTGACTAAAGAAGAGCTTCTTGAAATGTTCAGTTACAACAAGTACAAGGTGGCTTTGATCCAAAGCAAAATCCCAGATGGTACGTCCTCCACCGTTTACAGATGCGGTCCATTGATCGATCTCTGTAGAGGTCCTCACGTTCCTCACACCGGTAGAGTGAAGGCTTTCAAGGTGCTGAAAAATTCTTCTTCCTACTTCCTCGGTGATTCCAACAACGATTCTTTACAGAGAGTTTATGGTGTTTCTTTCCCAGACAAGGCTTTGATGAAAGAACACCTTAAGTTCTTGGAAGAGGCCGCCGCCAGAGATCACAGAAAGATTGGTAAGGAGCAAGACTTGTTCTTCTTCCACGAAATGTCTCCAGGTTCGTGTTTCTGGTTGCCTCATGGTGCAAGAATCTACAATGCTTTGTGCGACATATTGAGAGTGGAGTATAGAAAGAGAGGCTACGAAGAAGTCATCACTCCCAACATGTACAATGCTAAGCTTTGGGAGACTTCCGGTCATTGGGCCAACTATAAGGAGAATATGTTCACCTTCGAAGTCGAAAAGGATACATTTGGTCTCAAGCCGATGAACTGTCCTGGCCACTGTGTGATGTTCAAGTCCAGAGAGAGATCTTATAGAGAATTGCCATGGAGAGTTGCTGATTTCGGTGTGATCCATAGAAACGAGTTCTCTGGTGCTCTTTCAGGATTGACTAGAGTGAGAAGATTCCAGCAGGATGATGCACACATTTTCTGTACCCAGGATCAAATTGAGGATGAGGTCTCTGGTGTGTTTGACTTCTTGAAACACATCTATGGTATCTTTGGTTTTGACTTCAAGATGGAACTTTCCACTAGACCTGAGAAGTACGTTGGTGAAATTGAGACTTGGAATCATGCCGAGGCTAAGCTTGAGAGTGCTCTGAAGAAATGGGGTGGAAACTGGGAGATCAACCCTGGTGACGGTGCATTCTACGGCCCTAAGATCGACGTGATGATTTCAGATGCTTTGAGAAGATGGCATCAATGTGCCACTATCCAACTGGACTTCCAGCTGCCAAATAGATTCGAGCTTGAATTCAAAGGAAAAGACGATTCTGCCGATGTGCAGCGTCCCGTCATGATCCACAGAGCTATCTTGGGATCGATCGAGAGAATGACTGCTATATTGACCGAGCATTTTGCTGGTAAATGGCCATTCTGGCTTTCTCCGAGACAGATTTTGGTGGTTCCGGTTGGTGTGAAGTATTTCGATTACGCTCAACAGGTTCAGAAACAACTGCAATCTGAAGGATTCTATGCAGACGTTGATCTTTCCGGAAACACTTTGCAGAAGAAGGTTAGAACCGGTCAAGTTCAGAAATACAACTTTATCTTCATTGTTGGTGAGCAAGAACAGAACAACAAGGCAGTCAACATCAGAAACAGAGATATCCAAGAGTTGCAGAGCAAGAACGACATGGTGCAATTGGACGAGGTGCTACCTAAACTGCATGCTTTGAAAACAGAAAAGAGAAACGACAATGCTTTATAGGTTTTCTGAATCGCACATGACAAAGATCTGATGTATTCGAGTGGGTGTAGGCGTAATTGATGGACCTGTATGGAGCGTTAAAGAAACGAGGATAAAAAAAATGCGTAAACCCGGAATCGAACCGGGGGCTCGTCGATGGCAACGACGAATTTTACCACTAAACCATTTACGCGAACTTGTAAATTTTGGCTCATGTTCACACATGTCATAAAAACAAAAATAAGCGCCCGCGGTTTCCATAACAACAAACCGCTGGGGTTAAAACTAACAACAAACGCCATGCTATCTATTCATTCCTATTTATCTTTACTGTCATCGGTCTTTTCCTTGTCTTCCTGCTCCTCCTCATCGTCATCTATTTTGAAGTTATCTCCGCTCGGCTTCTGCACGGGATCATCAAACGGGTTTTCTGGAGTTGGCAGACTCTCCGGCGGATCTCCGAATGGGTTATCACTGTTGAGGCTGCGCAAGTCGTCAAACTCGAATTCATTTCCATACTGATCGAGATTGTTGTAGATTTCTTGCGGTTCTTCTGGATCCGCATCCCCATTATCGGCCGTTGGGATTTGCGACGAAGCAGCTAAAAGATAGGATGAGTCTGTAGGCCTCCAAATTATGGCTAATCCAATGAACACAATGAAATAAATACAAGCTGGCCAGAAGTCTGTCAGAACGTCGCTGAATTTCCACAATCTTTCGATCGATTCCGTGAGCGAGTCGTTGAAAACAAGAACGACGTTGATAATAAGAGCAAACACCATAAGAAGCATGGAGCCGAAAATCAGCTTAAATAGATTCTTGTACATCTTGAGCTTGACAATTTGCTTCTTTTCAGCTAAAAGCTTAACTGTTTTCTGTAAAGAGGTGAGGATCAAGAAGTAGAACACCACAAGCAAAACAGCAAGTGGCAGAGTAATGATGAGGATGACCCAAGAGTTTGCTTCAATGGTAGTTGTAGCTTTGGATGTGTTTGTGGTCGAACCGGAAGGTTGGACCTGACTTGAATAGTACGAGAACCAGATAAAGACAGTGCTGACTAGGAAATGAGCTGCAGCAAGTAGCTTGCACTTGTTCATAGTTTTGCGCTGAAGCTTTGGGTAGACAACACCGTAGCCTAACGAGATGATGAGCAACAAAAACAGCGAGAATGACACCCTGAAAGCATTGAGCATCGAGATGAATGAGATGTAGAATTTGATCCCATTAGGGATTGGGAACGTCTTGTTGTTATTCTCAACGTCGTAGAGAGACCAAACAAGGATATTTTCGACCGTAAGGAAGACAAAAAATCCAGCCAGGTATTTTTGGAGCAATAGCAACTCCGAGCGGTGTTTAAACACTTGAAACAGGTAAACGCTCAAACACACAGCATAAACGACGGCCAGAAGTCCATATAGAGGTAATTTCGGAATTTCCGAAGCTGGAAGGTTGCCAAAGGCGTTATGGAAATTGACGATCACGCTAAAAGACCCCTCAGAGGAAGAGTATTGGGGATCGTAGACGGCAAGACAGTAATAGCCAGTGTTTGCAACGTGATAACTGAAGTCATTGGTACCAAGTTCGGTAAGAACAGCGGTTTTTATCAAACTATTGCCGGAGTTATTAGAGGACACGATAAATTGATTTAGTTCAGACTTGGGGCAAACGTCTTCCCTCACAAACTTGTCTGTGCAGATGTAATTTGTTACCCCTGTGACATTATCTGTAGTACCTAGATAGTCCATGTCGCGATATTCGAACACAACCAAAGAAAGAGGATGGGTGTCATCGGGGTTCTTGGAAAACTTCTTGACGTCGACTTTAATGAACGGATCCACTGGTCCTCCCCAGTCTTGTCTCGAGTACATGCCTGTACAATACTCAGCCGCATTTGCGGTCAATTCTACCTTTTCTGCAACACAGGCTAGAGCCAGAAGCAAAAAGTGAAATATCATGGGAAGTGAGGCTTATTTTAAAGAGAAAGAGTTCAAAAATCTTGACTAAAATATAATTTTTCATGTCTTTACGTCGGCTTGCCACCGTGGCACACGGTAAATATGGGCCGGGACAGAAGATCCACGGATTTGAAGTTCTGCGGACTTTACCTGTGCCAGAGTTCGGATTAACTGCGGTGGATCTTGTTCATGAAAGGACGGGATCGAAGCACCTCCACATTGATAGACAGGATAAGAATAACGTTTTTAGTATGGTATTCAAAACTAATCCACCAGACAGCACGGGATTACCTCACATTTTGGAACACACGACGTTATGCGGATCAGAGAAATACCCCGTGAGAGACCCCTTCTTCAAAATGTTGAATCGAAGTTTGTCAAACTTTATGAATGCCATGACTGGCCATGATTACACATACTACCCTTTTGCCACTACCAACAAGACAGACTTTTATAATCTGATGGATGTTTACTTGGATTCCACGATGAATCCTCTATTGACTGAAGATGATTTCTACCAGGAGGGCTGGAGGCTGGAAAACCAACAAACCAATGATAAATCGAGTCCTTTACAGTTTAAAGGAGTGGTTTATAACGAAATGAAGGGCCAGATGTCCGATTCGGGATACTGGTTTTGGATCAAGTTTCAAGAAGCAATTTATCCCTCGTTGAATAACTCGGGCGGAGATCCTTCTAAAATGACTGATCTGGTCTATGAAGATTTAGTTGATTTTCATAGCAGGTTCTACCATCCCTCCAATGGATATACTTTCACGTATGGAAATCTTCCATTGAGTGGCCATTTGGAGAAGATCAACGAAAAATACAACCGGTTTGGGAAAAGGACTAGACGCATGGACGTGAAAGAGCCTATAGAGCTCGCAGAACACACATCTGTGAGAGTTGCTGGCCCGGTAGACCCTATGCTTCCCGCGGAGAAGCAATTTAAGAGCTCTCTCACCTGGTACTGCGGGAAGCCAGATGATATTTATGAGTCCTTTGTGATGAAAATGCTTTCTAACTTGTTGATGGACGGCCACTCATCTCCCTTGTACCAAGATCTGATTGAAGCTGGAATCGGATCCGATTTCAGTATCAACTCGGGATTTGATTCAATGACTGACGTCAACATGTTTAGCATTGGATTACAAGGAATGTCCAAAGAGGCAGCTGATGCTCTTCCGGAGACTATTGGTACTGCTATCCGGAAATCGTTGGGTGCTGGATTTGGCAAAGACAAGATCGATGCGATGATTCACCAATACGAGATTGGACGTAAAGTTGAGAGTGCTTCTTTCGGATTGAACATTCTCAACGCTGTTGTTCCTGGATGGGTTAACAGGGTGGATCCGTTAGAGATGCTGCAATGGGACAGCATCATTGGTCGTTTCAAAGAGGACTATGCCCATAAAGGAGATGCAATGTTCAAAGAACTTGGCGAGAAATATCTTCTCTCCGGAGCTTACTTCCATTACACCATGTATCCTGATCAGCAATTGGAACTTGAAATTCAGCAAGAAGAGGAAGCAAGGCTTAGACAAAAAGTTGAAAAATTGAATGAAGACGACAAAAAAGTATTATTTGAGCGTGGAGTCAAACTTTTAGAGAAACAATCCAAACAGGAAGATCTCACATGCCTTCCAAGCCTCTCTACTTCCGATATCAATCGTGATGGTGACACAGTCAGAATTGGTCAAAAGAGTTTGGGTCAAACAGAAATCTATACAAGAGTTTCACCGAAGACTAATGGACTCACATACTTCAGGTCACTGAAAACACTTAGTTCAGAACAGATCCCTGAAGAATTGCTCAAGTATTTGCCTCTGTTCACTGAGTGCCTGACTAATCTTGGAACCAAGAATAAGAGTATGGCCCAGTTAGAGGACGAAATAAAGCTTTATACAGGCGGAATTTCCCCTTCTGTGTTCTGCCATAGCTCTCCAGAGAGCCTAGATACTGCCTATCTTAAATTCAGTTTAGGAGGTGTGGCATTGAACAGCAACTTTGACAAACTTTTAGACCTTTCCTATGAGTTGCTTTCGGAAACAGACTTTGACAACTTGGACAAATTGAGTGTTTTGGTCAAGAGTCTTACGAGCGATAACCTCAGCAGTATCATTAGCAGTGGCCACAGCTACGCTAGAGGATATTCTTCCAGCCAATTGGTACCATCTGCGAAAATTCAAGAGGTTTTAGGAGGAATTGAGCAGATACAGTTTCTAAATGAACTAAGAAGGCTAGACGAACAGAAGCGGCTTGGCGAAGTATCTAAAATCCTGAAACAGATACGTGCTTCCATTTTGGAAGGATCAAATTTCCAATTTGGAGTGACTACAGATCGGTTAAACGCTAGCTTCCAAGAGCAGCTAGTGTCTAGATACAGTGAACGAATTGGGAACTCACTCCACATTGTTCCCTATCACACAGAGGCCAGTGGGTTGCACGAAAATAATGTAATTGAGGTTCCTTCCCAAGTGAGCTTTGCTGCGGCGGCTACTCTAGGTTCAGCTTACATGAACCAGACTGGTGCTGCATTACAAGTTCTAGCTCAGCTGTGTACTTTCAAACACTTGCACGGTGAAATTCGGGAAAAGGGCGGAGCTTACGGGGGCGGCGCAACCTACGACGCTTTGAATGGCGTTTTCGCATACTACAGTTTCCGTGACCCAAACCCGGGCCAATCAGTTGCAATTTTCTCCAAGACCATCGAGGCGGTTGCCGAATTGATACACACCGGGAAAATCTCCGAGGAAGATCTGGGACAGGCCAAATTAAGCATATTTCAAAGTGTGGACTGTCCGCAAAGTGTTCGAAGCGAAGGTGCAGCTATGTTCAATTACGGGATCGATGACGAGATGAGGCAATCCAGAAGAGAATGGCTTCTTGATTGTGATTTGGAAGGATTGCTCGCTACGGCATCAGAAAGTTTCAAGTCTCCGCTTTCCAACACCATTGTTGGAGCGGAGAATGGGTTGGGCTGGAAAAAAGTAACAATTGGGCTCGATGAAGCTTGAGTGCCCCAATAGTTGCTTGCTCTCAGAAGATCTACATAGATAAGTTTTTGTACATATTAAGAAGTATTATTCATGCTAAAATCTCGGGTGTAAAGAAATCAGCTTGCACTAAAAAGCGAGAAAATAAGAATCGGGTATCCAGAATAAGAAAACTTGGCAGATTTGAAGATGCAGCATTTTGCCGGCATTACATATGCAACGATCCACAGCGATAATATAGCCTATAAATAACAGCGAACATATATGTGTTCGATGGCTGCAAAGTTATCGTTTCGCTGTATGCAAGAGAAGAACCTATCTCATGCACTCACACGTAAATTTGTAACGCAACACTTGACATGTTCACCCCTTAGTGGTCAATTTGCGAAAATTTCTCGGTATCCCGAGGAAATACGCGATGCAATCCCTTACCGAGGCAAGTGGCTGTAGTGCCGAATCTATGAGCGGTTTAATCTTTGATCCAGGCGGTGGCGCAAGACCCGGTGTCGGTAGAAATTAAGTGCATTCCAAGTCAAGACAATATTTTCATTCTGGTTCCCGTAACCTTTACATTATTGTGCGAACACAAAGTAGGCCACGCGAGACTCAATAGCCCCAAGTCTACTCGACTCAAGCAGGAACTGTTCCACATTCTAGACGTCTACGCTCTTGCATTCATACATTCACACAGCGGTTAAGTCGGCTGCTCAGATCTTCTAAGCTGACTCGCAACAAACCCCACAGCCGCGGTTATGCTACATTCCAGATCCAATCATCATACCTACAGTGGGAAGTACGCAGATCCGATTTTTGTGAAGATCATTTTCAGCACAACTGAAAAGTTTTCCCCGGAAATCACACGTAATGATGATTCAATCTCAGAGCATTTTTTAAGGGGGAGCTCTTCAGCACATTCTATAAGAAGTTGTGCTCTAAAAGACACGAGGAGTAGCTGCCTAGTTCTCAATTGACCTCATTGCTCAAAGAATGGAGTGCGCTTGGAGGATACACACACACTATGAGATCTTACTAAGATTCCTCACCCTAGGTTTCTCTGTTGGGAAATCTGAGTTATGTAATATCTGCGATCAATTTAACCTCAAAAGGGATTCTTTAATAGTTTGCAAAACTGGGACAGAAGAAGGGAACGTAAAGAATGCACGAATATGCAACATGATGCACTAAAATCTTCATACGGCAGCATGAACATGCATCCGAACATTCAACGCTTATACTTCAGATCATCGAGATCTCTCAGGCTTCTCAATTGCGTAGATGGGAAGAGACGGCTTCACGGCATGTAGAGAACTTTCCACGAATATAAGGAGAACAGTGCCCCCCCTTTTGCTTTCACAGGATAAGTAAAAAACCGATGCTCTTCCGCGCTGTGTTTCTGTCCCTGATCGCTTCAGCGACGGTTTCCGCGACATCATGCGTTGGCGACTACCAGCAGTGTGATGGTCTTCTTTGGTGGTCACAGGCAAGTTGTTGTAATCGAAACTCTAAATGTGTGAGTTACGGTTTTACCGACTGGTGGTATGCGGAATGTGTCCCCATGGGTGATTCTCAAACTACGACTACCTCTACCTCTAAGATCACTAGTACGTCTAGCACATCGAAAACTACAAGCTCAACCACCTCGAGTACGTCAAGTTCGACCACCTCTAAAACGACATCTACGACCTCAAGCAAGTCTACCACTAAATCTACGACATGTACTACTACCTCAACAACACCTACTACGCCTACTACAAGCTCGACCACGACGTCGAGTACGTCGAGTACGTCAAGTACGTCGAGCACGTCGAGTGAATTGAGCACGCCAAGTACTTCAAGCACGTCGAGCACGTCAAGTTCTTCAAGTACGTCAAGTACATCAAGCTCTTCAAGCACGTCGAGTACATCAAGCTCTTCAAGTACGTCGAGTGAATTGAGCATGCCAAGCTCTTCAAGCACGTCGAGTACATCAAGCTCTTCAAGTACGTCGAGTACATTGAGTACTTCAAGTACATCAAGCACGTCAAGTTCTTCAAATACATCGAGTACTCTGAGTATATCGAGTACATTGCCTAGTACTTCGACTAGCTCAAGCGCTCTGAGATCCTCCACAACTTTAAGTACGGATAGCACAAGCTTTTCGACACCAATTGTGCCTCCAACGAGCTCAAACACTCCAAGTCCTGTGAGATCCAGTACACTCAGTCAAGCAACTGAGACAACCCCATCCAGTCAGTCGAGTTCCACAACCCAAAGCACTCCGACAGCACAATCAACAAGCTTCTCTGTCACCAGTATCTCCACAAGCTCAGGCACTCCAATTACAACGATTCCAACTATTTCGAGCTCAAACAGTGCACCTAGTACACAACTCAGCTCGGAGAACACAGGATCTACGAGCTTTGGTTCAACTTCAGGGGCAAGCAGTTCAAGCTGGCAGCAAACATCACCGAGCCCAATCTTCCCCAGCAGTTCACAACCATGCGATACCACTGATCAGTCCCAGACCGAACCACATCACCCTACTAGCCCATCCTGGTCCACTGTGAGTACTTCTGGAGCTTCTTCTGGTGTTTCATCTGGAAAGTCGTCTTACACTCCAACTAGTGGATCGTGGTCCACTGTGAGTACTTCTGGTTCTTCTTCTGGTGCTTCCTCTGCCTCTGGAGCTTCTTCTGGTGTTTCATCTGGAAAATCGTCTTACACTCCANCGTTTTCTACCACACCAACTGGTACCGAATCGTCTAGCGTTTCTCCAACTGGTACTGAGACGTCCTCTACCACACCAACTGGTACTGAGTCGTCTGGCACTCAATCTACTCCAACTGGTACTGAGACGTCTAGCGTTTCTCCAGCTAGTACCGAGACGTCCTCTACAACCCCAACTGGTACTGAGTCGTCCTCTACCACCCCAACTGGTACTGAGTCGTCCTCTTCCACACCAACTGGTTCTGAGTCGTCCTCTTCCACACCAACTGGTTCTGAGTCGTTTTCTAACACACCAACTGGTACCGAATCGTCTAGCGTTTCTCCAACTGGTACCGAGACGTCCTCTACCACACCAACTGGTTCTGAGACGTCTGGCACTCAACCTACTCCAACTGGTACTGAGACGTCCTCTACAATCCCAACTGGTTCTGAGTCGTCTGGCACTCAAGCTACACCATCTGGTACTGAGTCGTCTGGTGGCCAGGTCAGCTCTACGGCTACCGCGTCGACACCTACTAATTCCCCGGCAGTCGGTACTGCCTCATCCGGTGCTTATAATGGTTCCGGTTCGTCTTCAGCTCAGGCTTCTTCGTCTGCGGCTAATGGCAGCGAGCCCACCTACTCTGCTGGCCATTCAACACTGTCCACGGCTTCAGTTTCAAGTGCTCCTACGAGTGCTCCAAGTTCGGTTGCTATCCTCGAAGGAGCAGCTAGTGGATATGTGGCTCCATCGTTATCCGTCTTTGGAACGATGGTATTCATTATTTTATACGCTATCTAAGTTTAGTTTGAATCTTAAAATAAGATATGATTTCTTTATGAGCGTTGGTAAATCTTTCACAATTCTTGTGATAGATTGATACTGGAAGGTTTGATTTGGTAAGATCAGTGATAGGCTGTTAAGTCACGTGATACGGAATTGTTTTTTCCTTCGCGACAAGCGCTCGGTTTGCCCTGCTTTTCGTTGCCACCCACACCACGGACGAAGTATGTGGGTCGTTTGAACATGTACATCTATTTTGAAGCGCGGGGACTTGGTAACGGATATTAACTATGTGTGCCCCGATATTCTTCCGGTATTCATGAATTTGACTAAGACTACAGATGACGAAACAAGAACACTGGACTACCAGACCAACCATTTCACGGGATACTCGGCAAATGAACATGAGGCAGGATAGCGTAACAAGCACAGTGACGAAGGTACAATTCGTTTACGAAATGAATTACTTTGAGAAAAACGCGTGTAAGGATGTATCATATATTGCTCCGTTTTGATGGCTTATTAGAGTCGTGTGTGATCACGGTATATAATTTATCAGTTGAAATTTACGTCTTCTTATGGCTAGCAAAAACAACAAGCCTTCAGTTCCCAAAGGCTGGGTTGCAGTTTGGGACGATACATACAATGGTAAGTGACTACGTGCTCATATATTAATATTCTAACACTCTGTAGAATGGTTTTACGTCAATGAAGCTACAGGGAAGTCTCAATGGGAGGCGCCACAAGGAACGCAGTCCTCAACAACGAGCAACCCCGATGCCCCCCCTCCTTATTCAGAGATAGATTCCAAATCGTCGCAACAACAGGGCTCTGCAGCTCAACCTGTCAGTCAACAAGGTGCCTCCGTGTTAAATTATCCCTCCACCAGTGCTGCACAAACAGCTAGTATTGGCACGAGACCCCAACAGCAAGGCCAGTATCCACAATATTCGCAGTATCCTCAAACTCAATCACCTTATGGATACCAGGCTCAACAGCAATATGGGTATCCACCTCAACAGCCGATGTATGCTCAGCAGTATCAAAGGCCATCGCGGTTTGGCGGAATGGGTGGAATGGGAATGATGGGAGGTGTAGCTGCTGGCGCGTTAGGGGGCCTTCTTCTGGGTGATATGATGACACCAGATACGGTTGTGTATGATAATGGAGGCGACTTTGGAGGCGGAGACTTTGGTGGAGGTGACTTTGGCGGAGGAGACTTTGGCGGATTTTAAGACTACTTTTTTCACGCTTTCTGCATATGCTCTTTATGTTTCACTTGGAATGGTATCTGATATTCCGTTACAGATGTAAAAATATTTTAAACTTGACATTTATATAAAGCCCCTTGCTCGTAAATGGAGAAACCGAACTCCTTTAGAACCTCCGTCCACCTGGCTGCAGGGTTTACTGGCGGACTAACATCAGCATTCTGTCTCCAACCCCTTGATCTTTTGAAAACTAGAGTACAGCAAGATAGAACAACATTGAAAGCGGTGTTGAATCAAATCAATTCTCCTGCTGAGTTATGGCGGGGAACAGTACCGAGCGCTTTAAGGACATCAATAGGAAGTGCGCTATATCTTGCATCTCTCAATGCAGTCCGAACAAGCTTGGTGAAAATGAGGCCTCAGACGAATGAAGTCTCATCTTCTTCAAAGTTGCCAACGTTATCTTCATCACTTGATTTAGCCGCAGGAGCTGTAACTCGTGGCCTCATTGGATTTACGACAATGCCTATTACTGTTTTGAAAGTTAGATTTGAATCCAATATTTATGATTACGCTTCGATGTCGGAAGCAGGAAAAGAAATATGGAAAAATGAAGGCCTTGCGGGGTTCTTTCGAGGATTTGGAGCGACATGTTTAAGAGACTGTCCATATGCTGGTTTGTATGTTCTATTTTATCAAAAATGCAAAAGCTGGATTCCAAGAGTGTTCGAGAATAATTTGCAACCAGATTCATACAGTATGTCAAAATCAACCGCAATCAATTCGTTTTCTGCGGTAGTTGCAGCCGTCACGGCAACAACTATAACCTCTCCTTTCGATACAATCAAAACGCATATGCAACTAAATCCGGGAAAGTATAACAGCTTTTTGAACACAGGAAATCTGTTGGTAAGGACTCACTGGACACATCTCTTTGATGGAATTACCCTTAGAATAATCAGGAAGGGCCTCAGTGCTGCAATAGCATGGGCAATCTACGAAGAAATTGTCAAGTTCGCTCCTAATTGACATGTACATAAAGATACCTCTCAAAAGTTTATAGTCTGTTTTTACGTAAAACAACCGCAACATCGACATTTGCTATAGTCTTCTCCTGATTCACGATACCCAGTACAGCAATTCCGAGAAAGGAGTGAAATGGGTCCGGAATTTCATCTGGACTATTTGTTTTTGTAAATCCGCCGGTGATTCTTGAGAGAGTTTGCGATAATAGGAACCGGATCATTGCATCTCTATCAACCAACTTCGACTCATTCAACAGCTCAAGTGCGGCAACACACCAGAAGGCATAACATGTATCGGCATATTTGTTTTCTCTTCCATTGAAGCCACCAAAATCGTCCGGGTCGGCGTAGTCATTTTGGAGTTCCGGCTCATTGTGAATGTTAAATTGAACCTGTCTATGCACCAGAAAATCAATTGTCGACACCCAGTCACGAGGCTCGAGCTTTCCAGCAAGTTTCAATGCGCTCAGGCCACAATACGTGAGACCAGCATGGGATTCTGCTCCTTCGTTCATCGATAGCCCGCCATCAAAAGCCAAAGTAGAGTGGATGTATTCAATCAGTTTTGAAGAGTCGGTGGGATCGACCCGTAGAAGACGTTTAATCATCATGGCCAGCATGCAATAACGTAAATCGTCTTCACCGAAACCAACAATAGGGCTGAAAGATCCGTTTGGGCGTTGACACAGATCAACAAACCGCGAAACCTTATCTTTGTCCAGTCGTTCGAGGTCGTCTCCTAAACTCACCAGTATCTGCAACGCGAACCCGGTAGCTGCAAGATTGGCAACATCATAGCTTCCACAGTCTCTATATATGTCGGAGCCGCGGAATCCACAATGATCGCTTTCTTCCACTAATTGAGTGTAAATCCAATCAATGATAGTTTCCTTTTCAGGCAGCTGATTCAAAGCATTCAGCAAGTCTAAAGCACAGATACAGAAATACGTCAGTGCCAGCCTATTAGAATCTTCCGACTCGTACCTGGAGGGAAGCAGCCCAAGACATCGAATGAAATACTTCACATGAACACTGGGATCAAACATTGCAAAATCAGATTTATTTTTTATATAATCAATTTTTTAAAATCACTTTGTAAGTAGATATCTCAAACCCTCTGGACTCCACGATGAAGGAATTGTTGTCAACTGAGACCTCACTCTTTTCTTCTTCAAGTATGTTGGTTTTGAAAACTTTATCCACCGGATAATTCACAGTTAATTTTGCTTTTGCTTTACCACCGAGGGCTTCGTATATCCGAAGAACGATGGTCTTCTGTCCTGCATACTTCTTCGGCAGATTCTTGTAAATACCTTCAGATTTCAGATCTGAATCGTCTTCGCCCCGTTTGATATTTGAAATAATCAAGTTGTCATCTCCGGAGATGCTTACTATACTTTTGCCGAAATCACCAACATGACCAAGTCTCTCGTTGAATTCCCAACCTGCACGGACAGTCTGAGCTCCTAAAGGTCCCGAATGAGGAAACACTGCAAATTTAAACGAGTGTTCTCCCATATCAGCATGCGCGTCGGGTGACTTCGGGGCGCGCATCAATGATAAAGTCATCAGGTTTCCGTGAACGTTAGCACCGTACTTGTTGTTGTTCAAGATAGAGACACCATAATTGAAATCGGAATAATCGACAAACTTATGACAACAGCACTCAAACTTGGCCACATCCCAGCTTGTGTTGAAATGAGTTGGACGTTTGGTAATGCCGAATTGTGTCTCGTAGCTAGCGAAATCGTTGTTGACAGACACCGGAACTTCAATCTTCAAAAACTTGTATGTTTCATGCCAATCAATATGGCAATCAAACTTGAGACTTGTTCTTTCGGAAAGTGACTGGAGAGCATCCAAAGATATGATAGTTGTTAATTTGCTATCGTCTGAAAGATCATGCTCAATTTTCAGAGAAGAAACCAACGGACCGTTTTCCAAGATCTCTACCTTACCCGACTTCACATAGCGAAACTTCTCTCGTGAAAAGAGTTCAGTGTCCCAGGCTGGGAAGCTCAGCGGAGTATCAGACAGCAAAACGTACTGTATTCCGCGATGGTTGGTCGTATCAAGAACTTCTCTTTCATGCAGAATATCGTAAAGGGCAACAATCACACCATCGCTATCAATAGTAGCACGCAGCCGGCCATTTTCAAGAACAAATGTGCCATTTACTTGAGTGACTTTTGACCTGTACTTCACAGACTTTGACGACTCAACTGGAACAAGAGTATCACCCTTGGAGCAAACAGCTGTATAACCCCGTTGCATCCAGCTACCATCCATTTTGACTATACCTGCACGCTCCCAGCCAAAGGAGTTCAGAATGTGTTTTCCAGGTTTGAAAAGCTTCTTGATTTCGGAAATTAACTCCAGTTCAATTCGTTGAACTCTTTCAAGCATGGGCCAAACATCCTCGTGATAAACCTTTTCGATGCATGATCCCGGAAGAACGTCATGGAATTGGCACAAACAAATATCCTGCCATAATCGATCTATCTTTTTATGAGGATACTGGTAATCAAGTTCAAGCGACGCCTTGGTAGCAAGGTATTCTAGGTCTCGCATCAGTAATTCTGAGGTCCTCATCAAGTCTTTGACATGAGCCTGAGAAGTGTAGGTACCTCTGTGAAATTCCAAATAAAGCTCACCACGCCAAGATGGTAGACTCTTGCCATTGTCAGTGCCCTTTCTTAGCAAATTGTAGAAATCCGTAACATTGATACCACTCTCAACAGTAGGCATTTCGCCTGCCGAATTTTCAGCCAAACCACGGATTCTACGGAGACGCTCAAGCATACTAGGAGTTGGCCCACCTCCACCATCGCCTTTTCCGTAAAGAAGAAGACCTTTTTGATCATTGTAAAGGTTATGATGACCGCTAATTGACCTCTTCACGTCCCCGAAATTTGCATCAGCAGTGTAAGTGTTTGCAGGAGGCATATGAACAAGAACCTGAGAAGAATCAATTCCCACCCAATTAAAGGTGTTTTCCGGAAATTGATTGATATTGTTCCACGATAGCTTCTGAGTAAGAAAATTGGGCATCTCTGCCAGCCGAGATAATTGAGGAATCTGTGACGAGTAACCAAACGAGTCCGGGAGCCAATAAGTATCGCTCTTGAACCCAAAGAGATCCTGGAACCACCGCTGTCCTAGTAGAAATTGGCGTACCAAGCCTTCTCCACTTGGAAGATTTGTGTCATTTTCAACCCAGCTACCACCAACAGGTACAAATCGACCTTTCTGAGCATAGCTTATAACTTTTTTGAACAAGTCTGGATAATATTTTTTGAGCCACTTGAAATGCTGGGCAGCAGAGGCAGCAAACACATATTCCGGATACTGATCGATCATGCGAAGCTGGGTCGACCAACTTCTGGCAATTTTTGTTTTTGAGGTTGCAAAGTCCCACAACCACGCCGTGTCTATGTGACAATTTCCGATTGCGTAGACTGCATTGTAGACACTCATTTTGCCTGCGTACACCTTTTCTGAATCCACATCAGGACCCAGAAATTCTCGTGCAATTTCACGACATTTCAGAACGCTGGATTCGTCTTCACTATCGAAAGTGTCCATAATACGATTACCGATTTCTCGAGCCTTGTGTCGTGGAGCTCCCTGTAATTCCCGAGCGGAATCACCGATCATCCAGAAATCGTAATATAATGCTCTCGCATCGAGATTTGGGACAACAAGATCAGCATCACGTAATTCGTAACTATCTTGTGTGCTTCCTGACATTCCATTGCATCCAATTTCAAGGTAGAAAACTTGTTCCCCTTTCCTCCAGGATTCCGGAAGTTCAAACTCAACTCGCTCCCCTCCACCTGTCAATCCTTGCAGAGGAGTGCCTTCAGAGCTAAAGAGAAGCCCCTCCGTACCACTGTCCCATTTGAATAGCACAGTGTCGTACTGGGCCCATGAGTCTGGTACTTTTATCTTAATTTCAAACCAATGGGATGACCAAGCCGGGCCAAAGCGGTCACCCTTGTGAGCAGGTTTGAACTCATTCAATTTCGAGGGAATAACACTTCTGAACAACGGCTTTGAGAGACCAGGTGCTGCCCAAGTACGCAATTCAACATATCCCTCGGCACCGTCTTCATATCCCGTATCAATGCGAGCCTTGGTGTAGAACTTGGGGAGCATTAAATTGGAATACTGCCCCCCTTCATCGATGAATTGACGAAGCCGATTCTCATAAATTGAATCAACAGGCTTGAATTGAGAGCCAACATTGAGTTGTGGGTACGTTGACTCGGTCATTTTAAAAGAGCAGTCCAAGTTATTACAATTAGATTATCTGCTTTGCCAGCTTATGGAACGGCACCGCCTTAATTAAAAATAATACAGTTACTATATTTGTACGTCATACTTGCGGAGCAAAGAATTTGTGGTATCAAAAACGAAACGCTAAAAAAGCATTTGAAAGAAGCAAAATCAAAGAGGGACAAGCCTAAAAGAACTTGATGATAGCAGATCCCTCGGTAACAGTAACAGTGCATCCGTCGGTGCTGTCACCAGAGAAAGAACCGTCGATGTAAGAACAATCGCCATTGATAGTAGAGCCATCAGCAGCCTCGATCTTGACATTGTAGTTAGGAGCATCCTTGTTGTTAGGGTTTGGAATCAAAGAAAGGTAAGTGTTTCCGTTAGTGTAACCGGAACCGAGAACCAATGGAGCCCAGTTACCGACACCGGAACCTTCATCACCCCAGATGCAACCATCCTCAATAGAAACACCGGCGTTGTTGACATAGTATTGAGCGGAAGTCTTTCCATTTTTCCAGTGGTAGTAGCTGTCCTCTTCGACAACACTGAGAGGCTTCTCAGAACCACCTTCAAGCAAAGTTGGCACAACCATGTTTTCGGAACCTGGGTAGTCAGTTCTGCAGAGAGCAATAGAGTCGGAAATCTCAGACTTGACACTTCCGGTCTCCTTACCCCAAGAACACAGGTAGTCGGAATCAGAGTTGGTCTTGTACAAGTAGCCGTTCTTACAGAGCAAACCTCCAACGGAAATTCCGTTAGATGGTTGTTCAGAAGGCCATTGAGTCTTCGACATACCAGCCTGACAAGCGTAAGAGCAGTAGTATCCGTCTTCACAAGTGGAGGAGGTGTCACCATCCTCGTTCATGACGGAAGCCCATCCGCCAAATCCAAGCCAGTCAAGGGAAACAACACCGTTTCCAGATGGGAAATCGGAACACTTGATAGTACCATCTTGGAATTCCTCAGAAGGGTTTGAGAAGTCAGAAAGATCACCGTCAATGGAAGAGGAACCAGTTGAAGAAGATTTAGAAGAGGATTGGGTAGAGCTGGTGCTTGTTTCAGACTCAGAGGAAGAAGTAGAAGATTCAGAGGTAGTGGTTGGCTCAGAATCGTCGGAGCTGCTGGTAGAGTCGGCACTCTGGATGGCAGCAGCGGCAGTCTGAGTCTCAAGCTCACCACCGTTTTGAACAATAACGGTTTTAGTGACGTGAACAAGAACATCTCTCTTGTGTTGGTGGTGTTGATGCTGAACTGCCATTGGGGCAGCCAAAGAACTGGAAATAAGGGCCAAAGAGGCTAAAGTAGTCGAGAATTTCATTGTAGCAAAAGGAATGACAATAGTTGAAGTATAAGGAACGGAACAGTTCTAAGACTAGGATCAACTAAACGTGTAAATGAATGTAACGGTTCAAGACAAAACAAATGAATTTTGGGGGGAATCCATTTATATAGTGTGAAAATCTTGTGCAGCTGCCTGATCCGGAGGCGGCATCTGATGTGATGTATCACAAAGAAAAAAAAAAAATAACGAGCGTCGAGGATCAGATTTCATGAATCTTGTGTGAAATTCTCTGCTTCGATAGGTACACCTGGACCAATTCTTTTGAAAATTAAAGTATTAGGTTTGCTGAGATGGCCTTAATACTTGGCTCTGTGGACCACTTCCAAGCTTGATTCATTATAGGGATTTTTACCCCTTGTATGACATCGGTCTAGAACGATTAATTACGTGCACCACACATCAAATTGTATTGTATCTTGCAGCAAGATCTATTATGCTAATAGTAATTAATATTATATAAGCGAAAAATTTTTAGTTATCCTATCTAGGAAATATGTTACAGATCAAACATCCATACACCTCACAGAACGAAAATCACATCTTTACACTGGAGTGCGACTGATTTTATTTATTTATGATATGGAGACTAATCTTTTACGTGTTCCGGTACGGAGAACAGATCGGGTTGATCTATACACCAGTCTGAAAAGAAACATAGATGACCAATTTTATCAATCAAGTGTCAAATTCGAAAAGAATTTGCGTGAATTCGATGATTTGCGGAGAACAGCAGAGCTTCCCACACCCACACTTGAGTCCATTGCACAGCTAAAACGGTACTATGTGCAACTATCGGAGGTCCAGACCAAGATTCCGGACGATTTCTGCGAGTTTCCTTGGTATGGTACTCTCGGAGTAAGAGTTGATGGCCCTTTTGCTTATAAATCGATATGGTATGAAAGGGCAAATATACTCTACCAAATCGCAGCATGCTATTCAGAGTTGGCACTGAACGCCGACGAACGACATAAGGATGATGGAATCAAGCAATCTTGTATTTATTTCCAACATTCGGCAGGGTATTTTGATCTTCTTCGAACACAGATAATTCCACAGTTGAAGGATACTCCATTGGAGCTCAGGGATGAGGTTCTTTTATCGCTCAAGTTTCTGATGTTAGCGCAAGCACAGGAGAGGTTCTGGTTATTTGCTATGAAGTCTGACTTGAAGAACACAGTGGTCTCCAAATTGTCAGCTCAGATTTCAGATTATTACGAGGAATCCTTGAGATATGCTACCAAAACCGTTTGCTTTCGGAAAGATTGGATAGCATACATGAAAATCAAGTCTACACATTTTTTGAGTGCAGCACATTATAGATACTCCCTTCATTGTGCTGAACAAGAAAGGTTTGGCGAAGAGATAGCATATTTAAGGAAAGCAGCTTCCATCTCGAACACCAAACTGCCGAAAATTGATAATGATCTTGTTTTGGAAGACTATGAGTCCCTTAAATCAACTGTTAATGACAGACTGCGCAAGGCAGAGAGAGAGAATGATCTCATTTACTTACAAGAAGTACCAACGGTAGATTCCGTTCCTCAAGTTTCAATGGTGAAGAGTTTGATCCCTGGAGAGCTCTCTGATCCCCTGATTGCGATCCAAAGTCAAGAGTTTGGAAGTCCTTTATTTGATGGGCTCGTTCCTTTCAACGTGATTCAGATTGCAACATCTTATAGAGATCGCGTGGAAAATTACTATCTGCTTAATTTTGAGAAACCTTTGGAGGAACTCAATAACAAATTGGATCAGTTTCTCGCTGAACATGATATTTGTTCTCAAATTGAAGCAATTCTGAATCCGAAGAGAATCCCTAGCTGGGTGAAAGACAACAAAGAAAAACTCGAACAAGAACGATATAAAGTCAAATTACAGAATTTGGAAACTGAATTGAAGAATGCCCGACAAGATGCACACCCGAAACTCCATGAACTTTTACACGAGATGAATATTGCCCGTGAAAATGACTTACAACAGCGCAGGCTGCTCGGAACAAGATGGCAAGTTCCGGATTTTGATGAGTCTGCGTCCGAGTGCTACGAATTGCTGGGAAAACTGGAAAGCTATCTAGAACAGTCAACGAAGGGCGACCGGATTATTTTTCAGCAATTGAAGGATCTGAAACCGTACTTACAGGTCTACAACTCGGAAGCGAGCCTGAATGAATTTATTCCGGAAACTGACATATTCAAACTCAACCCGGATTTCAAAGAGGTGGTCTTCAAGCTGGATGACAAGATCAAACAGGTCAAGTCATTGAAGTCTGAGCGACACGAGTTTCTGGACAATTTGAAGGCGAAGATGAACCAAAATCAGATTCTTCTTGAAGTTACAGAACAATACAAGAGACTCGCTTCGCAGCACGTGACAATATCAGAACAATCAATGCAATTCATTCTTGATGAGAATCTACGCAAATTCGACAAAGAGCTGGAGTATCTGTCAAGTACTGCAAGAATTCAAGATAGCGATGTTTCACTGATCGCAGATTTATACGACATCTTTAAAGCTTCTAAACGAGAGCTACGAATTGGGAAAGAGCGCGAAACGGCACTGAAAGTATTGCGGGAAACCATGTTGGGTTATAATGAGGTTGTCGAGAACCTACAGCAGGGGATAAACTTCTACAAGGAATTTTCGGACAACTTGACCACGGCAGCTTCCAAAGTTTCCGAGTTTTTGACTCATAGAAGGGTCACGGTAAGTAATTTGTGAGCAATGAATTTCCCACGCGATAGGGCTTCGGCAATTTACTGAAAAAAGAATTTTCAGCCGTGTAGTTTTGGCACGGAACTTTGCTAAACATCCGGAAATAAAATTCGGGATTTAATTGCATTGAGAACGCGGAAATCTATAATATAAGAAGCCAAAGATATCGACTGGATTGCCCTCCAAAACACAGCTTAATATAAATGAATACTAAGGAGGACGATCCATCGTTGCACGATGATAGAGAGTCTGCGGCTGTAGAGGTGAGAGAAAAAGATGTTAATTCGCGGCCAGAAGCTTTCAAGACGACATTTCAAGAAGTTTTATGTGTTATAGTCACATGTTTGGGAACAGCTACGAGTTCGATCCCTGAAGGAAGTTTCCAAGTGAGTTTGAACGATCTAGCATCCGATTTCAGTGTTGATGGAGGCCAGCTTGTGTGGAGTGTTTCGTCAATTGCTCTCGCAAGTGGAAGCTTTGTTCTGATAGGAGGCAAGTTGGCCGACTGTCTGGGAAAGAGACACATGATGGTTGTTTGCTTTGCAGGATTTTCTATTGCATCTTTGATAGCTGGGTTTATGAAAAGCTATGTGGGATTGGTTATCCTGAGAGCCATCGAGGGTCTTTTCTTTGCTCCTTTAATTCCAGCCGGCGCAAGTCTCCTAGGATCGATATATCCAGAGTCCAGACGACGCAATATTGCATTCGCTGTGTATTCCAGCGGTGGAGCAATTGGATACATAGTGGGTCTCTTCACCGGTGGAATATCAGTTTTGGCATTCAGTTGGAAGGCTGTGCAATTTTTCACGGCTATATTTTTTGGGGTAGTGACAATAGTGGCATTTTTCGTGATCCCAAAAGATCCGCCGCTCGACAAGGTCCAAATTAGGAAGGTTCTGAAAGAGCTTGATTACCTTGGGTCGTTCCTCATATTGGCCAGTTTCGCATTGATATGTTTCGCTCTTACCCAGGTGGACGCCACCGAGCGCAAATGGCAGACCCCATACATCTACTCGCTATTGATTGTCGGAGTGCTGCTACTAATAGTTTTTATCCTTGTGGAGATCTACCTCGCCAAGGATCCGATAATACCTATGGAACTATGGAAAAAGAAGGATTTTGGGCTAGCCATGCTAGTTGCCTCTTTGACATGGGTGACTTTCATTGGTATTTTAGGATATTATCCGATGATATATTTTCAATATGTCAGACGATGGTCTGCTTTCCACACAGCGTTAGCAGCTTTGCCCATGGGTATAATGGGTGCTTTGACCAATGTTTTTGTCGGGGTTACTTTCCATTTGATCTCGGGTAAGGTGCTTTTAATTGGAGGCAATGTCTGTTTGGTTGGTGCCACAGTTGTTTGGGCCACCCTTGATTATCATAGATCTTACTGGCTCGGGCCGTTTTGGGGGTACATTCTTTGTGTTATCGCCTGCGATATCACCTATAATGTCTGCACCATGGTCACGGTGACTGCTGTAGAGCGGAAGAATCAAGGGGCAGCTGCAGGGGTGTTCAATACGATTTTACAGCTGGTTGCAGTTGTTGGATTAAGTTTGGGATCTGTTTTGGTGTCCGCGAAAGATCCTTATTACGGTACTCCGGAGCAGAACGAGCATCCGAAGGAGTTGTTCCACGGACTAATCAACGTGTTCTATCTCGGAATTGGGTTTTCGGGATTGGCTCTTGCGTCCTCGTTTTTCGTTCATGTTGGAACTTCTGGAAATGCCGAAGCCGAGAACACGATAGAAAATTTGGCAAGCGGCTGAAACTCGGTTAGTGACGGTCTTTAGGGCAGAAAAAAAATACAAACATTACGGAATCGGAATATATATTGTTTCCGAGCGAACGAAAAGCATTAAACCTGTGTCGTTTGTCTTGGCTTTCTTCTACCAAACTTTTATATTTCGTTGCAACAAGACAGATTTTGTAAATAGCATCCTTGAGAATTCGACAGTATTTCACAACGCGTATGCATTTATCAACCCCTCCCCTCGGTTCTTACTCGGGATAAGAGTTTTTTATCCATCACGATTTAATTACTAATTTTTTTCAGCCGCATGAGTTATATAAAAAGTAAATATAAAGTTTCGGTTTGCTGCTGAGAAAAAAAGAATTGAAACTTTGAGATTTTTCTGGATAGAGTATGAGTTCTTCCAATCTTCACTCGAGAAACTCGATCAGTTCATCGTACAACACTGCGAACTCGTTCCACACTGCGAACTCTGTGAACGGGGATGCGGTGTCTTCGGAACTCGGTTCAAATCCAGTAGAGAAAAGTTCTGTTCCCGATGCCGACGCACGTTCTAGCTCGTCCACTTTAGAGCAAGCGAGCGCCAGCTCTGCCTACGCCAGAAAGCCTACAGAGTACGCTCCAACTCCCGAAGATGAGGAGTATAACATTGGCCAAGACGACTCCGACGCTCGCCGAGAGTCTAACCCTGACATGTCTAGACAGCTCTCCAGAGTCTTGACTAACGCCAAGTCTATCGATGAGAGCGTTAGAAGACAGGAGGAAATGGGAATCCCAATCCCTCCAATGGGTAACGGTAGAGACTACCCACCTATGTTACCAGACAAGGAACCCTACGTTGTTTCGTTTGACGGTGAAAAAGATCCTTACCATCCTCACAACTGGCCTTTGAAGACTAGAGTTATCCAGTGTGCCATCATTGGTGCCAACACCTTCTGTATTGCTTTTGGTTCTGCCATTTTCTCTGCTGCCGTGCCTGCTGTTTCCAAAATATACCATGTTGCCGAGGTTGTCTCCACTTTGAGTATCACTCTCTATGTTTTTGGTTTTGCTACCGGTCCTGTTATTTGGGCTCCACTGTCTGAATTGTACGGTAGACGTCCAGTGCTTATTATTTCATCGTTTACATTCGCCGTTTTCAACTTTGCCATTGCATGTTCCGACAGATTGGAATCGATCTTAATTTGTCGGTTTTTTGCCGGTTGTTTGGGTGCTGCGCCGATGGTGGTGGTTCCAGCTGCCTTTGCAGACATGTTTGGTAACAGAAGCAGAGGTACTGCCATTGTTCTGTTTGCTATTGCCGTGTTTGTGGGTCCTATGCTTGCACCATTCATTGGTGCTTTCACTGTGGCCAACGAGAGTTTGGGCTGGAGATGGACTGAGTTTATCACCGCCATCATCTCTTCTGCAACTTTCGTTCTTATTATCCTGTTCCAAAAGGAGACCCACCACCCTATTTTGTTGGTCGAGAAGGCAAGAGAGATCAAGAGACGTACTAAGAACTGGGGAATCCACGCTCCTCACGATGAGTTCCAGCTCAGTGTCAAGGAAATTGCTGAGAATAACCTTACTAGACCCCTGAGAATGCTTTTTACCGAGCCAATCATCTTATTTGTGTCCATCTACAACGCTTTCATCTACGGAATGTTGTATCTCTTCTTGACCGCCTACCCGTTGGTGTTCCAATCTGGATACGGAATGGCTCCAGGTGTTGCTGAGCTACCTTACTTCGGTATGGTTATCGGTGAGATCATTGGGGGTATCTACTGTATTTATCAGGAGAAGTCATATGTCAGACAATTGGAGGCAAATAATGGTAAGATCGTTCCTGAGGCCAGATTGGGACCTATCATCGTTGGTGGTATTGCCTTCCCAATTGGTATTCTGTGGTTCACATGGACAGGAAACTACCACAACACTGTTCATTGGATTGTTCCAACGATTTCTGGTCTTTTCACCGGATTTGGTCTGCTTGCTATTTTCATCCCAAGTATCAACTACATCATTGATTGCTATTTGATCTTTGCTGCTTCGGCAATGGCTGGCAACACGTTCCTCAGATCTGCGTTCGGTGCTGTTTTCCCGCTATTTGCCAGCTTCATGTTCAAGAATATGGGAACTAACTGGGCAGGATTGCTTTTGGGAGTTTTCGCTATCATTTTGATTGGATGTCCAGTGGCTTTCAAGCTCTATGGTAAGAAGCTCAGACAGAAGTCCAAGTTTGCATTTGACCTTTAAGTCTAAAGACTCTCATGAAAATGATTGCCTACATTCAAATAATAACATAATTATAATACGATTCATTTAATTCACCTAGAATAATATTCCCTTTTCCCGAAGTAATCCCTAACCTATAACATCTTCATGCTAACCTCGCTCACGTCACTATTTCTGCGCTCTCTTTCGCCACCAAATTCTGGCGAACATGGCGAAACGCCATTGATAACAAATGGCTCGCTCACGGTATTTGACAGCTCTAGATAATTATTGTGCGTAGCTTCCTGTTGCGATCTCTGTTGATCCTTGTTGTTGATTCTCTCAGCCTCCAAGATGGATGAGTTAACGCTTGGTAGTAGTTCGACGGCCTCCATGACTAAAGAAAAGAAATATTGTTTGCGATAAACATTCCGGGCTCACCCCGGACTTTATACCAACAAGTCTGCCACCAAGCCGAGACATTTTTTTTTTTTTCTGGGTCATGCTCCGAGAAAAAAACGTCATTCATCGGCGTTAGGAGTCCGGTGCAAGGAGTCCGGTGTAATTGGTGTTTGATTTTTTTGTAATAATTTTTCGTAAACTCACCCATCTTTAAATAATGAAGAAGGACGATCTGGAAGAACAAAAGATCCAGGCTGTTGTGCTGACCGATTCTTTTCAGACACGGTTTATGCCGCTGACGGCCATTCGACCCCGGTGTCTGTTGCCGCTGGCCAATGTGCCCCTGATCGAGTACACACTGGAGTTCCTTGCCCAGGCGAACGTTTCGGAGGTGTACTTGATGTGTTGTTCGCACGCAGACCAGGTCCAGCAGTACATCGACGATTCCAAATGGGGTCTTCCGTCGTCGCCGTTTACCAAAATTCAAACCATCATGTCATTAGAGTCCAGAAGCGTCGGTGACGCAATGCGAGACATTGACTCACGAGGATTAATTGCAGGAGACTTTGTGCTTGTTTCCGGAGACGTAGTCACCAACCTCGATCTTGGAAAAGTTGTTTCACTCCATAAGCAGCGTCGCACATCAGATAGAGATTATATCGCCACCATGGTGTTGAAACAGGCCTCAGAACTCCACAGAGCACGGTCTCACGTAGAACCGGCATGTTTTATTCTGGAAAAAGGAACAGACAAGTGTCTATATTACCAAGATATACCATCCGTTGACGGAGAAAAGACGTCTGTGGATATCGATCGCGAGATCATCCAAGATGTTGCCGAGTTTGACATCAGAAATGACCTGATCGACTGTCACGTCGACGTGTGTTCACCGCAAGTTCTCACCATTTTCCAGGAAAACTTTGACTACCAGGCTCTACGTTCGGATTTTGTTAAAGGTGTGCTGTTGAGTGACCTGTTGAAGAAACACATTTACGCGTATGTCACCACCGACGAATACGCCGCCAGAGTTGAGAGTTGGCAGACTTACGACGGTATCTCCCAAGACGTTCTGGAGAGATGGTGCTACCCTATTGTTCCTGAACGCAACATAATTGACGACCACACGTATACTTACGAGAGCAAGCATATCTACAAGGAGCAGGATATCCGTCTTTCCCAGTCCTGCAAGATCCAGTCGCGAGTTGTCATTGGGAAAGACTCATTTATTGGAGATGGTACAACCATCCAAGGATCTGTTATTGGACGTAACTGTCGAATCGGGAACAACGTGACGGTTCGCAACTCATACATTTGGGACGGAGCTGTGATTGGCGACGATGTGGTTGTGAGCCACTCGATTGTTGCGGCCGATGCTGTTGTTGGGTCTAAGTCTGTGTTGAATCCGGGCACAGTTGTTGGATTTGGTGTCCAGATAGATTCCGGAATCGAGATTCCAAAGGATACCAGAATAGTGAAGAACAGAATCAGAAAGCTTGACGACAGTCTCTCGCTGTCCGAAACGGAGGAGGAGGAGGAGGAGACAGACTACAGTTTGGTGGGCCAGAACGGAGTCGGCCACCTTTATAGCGAGGACGGGCACGATGATAGAAAATACGGAGGTATGGTGTACCAGATGGACCAATTGGCTCTTTCTGATGTGTCTGTGGCCTCCAACACAGTTGCACATCACCATCGCCGCAAGAAGCGTACACAGAGCACCAATTCCGTGTACATTTCGGAAGACGAAGAGGAGCAGTTTGACAAGGAGGCCATTGCTACTGTTGACCGTGCGATGGAGTTCAACCACGACATTGACACGGCCTTGCTGGAGCTTAATACTTTGCGGATGAGTATGAATGTGACCTACCATGAGGTCCGTGAAGCAACCAGTGTTGCTCTGGTAAAAAGAGTGGATCATTTCATTGAAACACAGACACTCGGGGCCAAAGAGGCCGTGGAGAAGATTTTCCGCAAGTGGTCCAGCTTGTTCGACAGACAGGTTTTCGACGACGAGGACCAGGTGGACCTGCTTCTGATTCTACAAAAACTGTGTGCGCAGCTCGACGCGACATACAATTCTGTTGTGTTGCTATGCATACTGGTAATTTTGTACGACGAGGAGGTGGTTGAAGAGGAGAATATCTACAAATGGTGGGGAAGTGACGAAAGTAAGAGCATTGGTGCGAGATCGAAGGTGGGCAAATGGATCGATTGGCTCCAAGAAGCAGAAAGCGAGGAAGAGTGACCGGTAATAGATGTAGCTTACTAAATGCCTATATTTGCCAAATTGTGTTTTTTTTGTTGTTACCCTGCCCCCCTTCAAATTGTCACAGATAAACTGAGACAACAACTCTTTTGGCTGGACCAACTATATTCAAAATGATGACGATCAAGTGTGTCGTGGTGGGAGATGGTGCCGTTGGTAAAACGTGCTTACTGATCTCTTATACCACCAACAAATTCCCAGAGGATTACGTCCCTACCGTGTTTGATAACTATGCAGTGACGGTCATGATCGGCGACGAACCATATACCGTGGGGTTGTTTGATACTGCCGGACAAGAAGACTACGATAGACTCAGACCGCTGTCCTACCCACAAACAGACGTGTTTTTGATCTGTTTCTCTGTGGTTGTGCCTTCGTCGTTCGATAACGTTAGAGAGAAGTGGTTCCCAGAAGTCAGCCACCATGCTCCGCAGGTTCCATGTTTGATTGTGGGTACACAAATCGATCTGCGGAAAGACCCTACAGCACTGGCCAACTTGATGAGACAGGGCCAGAAGCCAATCTCGCCACAGCAAGGTGAAAAGCTCGCCAAAGACCTCAAGGCCGTGAAATACGTCGAATGTTCCGCTTTGAGCCAGGAGGGATTAAAGAACGTTTTTGATGAGGCCATAGTCGCTGCACTCGAGCCTCCAGTCATCAAAAAGACCAAAAAGTGCACCATTCTATGATGAGTATATGTAAAGTTACCCGGTCCAGATTGACAAATCTATTTCCAGTGGAAAAAACAAATCCTTTTTTCTTGTAATAAATCAATGTTCTCTACAGCGCGTTCTGACACCCTGTTTTTGGGCGGAGAAAAGCTCAGTGGCGATGACGTGCGTAACCAAAACGTGTTGGCAACCCAGGCCGTTGCCAATGTGGTGAAATCGTCCCTGGGTCCAGTGGGACTTGACAAAATGCTCGTCGACGATATTGGTGATGTCACGGTTACCAACGACGGCGCGACCATCTTGTCCCTTTTGGACGTGCAGCATCCGGCTGGAAAGATTCTGGTGGAGCTGGCTTATCAACAGGATCGTGAAGTCGGTGACGGAACCACTTCTGTTGTGATCATTGCCTCCGAACTCTTGAAGAGAGCCAACGAGTTGGTGAAAAATAAGATCCACCCAACAACCGTGATCACTGGATACCGTTTGGCGTTGAAGGAGTCTACCAGATTCATCAACGAGGTGCTTTCGCAACCCGTTGACGCGCTCGGAAAGGAAACCCTTGTGAATATTGCAAAGACGTCCATGTCTTCCAAGATCATTGGACCTGACTCGGACTTTTTCAGTCAGATGGTGGTTGATGCCATCCTGGCTGTCAAGACCACCAACGGCAAGGGCGAGACCAAATACCCTGTCAAGGCCGTCAACATTTTGAAGGCCCATGGAAAGTCCGCCACCGAGTCCGTGCTAGTGAACGGCTATGCTTTGAACTGCACTGTCGGATCGCAGGCAATGCTCAAACGCGTCACAGGTGCACGTATTGCTGTTTTGGACTTGAACCTCCAAAAAGCCAGAATGGCAATGGGTGTGCAGATTAACATTGACGATCCTGAACAGCTCGAAGAGATCCGCAAAAGAGAATACGGAATTGTGCTGGAACGCGTTCGCAAAATCATAGACGCTGGAGCCAACGTGGTGCTCACCACCAAGGGTATTGACGATCTTTGTTTGAAGGAGTTTGTGGAAGCCAAGGTGATGGCTGTGAGACGGTGCAAGAAGGAGGACCTGAGAAGAATTGCACGCGCTACTGGAGCTACTTTGGTGAGCAGCATGTCCAACCTGGAAGGAGACGAGGTGTTTGAGAGCAGCTACTTGGGAAATGCCGAGGAAGTTGTTCAGGAGCGGTTCAGTGACGACGAGTGTATTTTGGTCAAGGGCACCAAGACCCACTCGTCGTCGTCGATTGTGCTGAGAGGACCTAACGACTACTCGTTGGACGAAATGGAGCGGTCTTTGCACGACTCGCTGTCTGTGGTGAAGCGGACGTTGGAGAGCGGCCACGTTGTTCCTGGTGGAGGAGCTGTCGAGTGTGCTTTGAACATATTTTTGGAGAACTTCGCCACCACGGTGGGTTCGCGGGAGCAACTCGCGATTGCTGAGTTTGCCTCTGCTCTGCTGGTGATTCCAAAGACCTTGGCCGTGAACGCAGCCAAGGACGCCTCGGACCTGATTGCCAAACTGCGCTCGTACCACGCTGCTTCTCAGCAGGCCTCACACATCGACACCAAGCGCAAGAACTACAAGAACTATGGTCTGGACCTTGTGCGGGGCAAGGTGGTGAACTCGGTGAGCCACGGAGTCTTGGAGCCAAGAATCTCCAAGATCAAGTCTCTCAAGTCTGCTCTCGAGGCCTGCATTGCCATTTTGCGTATAGATACCATGATCAACGTGGACCCGGACCCTCCAAAGGAGACTCACGACCACTAATAATAGCACAATCGGAATTTGTCATCACCCTAGTCGTATTCTCGTATTCTGTCGGCGTGTCCCAGGCTGTGCCGGAAATGAGCCTGGAAACCGGCCGCTATATAAATTACTTAAGCACACCAAATATTTTTACGCTCTATACGAATGAACGAGGAGTCGCAAGACGAGTCTCACGCGCTCAAACGTGCCCAAGCCAAGCGCAAGTTCCACAAAAAGAGTCGGAAGGGCTGTGCCACGTGCAAGAAGAGACGTGTCAAGTGCGACGAGGGCCGGCCGATCTGTGCCAATTGCAATCGCATGGGAATCGACTGTGTCTACACAACGCCAGCCTCGCGCCCGCAGGGGACCCAGCAGCCGGCCAAACCAGCCCTCCATGCCGCAAACACCCTCGAAACACCCATCATCATCCAGGAACCCAGCCTCTCGCCCAACATGATCAGCGACCCGCCTCCAACACAGACTCTCGCTTACGATACCCACCAGACCCTTAATATGCTCGACCTGCGACTCATGTACCACTACACCACCAAGGTCTGGACCACCATCACCGATGCAGGCATCTCCGACTCCAAGATCTGGTCCGAGGAGATCCCGATGCTGGCTTTCAAATACCCCTTCCTTATGCATTCAGTGCTGGCTTTCAGTGCTACTCATCTGTCCCGCACAGAACGCGGCCTGGACCAATGCGTCACCGGACACAGGGCCGACGCGCTGGGACTGCTGCGCGAGGCCGTTCTGGAGATGTCGCCCGAGAACACAGACGCGCTTGTCGCTGCCGCCTTGATCCTTATCATGGACTCTCTCGCAAACGCGTCGCTGCCAACCTCCACCTCCATCAAGTCGCTGCCCCCGTCCGCGTGGATCTTCCACGTGAAAGGAGCAGCAACCATCCTCACCGCCGTCTGGCCCTTGAGCGAAAAGTCCCGGTTCTACAAGTTCATCTCTGTGGACCTGGGCGACCTGGGAGAAATCGGCTACGACCTCATCTCCGGAGAACTCTCAACAGATACAGCTAAAGCAGACATGTTAAAAATGAAATACTCTTCTATCCAGTGCTTCGACGAGGAAATCAGAGACATGTTCCCAATCCCGCTCCAATCCCCATACCTCCCAACACTCGCATACATGGCCAAACTCCATATGGAACGAAATAAAAAAGATTTCATCCTCAGAGTGTTTGCGTTCCCGGCCTTGCTCGACAAGCGGTTCCTGGGACTGCTCATCAGCTGCGATCTCTCAGCCATGAGAATCATGCGTTGCTATTATAAGTTGCTCCGTAACTTCACTGACGAAATGAAGGACAGAGTCTGGTTCCTGGAAGGCGTCTCCTCGGTGCTCCCGGTAGACGTTGAAGAATATTCCGGAGGTGGAGGAATGCACATGATGCTGGACTTCTTGGGTGGACCATCAACCGCAGAAGATGACGGCCTTCTTAACAGTATCCCCAGTGTTGTGCAATCCCGTCTCCTTGACACAAATAATCTCCCAAGCTCCTCAATCACTGATAGTTTGGGTATTGACGAAACTTCAGGTTTGGAAGACGACACAACCTTCATCGGAGTATCTTAGACCTTGGTCCGTGCTATTCCGTCTGCATCTCTGTGCACACCAAGCTCAAGCAATTTTGCAAATGCAGTCGCAAAGTCTTTCATGAAAAGTTCAGAATCCTTTGCGTACACCTCCACCCAATATTTAAATGCAGGATTTTTAATCAATTCGATGTCTGTAATTAACATCATCAAATTATGGTCAGCATTGTTGTATTGTGGCATTCCTGTACGAGGAACCTCCTCCAAATTCCATTGATCTTCCAGTAGCACTCTGAAAAAATCGTTATCAAATTTGATAGGGTTGGCTGTCCAGCTACCGTCAAATCCACTGAACTTCACGTGACATCCACCAAGAGTGTGTCCACCTCCAATGAGAGCAACAAGTTCCTGGTCGTTGAATCCAAGACGATCGGTGAACACCTCGTGAAGATGCTCGGTTCCCTTGGTTGCAAGTGGTAGTCTGCCCATTGGTGGCACTTTTTTAGAGTCCGGACAATCTGTTCTTCCAGGTCTCCAATCAATTCTAGGACCACCCATTGCTTCAATGGCCACCACACCACCAAGAGTGTAGAGGTCGGCAAAGGAAATCCATGGGTATTTTTCGTGAACTTGATCCAAGTAAGACTTGGCTGTGTGCAAACCAGTGTTTCCAGGATCGTTGAATTCCTGGGCGAATCTCATAGTTCCACCGTTGCACCCACCAGTTCCCGATTCTCGATCAAAGTGTGCACAACAGTGCCAGGTGAATCTCACCATGTTTGGGCCAATGGATCCGTCGTCATAATCCGGTTTAGGCAGACAATCTCTAATTGCCTGTCTAACCAATTCATAATTTCCGTAAGTAGGATCCTGTGGCTTTTGCTTTCTTCTAATTTTGATTTTGTAAAGAAATGAGGATGACGAGTCAGAAGACTTGATTGGTCTCTCTTCGGTGACATAAGGATCAGAAGTGGTCACTGGTCCAGGAACAAGAGGCGGTGGAGCAGTTGGCGCGGCAACAGTGGATGGCTTTTCCGGGTCATCAAAAAGCTGGGTAATCGAAGGGGATTTCGCAGCCACGGACTGCGAAACCAACTGACCGGAGTTGTGGTTTTGTCTTACCGATTCTGAGCTAAGGATATATGATTTTGGAGTGAAGTCAGATGGGACTCTTGGAGCAATGACGTGACCGGAATCTCTGATAGCATCGCTGTTAGGAAATTTTGTCTCTGCTTCCAACAATTGCAAGCTCTCGTCCTCTGAGATGGTATTTTCGGAAATTGGGTCAAATAAATAAGGGGCAGTCTTGTTTCCTGCGAAAGTTATTCTTTTGATGTAGCAGATTGGGGCATGCACTATATATCTCTCGTAATAATATTCCGTTCGTTTCCAGCTTTTGTCATTGAAGTCTTGGAAGCCAGATGGCGCTTCGAACCAATCTTTTACATTTTCTGCCACCGGTCTTCTTTCATTGAAAGTCCGTGTCAAATTGAATCGTTTTTTCTGATCCCATGAGTCTTTAAATGTTATTTCATCTTCTTTAGCCCCATTAATCATCAAAATCATATTGTAATGGTACAAAATAAAAAGCTTTGTATACGAAAGCACGTTCAGGGTATTATAATGGGTCAATTGCAAGGCCGCTCTCAGAGCCACATAGGGAATCAGTAAGATTCGCCCAATAGGCTCTATAGAGCGTGCTGCGTTCGAATATGCCCCTGCAATTCTGTCCATAATAAAGAGGGAAAAACTATATCCTTTTTTTCGCAAACGCCAAATTTATAATCCCCGGATCAAAGCACGAAGCACCCGTACACCATATCCCATCCATCAGTTGAGCTGGACATAGTTTCCTGGGAAAACACCAGTAACACCATTCAGCGAACCGGTCCACCAATCATTTTGGTTATCGGATTTCTGAACAATAGTAATGACTTGTCCGGCAGAGAAACTCAGATCGCCCTGAGCCTGTGCTGCGTAATCGTACAAAGCAGTACATGTTTGTGCCGTTGGTGATGCCACAGGAACGCCGGGGGAGGCTGGAGAATTGTAAGAGGTTGGGGACGCGTAGCCATACGATGCAGTTTGTTGTGGAGCGCCGTATGGGGTCTTCACGTCTTGTGGATAGCCATTAGTCGAGGTTGTAGCAGGCGGGGTTTGACCATAAGATGGAGAAGCCGGAGAGTAAGCCGGAGCGGCCTGTCCGTAGGATGGACTTGAATAAGTCTGTCCATATGTTGGCGCTGGAGATGTTTGGCCGTAGGCTGGTGCCGGGGACGCCTGGCCATATGCCGGTGCTGGTGAAGTCTGGCCATATGCACTGGTTGGAGACCCAACATCTTGCTGAGTAGCATATCTTCTCTTAGTTGCCTCCAGCTTGGACTTGGCGTGTCCGATCTTGAAATGTGTAAGGCCAATGGCTTCTGCTCTCTCTTCAACGTCACCTCTCTTGATTGTGAAGGCTTCCAGAATATCCGAGTTCAAATCAAAATAAGGAATTTTCATCTCCTCCATTCTGGACGACAGAGTGTAGAAGACGTTCAGTTGCATGAAGTACAAACTGACAAACAAAGGCTTGATAAATTCACCTTCCAAATGGAACAGAATTGGGAGTTCCGTCTTGAGCATTTCATTATAGTAGTCAAACTCTTGTTGCGCAATGGCCACCTCGTTTTCGTACTTGTAAACCTTCTCCTCAGCCTTTTCATTCTTTTCTGCTCTTTGTTGGGCTTTCTTCAGCGAGTTCTGGTGTCTGTCGAGATCCAATTGCTTGTGGTTTCTCTTAGTGGCCATCTTCCGGATAGCCTGAATGATCTGAAGCAACTCCGTAGCCGGGCCCACGATTCTCGACTCGATCAATTCCAAATCTGGCTTCAAAGTCTCTTTCAATTCCTGGACAACGTCTCTGTATTGAACACAAGCTTCAATTCCCTCAGGATTGCCTTCTGGAATAGCAGAATTAGGATCGGACAACTTTCCGCTGATAGGCTTGAAGATCTCCTCAATCGACTTGGAAAACCCAAGCTGTCTATCCAGCATATCATTAACGGCCTTGTGGTACCGTTTGGACTCTTCGCTCAGTCTCTTGGTCATGTCTTCCAATTCCTTAAATCTTCTTTCGGCATCGGTGTAAACAGCGTCGTTTGTGGTCTCGCCCATGTTGAGCTTCTGCCGCAAGTTCTGCGGCGCACGCACAATCGCTTTTTGAAATCCTTTGAAACTCATCGACTATGCTCACCAATTAATACAAAGCTATCTTTTGTTTGCCATAAAAAAATACAGACGTCTCACTCAGCCCAGCATTTTCCGGGCCTCATTTCAGAAACGAGAAAAAAACCAGGCACACCCGTGCACCACAACTTATGAGAAACGTAATTAACCCCCAAAATTAACATCTAAAAATATATGTTTCCATATACTGTTGTTGCTTACTGAAAGGTATTAATATTTTATGCTAAATAAACTGCAACTTGTTCTGTTTAATAACCTGCGAACACTGATGCATTGGGAGAATTAAATTCAGCTTATTCAACACATTCTAGGAACATTCAACACGAAATACGTCATGTCAGAACCTTCCTCTCCAAATAAAAACTCCTTGACGGGTTGGTGGAAACAACTCAAGAAAGGCGACGGAGAGCTTTCTTCCCCGACTCCGATACATGCCAGCCACCAAACCGCCGACTCTGGCTCCGTGTACTCTTCCTTAGACACGAAATCTGTGTCGTCACCAACGCCGCAGTTTCGCGCAACCTCACCTTCGCTACTACCTCCGTTGACCTCTCCAACAAGACCGTTTTTGGGCTACAAATCGAGATCTTCACACAGCGTGGGGCCTCCCTCGTTCCAGGAAAACAACGGTTCCCAGGAGAAACTCAAACAACACCGCGACTCATTTATCCAGCAGAGACAGATGGATTACATTGGAGACTCCAGTGTTTTCGGTTGTTCTCTTGAAGAATCGATCAAAGTCGCCGAGGCAAAAATCTACATCAGCAGCGACCGTGACGGGCTTATACGATACGGTCGTATTCCGCGGGTGGTAGCACTTTGTGGCTCGTACCTGAAAAAACACGGGCTCGACGTTGAAGGAATATTTCGCGTGGCGGGGTCGACCAAGAGAATCAAACAGTTGCAGCTGATCTTTTCAAGCCCTCCAACGTACGGGTCCAAGATTGACTGGGACGGCTACACGGTGCACGACGCGGCATCTCTCTTCAGACGTTTTCTGGGCTCGCTGCCAGAACCTTTAATTCCGCTTTCAATGTACGAATCTTTCAGAGAACCACTTCGATCTCGCCCGAACATCGTTCGCTACTTGAAGGAGAAGGAAAAGAGGATGGCAGACGTGCAAGAACCACGAGCGGCAGCCGAAGAGAAGAAACAGGAACAGGACGAACTCACAGACGAGCAGGTCAAACAGAAGAAAAAAGCAAAAAAAGAGAAAATCAAGAAAGAGCGCAAGGAGGCATTAAAAGAGTACGCTAGACTTATAGAGCAGCTCCCGGAGTTGCAAAGGCAGTTACTGTTTTACATCCTCGATCTCTTGGCCATTTTCAACGCCCACTGCGACAAGAATCTGATGCCTGCCAAGAACCTGGCCGCCATTTTCCAGCCGTCTGTGCTGTCCCACTCCGACCACGATATGTCGCCTGAAGAATATGCTCTCTCGTCGCTAGTGATTGAATTCATGATTGAGTATTCTTATAAAATTCTTCCTGCTGCTCAACAAGTGACCAAGAAAAAATCAACTTTGGATGCTGCCTCGTCAACCCCGGCTTCTGCTGGCAACGGCTCCGCCAACGGTAACGGGAACGACGCAGACAGAGACGTTTCGTGTGCCTCGTTGATGCTGCCGCCAACAACCACCTTCCCCAGAAAACACAGCAAGAGTATGTCCTCCGTGCAATCTCCTTCAGATATGCTACGCGTCAACAGCACCAAGACAAAGCTCAAGGACTCGACCGCAAATACCACCGACGAGGTCGACTCCGCTCTAGACACCGAGGATGACGAAACCCGCCCTCTTGCGCAACGACTCTCGGTGACGTCATTGGGATCTCAGAAAGTGCGCTCTTCATTTTCGTCACCTTCCAAAACCTCTCCAACGGAAGTCAAAGGAGAAAGCCCGCTAAAAGCGGAGGTCCCGAACGCGTCAAAGGGGGACCTGCGTCCTCCAGCGTTCAAGGTCAGTTCGTCGGAAACCTCGTCTCTGTCTTCTTTGCAGAACCAAAACCAGAACCAGACCCAGTTCGGGTCGTTGCCTAAGATATTGCACCCTGGCTCTCAGAGCTTTGAACCATCTTCCATCGACGAGAACCTGAACATGCTCACAGAGCCTAGCGACGATGAAAGAGAGACACGGTGGGAGGCTGACCAGAACAACTCCACCGGTGAGAAAAAGTCGTGGTTCAAGCGTCTGAGATCCAGATCTGCTTCCAAGTCCAGAAAATGAGATATCCCGCTTTTTTCGTTAACGTAGCTATATAATTCATAATTCTACGATTTCTATTTCAGCACTTGCATCCAGCTTCCGTTTCTTGGCGGCTGGCTCTTTCTCGTCCTCTGCTTTGCGCTTTGGACCGTCCAGGTCGATCACCTCACCTTCAAGCGCAAAGTCGTCCTCATCGTCTTCATCTTCTGGGGTGTCGGTGTTTTTCACGGCCTTCGGAAGCGTAAAAGCAGGCAACTCCAGAGCGTCTCCCCTGTCAATAAACAGTTCGAGAGAGTCGAGTTCCTCGTCCGCGTCAGTTATAAACAGAACATCACCGTAAGCACACACTTTGTCCAAACTGGTCTCTAGATTATCGTCGAAATCGTAGTCGTACAACAACCTGCTACCATCTGCAATTCCAATGTCGTCCGAGTAGCCATACTTTGCAATGATGGCCTCTCTGATATCGTTGACTGTGAGCTGTGAAAGGTCCAACGTGATGATACCTCTGGTCACAGAACAGGCAGGACACCTGTTGTTTCTAGGAGCCAATCCCGAGCTGTTCACGAACCTCGCGGGCTGGTTCGAGTCGTACACCATCTTGGAGTGCTTGACCTTTTCTTCCACAGTGTTGTAGAAGGCATGGATGGACGAAAGCGCGCTGAATCCAGCCATGATGGCATTGGTGGTTGCAACCGCGGGAATAATGTTTCCTGCTATTTGCTTGATCTCAAACTTGGTCTTGAGCGGGATATGGAACACATGCGACCGCAAGTTGGCCGCAGAAACAACAAAATCCAGCGTGTCCTCGTCGTCCTTGTCGAAGTCGACTGGACCTGTTTTCAGACGCTGGGCGATCTTGTGCGTGGAATCAACAAAGACAGCAACATTTTCGGCAGCCGTCCAGAGTCTTTGTCCATCAAACGTTTGTGCTTTAGTTTCTTCAAACTCCAATGGAGTCGGTTTCTCTCTGGTCGTCCACAGAGTCTCGATCAGAAGCAACCGTTCAATGTCGTCCTTGAAGATCTTGGCAATGATCTTATACACATAGCTATCGTCTTCAGGCACTGCGTTCATAACGAGAGCCTTGAGGTCCAGCAGTTCGTTGGACTCTTTCAGAAGAGCCTCAATTTCGGCTTTATTGTCGCTGTCCACGTCCTGGGGCTTAAGTTTGTCCTGTTCCGAGGCGTCTTCCCCGAACAGCTGGGGGAATAAAAAGTTCTTGGCCCATGTTATGCAATGGATTGGCTTGGATGGTGTGGAACGGATGGTGCAGACGGGGAACGACTTTGGCTGTTCCTTGGGAATACATGCAAAGCATTCAGTCTGGTATGGATAAATCGGTTGCACCTGGCCCTTCAAACCAGACGTGCCGCTCTCTATGAGTGGGATTTTCGTAAACAACGCAATTTTGTTGACATAAAAGCGGGCCTCGAGATTATCGAGAGCATTGAAGATGATGTTGAACTGCTTGAAAAATGAAAGCGGAAACATGTTTGTATCCATGATATTTCCATGGTGGGCAACCAATTTACTATTATGGTTGAACGACTCAACAGCTTTCTGAGCGGTCAGTGCCTTCGACTGCTTGATATCCTTCTGACGGAACAAAAACTGACGATTTAGGTTTGATAGGTCTATGGTGTCCAGGTCCAAGATATGGATCTCTCCGTAGTTCATGAGCAACAGGTCCTTCAGTAGCTCGCACCCAATTCCTCCCGCACCAACCATCAACACTTTCGACTCGCGAAACTTGTCTGCTTGGTCGCCGAAAATACGGCTCAAGTAGGAATCATACATCTTTTGGCAATGTTTTTTTTTCCAGTGATCAAGTTTTTATTTAGTTTATTTTATTCTACTCGCTATGGATAAGTACTCTGTCATCTTACCAACGTACAACGAGCGCAGAAACTTGCCAATCATCACTTACCTTCTGGCTAAGCATCTGGAGAAGGCCGGTCTGTCGTGGGAGATTATCATCGTCGACGACGCGTCTCCAGACGGCACCCAGGACGTGGCCAAGCAATTGATCCAAGTTTACGGTAAAGAACACATCCAGCTCAGACCTCGTGAGGGTAAGCTCGGACTGGGAACCGCGTATATCCACGGCCTCCAATATGCGACGGGAAATTTCGTTGTGATCATGGACGCCGATTTCTCTCACCATCCATCAGCAATCCCAGAATTCATCAAGAAACAAAAGGAGAAGGACTACGACATTGTCACAGGAACCCGTTATGCTGGTGACGGAGGAGTCTACGGCTGGGACTTGAAGAGAAAGCTGATCAGTCGCGGTGCCAACTTCCTGGCTACCGTTGTTCTCAGACCACACGTGTCGGATTTAACTGGTTCGTTCAGATTATACAAGAAAGACGTGCTCGCCCAGATCATCGGCGCAACCAAATCGAAGGGATATGTTTTCCAGATGGAAATGATGGTCAGAGCAAGAGCATTCGGCTTCACAATCGCGGAGGTGCCAATTTCTTTCGTCGACAGAGTCTATGGAGAATCAAAGCTCGGAGGAGACGAAATCATCGGCTACCTCAAGGGAGTCTGGACACTCTTCACCACCGTTTAGAACCCAGAACACCGTGTTTCGTTATGTGTAGTTTGGCATTTTAAGCAGCAAACCCGTGCACCGCACCGTATACACGAGCTAAAGCTCACATTGCCGCAGATCGTGCACAATTTCTTCACCTGTACCTGGCCTGGCTTGATTTCCAGTCCGTTCAGCGCGCGCATCTCGGCCTTGTCAAGCTCGTCCGTGTAGTTGGACCAGTTTTTCTTCGAGTTGAGAATTCGTTTCACCGCCACAGAGGGCGTCGACGCCCGTTTATTGGTGCTGGGACCCAGATTCTTTGGGATCTCGAACTTGTGGATCTCGCTGAAGTTCTCTCTGTCGAGCTCCTCGAACCGTCGGTTGGCCTTCTTCAATTCGAGCGCAACGTGGCGCTCCGATTCGTCGTTGTCCTCGTCATTGTCCTGTTCTGTGTTCTGTTGCTCTATGGCGTTCTGGAGCGCAGCGATATTGTAATTAATTCTCTTCCGTTTTGTCGGCGCACGCGACGCCGTTGCTGGGGCGTTCATCGCGCGCACTGGCGCTTTCTGTCGCACCACCTCCTCAACAAAATGCATACCTATTAAATAATTAGTGGTTGAAAAATATATACACTACACAGCCTTGGAAATTCGAGTTTTGGGTGTTCTAGTTGGCTTTACACAGTGTTCTAATTTTCTGGTGCAAAGCGTCGACAACATCCTCAACAGCCAGATAGCTGCAGGCAATCGCCCGTTTCAAATACACCACTTGTCCGACCGAACTGATAGGAGCGTCGCCGTTAAATGTAGGGTGCAACGAGGTGACCAGGTTGTGGAGCCATTGCTTCATGGACTCGTCGATCTGGTCGGTATCCAGCGGTTCGAGCGTCACTAGAAACAGCGACTTGGTGAGCGACAGCTCGTTTGTTTTGTGTCTCAGCTGAACGTTCAAATTCACGCGCACCTTCTCCGTCTTTGTCTTCTTTTCCATCTTCCGCTCGACGTACTTGTAGTAGGTGATCTTGAACTGCTCAAAGTTGTACGTGTTGAGCTCGTATCCATTGTCTGGGGTCATGTTGAGATCCGGCGAGTTGACGTTCTGGTCCACAAATTTTTGGTAAAGTTCCTCGTTCTCGTCAGATAACTTCACCAGCATCTTGTAGAATGGCAGAGTTAGCTTCAGATACTTGACCAGACGCTGGATCTTGCCGAAATCAAACTCAGCGACCATATCGTTTAAGTATTTGTAGCACAGTCTGTGTGGATTGTCCTTTGGCAGCTCGATCGATATAGAGTCTTGAGACTCGTTTAGCAAGACCAATGTGATCATCTCCTCCTCGTTGCTACCGTATTGGAAAGTAACCGCGCTCAATGAGATTTCAATCACCTTCAACGATTCGTCGTGGCTCACAATGTGCAGAAGCGAAAGCAAGCTGGAGAACTTGTTCAAAACAGATAGCGAGTCGTTCATGATGGAGAACTCTGTAGGAGCAGAGAGCGAGTTGAAGTAGTTGGCACCAGAACCTGCATTCAGCATCTCAGACAAATTCACGTTCGAATGAATCTTGAAAATAGACGTTTCCGGATTCAGCTCAATGGAATTGTTCTTCTCGTCGTTAAAAGAAATGGACGACAGCTTCAGCTCGTTCTGGAGCTTGCCAAAAATCAAAATTTCCAACGCGGAGTTCTTAATGTTCATGACCAAAATCAGAGAGTCGCGACAATTTGGAATGTTGAATAGCGATCTGTTATCTATCACAACTGTGGTGGAGTCTTCACTTTGGGTCTCATTTGATTTTGTTGCCGAGTCTTGGCTAATCAGCTGTTTAACCTTGGAATCGTCCTTGTCGACGATCTTGAGCTTGCAGCCTTGATCCTCAAGCTCCTTGACAACCATGTTACAGAGCAACATCGACGTAGTCTTTTTGGTGAGGTTAACAAATGTTTCGTAGCTGTACTCTCCCTCGGTGGAATTCAACGTAATCGGCTCGATCCATGATATGGCCCACTGACCAGAAGAAGATTTGACTCTTGAACACCACCACTGCACTTTTGACGAGAATCCAGAAACACCCACGGTGAGAAACCATCCACTTGGCCATTCTCTGCGGCGATAGAATTTCAGGGCAAACAGTTTCTCAGCAAGGTTCTGGTCTTTGAGGTGCTCGTAATCGACTCCCAGCTTGGTGTACTCTCTGATTGGCAACTTCACCACATCGACACCCAGCCAGGTTGTGGCTGTGAGGAGAGACGAAATCTCGCTGAGATGGACCTCCAATCGCAGTGAAAGCAGCCTCAATGCTGTTTCACGAGTGTCTGTGTTGATCTGTGCGGCTATTCTCATCATTATTGGGGTCGGATTTTGGAAATATCCATCACCAGATAGCGAGTCGATACCGTAGACGGCGATTTTCATTGAACTGAGCTTTAATATCAACTGTGATTCCTTCTGAACAGAAACAAACTTGTCTGCGATGTCAATTTTGTCGGCAATTTCGTTCTGCACCTCTTTGATATGGGATTGGACGTGTTTATCGATAATGTTTCTAATGAGATGTTCGATGTTGATCGAACCGTCTTCCTGCTCCAGCTTGAGTCCATGGTCTGTACTTAGTTGTCCTTCACGAATCCAGCGGAACCCGAGCTCGTTATTCTTCATCTTACCGATCTCAATGGTGGATCTCACGGAGCGTCTGCGGAGCCAGTAAGTGACAACGACAAAACACTTTTCGGCGTTGTATGTGTGCGTCAAATGGCTCTTCCATAAACCCATTCGAAGCTTAATCAGCTGGCGGTGGAGATAGTACAATTTGCATGTTATGGCGTAGTTGTGGAACAAATTGTACAGTCCGGCAAGACCATTCTTACTGAGCTCTAGGTTGGCGACTTTTTCAAGATGCATGAATGTGGGGCGTGGCAACGCTGTCACCTGCGGGATGAGCTTGTTGTCTTTTAGTTGGAACTCCAATTTGAAGTCCACCAAGAAAAATCCCGATTGATCGTACGTGTTTGCGATGGAAACGCAGCACTGGAACAAGTTCGGAATACGGAACTTGACACGACCATCTTTGATTTCGCAGTTAAAGAATGGTTTGGGGAGGTTTTCCTCCAGAGCCATCTTTGTGGACAACTCAACGTTCAAGTCCTTCAACGTTCGGAGAATCACGTTAGGGTCAACGTTCCGAGGAGGTTCGTAGTTATGTGTCGGTAACTGTGGCTGTCCCTTGATGAGGACCTCCAGAGCGGTCTCGAGATCCGGGTTAGGCAATTTGGCCGAAACTAGTGACTGTTTTGTCGCTCCTATCTGGATGAGAGCATTACTGACGGTTTGATTTTGTTCTCTAAGCCAGACAAATAGATCAATCAGTTTCTCAACGTTCTTGGAATTACGCGCCCATTTGCTCAAAACGTACAATCTGACAAAGTTTTCACGAATTGACACCAAAAGCTCGAGGAATGTGCGTTTCTTGACGCTATCTGGTTGGGTTGAGTTTTCCAGCGTTTTCAGGTATTCCTTGAGTTTTTTGAAACTATGTATCGAATAACGCTGTAAGACGACGCTCAAGGGCGTCATGTTCGCGGCAACATGGGGAATTGCCGGAACCGCGGTTTCGGACATGATGGTTCGGGATACTCGAAAACGGTTTTAAAAATGGATTGATTATTTCTTGCCCTCTCTTTTGTGGCTAGTGCTAGAAACATTTGAAAAAAAAAGAGCTCAAATTCGTGGCTGGAAAGGTAAAAAGTAAATAGAACAAAGATAATCCCAGTCACTTTGGAAACCATAGCCGCTTTTCTACAAACTCCCAATTGATCACCAGCAAGGTTTTCCATGCAAGACCATATAGACGAGACTTCGGAGGTTCGGATCAAGGTTCCGCAGGCCAGGGAGTTTACCGAGGTGCAAAACATTCCCTCTGCCGATTACCTTGCTCAGTCTCCTGCCATTGATTCGACCTCAGACCAAGGGACTATTGGTTCTACAGATGTGAACTCTTCTTGGGTCAACATGGAAGGAGGCGTTTTGCATGTGAAAAAGCTTAGAGAACCGGGAAATGTTCCGAGCGTTGCTCACGATAGGGTAGTTTCGGAGATGCGCATGGATGATAGGAGAGACTTTTCTCTCAACATTGAACCTGTTCAGCGTATTGTTTCTGTGCCCTTGCGACCGCCTGTATTGCAACAGAAAGCTTTCAGTTTGAATAGCACCGATTCGATCGACGAAGAAGCCGAACCAGCAGATGAAGCAGCACCTTCCTTTGTGACAATAGATTCGGCCACACGTCTTAAACAGCACTGGACATGTAACAAAGATATAGGCAAAGGTACCTTCAGTACCGTATACCTGGACACAACACACAATGTTGCCATTAAGGTCTCTAACATTCCAACGCAGGACCAAGATACCAAGGTCAGGATCCAGAGCTCCTTGATCCGGGAGCTTTCTTTGTTGCAATTGATACATCATCCAAATATCGTCAAGCTGTTGGGGTCCAACTCTAGGCTCGAACGAAATCAAGTGATTATGGCCATGCCATACTATCGCGGTGGTGATCTATTCTCCTTGCTAGTGACATTGGCTTCCGATTTCAACTATAATCACAAGAGACTTGTGTTCCGCAACATTGTGAGCGCAGTCAAATGTCTGCATGACATGAATATCTGTCATAGAGATATCAAGCTGGAAAATGTGTTGCTTGCTCCCACGGTAGAGGAGTTCCGTGTTATCTCTTTTGAAGAGCTGGCCGAGAAATACAACGAGAATCTTGCAGTCTTGTCTGATTTTGGGCTGTCCAAAAAAATCGATCCCGAGAACCCTCTGTTAACCACCAGATGCGGCTCAGAAGACTATGTTTCGCCAGAACTGTTGCTTGGACTGGCGTACGACGGAAAACAGAACGATTGTTGGTCGCTTGGGGTTTTGCTCTATGCGATGTTGGAGAATAGACTGCCATTTGATCCTCTCCCTAACTCGACTGGAAGAGGCAGAAGGTCCGCAAAGCCGACACATCGTATCGCAACAATCACGTGGAGCTGGAACCATCTCAAGGACAGCGACCTGGACCCGTTGGGAAACGATTGGGGGCCGGCCAAGCGCGTTGTCGAGCAACTATTGGTCAAGAGAGATCGCAGAGCGGATATCTCCACTATTCATGAGAGCGACTGGTGTAAGGGGATAGTCTGCGATTGATTTCCTGCTGTTTCTCGAGCAGCTCGAACATAATTTTTTGTTTCTCCAGCAAAAGCTCTTTCAAGTTTTCATCGCTATCGGGGCTGACCAGCTGGAGCTCCACGTCTTTAGGCGACGACCCGCCAAGCATAGAGGATCCCTGTGCTCCAATAAGTTTTGAATCCAGTCCAATTGGGACGTAAACATCAATGGTTTCGAGAATAAGAGCAAGGAGGCTCATCAACCGACTATTTTTAGCTTGAGACCCACAAACCTGCAACGACTTGAGTTCAAACCCACTTTTGCAGAAACAGTCCACAATCATCTTGGTTGAAAGAGCAAGGTACTCAATTATTGACAGATAGCTGCACGCAAGATCGCGATCATCAGGCCGCAACGAGCTTCCGATTATCAAACTGGACAAGCTGGAATCATTGAACGGGGTCCGGTTCCCCAGATAGTCGCCAATGTACACTCTTTTGGAGACGAGTTGCCAAGCAGAGCTTAGTTCTTCACGCTGGACAAAGGAGTCCACCAAGTCCTCAATCTGTTGGAACAAGTTTTTGGATTTGTCTAGGTTTTTGGCAGCCGGGTGATTCTCGAAAAGCGATTCGAACAAAATACCCGAACAGCTGAGGCCTCCTTCGTAAAACCAATGGTCCTGGGTCAGATGGAATGGGCCCCAGATTCCAGGCGGGGCGTCTTTGGGTGTTTTTGAGACTCCCAAGTAGCAAGTTGATGTTCCTGCCACCATGACCAGGTTTTTCTCTGGGTCGATCTGCTTGTTCTGAAGCGCGAAGAACGACGAGTAGCAGTCTATCACTCCTGAGCAAACAACGGCGTTAGGGGCGTTCCAACGTTCGGCCAAAGACGGTGCCAGTTTGGCTATTGGTGTTCCAGCAAACGGAATACCAGGATATGGAACGGACTCTGCTCTTCCGATCTGGTGTTCTTTCAAGTTGATATCGAACTCGCTCAATGTCTCCAACGGAAACCCCTTCAGGGATCCGTCTATTCCAATATTGTCTGTGTTATAATTGGGCACCTCTAAGGTGTCTCCGCTAAGCATGCATTCTATCCAGTCGTGTAGATCGTAGATCTTTAGTGGTGTCGAGTCCGACTTGAGGTACTCCTTGATTTTGGGAAGCGCCATTTCGGCAATGATGGACCCTCCCAGACGCTGTAACATCTTGGGATGGTTCTGTTTCATCTTGCTGTTGATGGTATCTGGTTCTCCACGGTGATCCATCCAGAGAATGACATTGCTGCCGTCTTTGGACTCCACCACGAGTGAACAGGTTGCTCCGCAGCAAAACGACTTCACATTGCCATGCTCTACGGTCCTGGCTTGCTCCAAACTGTCAGTGATGCACCGTTCAAGCTGCGACCAGACCTGGGCTGTGTCCTGAGTAACAACGGAAGAGTCTGTCGGATGGTGGAGCACGGCAATTTCGTGCTCGGACGTGCCAACAAGCACATTTCTGTCGTTCAAGATAGCAACACGGATGGAATTGGTGCCGATATCGATTCCCACGAACCAGTCGGCGACAAAAGACATGAATTTACTGTCCAGATAAACTTTTTGGTGCAAGGTGTCTTGACATAAAAAGATCTATATTAAATACCGTACTTAGTCTCATAGCAAAGCCATCTATTACATAAAAAAGAACATTAAGGAGAGTGGCTAGTTCAAAAACGCAAATCGTTCATCAAAGGTTTCTTGGTCAAGTAGTTCGTATTTGAACCACTCGATTAAACTAAGGAACACTTTGGAGTGGAAGCAAACCGGCTCTTTGATCTCGTCCAGAGAGGAAATCGACTCTGCCTCGGGCAGCTTGTCGACGATGGTGAGGTCATTGGATCTGGAACTGGATAGTGTGGAATCGAAGCCGGCGGATTTTTTCTCAAGTTCGTAAGTGAGCAGGGGTTTGAAAGAATTTTCAATTGGTAGCACGGCACAGAGCCAAATTCTTGTTTTGTAGATTTTGAAGAGTTCTTTGATCAGTCCGCGGAAATCCAGTCTTTGCAGACAGTAATAGTAAATGATAAGTTTCTTCTTATCAAACTGGAATTCAACGTTTTTGATGATTAGGTCCAAGTTCAGAGACTGGACGTAGTTTAGACAAATGCGGTATGCCATGAGTTCGTCGTTATATTTGGAGGTCAGTTGGGTAAGTTCGTGCGGTTTTGCAAATCGTAAGACCTGCTTGTTTGGGAGAGTGATAAAGTTCTCGTCCTCGTTGATGACTGAGCGCTGTTGATTGTGTCCATGCCGCGATTTGTGGTTCTGTGGGACGGGGGATGATTTTGCGTTACCAAACTCAAGAGACTTGAGATGGAGCTTTTTCTTGAGGTAGTTGAAAAGCAGGGCAAACCGGAATTCGATCACTGGTTGAAGAACCATCACCAGATCCTTTCCGCGGTCTCCCTCGATGATAATGATGTCCTTTGGACTTAATTGTAAATTTGAGCTTTTTGGTAATGAGATAATGTCCAGTTTGCCATTCTTGTTGATGATCATGGAGTACGTCTTGGGCGTTTTCTGCAGGGACGTGACAAGGTCCTCGTTCTGTGTAACAAGGTAATCCAACAACGCGGCCACCCGGGCCTGAAGTAACCCTGGCACCTCTTTCAAAGAGGACCCTAATAATAGATTTAGCTGGTTGACGATCTCCATGGAAGTGTCGAAGTTTCCAAAGTACTTTGAGTCTCTCAGGAACGCGGCTTTCAAATCCGTCGACGAGACAATGTTGTTGAAAGTCCTGTCCAATAGGAGGCCGTTGTCGAGTGCGACGTACGACTCCTGTGGTTTTTGCGGCATAAGGGGGTTCAGCGGAGGCAGGAAAGACGAAGGGTTTTCGCCGTGCTGCGAAACAGAGCTATCCAGGTCGAAGAACCGGGACGTCATGGTGTGTGGTGGGGCCTGGGCCAGAGGCTGAGGGAAATCAAGTTTGTTATGGGTTGTGTAGTAGAGTTCGGCCGTGTAACTTGGTCTTCTGGAGGAAATGTTGGACACCCCTCCTTGAAGCTCTGAAGGTAAAGTGAACGCGCTATAGGCACTGGAGACCGAGTCTCTAGACGCACTAGAGATGGAGGAGTGGGGAGAATTGAGAGGGATTGTCTGATCTCTCAGATAACCCAATTTGGACGACAAGACATCAAAAAAAGGATCGGGGTCCTGGTACCGTTTCTGGGGAGACGTCCAATCAGCACCAAAGCTGAAGTGGTCGACGAAATTATTGAATGAGGCCATATCAAGGATAAAGTATATTACAACCCCACACGGGCGAAAAAAGGACTTTACGGCTGCTTTATATATCCGAAGGAAATTTTTGAGGGGCCTCTCGCGAGTGAGCGAAAATCCGGGGTCATGGTGTGGGGGGTTAAAAGCCGGCGTGACAGCTTTGTTGGGTAGGCTAATTCACCGTTACACTTCACTATAAAGCCATTGCAGATATTCGGTGTAGTTTTGCATACTACCTGCCAGCCTGACCCTCTTTGGTTTGACTAACATTCGAACTGGATCGTTAACCATTGCTATCAAATTTTTCGCGGCCTCAGATTCGGTCACTGTCAATTTCAGCTGCGGGTTTATAAAAGTGGTGCCAACAAATCGGAGAAGATCTTCTTTCTCGACTCTCACACGCAGCGTTGCAGCTGTTTCAAAATCCTTCACCACGATATCCACGGACTTTGTAGAGATGGTGTTGGCACCAATGTTCTTGTAAAATAGGTCTTCAGAGCGCGATTCTATCGAGATGACCTTCACATGCACAAAATATGCTCCGTCGTAGCCTTCCACAGGAATTTGATCCACTGGAATTGTTGGTCTGTAAACATTGACCTGTTTCTGGTGGTCGGAGTGCGAGTTCTCCTCTTTCTCCAATTCTGATTCTTCAGAAGATTCCAGATCGCTTAAAAAGCTCGATTCTTTTAACTCGTCACCATCGTGGCTAAGCGGCTGTGGCTTGATCGGGGCAGGCTCCAGAAGTCTGGCTGGTATCACATTTTTAAATGACGGGTAGCTCAAAACGGCTTTGCCAAAATACTTGATCCAATCGCAGAAAATCTCTGTGGCCACCGCATAGTTTACCGTCTCCTGGTTGTACAACGATTGCACGTGCACATTTTCGCGTGCTTGATCCAGGTTAATCAGCCACTGTTGGTTGTTTTCCTCGTCGTCGTAAGCGGGCTCCACCACAAGCTTGACGGTGTCTTTGAATTGTCGTCCAATCACTTTGAAAGATACCACTATCCCTTTGTCGTACAAGGGATAAGTGTTGGGCACGTTGTTTTGGAAACTCTCAGGATCAACAACATCGCCAATTATTTCCTTTAGTTCTGCCATTGGCTCGTAGGGAAACTCGACGTCGGTCACCAAATAAGAGTCCTCGTCTCTAAACACGGGTTCCTCCCACACAGTTGTCTTCAGGCCGCCCTTGGAACCCGGATACTGGGAGAAATCGCTTATATGCACAATTGTTGGCTTGGTGGCCCTGTCTCTGGCAGTAATCCCAACGAGAAGCCCCATGACCCGTCTTTCTGAAGCAAAGGTTGTCGGGAGGTCTCGAATCCGCGTGATTTGATTGTCCGCAACATCGATTTGGGTCTCCATTTAAATCTGATTTATTCCAATATTTATTTATTTTCCACCGCGTTTTTCTACAATACTGGTATTATTTTTCACTATCCTGTTGAAAGATAAATATACAATCTAATGCAATTCAAACACCAAGGCACAGCTGATCATTAACGTGGTACGAGTTGAGCGTAAAAGAAATCTGGGATTTCATATCTAGTAAGACAACTTCTTTGGTTGTTCCCATGGGTTGGACTGGTCGGTGAAGTGTCCGTAAGAAGCAGTCTTGAAGTAAATAGGTCTAGCCAAGTCCAATTCTCTGACCAAGACACCTGGTCTAAGATCGAAGTTTTTGTTGACAATGGCCACAAGCTCATCGGAAGAGAACTTGGAAGTTCCGTAGGAGTCGATGTAGATGGACAGTGGCTCGGCAACACCAATGGCGTACGAGAACTGCACCAAACATCTCTTAGCAAGACCAGCGGTCACCAAAGACTTGGCAACCCATCTAGCAGCGTATGCGGCGGATCTGTCGACCTTGGAGAAATCCTTACCAGAGAAAGCACCACCACCGTGAGCTCCCCATCCACCATAGGTGTCGACAATGATCTTTCTTCCGGTCAAACCAGCGTCTCCGTGAGGACCACCGATGACGAATCTACCAGATGGCTGGATGTGGTAGATGGTCTTATCGTCCAACAGGTGGGATGGAATCACCTTTTGCACAATGTGTTTCTTGATTTCGGATCTAAGGTCAGCAGTAGAGATCTCGTCAGCATGCTGGGCAGAAATGACAATAGTGTCGACTCTCAAAGGCACAACAGCACCGCCATCGTGCTTGTACTCGATGGTGACCTGGGTCTTAGTGTCCGGTCTGAGCCATGGAAGAGCACCGGATCTTCTGGCATCAGCAAGAGCGGCGTTCAATTTGTGGGCCAACAAGATGGTCAATGGCAACTTCTCATCGGTCTCGTCGGTGGCGTAACCGAACATGATACCTTGGTCACCGGCACCCAACTCCTCCAATGCCTTCTCGTAATGCAAACCTTGGGCAATGTCTGGAGACTGTTGCTCGATAGCAACAAGAACATTACATGTTTTGTAGTCGAAACCCTTGCTAGAGTCGTCGTATCCAATGTGCTTGATAGTGTCTCTGATGATCTTTTGGTAGTCCAGAGTGGCCTTGGTGGTGATTTCACCAAAGACCATAATCATACCAGTCTTGGCAGCGGTTTCACAGGCCACCTTAGAAAGAGGGTCTGCAGCTAAACAAGCATCCAAAATAGCATCAGAAACTTGGTCACAAATTTTATCAGGGTGACCCTCACCCACAGACTCAGAACTGAACCGGTTAGTACGCCAAACCGTGTGCTAATACTCACGTAAAGAAAAAGTGTCCAGACATGTTGTTAACTAGTAAACCCAAAACAGGAAAATTTTTCAATATTTATACGAAAATCTGAACGATAATGCGCATGCGCAAAAAGATCCAACAAAAACAGGCACATGGGAGCATGGGATTTTTGCACTTTAAAAAGAGTTACAAAACAGGTAAATGGGCCAATGACAAGCCGCAGTTAAACTATCCACAATGGACGCGGTAAAAGTACAGCAATCACCTCATAACCCAGGTTTCACAAAGTGTGGCTTCTTAAGATTAGCTAATCACCCATGATCCAATTTCCATGTGATTTGGCTCTATCTTTTCGCTGGTTTTTTCCAAAAGTACTGCTTGTGAGTTTTACGACAGCTCCGTAGATGGGACGCTGAACCTTTTAGTTCCTCCACAAGCTGCACACGTGACTTGTCGTGATCCTTTTCTGGATCGTAGTAGTACTCTTCGTCCAAAGGCTTTCCTGCCGCGTCTTTACCAACTCTGTAAATAACCCCTATGCAGTCCACGTAATAGATGAGTAAGCCACGCAGCTGGTCCTTGGATAGGCCGAGGTCTTGCACTGCCTTGAGTTCCAGAATCGAGTGCAACGGGGTTTGCAGCAGTCTGGAGTAGGCAAGATGATTAATGAGGATGTTGGACAGCTGTTCCAAGTCGCCCTTGAGCGGCTCCAGTAACGTGGCTGCCTCCTGTTGCGAGATCTGGTGTTCTGTGGTTTTCTTTTTTCTTGGAGAGTTTTGGTTCTTGGTTCTTGCGCGTGCTTTTATGACGGAAACAGGGTCGGGTGACTGTTCAGGGGTGAACGAAGGCGAACTTGTCACAGGCAACGGAGCAATGTTTTCTTTATCTTCTTCGGATTCATACTGCTCTGGTGTTTGCTCCACCTGCTCTGTTTCTTCTTCCTTCTCGTCCTCTGTCAACTCGTCTTCGGTCTCGACCAAGATAAGTTCGCCACGAATGTCTAAAATCAAGCCAGGAAGCACTGGTAGCACGATGGTTTCGTCCTTCAACACGTACAAGTTGGTCATGGAAGACTCTTGAGATAAAACTTTCGTGCTTTTTGGTTGCTCGGTAGTGCTCTTGGCCACAAACTCGTCGTCTTCCTTCACGACGTCCACGCGTGCAGGAACAGTCACATTGACTCCATTCCAGCCCATGCACTGTAATTTCACAGAATGCGTGTCTGGAATGAATTGCAGGGAGCAATGAACACGCGAAACAAGTTTGTTGTGGGGGTTCAAAGCACACTGATTAGACCTGGACGACCGGCCAATGCTGATAGTGCGACCTGAAAGAGGTACCTTGAGTCTGCGAACACGGGAAAGTGGCGAAATAATCTTGATCTGTTGGGGGGACAAATCAAAGGCTACCTTACGTGCTCTTTCAGATTCCTCCTCGTAACCAAGAGACGAAGAAGGGTTGGGAGTTGGGTACTCCTTAGCACCGGCTGAAGGAGTAGCAACATTTGCGGCTCTTTTCGCCCCAATAGGGCTTCCCTCACCACGAACTGGAGATGATGGTAAATACATGGTAAACAACTTTGTACACGATCAAGCGTGTCTCCAAATAAACAGGCGACACCCGTGTTGTCGACGGTCGACAGAGTCGCCCAAAAAATTAGAAAACACTGGTCTGGCGTTTATTTTTTCACGTGACTTTCACAGTCACATTAAATTTCACTGGCACTTCACGTGACCGACCGACAAGTTGAAAAATTTTGTCTTGAATTTTTGTTAAAAGTTATACACATTCGCAATGGGAAGTATGTACAACCAGTCTATCGTTACTAACAATTACAGAGGGTACTCCATCGTTCGGTAAGAAACACAACAAGTCGCACACTCTGTGTAACAGATGCGGCAAGAGATCCTTCCACGTCCAAAAGAAAACCTGCGCTTCTTGCGGTTACCCAGCTGCTAAGCTTAGATCTCACAACTGGGCCTTGAAAGCTAAGAGAAGAAGAACCACCGGTAGCGGAAGAATGGCCTACCTCAAGCACGTGTCGAGAAGATTCAAGAACGGTTTCCAGACTCAGAATTAGAAGGTGAATATGAAGACTAATTAAATTTACTCCAACATATCGTCATCCGGGATGTCATAGTTGATGCTATAATGCAATGCATCGGCTTCATCTCCCGTAATACACTGGCTAATAACGTCACGCGCCATGTCAATAGTCCAGTCGTCGTAGTTTATCTCTACCCCGTTGGGCGCAGGCGAAATCTCTGGCACGTGACCCAGATCACGCCACTGGCGGATCGTTTCTAGTGCCAACGGTTTGAGACTTTCTGCCGAAATACGTAGCAAGGCAATCACCATCTCGCGCAAAGTGATTCCTGGCAGGTCCGAGATCGCCACCTTGGCCGAAGCAGACACCAGGAAATGGATCAACCTCACTATGAGCGAAATCAGTTGTAACCGATGGCCTATCGTCTTGGCTCTTGGAGATCTGTAGATGATCTCCTGTTGGTATCCGAGCTGTGTCACTATCGAGGAGATGAATGCAATGAGAGTTTCGTTCTTGATCGCACTTGCTGGCTTTTGAGCGAGCAAGTTCTCAAATAGTTGTAATATGCGAATTCTGAGACTTAAAACGACAATCTCATGTTTATTAATCTGTCCAATGTTTGACGAGACTTGAAGTATTTGCTGGTACCGGTCCCATGAGTGCGACATTGGTGACGGCGAGGCGTCGTGTGTGACTAGCATTTCGAGTAGGCGAGAGTACCCGTTGCTACCAATGGTTCGATTTAAACCGTATGTGTATAGATCCTGTTCCAATCCTTGAGTAAGGAACAGAATAAGGTTAGTGAGTATATCTGTGCTTTCTTTTGAGTAACCTTGTCTTTTGGATCTTGAGGCGTGTGCAAATGCAAAGCTGTTTTTGTTCACAGAGTAATTGAGGATTTCAACCATGTTGAACACAAAGCCAATGGGTGTCTTCATTGACAGGCAATGAGAGATCAATGACTTTTGGAAAGACGACCAATACTCTGTCAAGTATGGCTCATTCCCGACGTCTAAATAAGAAGACAGCTTCGCCAGAGTTTCCATGATATCCATCAGATACACGGTGGTGAACACGTCTAGTACTTTTGAATGCATGGTTTTCTGTACAGTGTCCAGTTTTAGATCGGTTGATGCAGAGTTGGCAGTTGTGGTGATATCTAGATTCTCGTTCGACAGGTATGGCTGGTCTTGCTTCAAGACTGTGGTGGAAAAAGTGAGCAAATAGTTGGTGACTTCCATCGATCTTTGGATCAGCTCAAAACTTATCGCTTTGGCTCTGTAGTTTAGTGCAAAATGGATCAGGGCCAGCAGGAACGGCCCTGCAAACAAATTCGCACTCTCGAAACAGCAGGTAATGTAATCGAATAGGATGTTGATGAAATCGCTCAACAGGATATCAATACGATTCTTGTTCTCAAATCGGATGAGATAATCGATGATGGCAGTTTTGATATTCTCCTTTCCCTTGGTCACACGGAAATCACCCTTCTCGTAGCTGATCGCGGACGAAATATTGGCCAGATAATCCAGAGTTGTTCTGCCAAATCCCGGAATCACGTGTGCAGAGATCCCTTCTATGAATGAGTTCTTTTCGTCTTGGAACACAGAAACCTGGTTGATTATAGCCAATGTCTGTGGTTTGGATTCAGGTGGAGTGCTTGTGGCCTTTGTGCTAAACGAACGTCCAGAAATATCAGACACGGAAACATCCATCGACTCGTCCTGGATCCGCCGTTTCTTCGGGGCTGGAAGATACTTTGTGGTGAGGTTCTTGTTCTCAGAAGTGAGAAACTCGTTATCTTCCTTAACCTTGTTGACGTCTTCTGCCAACTCAGTGATTCGTTTGTTTCGTTCCTCTAGCAATGAAGCATAATGCTGCTTCAAGTTCTTCTGCTCCTGCTCGTACTTGGAACTAATCTTTTGCAATTGGGCTCGAAGGATCGCGTTCTCGCCCCTCAGAGCCAATGGGTCTGTACTGGGCTCCTTGAGCGCAGGCGACACGTTTCTCAGCCCATGAGATTGTGATCGCGCAGAGTAGAGTTGATCGAAATCGATGTCCTCGTCGTCAAACGAGTCTGACGAATCAAAGGACATGTCTCTTGCTTAATCAAATTGAATATTTACTTTATAAGTTGGTGTGATGAATGCACGACCGATTTGAAAAAAATTCGAAATAAAATTATTCACCTACAAACTAATGACACAGGCATCTAAAGCTTCCGAATCGTCAAAGTCCAGCACTAAGGCTGAGTCATCAGTGCCACCAGCTTCTCTAGTGCCTGTCCAGCCAACCGCTTTGTCTTCAAAGGATAAAACAACACAGAGACTGATCGTTGTTCTTGCTCAAGCATGTCTAGAAACTCACAAGATCAGCACAGGAGGAGGCCCTGGAACAGACAAGTACGCTCTTTTGAACTGTGACGACCACCAAGGATTGCTGCGGAAGATGGGAAGAGACATTTCTGGCGCAAGACCAGATATCACTCATCAGTGTCTCTTGACGCTATTGGACTCACCAATCAATAAGGCCGGCAAGTTGCAGGTCTACATTCAAACTGCCAAGGGAGTATTGATAGAAGTGAACCCATCGGTGCGAATTCCAAGAACTTTCAAGCGTTTCTCTGGCCTGATGGTGCAGCTTTTGCACAAACTGTCAATCAGATCGGTCAACTCTGAAGAAAAACTTCTCAAAGTGATCAAGAACCCAATCACCGATCACCTACCAACCAAGTGCCGCAAGATCACTTTGTCCTATGACGCTCCAGTCGTTAGAGTGCAAGACTATATCACAAAGCTCGAGTCCGACGAGAGTATCTGCGTTTTCGTTGGTGCCATGGCACGTGGTAAAGATAACTTTGCCGACGAGTACGTTGACGAGAAGATCGGTTTGTCTGAATACCCGCTGTCTGCATCTGTTGCATGCAGCAAGTTCTGCCATGGTGCTGAAGACGCTTGGGATATTTTCTGATGACGTAAGCACGTTACCATTGGCAAAATTGGTTTCATAGCGCCCAGGTAGCAGCTACGCGCGGGCTCGAATATAAAAGGTAGCGTTCACTCTTTTGCTATCTTCTTGGATTTCTTTAAGCTATTGCTTTCCTTTTTGCAACATGCCAGTTTTCGAATCGCCTGCGGTCTACGTTCAGAGTACGCTCACTACGCTGGCTACTTACTTCATCTCTCATGCTTATTTGAGAGAGATGTTGGACGTCCATGTTACGGACGCCAACTTCCTTCCGCTGTCCGCTCCAAACAGAGCCTTCCACATCAGAAGAGATAACGACAGAAGACAAGTTCTTGTGAACGTGTTCAACGAGAAAGGTGAAAAGGTGTACATTTTCCAGAGAGAGAGTGCTTTGAATCCAACCTGGTCTTTGCGTACCCTTCCTTCGTACAAGGAGGTTGCCACCATCCGTTGTGGATTCTTCTTGAAGTCTCTCGACTTCCACAATAAGCCTGGGTTGCAACACAGGGTTATTAACAGTGAGTCGGGCTGGAGCGGCAGACTTAGAACTTTTTATCTTACCGACGGTCACAAATATGGCTGGACCAGAAACTCCAAATATTTGGAGAAGTTTACTAACCCTGGCGGGAACGACGAGGAGGTCAGAGAAAGAGTTGCTAAGGTCAGACTCATGAGACAGAGAAAGTTCGACTACGAGTTGACTTTGGACGACACCAAGGTGGACCCAGAAGTCGCCATGGCTACCGCCTTTGTCGCCATGATGACTTTCTGGGGTCTGGGTGACATCACCGAGACCGTTGGACCTACCGCCTTGGTCAAGAAAGAGGAGGAAGTTGTTGCTCCTGTTGCAGCTCCTGTTGCACCAGCTGCACCAAAGGCTGAAGTTGAGAGATCCGGACCAAATATTACTTTGGTCATGGACGCCGACAACGACGCAGATCTTATTATCGAGAAAGCATAGATATAAACGTTTAATACAGGGTTGGGGACCACCTTGCAACGATATTTGTACTAACCCGCTGCATCAGCGGTCGCGTAAATCGCATGACTTTCCTTATCTTTTGTTGCTACCCCGGAATATGCACCCCCTCTCGCGCGCGGTGCAACGCACAATTCCAGCCTTAATATCCGGGGTAGATATAAATTCGTCTGTTAGCTGTCAAACACTTCATCTTAATCGTCCATGTGCTCTACCGCCATTTGTCCTCTATGTCAGAAGAAATCGTGGACCGGATGTGGGTCCCACGTCTCCGAGGTGATGAATACTACAAATAAGGAGCTCTGGTGCACTTGTAGCCACTCTTTTGACGAAGGTGACACAAGATTCCCTCCCAAGGCTGGTACGGGCTCTGCGCGCAGAAGCATTTCGTCTGAGAGTTCGGGCGCTTGAGTCTACACATCGAATACTTCAGCTGTGGTTGTTCCCCGTGACATGTCGTGTGGTTTGTAATGCTTAGTAAGGAAAAAAAATATAACGTCTTGCTTACAATTATTGCGTGTCCAAGTCGCTAATTACATATAGTGCTTAACTTTCTTGTATTATCAGATCATGTTACCGGTGTACTTTATCTCTCACGGTGGTCCGACTTTTGCAATTCGTGGACATTCCGGCTCTGAAGTTGGGGCCTGGGATACCGTGCGCAAACTGGGTCCGGAAATTTTGAGTTTAAACCCAGATTACATCATATGTGTCTCGGCTCATTGGAGATCGTCAAATAAGATTCTCGTTTCCAGTTTTGATGGCGAGAACCCGTTGGTTTACGACTTTTACAATTTCCCGCGCGAACTGTATGAGACCAAATTCCACACGAATGGCAGCAAGTCCATTGCCGCGAACATTGTCTCCTTGCTACAGAAACACGGCATAGATGCTGCCTCTGAATCCCGCGGATTGGACCACGGTGTCTGGACTCCACTCAGAGTGGCGTTCGGAAACCCGCACGTCCAGGACACCGGAAACCTCGATTTGGCTGTTCCGCTGATACAGGTGTCGCTGCCCCAATCAGACAAAATGGTTGACAGTTACAAGCTTGGCGAGGCCTTGGCCAGTCTGCGGTCCCAAAATGTGGCCATCATCTGCTCAGGAATGTCCGTGCACAATCTTAAAGAGCTCAAGCAGGCAATGAGTCAGGAAATCAAGGTCGCTCCATACGTGGAGCCTTTCAACTCGTGGCTGACAGACTCTTTAACGAATCATTATGGTTTGGAAGCCTTGCAAAAGGCAGAGACAGATCCCGAGCTGCAAAAACTTTATTTAAAAGCACACCCAACTCCAGAACACTTCCATCCTGTTGTGGTCGCAGTCGGTGCTGCCAAAGACGGAAAAGCTGAGGTGTTACACACAGCAGGCTCCATAACTTTGGGCTGGAACATTTACAGATTTTCTTAGAAAAAGGCTGTGCAGCGTTTTTAGTTGGTTTGAAGAGTGTAGCATAACCAGAGTGTATATATAATCCTGCGGACGGGGAAATTGCGGTATGGATTCGTATCTCTCCCGTGTTACCAATACAAACTATCGACGCGCGTATCTGAATTTGAATGAGCGGTTCTCCCAGACCTGGTTGAACCGGTACACTGTGGTTTTGGTGCTGATGATCTTCAAGCTGCTTCTTTTCCGGATCTCGCTCAACAACTCGCTTACCCAGGCAAAAGAAGAAACCTACAGTACTTGTTCCAAGGCAGAGACTTACGCGTCATCTCTTACGAGTATGCCCCATTACATTTCCAAGGGAGCCAACATCCTAATAGCAAAAGGCCTAACTGAAACAAATAAAGGTTTCATGGAGATGCTAGACATAATTTTAACTGGATCCAAGAATCTCATAGTTTTTGCTCTTGAAATGACTATTGGAACCTATGTGTGTGTTTTGACTGCAACTGTTGACGCGACTGCGTACGCCGCATTGAATGCTACCGAAAGCGTGATTTCGGTTGCAAACGATACTGTGAAAGGGTTGGCCGAGGAGATCCAGGACGGGCTCGACGACGTTTCCAAAGTGGTCAACGCTCTGGTTAGTGCGTACGAGAAGGTTAAGGATTTTTTCGAAGACGATGATGACGGAGACGATGTCAATAATAGCATTGACAAGGTGAATTTAACAATTGCGTCTTTGAAAAAATGGCAGATCCCATCGTCGATCAACACAAAACTAGACACCCTGGCTAAAGAGGTTCCCAACTTTGACGACGTAATGAACTACACCGAGAGCCTGATAAATGAACCGTTTGATTACTTGAAGAACAAAGTTGCCGAACAAGTTGATCTCGAATTCGATCCCCAGGAGCTTTCAGTCCCTGATAAGCAAACAATGACATTTTGCTCCAATAGCGGCATCGACAAGTTCTATGAAGACCTAGCCAACATTCTGCACAAAGCATCGATTGTGATGTTTGTTATTCTCCTTGTGATGGCATTAACCTTTGTGCTTGTGGAAGCATTTATGGAAAAAAGACAATGGAACCGAATTAACGAGATTAGCGAAAACGTTCAGCAGGTGGAGGCGACCTCAGCGTCAGAATACAAGGGTGGACTGGCCGTCGAGCTCGTGGAAATGGTGCGCAATCGATACAGTTTCCTAATTGGGCAAAAACTGGGGGACGCGGTATTTGGCCCGAGTGTTGCACGACTCAACAGGTTCAAGTGGGTAGTTAGCTACATCTTCAGCGACCGAGCGTCTATGGTGTTGCTGCTCGGGCTTGCTGGTATTCTGACTTTTATTCTTCAAACTGTTTTGTTGGCACTAATTTCAGGGCACGATTCAAACACGTTAGAGTCGAGTTTCAAGAGCATTTCTCACAAAGTGACCACCCAAGTCAACGATTCCATGACCGAATGGGCCAAAGACACTAATATTTACATTTCTGATCAGGAAGACTCCATAAATGACAGCTGTCTCGGCTGGATTCACAATACGACGGGTACTTTGAATTCTACACTGAGTGAATTTATCGATGAGATGAACTCCAAGATATCTGACATTTTCGGGGATACGCCATTATACGACTATGTCAGTGGAATTGTGGGGTGTACAGTGACAAGAAAATTGGAGAAGGTCGAAGAGGCAATGTCCTGGTTGAATGAACACTCTCAAGTGTCGCTTCCCAGGATCGATCCCAGCGATTTCAACACAACAGACTCTAGTGACTCGGGAACCATTGACTCCTATCTCCACAAGACCAAAGAAGCACTAACTGAAACCAAAGACCTGCTGGTCCGAAAATACAGATCAGCCCTGAGAATTGAGCTGTATATTTCGCTGGTTCTTCTTGGACTATGGTTGCTGATGGTATTGGTGGCATTAATACTGTCGTATTTCAAAGAACGAAAAGAGCACGCCGAATCCGAAAAACAGGTTGCAATAGAACACATTGGTACTATGTCAGAATCCGATCCAGACACTGTCTTTGGGTCTCCGGAATCAAGTGACTCGTTCATCTCGTCAGAAAAACCAAAGTTCAATAATTTGGGCCTCGATCCAAGCGATTATTTTTCCGGGCCAGGCAATATCAACCAAACGTTGCACCAGTTACTTACCAAACTACGAGGCAGAAATGACAGCGAAAGTACACATAGTCTGGATTCCTTGGAAACAGTGGTCACCTTCCACTCGGAAACCTTACTCGAACCGTTTGGCCAGTCGTCTGGCTCATTCGCCGACTCTACGATCGAAACAGCTCATCGCTGGCAACCTTGATCCTGTAAATTATGCATTCAAAAATATATCCGCGATTCACCTAATCCTTGGTTCTCTTTTTCTTTGAGTCTCCGTGCTCGTCGTCGCTCTTACGCTTCTTATCTTTCTTACTCTTCTTCGCAAGGAGTTTGTTTTCTCTCACCTCTTCTTCTGGAGCAACATAGTCCTTTGACCTTTCTTGCTGCTTGATCTCCTTCATCTCGTCCTGCTTCTGCTTCTTCTCCTGGAGTTCCTTGACCTTCTTCTCCTTCTTACCCAAGAAATACTCACCAGACTCAATCTGCAAATCAACCTTACGAGGAGTTTGCGTTGGAGGGAATGGTGTGTACACCTTCTTCTCGGTGACCTTCTTAGGCTTCTTACGTGCGACGTTCCGTTTCTTGAAGTTTGGAAGGAATCTGGACCAGTCTTCTTCTGCAAGCTCTGGTCTCTTGGCCAGCTCTCTCTTGACCATCAGCTCCTTAATGTGGTAAATTGGATGAATGTTCTTCATACAGTCTTCGATGACTCTTCTGAGCAACTTCAGTCCCTTGTGAGGACCCATAACGGCCACAGTGTTACCTTGAACAAGCATATAACACTCCGTTAAAAGCTCCAACGCTTTCAGCGTGTTACCGTTAGGACCAATAAGTCTTTGTCTTCTTTTGATAAATCTCTCTTTACTAGGAACAATGTTTCCAATCTTGATGATTTCACAAGCTGTGTCGTCGTCCAGAATCTTGACAGCTTGCGGGAAAGGAACAGACCGTGCAAGCAGCTTGATTAGGTCTCTTGCGTTCAAAATGGCTGCTGGATCGAACGTCTTTCTTGTGGTCTTGACCGTCATAGAACCTTCAATGAGGTCCAAAGTACAGGCAATTTGATGTTTGTTCAAGGCTTTGGTGACGTCTCCCCATATTTGTCTGAGGTATTCTTCTCTGTATTTAGGAAAAAGCGTCATAAACGAAGATTCTTCAAGGAAGGGGGATCCCGAAGCATTATCTTCTGGTTTAAAAGTCTCGATCTTCCATTTGTCGATATCGGGAGTGTCCCAAGGCTTGTCTTTATTGTAAGTGGAAGGCATCTTGAGATGGTTTAAAGATAGAGAAAAAAATTTAGAAAAAATTGGGAAAAAAATTAGCACTAATTAGCATGAAAAATAAGACTAGCAAAATCACCAAAAAACGAGCCAGGGCCGGGCCATCTAAACGCACCAGAGCTCTGGTGGAGAAACTCAACAAGGAGTCCGAGTCTGTGCACACGATTCTGGCCGGACCTGAACAAAAGCTAAAGAAAAACGCATTTGAAAATGTACAAAACGATCACCAACAAGATCAACGCACAAAATCCGAAAAGCAAAAACATAACGACGACTTGGAAAAGCAGTTGGATCTACTAAGTGGCATGGGATTGGGGGCTGAACCCCAAACTGTGTCAAAGAAATGAACCTGCTCTTTGAATTGTCTGCTTATGTAATCCTCACACCGGAAGTTTAAATTTTTTAAATTTTTCCTGCTTTATTGTTATGCATTATCCAGATTGGTGTGTTTTTATTTACCTTTAATTTGACGAGTCACTATGAGCAGCCGGCTGGATGATCTGATCGGTAAACTGAGCTCACTCACAGTACGGTCGCAGGAGACTCTGCAAACCAACACAGAACTGTCTCAGACCCTCCACAACGTGCGTTGCGAGCTGGTAGCCAATGAGAACAAAATTGTGGAATTGAACTCCAAGATCGAGTCTACAACCGAATATTGGCACAACCTGACGTCTTTGGCCCTCAGAACTCAGCTTTTGGAGGCACAGACTTTGCGGGACGAAGAAAATGGACTCAGTTGGCGGGCCACAGAGACTACTTTCGAAAATCTCGAGAAAGAGTATCGGTTCTTGAATGGACAATCGCCTGGAGATCAGACCGAAAGCGACTTGGAGAACGAGTCTTCTGATTTCAACGAGTCCAACGAGGTTTCCATTTTCTCCATCAACGATCACAGCGAGAGCACCATCGACACTGTGCGCGACGAGCACTCGGTCGTCACGGATGGTTTCCACAAACCTGTCTTCAAGGCAGACGACGAACCAGGGTCAGAGCAAGTCTCCCCGGTGCGTGGATTCGATGCTCCGTATGTGGACGCAATTTCAGAACTAGAAGACTCTGTCCAACCAGAATTGTCTGTGATCAACCAGTATGAAAATGACTGTCCAAGTGAAATTCTAGAGAGCGATCGCGAAAGCGTTGACATAGGTGCCGAGATCATAGATTGGTACCGCTTGGAGCCCCGGTGTTCTGCTGTGACCATAGGAGTGGGACGACCCGTGGTGGCGAACGCAGCCACCGATATGGCCAGCGGAATGTCGTTCAAACCAAAGGGAAGCGTAGAAGCTTTGAGCACCTTGGTCAAGAAACGGGCCCCTCAAAAGCCATTGTTACAGCATAACTGGATTGCCAACCTGATACCTAATAGCTCATTGATTACGAGCGAGACCGGCCGTATCATCGGGCAACCGGCAGCACACACATTCCCGCGGTCGCTTTCTCGAAATGGCGCACATTCGACAATGGTAATAAATCGAACAGGCAGAATGGTCCATCACGGGTCCGGCTCCGCGCTTGGAGACGTCCTCACCACCCGTGTTAGCCACGCGGCGCTTCGAGACGCACTGCAGAGTAGTTTAGATAGTTCCAACTCATAATATCAATCGACATCTCTATGATTTCCACTCACCACCTCTAACTTTCAACTGTCTTCTGTGAAGAGTCTGCTCGATGCGGGCTTCTTTTGGTTTCAACTGTCTTGATTTGGTCAAGAATGTAACGGCTCCGCGACCATCTCCCGCTGGTTTTGAGACAGTTGTCACGTTGACTTCTTGCACTTTGCGGATTCCAGAAGCTCCAGATTTGCGGAAACTGGATGTGATAGATTTGCGGGCCAAAATACCAAATTCTTCTTCTTCCTCGATCATCTCCACGTCGTTCTTATTTGTGTCTTTTCTCTCTCCAAGAACTACAGAGTTCTCGCGCATTTGTCTGATCTCGTCGAATCCGTCATCAATGAAAATGGCATTCTGAGGTTTTTCTTCGTCCTCCAAGAACGAAATCATAGATCTCACCTGCTCTCTGGTGATTTTACGCTTCTTAGCCATCACTAATCTGTCCTCGTCCTCGTCGCTTTCTTCTTCTTGGTCGTCCTCCTCTGGTTCTTCTTCAAATTGATAGCTGTTCTCTTCTGTTTCCACTATGGTGTCAAAAAATGCTTTCCGAGTTTGATCCTTCGCTAGCTCGCTTATGTCTTTGCTCTGTAACATTTGCTGCTTCTGCTGCTCCAAACGACGACGGTTGTAATAATCCAGAATCTGTTGGTCTTCGTCGTCACTCAGTTCGAGGTCATAGGCTCCATCACGAGCGCGGCGCTTTCTGAATGCACCGGTCTTGATATCTTTATAAATCTTCTTCACCATCTCGTCGTCGGCCTCAACTTCGTTCTTGATCAACGCAGCACGAATCTTGTCGTTGTCAACATCAATGGCTTCGTCGTTCAACATCCGCTCGTCTTCACTGTTTTCCTCGTCGGACATCTCACCATCGTGGCCTCCCATTCCTTTCCACTCATCTTCAGACTCTTCGGCCTCATTTTCCATGATTTCATGCAGACCTTTACTTCTCAGCTCTTTTTCACGTGCCCGACGTTTTCTTTCAACAGCACGCTTGGCTTCTCTAATTGCTTCCCGAGTGGCCTGCTTGGAAACCTCGTCTTCAGACTCTTGTTCTTCCTCAACCTCGGCTTCCTGGTCCACCTGGGTGTCTGGCAAGAAGTTTTGACTCTCCAAGATAGTTTTTGGGATCTCGGGCTCTTCCACGGGAAGAGTTCCGAGTTGGAAGCTCTGCGTGGCTGTAAAACTCTCCTCTGTACGTTCTATTGTTTCGTTCATGCTTGTGTTCATTGTATCGTCTGCGATCTGTCCGAGATCTTTCATAACCTTGAGTGAGTCCATGCCAGTGTATTTTTTCGGTAAGGTCTGATCAAAGGCATCAGAGAGTGACATAGGTCCAAAAACATTCTGCATATTTGATTGCTGTGTATCGAGTTCGAAAGTGATTGAAGGAGATTTTGGAGGTTGCGATGGTTCTTCTGCGGTATCTGCTTCGAGATTTCTGGTTTGTCTTTCTTTTTCGTCTTCTTCTTGTTCTTCCTGTTCATCCACATCTTCCTCTTCTCCTTCCTCCTCCTCTTCTTCCTCGCCGTCATAATCAATCTCACTCTCGTCTTCGCTGATCTCTCCTCTCAAAAGTCTTTCCTTTTCTCTTTTTTGTCGCTCGATCTTCTCCTGCTCGCGTTGCTGGAGTTTTTTGTTACGCGCAATCTCTTCCTGTAACATCTTCATGATCTCATCCTCTTTCTCCTCGAGAACCACCTCCACGCGTTTTTCCGTCAGTTTTTGCAGCTGTCGACGGCTCTCTTCTTTGATGAGATTTTTCAAGGTCACTTGAGGAGGACGCTTTCTTTTGGACAGTCTATGCCGGACTTCAAAAATGCTCTCTTTGGAAGCAGCAAACTTGATCTCATCCAAATCATCCTCAGAATCACTATCGAGCTCAATGAATTCGGCCTTCTTCTGCTCGACAGTTTCGAGGTGGGGCTCGGATTTGGGAGACGTGTTTGGAGTGTTTCCAATTGCTTCTGAAAAAGTCTCTTCGTCAGACTCCATAAATTCGTCCACCAATTTTTGTGGATCAAATTTAGATGCATCGTGTTTCTTGATTGAAAAGGCCGATTTTTTGATGAGTTCGTTCTGCTTCACAACCTCAACGAGAGGGTTCACCGACTTTGTAGGCTTGGATTCGCTTTGAGGTTTTTGACTTGCAAGTAATTGTTTTGCAAGTTGCTCTTTTTCCTCCTGCTCCCTCCTTTTTCGTTTTTCATTCACTCTTGCTTGGATCTTCTCCTCCATGGTGAGTTCGTTGTAGTTCTTAATAGCAGCAACCAGATCGTCTTCTTCCTCTTTTTCTTCTTCTTCTTCTTCCTCCTCCTCCTCTTCTGGAACAACAGGCTGCGTCTCAGCGGTGTCGAGTGCCATTTCTGTTTGCTCCTCGCGTAAACTAACTGTATGAGTGTTTGGGATCTCTGCAGTGTGCAACTGCTCCTCTGTTTCCTCTCCCTTTTCGCTTTCCTCGTCATTCTCCTCCTCCTCAACAGTCTCGCCATTCAATCGCCTCTTTATCGCGCCGATGAACCCGGAATCGATCCCCAACAACCCTAATCCATCACCGCGACTGCTCTCAATCACCTGCGTGGACTCGTTCTGGAAAATCGAAAACTGTGTGAAGTCTGTTCCCGTGTCTGCTTGTGTAGTTCTGGTCTTGAACGTCCGCCCAACGCCGGGCAAATCGTTTAATTCATCAAGAAACTCCATACTAACGCGACGCGGTTCACAAAAAATAAATAATGTATTTTTTCTTCCCAGTCAAATACCGAATTTCTTGTCGACCGTCGACAGAGCCGTGTCGGTTATCTTTTGGCTGCCTCTGATTGCGTCGTGTGACCTAAAACGGTAAAAATGTTGAGGTGTTGCTTTGTATATCCTACATAGCCACCGAGATAAGTGAAACTCGAGGCATTACACCCTCGTTATCAAGCAGGCAATTGATTTTTGGCCGTTTAGCGTGCGCTGGTTTCCGGAAGCCGTGATTTTTGCCGGATTCTGTCAGTTATTCCCTAATAATTTCGCACGTGTTTTTTTCCATGCATAATGGGGGACCGTAAACCAAGATAATAATAAGTAGAATAAATAAGCCGAGGCATGCTGAAACTTTTATTCTTCCATTTCTTAACAAATGCCGTATTTCGCTGATCTACCTAGAGTTGTTAGGAAAGAGATCACTTGGATTAACCATCCTGAGAGTGTAGTCACTGACGATACCCTCGAGGCTACCGCTTCTCCGGGTAAGTCAGGGTATATTCCAGAAGATATTCTCAAACCCTCTGAAGAACAGAGATCTTATTGGCCTATCTTCACCGCTGGAGCTGGTCTATTCTCTGATGGATATGTCGCCAACTCTATCGGTGTGGCCGCCACATGTTTCAAGAAGATCTATGGCGCCGATAAAGTCACTGGTTCCAAGGCCATGAGCAACGTCGCATCTATTGCATTCGTTGGTACCGTGGTTGGACAGTTATCCTTTGGTTTCGTTTCGGATTACGTCAGTAGAAAGGTTGGTATGCTTGTCTCTTCTGGAGGTTTGATCATCTTCGCCATTCTCTGTGCTGGTGCATGGGGTGTTGGCACCGAGGCCAAATACGGTGGAAACCCGGGAGGAGTGTTTGCAGCATTAGCTGCTTACAGATTTTTCCTTGGTGTCTTCATTGGTGCCGAGTATCCAACCGGTTCTGCTGCCTGTGCCGAGGCTTCTGCATTGCTTCCTGCTGGCCACAGAAACAGATACTTCTCTTGGTTCACCAACACCATGATTGACCTTGGTTTCGTCGTTGCCGCATTCGTTCCTATGGTTTGTCTTTGGATCTTCAAGCCTCACAACCTCCAGCCCGTTTGGAGAATTACTCTTGGACTCGGAGCCATCCCACCTTTGTCTTTGTTCTTGCTCAGATTAAAGTTCAAGGAAGGTGAACAGTTCCGTAAGACCAACTTCAAGCATGTCAAGGTCCCTTGGGGACTGGTGTTCAAATACTACTGGTTCAGACTATTCATTGTCATGCTCATCTGGTGGATTTACGATTTCTCCGCTTACGCTTTCGGTATCTACTCCACCACAATCTTGGACATCATTATTCCTGATGGTGACCTCTACAAGACTTTCGGATGGAACGTTGTGTTCAACTTGTTCTACATGCCTGGTGCATTTGCCGGTGCTCTTGTGGCCGACTACATTGGTCCAAGACTCACCTTGGTGACCGGTGTGCTTCTCCAAGCCATCTTTGGTTTCGCCATGGCAGGTGCTCTTCCAACTTTGAAGGAGCACGTTGCCGGCTTCACCGTTTTCTACGGTATCTTCATGACTTTTGGGGAGTTTGGACCGGGTGACAACATTGGTCTTCTCGCATCCAAGACTTGTGCTACCCCTGTTCGTGGCGTGTACTATTCGATCGCCGCTGCTTTTGGTAAGATTGGTGCTTTCTGCGGAACATGGGCCTTCCCAGCCTTCCAGGCGAACTATAAAGGAGACATGGGTCTTCAAGCGCCTTTCTACCTTGCTTCGTCTTTGGCTATCGTTTCTGCCGGTCTTGCATTGTTCTTCTTGCCTCCTGTTGACCAAGAAGCCATGCAAAGAGAAGATGTCGATTTCTTGAACTACTTACAAGATAACGGCTTTGACATCAGTCAACTTGGAGACGGACTGCTCAGAGAAGCTCTCAAAGAGAAAGAGATTGTCCACGAGGACTTTGAGCCATCTAAAGCGTCTGATTAATTTGTTTACTTTATACATTAATATTTTGGCCCAATAAAATCAAGTACTATAGAAATTCAGGATCTGAGGCAGTCTTTTCAAAGTCTGCACTTCTGTTGACCAAGCTTTGGTTCCAAATAGAGAGAACAAGAGCTGTCAGTGCAGACATAAGTGAGTCCATCATACTGAAGTCGACCTCGTCGAAAGCAATCTTGCTGAAGAATCCTTGGGATTGGGTTGCAACCTTGTAAGAGAAACGCACAAGCATACATGCCATGGCAAAGGTGAGAGCCACTGGATAGTACTTGAAGTAAGCGGAAGCAGATGGTGGAATAAAAGTGGAAACATTGGTGGAGTAGACAAAGATCCAGTAAAGGACGAACGCCACAAGAACAGCCAGTTGGATTATAGTTCCTGCCAAGGCCAAGTTTTTTCCGGTGTTGTAAGAACTGTTGCTTCCTGCTTCGAGGCCAGCACCCACGGAAAACAGAATCACAGCCGTCAAGTTGAACAGGATTAGGTTAATCAGGAGGATAGTGTTGTGACGAGGTGACTTGTTAGAACGGGAACGGAACAGACCAAACGAAGCAACGTAGATGCACACCAACATGTAGGAGGCACCTACGTTCAAGCCAACAGCGTTCATGATGTAGCCCGTTTGCTTGTTGTCAGTCTTGGAAACAAAGATACGTCCAATGTAACCGACAACCTCTCCGACCATAGCAAAATTGATACAGAACGCGTAATGGGAACGTTTGGTTATTAGGACCACTTTAGCGTTTGCCAGCAATAGGATTCCGAAGAACACGATCCAAAAAATCGTCACGCCAAATGTGATGTGGAGGTCAATATTATCAAAGTCTGCTTGTGAAACCATGTCGATGTGGTTGCAAATGGCCTGTTTGTCCTCATATAAATATGGTTGCAATAGCTCCTTGGCTGTGCTCTAGTAGGTGCGGCTGACTGACGAAAAATATTGGCGCAGCTTTTTTTTAGCGCCGCAGAGCTGGTTTTTCATACTAGTCGAGGCTATGGCTAAACTCTATGTGACCCGAACTGCTGGCCTGCTTCGCCAAGAATTGTCCAAGAAAGGGTTTCTGGGCTGCATACAGACTGCTTTGAACAATAGAGGAACCACGAGGATCTCAGTGTTCCCGATTAGGGTCACCATCGGCATTGGCTTGTGCCTCTCAAGTGCCGTTTGTGGATACGAGGTTACTTTATCGGGGAGTATGTTAGAAACAATGTTAAACTCTAAACAAAAGTTTATGCAATTATCTGTTGTTCGTGACAATGGTTGCACGATTGAGGCTTGAAAAGTCTGAGCTCCTTTCTTCTGCGCCGTACACAGAGCCGGTTGTTCGAGGCACCACAATCTGAAAAAGGGGGCCATGGAAAAATCGCATTTGAAAAGTAGGCGCAAATGTTCACTATCGGCGGAGCTAGGGCTGCTCCTTGAAATTGCTTGTGCTACTACGGAAGGCTGAGACAACCTCTTGGAGATTGGTCATTTGTGAATGAGTTTAAGTGTGGGTATCGTTTACAGGGTCCGTAAAAAGCGCACCCCATTTGCGGTTAATTCCTTTGCTGAAGGGTGGTTGAATAATTAAAGATTTTCAACCGATTAAATTATATGGATCCAAATGAACCGTTTCTCCAGGACGCGCACAGCAGCAAATTTGCTGTGTTTTGGGTCGACATGGACGGGTGCGACGAGGTTCTGAACGACGATTTTGAGTTCGAGCAGCTCATTCGCACGCTACCGCTCACTCTACAAGCAAAAATCCTAAAACGGAGGAACAAGACAGACAGACACTGCGGACTTGTTGGTGCGCTTTTGACACGTTATGCGGTGTGGGGGTCTGAGAAGAGTCTTAAGAAGTGGAACGATCTGGAATTCGGAACAGGCGAGCTCGGCAAACCGTTTGTGAAAAATCGACCGTACAAGTTCAACCATTCCGACGAGCACAAACTGGTGGCCGTCGCGGTCGATTTTACGGGATCCTCCGAGGTGGGGGTCGATCTCGCAAACCCAGAGGACGTGGGCGATCCAAACAAGTTCGTGGGCGAGTTCGAGGCGATATTCACGGAATCCGAACTGGCAGAGGTAACGTCATCGGTATTCGGACTCAGTGAACAGGCTGCCAAACAGCATCTTTCTTTGTATTGGGCATTGAAAGAGAGCTATTCGAAATATAAAGGGGTGGGGCTCCATCACGAATTGAAATCTTACGAATTCCGGAATGTGAGCCCTGTCAAACCCTATCCCCAGTCGACCGAGTTTAATGGCCAACATGCCGTCTACATGCTACTGCCCCATAACACCATTTGTAGCGTGGTTTCAGATATCCGCCAAATTCCAAACTTTGTCCAGATCCACGGAGCCGAGTTGTTGCATTACATAATTCACAACATTTGCTCGCCCCCACAGCTGTCTCAAAAATTGTGTATATAACGAAATGATCTTCGCACCCCAAAATTTATTATTGCTATTTTGCGCAGTACTGTGGAGGTGGTCCCATATATAAAATGTTGAGAAGTTTCCTACGCCCTGCAAAACTTAATTTCGTCAGTAATAGTTTCAGAACCATGAGCACAATCAAAGTTGGTGATCAATTGCCTGCAGCTACTCTTTTCGAAAAGGGACCTACCGATAAAGTCGACCTCCTGAAGGAATTGAAGGGCAAACACGCCCTTATTGTTGGTGTTCCTGGTGCCTTTTCCGGCCCATGTTCCGAGGTTCACATTCCGGGCTTTTTGGAGTACTTGCCAAAGTTTATTTCAAAAGGTTACGGTAACCTTGTTGTTGTCACAGTGAACGATCCGTTTGTGGTCAGCAAATGGAGGGAAAGCTTTGGCCTAAAGCCAGAGTCCCCTAACGTCTCCTTTTTTGCAGATTCCAAGGGAGACTTTGTCAAGTCATTGGGCTTGGACTTCGATGCTACCGAGATCTTTGGAAACACCCGTTCCAGACGGTTCGTTTTGGCCGTCGACGACAACAAGGTGGTTGCAGAGTTCGTCGAGCCTGAAAACACCCCAATCGACGTCACTGCCGCAGACAAGGTCTTCAAGCAGATCCCGGGTCTTGAGTAATGGGTATTTTATAAGTTCATTATAACGTTGCAATGATTACTTAGTCTGAATTTGTAGATATTGTCGAGTCGTCGTCCACCGTGACGTCTGTTTCGTCCGAGTCGTCTACGGGCTCCTGCTTGATTTCTGTGGTGGTACGTTTTCGCTTGCGCGGTGAAACGTGCTCGATCTCGCGCTCGTATTCGCTTTTGCGACTTTCGTCAAACTCAAACTCAATAGGAGCCTCCGGTCGCTGCCAACTAATCTGATTATCTTGACGAATACTCTCAAACGGCACAAATTTGCGTTCAGGCAGGCTTTCTCGTATCAATTTCTTCTGCTCGTTGAACATCGGTACCACCACCTTGGCTATTTGGTCTTGTAATCGCTTGCTCGAGTTCACATGGTCTTGGTTGATTTTCTGGCACGCTTCGAAGTCGAGCTGCAATTGTTGGTTCTGGCGGGTCAATTCTCGGATACGTCGCCTCAATTCCAGTTCCTGCTCGTACTTCACAGCCAGATCCTCGCCCACGTCGAAAAAATCCCCGTCCGCAAGCTCGCAGTCCATCTCAAATAAAACTTTACCTGGGTTTTTAGGGAGGTCTCTGGTAACCACCAGTTTTTTCCCTTGTCCGTTATCCAGAACTTTGAAACTGTAATCCAAATCAAACTCTCCTCGCACAAACAAGCTTTTAACCCATTGCGTCCAGATCCCGTGATCCAGAGCTTCCAAGAAACCAACCGATGAATGATTGGCGCTGGAAAACCCGCCTCGATAGGTTTCTCGGCCTTCGTTGCACACAAAAGTAGCTGTGAATTTCAGCTCCGTGGCAGTTCCCAATCCATCCAGCGACTCGTGGTTCAGAAATCTGCTCACTCCGTCGTCAGTCTCTGTTACCTGCTTTTCCTGCTGCGCATCCGATTCTATCAGCGTATAACATTTCTGACCATTATAATCGGAAAATAGTGTTCTGGAACTCATCTTCACTTGCTTTCTCTCAGGTTCGTATACACATTGCCTTTAAAATTCAAAATCGCCGTATCTTTCGTAAATCCGCCAACTTTGGTATCTAGCTTTTTATTCCAGTCGGTATTAAATTATTTTCTCATTTATATCATCTCGTCAAAAATGGTACGTTTGTTTAAGATCTCAACCTACAAACCGGACAGTACTAACCGCCCAATAGGAACATCCAAGTTATACTTTAGGAGGACTCTGTCTCATTGGCGGTGCCATGGGCTTTGCTAGAAAGAGATCCACCCCTAGTCTTGTGGCCGGTGTCTCGATGTCAGCACTTTACTTCACGGCTGGCTATTTGCTCCAGAACAACAAAGAGTACGGAATCCACACTGCTCTTGGAACCTCTCTATTGATGGCCGGAGCCGGAATCAGCAGATCTCTGAAAACAGGAATCAAGCCAGTTCCACTTACTCTCACCCTTCTTGGTACTGTTTCTTCTGCTTACTATGCTTATAAATACACCCAATTTTATCTGTGAATATATTGACAATTGACTTTATTACAGACTTGTAGATGTAGATTGTTGCCGACAGGGGCCGTTCTTGTGGCCATTTGCCAATCAGTCTCAAAGCCCGTCTCGTGGTGAAATAAAATGGATAAATCCTTGCACCGCACCGATTACTGCTATCTAATGCCGTTGTTCTTTCCGAGGAAATATGGCCATCGGGAACGGGAACTTGGCACTGGTACGACAGCCACAGTGAGTCTGTATACTCACAAGCAGCGGTATTACGCGGTCAAGGTAATTTCCAGAGACGACGGCGAATCTCGAAAAGATCATCTAGCACGAGTACATAAAGAGGTGGAAATCCATCGAGCATTGGGTAAGCACATCAATGTGGTTGATTTTGTCGAATTCTTTGTTGTGAATAGACGTCCATACTATGTGGAAGAGTTTTTGCCCATAAGCGTATCGTTTGTTCGACCTGTTCAGGACCTGGAGTCCAGACTGTGTCTTTTCAAACAGTTGGTACACGCATTAGATTATTTGCAAAAACAGAACATCAGTCACCGAGACGTCAAGTTGGCGAACTGCAGGCTCACGAAAGGGGGCATATTGAAAATCATAGATTTTGGATCTTCGATCTACGGAAACGAGGGAATTGGAGTAGCCGGAAGCAAAGGGATGGTGGCACCGGAAGTTCTTCGAAATCTACGGTATGATTCGTTCCTGTCGGACGTATGGTCTTTGGGGGTGGTTTTTGTGGAGCTCATGGGCCAGAAAACAAAATGGAAGGAGGCCTTATGGAACGATCCAGCTTTTGAACAGTACACTAAAACCGGCAATGTCGACCAGGTTGCAGAACATATGCACGAATTTTCCGGGCTTGTTTTGGCGATGCTTCAAATAAATCCACAAATGAGAATAGCGCTTTGCGATCTGCTCAAAACTGAAATTGTGGGTCAAATCAAGTGTTGCGGTCCAGCCAACGCTCTTCATTCTCACTAGCTCCCAACTGCGCCATTTTACACGCCTAGGCTGCGCCACGAACAACCGTGGTAATTTTTTCTTCACCGCCATTTTTTTGCTGTTATTTTCCGTTCGTTCGTTATGACAGACAAACCGGAATCCTCGTCACTCTTGCAAGAGCCACGGATATTGGAGATTCTGAACTCTGACTCGTCGCTGGATTTGCTGCTGTCAAGATTGAAGCAGTCTATCAAGGCATGTGACGAGTTTGCAAACTATTTAAAGCGAAAACAGAACTCTGAGGAAAACTACGCCAGAGACGTGAAGAGAGCAGCTTCGAGTTGCAAGTCCTCAATCAGGTCCAACACTTCGGTTTCCAAGGGATCTTTTGTTGAGTCTTTGGAGAAGGTCATCGCGTTTGATGACCGTATCATGGGCGATGTCCGCTCCCCTTACTCTAAGGCGTTGGAAAAAATGCAAGACGAATTGAATTCCGTTTCTGCTACATTCGTTCGCTTGCGCAAACAGCTCAAAGAAGAAGGTCACAAACGCGAAAAGGACGTTCAGGACGCGGTCTCCCAAGCAGAGAAGGCCAAAAATAGATACAATTCTCTCTGCAGCGATCTCGAGAGACTCAGACAATCAGACCAGTCTCAGAAGAAGATCACGCTGCAAGGACGAAAGACAGGCTCCCAACAGGAGGAAGACCTTGTGCGCAAAATCAATGCTGCCGACCAGGAGTATAATGCGAAGGCCAACGCTTCCCAGAAAGCCAAAAATGAGCTCATCAACACACATCGTCCAAAACTGTCCAAACGGTTTCAGGATCTCATTTTGGAGCTCGACACTGCTCTCCAACTCCAGCTACAAAAGTACGCTGCCTATAATGAGTCCTTGATCGTTGGTCTCGGTAACCAAATCGCTCCATTGGGATCCAACCATACATCAATGGCCTCTGTCGCTGCCTCTGTCAATCCAGAACAGAACCTTTACAATTACCTCATGGGCTCGCAGATCAAAAAGAAGCAATCTTTCGTTCCTGTGGAATACACCAAGCATCCTCTTTTCAAGTCTACTCCCACTGCCCAGTTCCGTGTTCCTGCCACTCCCCCAGCCACAAGCAAAGCTCCAAAAGTTATTTCTCCACCAACAGTTTCCAAATCCACGTTATCGCCGTCTCTGGGGCCTGTTTCAGACCCATTCCCAGCTGCTCCGACCGCTCCTGTGTACTCTTCGCTTGATCCAACGCGTTCAGCACCAGGTGGGACTGCTGCTGCCGCATCTCCAGCAGGATTGTCAGGACCGCGTCCTATCAGCACGGAGCCCTCCGCTGACCCTTCATCCAACTCTTATAGTGGGCTGTTGTTTGGTCTTCCAATAGAAAGTGTCGACCACGACGAGGAAATGGTTCCTGTGTTTGTGAAGAAGTGTATCAATTTGATTGAGACTTATGGAGTCAATTCCGAGGGAATTTATCGGTCAAGCCCAAACAAATTCAAGCTGGAGGAGCTTAAACATGCTATCGATCAAGATCCATCCAATCTGTCGCTTCTGGATCCGCCGGATCCTATGAACGTTACCGACGATTATGTCTATATGATTGCTTCATTACTGAAGCTATTTTTCGCAGAGCTACCAGACCCATTGCTCACTAAAGAACAGAGCGGCAATTTCTTCAAGGCCGGGCAAATAGAAGACGACGCCACCATGCATGTTCAACTACATCGGATTGTCTTCGAGTTGCCAGACGCTAACTACTTCACTTTACGTGATCTGCTATTCCATTTCATTAACCTCAGTCAAATTCCAAGAGTGCGGATGAACGTCAAGAATCTCAGCATTGTTTGGTTCAACAATCTTCTGGTGAACGAATATACAACTCGTGATGAGCTTGCTGTCCAGCAGCGTGTCATTGAGGAGCTTATCAATGCTGCTCAGGAGATATTCAATCCAAAGGACGATTAGACATTGAGGACGTGTATGACCAAAAATTATATTATGTGTATTTCTAAGATTAATCTTGATTTAGATTCTTAACGCGAATGGATATCAGTAGGTCGACGCCTGTTGAAGGTTCCCCATTCCCATCGCTCAGGAAGATCCAAATCACACTAACTAGAAAGCGTGGTTTGGTATCACAAGAGATCGACGCGGATGAAGGAAATACCAAAGAATCTTTCAGTCTCTCCAACAAGGAACCGCGACTGGCTCCAATCACAGAATTGTTCCAAACGGGCGTGCGTTCCATCCTAGCCAACAATGTCTCAGCAGTTCCATTCTCATTGGCTTATATGCAATACATCTGCGAGTCTTTCTATATGAACAAAGATTGGGCTTCGGAAGTGTTTGATTCAATCTCTAAAAGCTTTGCGGATGATTTTATGCCCTTAGCTAGATCGGATTTGCTTGATGGACATGCTTTTGAAAACTGCATTGTCAGGTTCAACGACTGGAAACAGAGATTGACGCGACTTCACGAAGTTTTAATCTCTTTAGATGAATCTACAACGCTACGCTTGCCCGATATCAAAAGACGCAGAATTATCCCATTTGGATTAGACCTGTTCTCTGCCGCGTTTCTAGATTCAAACAAGACAAGTAATTTGGATGTGCGGGTCGCCGACCCGTCTGAAAATCCAACTCGCACCAAAATATTACTATCCATGAAAGACAGTTTATTCCGTGAAGACTCGCACGAGCTGCTGTTATCGTTCCAACAAATGGTTCACGAAATCGAATCCTTTCAGAAAGAGTTCTACGGCTTTTCGAAATTGCGCTTAAACCCAGTTTTTGAACAAGCAATCCGTCAACTTCTCATTGCAACCAAAGAAGAATCAATCCGCGATCCTACAGCGTACATGAACCAAGCCAGCTTGATACACAATTATTTGGAAACCTATAAGGATCTGTTTGGGGATAGCTGGCTATCCCAGGAGCAGTTACAGAGTTTGGAAAACATACTTATTGGAGAACCGGTGATAACTGCAAATCCACACATTATTGAAGCAGCTTATGGTATACCATGGAATATGGAGATAGCAGGCAAGTTGATCCATCTCAATCAATCCAATGGTGTTGATTGGCTTGTCGGACTCATCAGGAAGCACAGTTTGGACAAGTATCAAATGTACCTAAACCAAAGCATCGAAAACAAGGAACTGGTGTCGGCATTATTCGATGTCTACCGTCAACTCGATAACAATTACCGAAGCTCATTACAGAGAGATGGTGATGGATTTGCTCGAGGCATTATTGTGGACTCGTTGGAGAAGACTCCTGGTGGTCCAATTAAGTTATGCGATTTGCTACTGAAATACATCGAAACAACTTTAGGTAGACCAAGACCCCAAGATATGGCCCTTTTGCAGAAATTGGGATCAGGAATCTACGATCTGGCAAGAATTGATGCCGACAATAAGATCACGACAGTGCTCAGTTTTGCTCCGTCAACCAGGCAGTATTTTTTTGACAAGTACAAAATACAGCTCTCAAGGCGTCTATTGCGCGGGAGTGCATTCTTCTTGAACAGAGACCTTAAATGGGAGTGGTTGCAACTGGAGAAGCGATTGATCAGAAAGTTTGAAGAGATGTTTGGTGAGGAATATACCTATTCCTTGAAAGACATGGTCAAAGGTATTGAAAAGTCCGAGGAAGAATGTTTTGGATTTCTTGAACTGCACGAGGCTTCATCTACAAATAAGGTAGATGTTGATCTGAGTCTTGTTGGGGGTGAGTCGTGGCCTCGTGTGCCGGATAACCAACCAGTCATCATCCCGCAACAATTGCAACCACTATTCGGTGAATATGAAATGTACTTCAAAGATGCACATCCATCGCGAAAGATGGAATGGAAGTACCATTTCCAGCGAATTGTTATCTCCGTTCAATTTGACGAGACACGGCCGGAGTCTCAGTTAGTGGAATGCTCCATTTATCAGGCAGCTATAATTTTGGCGTTTGAAAACGAGAAGACGCTCTCGTTTGAACAGCTCCAGAAGCTAACGGGAATGCGATCTGCCTTCTTGAAGACTAATCTAGATTCACTGGCAAGTTCCAAGTATCAGATTTTGATCTCCGATGGCAGCTATAGTATCAACGAATCATTTGACAACCGAAAGAAGCTGCTCAGACTTCCAATCCTGATGGGTGGCGAGTCAAGCGCAGTGGCAAGCTCACGGTCTTCGGATAATCGGTCGAAGGATTGGGATTCGGCCAAAATCGAGGCATATATTGTCACCACAATGAAAGCAGAAACCACCATGAAACATGATTCATTAATGTTGAAAGTCTTGGAGTATATGAAAGATAGAAAACTCTACGACGCCAATGCTGTTGCATTTGTCAAGACCATATTTGCAAAGTTGGTCAACGAGGAATATCTTCGGCGAGAAGAGGATGATAGTTATGTGTATGTTCCATAATTAAATATGCTAATTAAATATGAATGATGAATAGATTATGATCGCCTCGAAACTGATCCGCTGAATATTCTAGCCCATGACATGTTACCCAGCATTACTTGAGTAGACGGCAACGTGTTCTCTTTGCCAAAGATGGTTGACCGGTATATTTGGGTTTACGACTGACACCCCTGTTGTGGGCTGACTACGTTGTGGTTATACATCGACTTCCATTAAAACTAATAAATCGCGTAAATGGTTTAGTGGTAAAATTCGTCGTTGCCATCGACGAGCCCCCGGTTCGATTCCGGGTTTACGCATTTTTTTCTTGATTAATTTTTTTAGATCCATGTTATTAGATCTTGACAATGATCTTGGCGACCGGATAACAGAGGCGGTTCTGCGTGAGTACGAGCGACCGTCAAAGCTAGAAAACAAACATCTCGCCCAGTTTCGTAATGCAATTCCCAAGAATACTGAGACAACAGTGCTAGCCAGTGTGGTTGGAATAACTAGCAGTGTTCGGAATCAGGATACCAACAAAAGACGCAAACATGATTCGTCACTGGACGTTCAGGTGATGACCCTGTGTACTGGGATGAAGACTGTTCCTGCAGCTCGAATTGAGTACAGTGAAGGTAAACTGGTGCATGATTCTCATGCCGAAATTCTATGTCTTCGACTATTCAACTGGATGCTTTTAAAGGAAATGAAACGTTTGAAAGATGGCGGACAGTCTGATTGGATTCAGTGGAATCAGGAAACAGAGAAGTTTTGTCTTTTGCCAAATGTTCAGTTTGCTCTTTATGTCAGTGAGATTCCTTGCGGAGATGCTTCGTTGGAGAATTTGGCTGATGATCTACCTGACAAAACTGGTTGGAAGAACGTAGAAGTCATTGATGGAGTCATCAGGGGGAGGGATGGGGTAGATCAACTTGGAGTGGTGAGGACCAAACCAGGACGAAAAGACTCTCCACTATCACTTTCCAAATCGTGCTCCGACAAGCTCTGCTTGAAGCAGTTTACATCCATTTTGAACAGCTTGACGTACGATTTATTCGAACAAAAGATCTTCTTGAGCTATTTAGTGCTGCCGAGGGACAGAATGCATAATACGGCACTGGAGAGATGTTTTGAGAGACGCATCCAATTTTCTCCAAAAGTATCAAGCTTTTTCCATCCAATATGCATCTTATCTACTGCTAAGAGTCCATCGTTTTCCGGGCCCAAATCAAGCGATCTGTCCGTGCTTTACTGTCCGTCGGAGAGCTTTTTGCAAGTGCTAAATAAAGGCGTTCGAAACGGGTGTCCATCGAAGAAGAAAATTCAAGACGGCCATGAAAGCGTGGTCTCACGGAAAGCCATGGCCCTGTTGGCATTGCCTCTGCTGAGGGATAACTATGACAGTTACCAAGATCTTAAAGATCGCGCAGGAATTGTTACGTGCAAGCGACTAGCACGTGAAGCCATTGGTAACTGGGGTCGTTGCAACATTGATAATTTTGCGCTCAGTCCTGTATAAAAACAAACTCCACTTCTGATTCTGGATCTCCAAATTGTATCGCGTCTTTGTGCCTCAGCTCAACATATTTATTTGGAGGAAGCTCTTGATCCTGTAGAAACGTTCCATTTGTGGACCCTAGATCCATGATGTATGCGACAATTCGGGAATTAATCTTTCTGAACTGAATGACAGCATGGCTAGACGAAACTAGCTCGTCATCCAGCACAATGTCGTTGGTTTTGCGATCTTTTCCAACCCTATAGTACGATTTATCGTTGATTAGCGCAATCTTTTGACCTTCGGGTGTCTTTTCGTCGAACTTGTACAGATAAAAACGGGTTTCAGATTGAAGAGTCGGCACCACCGAGTCAGCTGGGGGAAGATAATCCGAACCCCCGGACTTCCGCAGCATCTTCGTAAGGTAGCCAGACGGCTCCATCACCACGGGAATTGGCTTTACCGTCTTACTCATGAGAGAAAAAATAAACGGTCGATCGACGTAAATATTACCTCGAGATGCTATTGCACTATTCAACGCGAGCTCAACAGTTTACCTCGCACTACTCTATATCATATACTATGTTGATTGTCTATTTACAACTCACCACTTGTACTGTCCGCTACCAGCGATGATTTTGGTTTTGGTCAAATTATTCCAAACCGGTTTTCTGAGCAGTCTCTGTTCACTCTCGTATGCAAGTCTCTTTTGTGTCTGCTCTGATTTGAGCAAGAACCGAACGCTGACGTATCTGTGCAGGAAGATACCCGAACGTCCACGTCCTTTGAAGTCAGGACGTTTAACCCATTGACCGTCTGTGTGAACCCACGACTCGGAGATATAGAGCTTATTTGGATCGTAACCCATCTTCTTTGCGTCCTCCACACCTCTTTCAAGCATCTCAGCTAATGGTCTTGCCACTTTTTTCTGTAAGAAGTGAAGTTGGGTGATGGCTTTCTTCAAAGGCATGTCTTTCAAAGCACGCAACACAATATTAGTCTTTTTGACAGACGACTTGATTCTCCAAGATCTCAAGTACACGGACGGCTCAAGGGCCTGGATCTCATCTCTCGTGAGATGGAGTTTGTATGATTCGTCGCCCAACTTCATGATCTCGTCGTTGATGAAAAATCCGTTTTTCTTGACATTCTCGTTGAACAGTTGACTTTTAAGAGGAGACACAAGCGACTTTGTGGCCAGGAACGGTTCTGGGTTCAAATATTCCTGAAGTCTGGTATCCTGTTCTGGCGAGGTGATTTTCTCAGGTGTCGATGATTGGACGGGTTCGGGAGTAGTAGGCACTTTGGTGACCTCGTTGAAAAGCGATCCAGAAGAATTATACCGCACTCTGGATGCGTTGAGCCCGAGCCCTGAACGGCTCAAAATACTTGCTCGTGCCAGTCTGAACATTATGGACACAAATAATATTGATTGAGAAAATATTTCAATCCACACCAAACACCATTGGTCTTCTCTATATAATTAGAGGGACTAAACTTAAAACCATCTCCACACTACAAAACTTTTGTTGCCTAGTTACCAACTGCCCAGCTCATATTAGCGCCCAGACAGAAGCCAGGTGACCGTTTGACACCCCGACACCGGAATTTGCGGCAGCCACATTCCTCCTCCTTCCAGAGTCGGTTGGAATTACAAAGGTCGATCGACCAATTGCTTATCTTAATTAAAGCTACTTTATTCCCTTCTAATGGGTCTGGTCTACGCACAACATTTCAGGACGTCCAGCGCTGGACAGGACGCCCCAACTGCTTCAAGAAACTCGTCGATTGCTTCCAGGTCGTCTGGATCGTCAGGGTCCGTTTTTAACTCCCCCAGATCGTCGGTATCCTCAGCTACAAGCTGCCCCCACCTTTTCGCCACAAATACATTTGTGCCAACTCGGATTCTCCGCTGTAAGCAATGTCACAACCACATCTGCCTCACGTCGCTGATCATCTCAGATAACTTCACAGGGAGTTTGGGGGCAGCATTCTTTGTCTCCAAGGTATTAAACGTCAAACTGTCAAAAACAAGAGATTTCAAGAGAATGAAGACAGGCCGGTACGAAGTGAAAGGTATCAGCTGCAAGCAATGCGACAGTACACTGGGATGGAAGTATCTCTACAGTGAAGAGGATAAAGAAAAATATAAAGAGGGTAGGTTCGTTGTTGAAAGAAAGCTATTGGAAGAGGTTGACATATAGTCACGAGTTATGAATTAATAAGGTACGGTATGGTTTGGTTTATAGGGTTTAAGCGATAATATCTTTAGCAAAATGCTGGTAGCGTATCTTATCGTAGTGTACAACTGTGGCGCAATATATGACGATCAACTATGAGACCTGCTTGAATCGCTCATGATACTGGAGTCACTGCTGTCAATATCGGAATACCACGTTTGAGGCCGCAACCTTCCGTCCCGCATGGCTAGGGACCCTAGGGTGTCTCCAACGTCTTCAACTCCAGTGTTCTTTAATCTGGAGACGTTTTGCAAATGCGACTCGTATCGTTGCGGGGTTCTACCGCTTGGTATCACACGTCCTTCATAGCGCTCAGGACTCTCCTCAGAGTTCTCATACAACACGTCGATCAAACGTTCAGGCACTGTATTCGCAACAGGAACAGCATTCCGTTTTCGAGGCGGCGGAGGGGCAGGTATTGAGCGGCTGTACTCAGAGTTAGGCAAGTCCGGCAAATTGGGCCGGCTCTGGACTGGTTCCCAGAGCGCATCCTCGTCAAAAGCGCCTTTCTTGCCCTTTCGATGTCTCACCATGATGAATACCAGCCCTAAAGCCAGTAAAAATCCAAATACCGTTCCAACTGCAATACCTGCCTTGGATCCTTTTGAAAGCCCTCCACTATGAGAAGACGTGTCGTGTAAGTCCATGAATTTGCTGAAGGAGTTGTAGTCCGTGGTCATCGGTGCGCTCGATGTAGTAAATGAACTTGTTGCAGCAAATGTTGCCTCGGTGGTCATAAGCACTTCCGTGCTGAAGGTGGTATCTGATCCTGTCACTATAAGCAATTGAGTGTAGTCATAAGTGGTGATTTCAAGACTAGTTGAGGTGATAGTAGAGCTGATTTTCTCTGAAGTCGCGTAATGAGTGGTGGTATCCAGCTGAGACCCTGATGAGGAGACCGAACTCGACTCAAATTCATCAAAGGTTTTCACAGTAGCCGTGGAGGTTGAGCTCCCGGATGCGTACTGTGTATGTTGCGTGGTAGTATGCGAGTAAGTCCTGCTTACTTCACTGGTGAAAACGGGAGTAGAGTAACTATAACTGGTCTTAGGTGTCGAACTCGATGTTGAAGAGTTGCTGTATAGCTGACTCATAGGTGCGGCATATATCCGTCGCCTTAGGTCAAGGAAGTTCACCATCTCAAAGCCTCACAACTGGTTGTAATTCAACACCATACGGTTTTTGCACCTTTGGAATCTTCTAAAATTATGTGGTGTCAGGGTTTGCTTCAATGTACAGCCCGGTAGATAAATTAATAGCATCAGATCTGCAGCAACCACCCAAAATTAGAATACATCTGATCATCTGGCACTGATCCTGATTCCAAAATTAGATTGAATTGGGCAACGTCTTCTTTTTCCAACGGTTGACAGTATTTTGCAAGGTTGACACCACCACCGAGCTCCTGGGACAGCTGTTCTAAGTAGACATGCGCATCAGCCTCGTTCACAGTATCAACTTTTCGGAGACTTCTCAAATCTTCCACAACGCTTTTCAAATCTTGAGTCAGTGGCTGAAAATTCGAATTGTATTTTAAAACAATGTGCTTATTTGCCTGTAAGGCCAGTATTAGAGCCGACCAGAATAACATGTCTAGATTCCAGTCGATCTCTCCCTGTCTCTGCATCCTGATCAATTTCAAGATGCCGATACATATTTCGTAAAAGGACATCCCCAAAGAAACTTTGAAATCTAGCTGATGCTCCAACGAGTTTTCAATATCAGTGGTTAAGACCGTAAAACGTAAGTTGGCAATAGGGTCTTCAATAGTGTTGTTTTTCAACAATAGGAACAATTTGTACATTGGCCAGCTTTGTCTTGGGACAACAGAAACATGCTTGTATGCAAGGTTTGAAAGCATTAATCTTTCTTCAGGGTTCAGTTGTGGGATACCTGTGGAGATAGATTGCAGCACAGAGACATCATCCATATCTTCCGAGCTGCATACTGATTTCAACTCCTGCATCAATTCGATGTAAGATTGTTGTTCGTCTTCCGATCCACCAATCATAACTCCATCCAAACCGGTTTTATCCCAGTTCATTCCGCCAAGCCCACTTTTACTTGGAAACCATCTGTCAAACTCCGTCGAGCACATTTGGCATGTACAATCGAAGTAGAAGCTATTACGAAGTTGCTGCTGTCTTGCGATTTTCGGAGTGAACACAGGACAGTAGCTGACAAATAGTTCTTCGTTTGTAGCAATTGGTCGAAGAGCCCTCAAAGAAGCTGTTCGGCCTTTCCAAACCAAAATACAATTTGGTTCACAGGAATGATTGATCAAAGAAAAAAACGGATCAAACATAATTCCAACAGGCTCTTCGTAGAAGTTTTGTAACACCGTAGAGTTAACATAGATGATGAAACACAGCTTGATCAGCCCCTTCAGGTCTGCCTCAAAAAACCTTAGGAACCCCAAAGAATATGACTCGGTAGCATCAAATAAGGCCTCCTGACTTGGCGAAACATGAACCAAGTTGTTCTCTTGTTTGAATTTGAAGTAGTATTCATGATGAGAAGTCAGGTCACGGCATTGAGACACAAGATTGTTATCTTGACCTAGGCAGATGATGAGCCGCAGAATCAGTCGCTCGACACAGGAGATCTGGGCCCTCTCGCGCTCATCGAATGCAGAAAGATACAGGCACTCAACTTTATGAACCAATAAATCAGCATCCATACATTCTTCACAGCAGTACTTAACAAAACCGCTGCAATCACCGCATTCGATTCCAGCGCCAGCAACACTCAAACTCTTCATACAATGAGCACACAGTGTATCCTTAGAATCTGTGCTGTCAATACTTTCGTTTGTTTCTGCAACTTCGAGGTAAGGCAAGAACTCATGAATTGTTTCTCCTGCTTGGTGAGGACGTGTGAGAACAACACCTCTTTTCGCATTTCCTCTATCTTGGGGATTGTTGATAGATATGTTGTTGGGTAAATTGGAATAATATTTTGAGATAGATTCACCAGTTTCAGTCGAAACCTTCTTCACACTTGCCTTGATCCTTTGGAACTCTGAAGAGTGCTTAAACGAGCCAATTCCAGTCATACTAAATAAATAAATCAAGACCCGCCGTATCCCTCTTTTTTTGCCCTTTTTGTATTGCAGAAAAATATTTACACCACATTGAACAGATGCTCTATATTACTCGTATATATTTGGTGTAATCCAAATATGGGAACTCAATGCAAATTAAAACACGTCACTCTTGTCAGTCTCAATCAAACAGTGGATGCATGAGGAGGAAATTAAACAGGGGTTTCCTCAAAGCTATTATCAGAAACAAATCTGATGAAACCTCCAAATTCAGCAAGAAAGTTGAAAAATTCGTTCAACCAGCAACTTAAGCTCCACCAGATACTGAAGTTCCCCACTTGAACCTCAATTGATAGTTGTCTCATTATAGAGTCAATCACTTGATTGCTGACTAAAAGAAAAACTCGCGGATTAATACCTTCAAACTTTGAAGGAATTTTTGAGATGTGAAGACTCAAAAGTTGTACGACGTTATCTTTGATATTATCGTCGTGATATGATAGTTTCTGTAAGTCGTTGAACAGAAACACGATGTCAGTTCTAAGGATGGAGGTTATGTCTCTTTTTTGTTCACAATGGATATCACGATCCACTAGTGTGTCCAAAGTCAACATCTTCCATTCACTCAACAAATTGGTAACAATAGAGCTATGGGTAATATGGCCAGCAAAGTTTGTCGCGGCCAGAATCACCCTACTCAGACGTGATGTGATTTTGAGGAATGCTGCTGCCCGTAGCTCTTTCTCTTTGAGTACATGGCTTGGAAGTTTCATGGATTTCAGTGCATCCATAAATTTGACGTTGATATTTTTAAGTTGATTGTGAACTTGATCCGGAGCACTCTGGAAAACAGTTTTCGAGAGATATTTAATGCAAGCACCGTATAGTTCATCGTCGCATTTCAGTATCCAGGAGACCACATCGGAGTATGACAGCAGTGATTTTTGCTCGATTGACAGCTGCGAAGACAGGGATTCCATCTCGTCGAGCAAATGCTGGACCTCCATGAACTTGATATACTGGAACAGTTTTTGACAGTGGGCACTGTAAACCTGCTCCATACCGTGCAACTTCTCATGATCAGTTTTGGGAAACATTTGATATAGCTCGTTCATCGAAGGAACGGTATATTTCAAATTGATCTCGAAGAAATGTCTGAAGAGCTGAGGATCAAGGTTCAGACCAATAGAGAGTTCTGAATAATCTTCATGCTCATCATACAGAGGTGGGAGCTGGACTGTCGAGTCAGTGGCAGGGGATGCAAAGACTTCGATACAATCAGGATCAGATATTAGTTTGATTCCACAATAGTGGTACTTGCTGAACCCTCTGATTCCCAGTCTCCTGGTTTTGACACTTGGAAATAGTAACTTAACCAACTTTCCTAGTGAAGCATTGGAAATAGGAGGGATATCATGCTCTTTGCAGAGCTCAACATATGAGTTAAATATCCTGTTTCTAGGAGAGACAGCACTTTCCTTGACTTCCACAGATCTTAGTAAGACCACCATTGCTAACAACTGTCTGTGCTGTTTCTTTTCAGATTCGGCGGCCCGAACAGGTCTAGCGTGCCTCAATCCCATGCTTTGTAATTTTTCTATCTTTTCCTCGGATCCCTTGATCAACATGGCCATCTCTTCTAGAGGAACTTGGATCATTCTATGGGCAAGATCAACAAGCTGCTTCTCGCGAAAATTGGTTTGCGACTGTTTGTTATCTCTTGCTAATCCGCGTTTTGAGTGAGTGGCAGTCGAGGACTGGGTAGCTAATGTCTCCAAGGAAGGGGTACTCAACAATGTTGCAGCGGACGAAGGTGCCGAATAGTTATTGTTATGAGTAGAATGCTGATTTGGGGTTTGTGTCTGACTTTGGTCAGATGACTTGGACTGTGGTTTGGGCACCATGTGGAAAGGGTTCAATCCTTGATAAGTTGGATATGGTGGTACCGGGTAATATTGCCACGGCGCAGCAATTATCATGGGCGGCCTTTCCTGATAGTACTTGTATGTCTGCTCAGCAGTCTGTGGGGGATCGTGGTTGACAGAAGTATGGGGAGCCATGCTGAAAATGCTTTGTCTAGTGTTTCCCCTTGGGGGCCACGCCAAAGTCTGTTGAGAAACTTCAGGTAGGACAGACCGTGGATCAGCCAGTTGATGCGGTATTTGATGCATATTCATGACAATCTGTGACAGGACAATGTTGTCAGACTATAGGTCACCAGGAACCTAAATGACAAAATGTGAAAAATGCAGATAAATTCAGGCGGGATGAAACAGGTTTAGTCACAGTGTGACAATATGATCATAGGTTTGGATACTCTTGCCTGGGGGTCAATTGGATACAATGTTGCCAATCAAATTTAAAATGCTGAAGCAAGAGGGTTCCCAATGAAGGGGAGATCAGATCTGGGAAAGTTCTGTGAGCTTGAGCGTCAAACTTTGGTGTTAACAAGGGCCAAAGCAACGATTTTCCAACAAGCGCCGAAAACTCAAGCAATCTCCTCTATGTCTATAGTGATCTACTGCCAGGAGATGTTGGTCCTAACAAAAGTCTGCGAGACAAGAACTAGTCAACGGCTTTAAATGTGGAAAAAGGTCGTGTGCACGAAATCAACAAACGATCTGCGCTTTCAACTTACTGGGGGAGCCAACACGGCTGAAGTGGGATGCAAATGCTTGTTTATGTGTACTGTTTTTCTATGTCTGCTGTGAGAATGTGCCCATCAATTTCCAGGGAGCCCAATCTGCGTCTTTTTGTACCGTCTGGGAAATCCGCAGAAAAATACTTGTAGTAGTACTGCTCTGTCATATCAGGGAACTTGGCAGCATTCTCGGAGTTGGAGTAGAACATTCTGAACCCGTCAACAGGCTCTCGAGTTTCTCCATCTGGCAAGGAAAACCAGTTCGTGTGGCTACCACTGTATTGTTTTCTTATCGTTGCGGATTGTGCCAAACCTGCTTCGGGCTCAGATTCGTCTGCAACCTCGGAGAACTCTCTCCTGACAAAGTTGACAATCTCTTCGTCTTCAAAATGCACATCGTCAACTTCCTCATCAGGAGGAAACAACAGCTCCTCGAGGTCCAGCTCCTCGCCGGTATTCTGTAAACAACGACGATTGAACACCCTAGAAATCAGGTTTCTGGATCGATAGTCAGATAGCATCTTCATCAGATCGTCCTCCTTGGCACTGTCATTACAAACAGCGTCTGATCCCATTTCCAACTGCGAGATCAGCTGACTGCGATAGAAGCTCGACACTGTGTAATGATGGGAACGAAGGACGCTGACGGCGTGGCCGATTGCTGCAATTATGTCCATCTTATGAACATGTGGTCTGAATTGCAGCAAGTAAATGCATTTGACAAGCATTTTGAACATTCTCTTGAGACCAAAGTCTAAAGGCCTATAGGTGTAGCGTGGTTCGGCTATGTTAGGTGAATAGTACACCAAACGGATGTGTTTGAAGTTGTCTGTAGGAATGATATGGGAATGCAAATGATCGAGTAACAAGACCGCTTCTGTGGTCAATTGGGAATCGATGAAGCTGATATACTTGTAAAATATCTCAGCTGTCAGAAGACCGTTCTTCTGGTAGCACAAGTTGTGAATCTGAGAGTCTTTGAGCGTGCTTGTGCTTGAAACAACCAATGGATCAAACGTCGAGGATCCGTCAGCATTAGCCAGCAAAGAAACAGTCACCTTATCTGTTGCAGGGACATTGTCCGAGGAATTGAGAGAAAGAAAGGAAGGCTTCGCGTTGAAGCTCACCTCGTCAACCTCATAGATCTGATCTGGGCGATAAGGCCCTAAAATCTGACGGAGTCTTTCCTGCTCTTCATCCAGTGCCCTTAATTTAAAGAGCTCTGCATCATCGTAGAATTTTCTTGCTAGCTCTCTTTTCACAGAGTTCTTCTTTTTAAAATGGTGCAACCACCCGTTGGACTTGGGAAGCAACTTATCTCCTGACTCGGCCGGTATTTGATGATATAGTTTGTAGAAATGTGTCCATCTGGCTGTAAGTTTTCGTTCAGTAATGGGTTCATTTTCGAAGCACGACTGCTCGTACAAAATCTCCAGACACCTGTTGACTTCAGGGTCTTTGAACCTAGGCCTGGTTTTGTACACTTTGCTGTTATTCAAAGTTAAGTTCTTGAATGCCTCCCGAAGCTGAGCCTCATTTAATACCCATCTGTTGAGAGTACTTTTAGTTATCGCAAACTGCCCCAAATCCCGGAAATAGTTGACAGTGTGCTGTTGAGACTTACCATCGCATGCATGGAACCAATCCAGAGCCTGAATTTTCTGTTCCAAAGTGGCTCGTGGCAGTTTTGAGTTGTCAGGTGGCTGCTGCGAGCTACTTGAAGAATTTGATAAATTGCTGATGATAGAGCCCTCCCTCTGCGGGGCAAGCTCTCTAGACGCAAACATAGGAGATTGGGTTGGATTTATATACCGACCATCAATGAATGGCTGTTGCGAATATCCAGACCCATATTCAGCTCCATACTGTGCTTGAGGCAGATCATGACGACTAGGTTGATCTCGATGGCCTCGTTTGCGAGGAAAGTTGGTTGGTGACGGAGAATGCATCATCCAAAAACTTCAAGTAGTAGTGCTCAAAGGTCAATTTGTCCTCCGTGGAAGAATTGAAGGCACAGAGTCGGAGTATTTGCTGAAAATGATTAACAATCTCTAAATATTTTGCAGGGGCTCGAAAAGGATAAAAATAAAGTGCACAGCCTGGGACTGGTTGTATATTTAGCACCGACAGTTCTATTTATCAAACAAACCCCTGAAGAAATCTTCAAAGTTGTCGAAATCGGCAACATCCGGCAATTTGAATTCATACTCTTCAATTTCGGTTTGGGGCTTGGGCGGGCTATATAATTGATCCGTAACAGATTTCGGCAACGCTGCTACCGAAAGTCTTTCCCGGTTTTGCGACAATTTGTGAGGCGTAGACTTTGGGAATTGCGCATTGTTAGCGGTATCCACGAGCTTGTGGATGATTTTCGCTATTGTATCGGTCGCGTCGTTCATTTTTTCACCAACTTTATTCAAATGCCAATAAACTTTGGAGATCAAGTTTAATGACGTTCTTCTTTCGTTCGGCTTCATCACCTCCATGTAATCACATAAGGTAATGCTTGAGTAGACGACCTGATTCAATTGGAAAGATGGCGAGCCCTTGACCAGACTGTTGGAAAGCAATAAGAACCTGTTCAATGTCTCAAATGAGTAGTGGCAGGCAGTATTGTAGCAAATCAACGGATCGGGACCGTTAGATTCGGACTTTTGCGCAGCTTTCCGAGCCAACATAATGTGTGCAAAGTTGTACGCAAATGTAAGCATCTGCGATACGTCCTTCTGGATGATTTTCGACCATTGTTCCTGCCAATCGTTGAACTCCGAGTAATACAGCAGGTCGTTTTTCAAACTGTACGCCAGCGACGAGTCTGCGAGTCCACGCGAAAGCAGCAGATACAGCTCAATCTCGGCGACCTTGATAGCGTCCCCAAAAGTGGCTTTAGGGAATTTCAACGTCAGGTCACGAAGCTCAAGGTAAGTAGATGTCAGCATGATCGGTCTACCGTAGCCTATCGAGCTCTGGAAGTGGCACGAACACATAGAATTGAAGATCCGCAAGTGAAAAAGGTCGTCCGCATTGAATATATTCATAGACACCCTATGACTCAGGTTTTTAAAGTCGATGGATATCATCAAGTGCTTTAGACCGATACTTGAAAGAAGCCAGCTATCAAATTCGGATTGTTTTGGTTTGCGCGCGATATTGTACAACGAGATGTATAAGATTGCCTCGATGTCATGGTCGCTGAGCGGTTCAGTGACTAGCGCGACTCCAAGCAGTTTGGTGGTGAGCATGTAGAGTTCATTTTGTTCGTCAACGTACTTGTAATTTTCGTCAAAGCACATGGCCAAAATGACAAAAACACAAGTGATGAATGGGTGGTCCAGCACGTATTTGCGGTCTATAGATGTGATACCTCCAGGAATGATCCAGAAATGAGATATTTCAAGAAAACTCCGTGAAAGTTCGAGACACAGCTGCTCTTTCTGGAAGTAGAACTTCAAGAACTGATCGCAAGCCCGCTTGAAAGGGTCTCTCTTATTCGGGCGATGAAACAGCTTGGAGTCGATCTGTTTGATGACATTGAGCGGCGCCAAAACGTCGTAATTAGATAACAGCTCGTTTTCGGGAGAAACAGAAAAGTCCAGCTGGTTGCCGGAACCAAGCGATTGCTTCACCAGTTCGAGCAACGAGCTCAGCTTGCCGTTGAAAGAATCGACTGTTTGCTCAATGCGGCTGAGTCGGGAATCATCTCGGGTGGAAACGGGTGTGGTTTCAACCTCTTGACGGATCCCGGACTCGCTCGCAAGCGAACAGTCCAATCTGAGCCGGTGACAACGTTTACAGCTTCCTTCGCCCGGACTGTAGTCGCACTTGGTCTTGAGCTTCCGACAGCTGTCGCAGCTGAAAATCCGGCGTTTCTTTTTGCTCGATTTCGCTAGGTCAGAGTCGATCTCGCTCAACAACGAGTCGGTTACTGTATTTTTAGCAGAAATTGCATAGGACCCGAAGCTTTGCGCGATCGGCCTCTTCATGCCTAGGATGGGACTACTACCACTGGTATCGGACCGTGGGGTAGTTGCAATGGCGCAGTCGCCATTGGGATCTTCAGCTTTTATACCTTGGTCCTCCATAGAAAGAAAAAAGAGAAAACATTAGATAGCTTGTAAATTTCATTTTTGGCCGGACACGCCGTCCGGGGAAATACAGATAAGTCACTTAAATTCAGTAAACCACGTTTAAAGATGGATAGCCAACCACGACATTGCAAGACCAGTCACAATTGCAGAGAAACCCACCTTGTAAGAAACGGAAGTTCCGCTCTTGACAACGGTCTTTTTGGATTTATCCTGCTCTGCGACTCCACTGTTGACTCCCGGAGTTCCTTTGGTGATATCTCCAGATTCGTCGACAAGTAGAACCTCTGTGGAACGAGAAGAGCCAGAACCACACTCGATCTTGCCTCCTCTGACAACGTTGCTCACTTCCTCCTTGATCCACTTGTTGCAGTCGAACTCGGCAGACGTGGATTTGATAATGGCGCTTCCCTTGACAACTTTGAGCTGCTTAAAGCCACTGGCGTCAATGTTTCCGTGGAACTCGATGGCTCCTCCAATAGCACGCAGAACAGGGAAGAAGTCAACCTTGGTGATCAAGTCGTTGTCGATGATCATCAGTCCACCTCCGACTTCAGCCAGAGATGGGAACTCGATGGTCCTCACGTTTTTATTATTGATCACACTCAAGGTGGTTCCAGTCGACTTGAGCTTAGGCAGCTTGAGGTCGCTGAATCTGTTGTTGATGAATTGGGCAGAGTTCTCGACAACCTGCAAGCTGTCCAAGTTCAGGTTGTTGGTGTCCTTGATGGTGATCGTGTGAGCCCAAGTCAGTTCAGGAAGAGAAACCTGCAAGTTTCTGGCGTTGGCCGTAATCAGCAAAGTGTCGGTGATCTCCTTGACCGAGGAATCGATTCTCTCCAGAAATCTGTTGTTGTTGATGTTGAGAACTTTCAAGGACTCCACGTTGAATCCAGAAAAGCCCGTCAAAGAGGTGTCACTCATCACCACAGAGTTGATGTGTTTGATTCCCTTATCCAGATTCACAGCGCTAAGAATAGGGAGCACTTTCCACGAGATGGTATCGATACTCTCCAACTTAGGCAGAGAAATAGAGGCCAAGGACGTCAGAGTGTCGAGAGCAAACGTTCCGTCGATAGTAGATAGCTCCACTCCTTCGATTCTCAACAAGCTACTGGCGTTTGCAATACTCAGAGATCCCTTAATATGGGAAATAGATCCCAGATCCAGGCTATCGGAGTCGTAGCCCTTGACGAAGATGTTTCCAGAGATGATCTGGCAGTCGTGGAGGTCCTTCATATCTCCAGCGGCGTTGATGTAGTAGTTCTGCTTGAAGCACTTTGGCTCGATTTCGGTAACGCTATGGTCTGTTTCGTTATCGTCGGCTGCATTTGCAAGCCATGCTGACAATGCACCGACTATGGTGAAAGCTGTTGTAAATTTCATGATGTAGAGTACCAGTGAGAAAAAGGGAGTTATTTAACGCGCTGCTCCCAACCGCCCAAATCCTGCCTCCACCCAATTTTTTCCTCACCGTTTCCGGTCCGGTTACGTAATATTACACTATAGAAGTCTCATCACCGCTTCGAACGTTGCCAGGGCGGCTGCGTTGGCCGGGAAACTACGCAGGATACTCGGCACAAATCCTCTCGTGAACCCGCGCAGCCCTCCTCGCTCGTTGTAAACGTACTTCACAGCGTCCGAGTATTTCTTGAGCTTTGGATTCTCCACGCTATCGGTCATAATGACATTTTTCACAACGTCGGCCGGGTACGCGGTGACCCAGAAACACGACGCGCTGAACCCGCCTGCCCAGAAGTTGATTGCGGCGTTGCTGAGCTGCGTGTTGGCCTTGAACCAGTTGGTCAGCACCTCGTACGCCGCCCACAGAACCACAAAGTTGGATCTGAAAATCATGGTTGGAATAAGACCTTTGTAGATGGTCCGCAGTCCGTCGTGTTTGACCAGCTTGACAAGACAATCGATAGGACCCGTGTACACTTTGGACTTGGCGTCGTATTGCACTTGAAGTCTGGCCTTGAGTTGCTCTATTGGTGCCGCAACAAAAGACACGGTTATTCCTGCTCCTAAACCTGCTAAAGAGTGGCCGATGACAGGCATCTTCTTTTCGTCGGGATAGATGTAGTCTTTCACCAGCCGACGGTACACAGTGAGAGATCCAAGCATGACAGAGTCCATGAGCACCCATCCTACCAGAGGAGGAGTGAAGCCTTTGTACAAACCGCGAATACCTTCGTATCGGAGAGTCTTCAACGTACAATCTAAAGGACCTTTGAACCGTCCATCGGAGGTCTGCAGACGGACTTTGACCGAGTCAAACGGATGCCCAACAGCATTTTTCATCATTCCCGAAAACACACCGGCAATAAAGCCCGCATATCTCGGAGGATGTCTGACTTCTTCTTCAACCATGAGATCTGAAAAATGACTAAGATTTAATTACATAATATGTTTAAAAAATGGTTTCACCGAGTCCGCATCTGGCAATCGAAAGACCAGCGTTCACGGTGTCCAAAATATGGGTTTCTGTAGATGCTAATGCTGGGTTGACTTCGACAATGTCGAGACCAGCAAGGTTACCGGTGGCAGCAACTTCTTCCATTATGAATAATCCTTCTCTGAGAGAAAGACCACCTCGCACCGGGGTACCAGTAGCAGCGACGTACAGTGGGTCAATGGCGTCCACGTCGAAACTCACATGCACAGGGTTCTTTCCCGAAGGGTTCACCTTTTCGAGGGCCATCTCGAGCACCTTGTTGATGCCGTATTTATCCACATGGTACATGGAGAAGGCCGTGATTCCCAAATCACGGATGTACTTCTTTTCTCCAGCGTCCACGTCTCTCAGTCCGATGTATGCAATCTGGGAAGGCTTGACCTTGTGAGGCAGCTTCTTGATCCAGTCGAAGTGTGGCGGCCAGTTCTCCTCCTTGAGCCCCATGGCGAAAGCGACAGGAAGACCGTGCAAGTTACCAGATGGAGTGGTTTCTGGGGTGTTGAGGTCGGCATGGGCGTCGATCCACAGAATACCTCCGTCTGGGTTCTGGTTCACAAACGCCAGAAGCGTGGACATGCCGATGGAGTGGTCACCGCCCACAGTAAGCGGCAACGTGCCGTTTTTGCGGGCCTCAACAGAAGACTCGAAAATGGCCTCACAGCTCTCGCTCACCATCTTTGGTCTCAAAACGTTACCGTAAACGTCGGTTGGGTCTGCCTTTTGGCTCTTGAGATCGAACTTGGCCAGCGGGTCGGCGATCGAGTAAGTCCAGCCCAACTGCTCGATGTCGGTCAACAGACCAAACTCCTCAAGCTTATCAGGAGCCTCGTCGACTCCTCCTTTTCTCTGGCCTCCGCTGAAAGGAGCCTTGATAACAGTCACTTTACGCGATTCCGCGTAATTGTATTGGATTTCACTCATAGTTGACAATTAGCTCGTTTGGGAGCGGATTCCCCTCCATTTATAGCTAGTGTTTGACATCCTATCTCCTTCCGTTAGAAGAAACACAGCCAATTCTGAGATTTTTTTTAACGGCAAGAAATAGCGAAAACTGATATCAAATTAAATCAATTCTATTTAAAACTCCAGGTTCTCCTTCTCGTCCTCTCTGTTTCTCTTCTGTCTCATCTCCTCGTTGACGAGACCGTTGACAAACTTGTTAAATAAATCGATGCTATTTTTGAGCTCTGTTTTTTGCCAATCTGTCTCGTTGCTGCCAACCAAAGACCCCAGGTTGGCCGTGTCCACGAACGGGTCAAACTCCTTTTCTGACGGATCAAAAGGAACACACACGTTTCCCGTTCCCGGATGGATACAAAACGGAGACTTTAGTAAATGGTTCATTTGACGCGAAACTTCCACATCAAGACGCGGATACATGGTTGCAAAGATGGTTTCTTTCTTCCAATCCTGCAAATCAAACGATCGTATCTTGAGCTGCTGGTAGAACGTGTCGACATCGCGCCATTTGTCTGCGCTGCTTCTATCTGGCTCTTCTTTCCAGTGCTTGATTAATGTGCTGGCCAGTTTGTAGTCAGGCAGAGATCTGGCCATGCTTTCTGCTCTCTCTGGAATGCTCCATGGGTCCTGAACTTTCAGAATCAGGTCCACAAACTCGTCTCGTAGCACGTCGAAAGCACGCTCCACGTGTGGATGGTACGGCTTCTTCAAACTTAGCGTCTTCTTGGACTTGACGTTCAAAACATCCAAGTACTCCACAATAGCACGTCGTCTGGTCTCGTCCAGAATACGCGCGCGGTAATCGCTGACCCAGCAATGCACTCCTCTTCTTCCCGAAAACACCCAGATCATGTGCTCAAATCCGAAGTCCTCACGCAGAGCACGATGGACAATCTTCACTGCCAGAGTGATGAATCTCCAACACTTGGGACAGATGCCTGTGCCGGAGCAGCAGGTCCGCACGTCGTCGTAGTCGGTCAAATCGATATCCAGTACAAACTCCTTGGCCTGAGGCTTCATAAGCACTTTCGAAACACTCTTGCGCATCCGAGGCTCCACGGGATAAACTGCTCCAACCTCAAACCGCGTCGGTTGGGCCTTGATCACCGTTTGTTTGAACTCGCTCACCGAATGGAACGAGTTGTACCGCTGGTACGCGCCAGACTTGTACTCGAACGCGAACTCACGCATGGTGAAATCGGTCTGGGTGGCCTGGGAATGATTCAGCCACAAAAAGATCGACTTGAATGGTAGAAAATGCTCGTAATAATAAACCATGTCAGCGGTCGACGGCTTGTAATTCTTCAACGAAACATCCGCAACAGGAGATGAAAGCTCGTGATTCGGCTGAGAAGAAGGCTCTGGAGTCATCTCAGTTTCACCAGGGGACGAGTTCTCAAGGTTAGGCATGGTTGAAACGCGTTACACGAAATTTGAGGATGGAGAAAAATATGTAAATGTTGCTTAGATAAGCGGGGATATATTTATTTAGTGTCTATCTATAAACCACAACAATCACGAATATATCTTGTAGACGAAGAGTGTGGAGGCCAATAATCCAATAGCACCACAGGAAACTCCGACCATAAGATCCATCATGGTAGCATACACCAAGTAGATGAGCGGAGACACGATATCAACGACTTTCATATGGAATATCAAATAGTAAATCGAATAACCGAGAAGGTAAATGAAGATAGATCCCGCACTTGTAATGAAAGACTTCCATTGCCAATTGTAGTAATCTCCGGAATTAAGTCTCAAGTATGTGGAAATGATGCTGATCTCAATCACAACCACATACAAAAGGAACGCGGTGAACGAGAGGAATCCGTACATGTAGTAGAAGGACAGCTTCTCGACCCACAACGACTTGAACAAGAACAATAGTTCAACAAAAATGATTCCAAATGGGAACAATCCGAAAAGCGGTAGAGAATACTTGAGTTTGTTGTAGAATGGCTGTCTTGGAATGGCTTTCAAGATTTCGGTGTGTTTCTCGGTAGTTCTTGGCTTCTCCTTGATGAGTCTTCCCAGAACATCCACCTTCTGGGAGATGTAACCACCCAGAAGAGAGATAGGGATCTGCAACAGGACATATATGAAAATTAAAGCCAAAATCGTTCCGAACGGTAATGCTAAAGACGAGTCTTTAGCCCAAATTATGATGTTGAGGACGAATAGGACGATCAGCACAAATCCACTTAGCAAACTTCCAGACAAAAACGACACTGTTCTCCAGGAAGCTCTTTGTCTGTGGGTGAACGTCTTGTAAAATTGAACTCCGGCGAAACCCGAGAAGAAACCTGCAATAACGAAAGTCGTTATCGAGGTGGTTAGAATTGTGTTGTTTGGTCCGGAGATACCAGCAGTGCAGAGAATAGAAACACCAAATAAGGTCAAAGATAGCTGAACACCAGAGCCACCAAGAATACTCAAAATCACTGGCAAAGTTGGTTGCACAAAAACGTCCCGAGCCAAAGCTTTCCAACCCTTTTTACTCTTGTCGTCGTCCACTGGTCCAACTAATGAGTCTAATTTTTCTGTGAATGAGTCTTTAGGAAAGTGTGCCTTGAAGTCGCTCTTGACAGTTCTCAAGAACACGATCGACACGGCCAGGGACACAAGGGATGCAACAACCATAGAGTTGACCAAAGCAAACCAGTGCATTTTGCTGTCATGGGATGCTCCTCCAGGAGTTCTGAACATCTTCCATCTATTTTCGTAATTGACGTCCACCTCCTCACGCCAGTAGACAGAGTATGTGAAAGGCACCACCACCTTGTCCTTAGCATTTGGATTAATGGCAAAGTTGGCGTAATTCTTGGATGCACCAGGGCAGCGGAAATCGGAAACAGACTTTGGATAAACCTCAAATCCGACAATAGCCTTTTGGTCAGTCTTTCCGCTCTCTTTGTGCCATCTAATAACCAACATAACATGATTATGAAGGTAGCTAACTCCGTTCTCGACAAAACCAAGGGGAAATCCAGCAACATAGTACTTTTCGGACTTTTCTTTTCCCTTGGCAGGTTTGCTAAAAGTTGTGGCACCTGGGAGGCCATCGATGATCCACTCGACCATGTACTCGTTCTTGATGAGTTCGTCTGCGCGCTTCAACCCGTTGGTTCTGATCACTCTATCACAAAGTCGCACACAGGGTTCATCCTCCTGAAATTTGAGATGGTAATCTGACTGCCAGATTCGATCACCGTTCAACACCTCGCCCAGCGACAAGTGGACTGGACGCGAGTCTTTGGTTGGAGGACAGACAAACGGCAACTTATAGTATGCATAAGGAAGTTGTGTATTTTCAGACTCCACGGTATTGACCAGCAATTCTACCTTCTCGCCTTGTTTATAATATTTTCTTTCCCATGGAAGGCTCCACGATGGCTTCTGTAGTTTGAACGCCGTACAAAGAGCGGGCCAACACAGAAGCGCTATCAAAACAAGCCCGACTCTGATTCTAGCCATCAACATTGGACACGAATGCGAAGCGAATGACAACAGACAATAAAAGAAAATTAAACGCCAGCTGCAATGAGTAGGCTATTCTTAGTATCTATGCGACACGGTATATGCTTGAATTGTCTGGAATTAATTGATTTTCAACTCGACTAGAGAAGAGGGCTTAAAACAAATACAAACAAAAGTTGGAAGTTCCATCTCTACACCATGCGTGAAGGAAAAAAAAAAATAACAATTGGGTTATTTTGTTACACCTCTGCACCAAATTCATTAAGCATTCACATGTTGTCTCAAGGAGACCAAATATTGGACCAGTTGCGCCAGTACGATGCTCGCAAATATCTACTTCGAACGCAATCCGACCTGGTCGAGGAGACGATCGACTCGGACCTCGCAAGCAGCCTTGGTCGCAGCAAAATAGACGATTCGCAAGAGATAGCCCGTCGCCACCGGTATACCGCATTAAAGATCAAAGACGACCGTCCGAGGTATGTCCCGCCTATCAATTTTGCTATTGTGGAGGCCGAATTGTATCGGTCAGGTCATCCCCAGCCGAACAACTTTGAGTTCCTGGATACGCTCAATTTAAAGACCATCATATATCTTGGAGACAAGACGGACAACTACGACTACTACAAGTGGATAGCGGACCATTCTGGCGAGCGAACGATAAGTTTCCGGTTTTTCAAAATGAAGCCGCCGTCTACGTTTGGCACGTCGCATTTGTTCAACGACGAGGTGGCTTTGAACACGGTTTTGAATCTGGTTGCGAATAAAGAAAATTACCCGATTCTCATCCACTCCAACAAGGGGAAACATCGGGTCGGAGTGCTTGTTGGGCTGATTCGCAAGTTTCTACAAGGGTGGAACTTGAGCGGGACGTTTGACGAGTACGCCAAGTTCGCAAGAGAGAAAGGTGAAGGAGACCTGGAGTTTATTGAAATGTTTAAACCGATCGTCAAGATCGATGCTGACCGGAAACCGGATTTCATACGAACAGGATAAACTCTAAAAAAAAACTATGTATCTTTCTCCTTGACGGTTTCGTCGGTGGCTCCCAGTTCAATAGGCTCCTGGTCGGCCTGGTCGATCTGCTCCACCTTGTTGAAACGTTCTAGTTGATCGTTTGTTGGCGACATGGTGTGGAGGTCGAAGAAATTACGTCTCACCTCGACGTAATCGTATGCAAATTCGCCGATTTGGTTCTCGTCCATTCCGTTTTGCTCGCCCTCCTCGCTCGCACGCATGTTGAGGCCCGGAATCCGGTTGATCACGATGCAGATGATACCCGTGACCACCACGCACCAGCCTCCAACTGCCCCGACATAGGCAATCTGTTTATACATCTGTTTCCAGTTGCGATTGTACCATCCGCCCGGGTGGTCTGTGTAGCCGTCGTAGCCAAGCACCTCTGATGAGGCAAAGAAGGCGTTTCCGACAATCAGTCCCAGAACACCAGCCATTCCGTGCTCTGCCATAACATCCAAACTATCGTCGACCCGCATCCAAACTTTGATCTTGGTGGCGTAGTTACACACCAGTCCGGTCACTATTCCCAAGATGACCGAGGCCCATAGCGGAATGCAACCCGACGTTGGCGTAGCAGCCACCAGTCCGGAAATTATTCCGGAGCACAGACCAACAGCGGAGAAATGGTGGTTAATGCGGAAATCGAGCAAACACCAAGTAATTCCACCAAACGCAGCACACAGGTTCGAGTTCATGATGGCATAAATGGACTTGTACGATGGCTCAACACAGGTGAGGCCGTTGAAACCGAGCCACCCAAACCACAACATTGCTGTTCCGATGGTAATTAGCGAAACGTTGTGAGGTCTGAAGTTGACCATCAGATGCTGACTGCGCTCTCCGAGAAAATAAGAAACAACAAAGCCTCCAAAACCAGACAGGATCTCGACAGGGCCACCCCCAGCGTAATCAAGAACCCCCCAGTTATGGGCCCAGCCGTCTGGACCCCAAACCCAATATGCGACAGGGCAGTAGACCAAGGTCAGCCACAGGAAAGAGAACACCATGGCAGGTAGCACCCGTCCCCTTTCGCACACTGCTCCGAGCAAGATGCAAACGGTGATGGTGGAGAACATTCCTTGGAAGTTGGCAAAGGCCATTTCTGGATATCCGTCTCGGTCACTTAGTTGGGTCAGAGTTCCGAGGTTTTGGTACCCAAAGTTGTGTAGATTGCCAATGAACTTGTTGGAAGCCGTGCTGGAGAAAGCTAAGGAGTATCCCCAGAAATACCACTGGAACTGGGAGATGCAAATGGCCGCAAACGTTATAAATATCATATGTAAGGCAGACTTTCTTCTGGCGAGTCCCGAGTACAGGTATGCCAGCCCGAAACACATTATCAGCACAAGACATGTGCCGACAATCAGCGTTAAAACGGTGGCACCGTCATACAGCCGTTCGTCGGCCCAAACAGCGCGAGAAACAAGATGATTCATAGGTTAAGATATTTCACGAGGGTCTTAAAAAAATTTGACTGGTTTATGCAACAATAGCCGCACCACCGCATCAGGTCACCGTTACCGGACACAATGCGGTCATGTGATTCGCTATCACGAGGCACGAGCAAAAAAAAAAATCAGTTTTAATTTAGAGTTTGTTTGTTTGTTTGTGTTTGGGTTTCCGTTTTCCGGTTCTGCGCATTTTAGGCTCGCTCTCGAAAGTTGGCGCTAATTTTTCGTCCTTTGAATTGAATTAATTTTTTTGTTGGATACACGTGACCCGCAAGCATGTGAGATGGCTCGCTGTCCAACCAAATCGATCGTGGCGGGGAAAAACCGTGGATACATTTATTAAGGCAAATAATTTGTTTTCCTAAATTACCCAACTTTTACAAAATGGCCCCACCAGCATTCTCTGACATTGCTAAACCAACCAACGATATCCTCGGAAAGGACTTCTACCACTTCACCCCAGTGGCATTGGACCTTAAGACCGTCGCTCCAAACGGTGTCGCTTTCACCACCAAGGGTAAGGCTTCCGGTGGAAAGACCTCTGCTTCTTTGGAAGGTAAATACACAGACAAGAGCACCGGTTTGACATTGACCCAAGGCTGGAACACTGCCAACGCCTTGGACACTAAGATTGAGCTTGTTGACGCTCTGTCTCCAGGTCTCAAGTCTGAATTGGTCACCAGTGCTGTTCCTGGTGGAAACAGATCCGCCAAGTTGAACTTGTACTTTGCTCAGCAGTCCATCAACGCCCGTGCTTTCGTTGACTTGCTCAAGGGCCCAATCTTCAACGGTGACTTGACCGTCGGCCAAGACGGCTTCACCACCGGTGCTTCTCTGTCCTACGACGTTAAGTCCGCCACTTTGACCGGCTACTCTGCTGCTGTTGGTTACAAGGCTCCATCTTACGCTGTTTCCTTGACTGCCGCTAGCAACCTTTCCGTTTTCGCTGCCGGTTACTACCACAAGGTTTCCCCTCAACTCGAGGTCGGAACCAAGGGTACTTTCGACTCCAAGTCTGCTTCCGGCTCCAACCCAGTCGCCGTTGAGGTTGCCACCAAGTACAGCCTGGACAGCACCTCTTTCGTCAAGGCTAAGCTTGCCGACTCCGGTATCTTGGCTCTGGCTTACTCCCAACAACTTAGACCTGGCGTCACCCTGGGTCTTGGAGGTGCTTTCGACACCCTCAAGCTTGGCGAGTCTGCTCACAAGCTCGGTCTGTCTCTCTCCTTCTCTGCTTAAATAGACTTAATCAGAGATTCTAGTCCAATCTATATCACCACCCGTACACCGCCTCGAAACAGGCTAAATTGTAGTGTCGAAAAAATTCGAGTTTACTTTCTAGATCATTTAAAGTCCAATGTCATCTGCCGCGTCTAAGCCACAGGCCAAGCAGCCGTGGGCTGCCGCGATTGCACCGAAGCCTTCGCAGAAGCCTGCCAAGCAGCCGCCAAAGAGCCAGTCTGGGTCGTATGTCCCGGTGAACAATTTTAACGGGTCGCAAGTGCAAGCAGCCCTGGCGGCCAAGTTCAAGCAGATTAAGGCGCAGTTGGGGCCGGGAGCGGTCTATCACGGAGGTGATTCCTGGGCCATGAAGCAGAAGAAACGCAAGGAGCTGGACGTGCTTGCAGAGCTCTCGAAAACGGCAGAATAGGGAGGTGCTGGAGCGGGCTTAAGCCTTCCTTACATAATGTGATACGTAATGCTAAAAATAAAGAGCCAAAAAATGTGATGGATTGGGTTTTTGGAGTTGCTGCATATGGAATTGATGTGTTTCGAATCTGGACTGTTTTCGGAAACGCATCACACAACATGTATTATATTTCCCGAGAAGTTCCTGATTGATCGATGGCGGAGCTCAATTGGAAACACTTTGTACTTGTATGGGACCGGCATGGAAATTCCATGCTCTTAGTGTGGCCCATCTTCCCCTGAGAATTGAAGCTTTGACATGCACGCGATCTTGCATCCTGCGTAAAGTTTAAGATCTTCTTGCCGAACTAAGAAATTTTTATCTCCTGTGGTTCTCCGTTTAATAGCTCGTTCATTTCTTTTTTTTTTATTAGAAGTCTTCATAACCTGTGCGAAAGGAAAACATTATTTACTTGTTTGCTGCTTTCCGCAATATTCCTTCTTTGTCGTTCGCTTCCACCCGCACGCTTATGGTATCGCCATGAGTTCGCCTCCATCTTCTCCTAATCAGCAGCACGAGCTCAAGCCGCCGATTAGACGCGGTCACCGGCACCGTCGTTCCGCAGCGATATCGGGCGACTTTGATGTTCAGGAGTTTGGACTTTTACCGCCTGTGCTGGGGAAACCGGTTCCTGGCTCCTCGTCCAGCTCACTGGCTGTGTCTTTGAGCGGCTCTCCTGTGAAGAGCCCGCACTCTCAGTCGTTGAACGACGATGCGCTTTTCACCAACAGACCGAAAATTCCTCTCAACACCACACCATCTTCCGTACACAGCGATAAATTTTCCGGGGGTGACGAGTCAAAAACAAGGTACTTTATCACCGAGGACACGACATTCGAGTCCGGCTCGGGCCTACCAAGAGCTCTGATCGACCTGGACGACGTGTTCACTGGCTCGCGTCAGCCTGCTAAAAAAAGCACCAGAACCATGTCTGCCCCGGAGCTGGAAAGCTTCCATATACCCAAACACTCTTTGTTGCACTCGCCGACGAAAAATGATGTGGCAATCGCAGAGGGCATCACGGAGGAGGACATCGAGGACGGCGACCAACTGTTATCCAAAGTCCCCTCAGAAACGTCCGATTTGTCCTACTCGAATTCCGCGAAAAACACCCCTCTAATGGCCGGAATCATTATGAACGATAATTGCTCCTCCAACTCGCTTAATTCGCTAAGCTCCAGCAATTCCCTCAATACCGGCGGGGTTCTGCAAAAGAACATGGCCAATTTTAATACCACAAGCATCTCCAGCTTGCGTGGAAAAGTCAGATACCAACTATACTTCAACTCTCAACAGAAACTCAATACCCAGGCAACCTCCACCCCGTCGAGCTCTGCCACCGCAGACTCCGACCGGTTTGGTCGCAGACCAATCTTAATGCCTCCCTCTTCTTGCTCGTCTCCTTCGTCTGCTTTGCGTGCAGCTTCCAAATCCCGCTCGCCTGTGCGGAACTCCAAGCTTACCACGCCGCAGCAAAAAGGCCCGTTCCAGTTCGAGCCAATCGTGTACGAGATCCCCAAGTCGTTCCACAGAGACAGCGACTACTCCAAGTCGATGTCCATGTCGGAAAACTCCACTTCGTACGAGTCTCCGAGTGTCGATGTCTCGAAACCGGAACCGTCGCCTATACAACAACATAAAGGGTCTCACACACGCAGCAGCTCGCTGTTCAGCGTTCTTTCCTCCAAGTTCCATCATCGACGCAAGTCGTCTGTGTTGTCGACTGCAAATAATGCTTCCATCATTGAGAAAACCACCGACGAGATATTCGGTCTGAGCGACCGCGGACATGCCAACGACTCCACACTCCTTTTCGACGACCAAACGCTCACCGAAGAGGTGATTGGTGAGCCCGGCCCGATGGTCGAGGTCGTCGAGCCCAAACAGGCCCTGTCTAGTATCCCGAATCATGCCCATGTTAATAAGCATTCCAAGAGCAAAAGCACGAGCTTTGTCAATTTCACTAGTTATGAATCCAAGAAAGCCAGCTCCAACAGTTATAGCGGGGCCAGCCGGTTCTTTGGCTGGATGATGAAGTCCCGAAAGAGTGAGAGAAGCGCACACAATTAATTACGATGTCGTTAGCATTATGATAAACATTATACATATTCCATTAGTCTTTATGAGTAGCGTTTTTGGATCTGTTGGATCGTTTGGTCTGTTTGCGTGGCCTCGTCGTCGTCCTTGCTGAGTCTGTAAACGCTCGTGATCCAGCTGATCAGGTTCACCAGCCGCGAAACCAGCTTTGGGAGCTCAAAGTTGGTGAAAATGAGGCTCAGATTAAGAACCAGCTCGTTCGCGTAGCCAATCAGTTCCAAGTACGTCTTGAACTTCTCGGTGTACAGCAGAACCAGGTTGTCCCGTTCCGGAACAGGACTATCGGCCCGCAACTGGTATTTCGTGGTGCGCGAAACCAAGGCAGACTCCATCTCGACCATGCGGATCAGCTTGTTCAACTTGACCAGCCGCACTATCAGGTTCTTCATGTTCAGAAGCACAATAATAAAGTACACTTTCGACAGGTTCTGCACCACCGACTCGAGCGACTTGAACTTGGTGGCAAACCGCGAGTTCTTGATCACGTTCTGGAACATGGTGAAGTTGTCAAACAGCGAAACAAGCGACTCTAGGCTGTCCAGCAACCCAGACTCGAACTTGTTGTATCTATCTATCCATTTCAAAGTGGTTCGCTGGTCGTACGTTACCAGCGGCCCTGAAACGGAATGACTGTTGGCACGACTTCGCTGTTCCGGTGAATACAGCGTGGGTGTACTGGAGAGCGAGCTGGAACTGCTATTGCTTCGCTGCTTGGCCCGTTTGGTTAGAAGAAGCCCGAGAAACGCGACCTTAGCCAGAACCTCCTTGTTCCGCGGCGGCCCGGTCTCCTTTTTCTGCTCCAGCGAGACAAGCAGCTGTCTTATGCGCGGCCCATACAATAAAGTGGAGGACATTAAACAAAGGGAAATAATATAGCCTTATTTTTTTTAATCTACAAACCAATTAGTCGTGTCCTGTCTCAAAAGGGGGAGAGTGGATGAAGAGCAAAACAGCGGGCAAAAATTTTCTTAACAAGAATTGTACTGTTGTTCTTCCTAAGAGTAATTTGTATTTGTACCTATGTCTGTTGAAGAATTTGAAACGATATTAAAAGAATTACCGGGAGTGAAACCGCCAGGAGTTTCCGGTACAAGAATCAAGAAACTAAAAGAGATTTTCCTCAACAACGTGTCTGAAGAGTCCAAGCTTGTTTCGAAACTGTATTCGTGTTGTAAGGCCACGCCAGCTTCGAACAAATTGGGTACACTGTATGTTGTGGACGCGATTGTGAGAGGATTAATCGACCAGGTCTCCAAGTCCGATTCCACAGAAATTACCGAGTCTTCTCCAGAAGGAACAGCCAATTCGGCCGTCTTCAAGATCCAGTCCATGATTGAGAACCTTGTTGACGACGCTGTGCCTGTTTCCTCACCTGACGTGAAGGAGAAGATTGGTAAGCTCGTAGAGATATGGGACAAGGGAGACACGTTCAACAAATCGATAATCACATCCATCAAAGATAAGTATTTCCGTACCACCACTCCTCCAGGAACCCCCCCTAAAAAGAGAGTCAAGTTTGCTGTCGAGCCCACCGTCGAGCCTTCTGCTCCTGCAGGCTCCTCCTCGTCCAAAGACCCAACCTCCGTGTTACAGGCCCTTGCAAACCTGGCCAAAAAGACTCCGTCTCCTGTTTCCGGTTCTGGTTCCGCCAAGATGGTTTCTCCGCCTCCTCCAGCTCCTGCCGAGCCTGCACAACAGCCTGCTGCTGCTCCTCCTTCCAGCTCGGACCCTAACGCTATTTTCCAACTGCTCCAGAGCATGAATAAAATCTCCGGAGCCCAGCCAACTTACCAGCAACAGCAGCAGTACGGATTGCCACCCCAGCCACCGGTCTCGGCCACACAGAACAGACAGAACTATAGAGATAGAGACTCGAACCCGTTGGGCAGAAGACCAAGATCCAGATCGCCAACCAGAAGAAACCAGGAACCCAAGCCTCCTGCTGGAGACTGGGAGCGTAACATCCCAGGAACTCCTCATTTCAGAGAACGTAAGCCATTCATCGACCCTTCCATTCCCCAAGGCTACATCAAGGTGTACTCGCGGACCATTTTCATTGGAGGTGTTCCGCATTCCATGGACGAGAGAACGCTTATGCAGCAGCTGAGGCCATACGCAGAGGTGCAGAGCGTCATTTTGAACAGCGAGCGTAAACACGCGTTCGTCAAGGTGTACTCGAGACCGGAGGCCGAGTCTGTGATCCAGGCGTTTTCCGTGAGCCACCATCCTTCTGGCCTTCGTGCCAGATGGGGTGTCGGTTTTGGACCAAGAGACTGCTGCGATTACCAGGCTGGAGTGAGCACGATTCCGATCAGCAGACTCACCGACGCCGATAAGAAGTGGATTGTCACTGCCGAGTGGGGTGGAACCGCGGGCATGCCGTTGCAGTCGGGCCTGTTTATTGAGGAGCCCGATATTGAGGTTGGTTCTGGAGTGTCTTCGAAGTCGATTTCGAAGAAGATGCCAACAAACTCGACTCACAACGGACCGAAGTCGGACGGCGTTCCGATAGTGGGCGGCAACGCGCCGAACGGGTACCAGAACTCGCCTCCTACGGGCTATCCAATGATGGCGAACCCAGGCAACCTGCCGATCAACATGGGCGGCATGCCTGCTCCTGCTGCGCCTGCTCCCAACATGGACCAGAACGCGATGTTGGCCCAGATGATGGCCACGATGCAGCAGATGCAACAACAGGGTGGACAGCAGCCAGACATGGGCGCGATGTTCCAGAACCTGGCCAATATGATGAGAAGATGAAGCAATTTAATCGATATCAGATATCTTTGTATGAGTAGCGTAGCACAGCCGTGAACTAATTTTTCACGCTTTTTTTTCTCTTTGAACAGGTAGCACGATGGGCCGGGGGCCAAGTATTTTGAGGTTTGACGCGTTTTCCAAGACCGTTGATGACGCGCGCATCAAGACGACGTCGGGCGGGATATTGACGCTGGTTTGTATTTTGACGACGCTGCTGTTGCTGATCAATGAGTACGCGGACTATTCTCGTATAGTTGTTCGGCCAGAGCTTGTTGTTGATCGGGACCGGCAAAAGAAGCTGGAGATCAACCTGGACATCAGTTTCCAGAACATTCCGTGCGACCTGCTCACGCTCGACATCATGGACCAGTCGGGAGACCTGCAATTGGACCTGCTTTCGTCCGGGTTCAGCAAGATCCGGCTCGATCGTCAGCAGAACGAGATTGGCCAGGAGGACATGAACGTGAACCACGAAACGAAGCTTGTTTCTGAGGACCCGCAGTACTGTGGCTCATGCTACGGCGCGGTGGACCAGGGCAACAACGACAACCTGCCGCAGGACCAGAAGATCTGCTGCAACTCGTGCGAGTCGGTGAGACAGGCGTATGCTCGCGTGGCATGGAAGTTCTACGACGGCAAGGACATTGACCAGTGCGAGAAGGAAGGGTATGTGCAACGCGTGAACGACCGGCTGGACGAAGGGTGTCGTGTTCGTGGAGTTGCTGAGATTGCGAGAATTGGCGGCAATTTGCACTTTGCTCCAGGAAACTCAATGAACCACAGAGACAAACATATCCACGATTTGTCGTTGTACGACAAACACCCGGAGAAATTCAACTTTGACCATACGATCAACCACTTTTCGTTCGGCCTGGACGACCACAGCGTCGCCGACTACAAGACGACGCATCCATTGGACCAAACGTCGCACAAGAACGGCAAAAAGTACCAGGTGTACTCGTATTTCCTCAAGGTGGTCAACACCAGGTACGAGTTTCTGAACGGCAAGAAGGTGGAAACAAACCAGTTTTCCGCCACCGAGCACGACCGGCCGTTCAGGGGCGGCCGTGACGACGACCATCCCAACACGATCCACGCCCAGGGCGGGTTGCCAGGAGTGTTTTTCCATTTTGAAATCAGTCCGCTGAAAATTATCAATAGGGAGCAGTACAACAAGACATGGAGCGCGTTTGCTCTGGGCGCTTGTGCGGCGATCGGCGGTGTGCTGACGGTGTTCTCGCTGCTGGACAGAACGATTTGGGCGGCTAATCGGTTGCTCAAGGATAAAAAAGATATATAAAGCATGGTCAATTGAAACTGCACCAATTCCAATCTGGGTCTCCTCCGTATTTGTAATTTTATACTGGTTAATTATTTTTTTTCCGTCGCGTCGACTAATCCCATGTCTCTCCCCATAAGAACCAACTCGTCGACCTCGATGGCCGGTCCGTCGCGCACGCCGTCGGGCCCGGTTGCTTCGCATCACTTGATCATGAACAAACAGGCGTCGCACACAGAGTCGCTTTACTACATTAGCATTCGTCTGCTTAAACGGCTGGCAAAAGTGCCTGGAATGGGGCCGTACCTGGAATTGGCGTACGGTTCGGCCGAGGACTGCGCCGAACAGCAGGCCATTGCGCTCAGCAGCAGCAGCCGCAGCCAGAAACGTCCGGACTCTGGGTTCCGTTCGTCAGAGCCCTTGCTGGGCTTCTGGGACAGCACATTGTTCACCTTTAGCGCAGGAATATTGCCTGCGCAAACCAGCCACGACCCGGTCACCCCGCTGATGATGCTGTTCCAGCAGGGTGCTCCATTGTGTCTGATCTTCAACAGTCTGAGCCCGGAAAACAAGATAGAGCTTGTTTCGTCCGACGACTTGAGAGTGTGCAAGATGAGTGTGTACAAGTTTCTGAGTGCGTGCAAACAGCACCTCAACATCCGCGACGACGAGCTGTTTTCCGTCACCAGCGTGTTTGCCGACGATACAAACAGTCTGCTCAAGGTGATCCACGCGGTCAATCTGGTGCTGGACTTCGAGTCCAAGTTCGACGCTGCAGAAATCCCCGACCAGTTGCAAGTAAACGACTCGCGGTCCAAAGTTGTGCGGGAAATCGTCGAGAGCGAGCGCAAGTTCGTTCAGGACCTGGAAATTCTGCACAAGTTCCGCGCAGAACTCATCCAAGCGGGCCTCATATCCAGCGAAAACATCAACATGCTGTTCCCCAACCTATCGGAGATTGTCGACTTCCAGCGACGGTTTTTGGTCGGACTCGAGTGCAACACAGCCGTTCCTGGCAAGTACCAAAGGATCGGGTCGGTGTTCCTGCACCCGGGCGCACAGGGGTTCCAAATCTACGAGCCGTGGTCGCTGTACCAGAACACTGCCGTGGAATTCATCAATAAAGAAGCAGCCAGTCTGCGCAAGTCGTCAACGCTCATCAATAGCCCGTACGAGCTGCAGAGTTTCCTGATCAAGCCCGTCCAACGACTGTGCAAATACCCGCTGCTTCTGCAAGAACTGGTCAAATTGACCGACCCGTCATGGCCCAACTACTCGGAGCTGCATCTAGCATTGCTCAGCTCCAAAGAGGTGGCCAACAAAATTAACGAATCACAGAGAAAATCAGAAAACATCCAGCTCACAAAGGACCTCCAGGACCGCGTCGTGGACTGGAAGGGCTACTCGGTCACCAGCGCGGGCGACTTGCTCTACGCAAACAACGTCACCGTAAAAGATCTGCTCACCGACGGCCACTCGTCTGAAAAAGAGGTCCACTGCTACCTGTTCGAGAAGGTGATCTTCTTCTTCAAGGAGGTGCCACCAAAGAACAAGCTCACGAGCAAACTCAAGAACAATTCCAACTCCAACCTGCTGAATCCACAGCTCTCTTTGAACGGAATCGTCTATATCAACAAAATCTACAGATGCACACCTTCAGAGAGTTCCAAACACTTTGGCTCGTTGGGCCACTTCCTCACGCTCAGATGGAAAGGCAGCCGCGAAACAGGCGGCTGTGTGATCCGGTTCCGGCTCGAGGAACAGCTGGTTCAGTGGGAAGCTGCCATTAGACGACTATTATCCGAGGACGAGTACTTCAACAGACAATCGATGTCTCCGTCCCGGTCGGAGGAGATGTCTGCCCGGGTTTCGAGCCAGACCCAGTCGTCGAACTCGTCCGAACATTCGTCGTACTTCTACTCAAAACTGCGGACCGTGAGCTCGTCAACCATTGGAACGAACAACACCGCCAACGACAAGAAGTTCCGGTCTGTTTCGTCGCCGGTGACCACGAGCGACCGGTCGGTGCCGCTGACAACCACACTCAACGGCATGACCTTGAACAGCGTGCCCAAGGTGAACATCAAGCTGATCTTCAACTCGCAGGCCGTGCATCTGTCGGTGAACGCGGAAACCACGTTCCAGGAGCTTGTGGACGCTTTGGTGACGAAACTGAACTACTCGTTCGGCAGCTCGCTCGACGACGGCCGCTACTTCACTACAGAGTCGTCCAAGTTCAATTTCAGAGACGAGGACGGCGATTTCATCCGGTTCCAGGGCCAGGACGACTGGCAGATGGCCAAAGAGATGCTTGCCGAGATCGACGACGAGGAGGAACGGATCCTCAACATCTCGGTGCACCGAAGCGCGGCTCCATAGACCGTTTATATAGGCGCTTAGTGATCCAATTTGGCGTTTAAAGTTTCCCTTGGTTGTATTATATCCATGGACAATTTGATTGGACTCTGCCAATTTCCTTTTTGGAAAACTTCCGATGAAAAATAATTAAACTAATAATTATATCCATGCTAACACGATTCGTCCGTGTTTGCAGAGCATCTGGCGCCAAACGCCCGTCTGTGGCGTATTTGCGTGCTGTCGCCGGTACCGCGTCTAGCAGATGTGCGAATCCCGGCTTTTCTAGGGCTCTTCACTCGTCTGTTCCGCGGTTTCGATCCACAGAGGTCTTGTTTAGCGAGATGGAGCCTGAGTACCAGGAAATGCTCACTGAGGAGCGTGCTGTCGATACAGTGGACGTTTGCATAGTGGGAGGAGGTCCTTCTGGGTTTGCCACCGCCATCAGACTCAAACAGCTCGATACAGAGGGAGACTTAAGAGTCATTGTTCTCGAGAAAGCTCCGGACGTTGGGTCACAGATCCTGTCGGGAGCGATTTTGGAACCCCGTGCGTTGCGCGAACTGTTCCCAGAGAGCGAGTTCTACGACGAGAACGGAGCAGGCATCCCGCTGCCGCCCGATCTGGTGAGTCTCGTGACCGAAGACCACATGAAGCTTCTGTTCAAAAACGGGCCTGCAGTGCCGCTTCCAGAACCCCCTCAGATGGTCAACAAGAACAAAAACTACATCGCGTCGCTGTCGGAAGTGACCAAGTATTTATCAGAGCAGGCCGAGGCTCTGGGCGTGGAGGTGTACCCGAACACGTCGGTGAGTGAGCTTGTGTACGATAGCAAGGGTCACGTGAAAGGTGTGGCCACCAAAGACATGGGTGTGACGAAAAAGGGTGTGCCGTCGGACTCGTTCGAGAGAGGACTCGAGTTCCACGCGCGCATGACGGTGCTGGCCGAAGGGTGCCATGGTTCTTTGTCGAAACAGGCCATTAAAAAGTACAAACTGCGTTCAGAAAGCAGCAACCAGACGTACGGACTGGGAATCAAGGAAGTTTGGCAGGTCCAACCGGAGAAGTTCAAGAAAGGATACGTTGCTCATACTATGGGGTATCCGTTGGACAAGGACACCTACGGTGGAGGGTTCCAGTACCATTTTGGTGACGGCCTGGTCACTGTTGGACTTGTTGTTGGACTGGATTACAAGAACCCGTGGATCTCGCCGTACCAGGAGTTCCAGAAAATGAAGCACCATCCGTTCTACAAGAGCGTTTTGGAAGGAGGAAAGTGCATTTCGTACGGAGCTCGTGCTTTGAACGAGGGTGGCTACCAATCTGTGCCGAAATTGCATTTCCCCGGCGGAGTTCTTGTTGGGGCCAGTGCCGGGTTCATGAACGTTCCAAAGATCAAAGGGTCGCACACGGCCATGAAGTCGGGAATGCTGGCGGCAGAAAGCATGTACGAGCAGGTGGTGAAGCTCAAGAGCGAGCAGGGCGAGGTCGAGGAAGGCGAGGTGTTGCCTGAATGGGACGCCCTGGACCTCCAGAACTACCAGGAGGCCTACGACAAATCGTGGGTGCGCGAGGAGCTGTACGAGGTGCGCAACATCCGTCCTTCTTTCCACAGTAAGCTGGGACTTTGGGGCGGTATGTGTGTTTCCGGGGTGATTGCCCTGATCACGCGCGGAAAGGAGCCGTTCACGTTGCAACACAAACACACCGACGCCGAGCTCGTGGAGGACGCTTCCAAGTTCACAAAAATCGAGTACCCAAAGCCAGACGGCGAGATCTCGTTCGATATTCTCACGTCCGTGTCTCGTACGGGAACGTACCACCAGGAAGACGAACAGTGCCATTTGCGGGTGCCTGAACAGGACATGGCCAAGCACACGGCGATCTCGTACCCAAAGTTCAAAGGTATCGAGCAACGGTTCTGTCCTGCTGGGGTTTACGAGTATCTGCCAGACGAAACAGCTCCCGAAGGAGTGGTTTTCCAGATCAACTCGCAAAACTGTATCCACTGCAAAACGTGCGACATCAAGGTGCCGACACAGGACATTGACTGGACCGTGCCGGAAGGAGGCGACGGTCCTAAATACCAAATGACATAATACATAGAACGGCCCAAGGCCAGCTAAAACTAATTCAATATATTAACATAAGTATTCACAGTCAGGCTCTTCCCAGAGACTCGTCCCAGGTGGACTTTGTTTCCTTGATCCAGAAGTCGAGTCTGTCGCGGGCGTTGCCAAAAGAGTCGAGTGCCGGACGCACGTCGAGGAAAAACGTTGGCATTCCGTCAGAGTCCTCCGGGCCGCCATAGTAATCGATCACGTAGCGCACTTTCTCCCAGCCGCCGGCCCCGTCGCTCCGCAAGACGGTCCAGTCGTGTCTGTCAAACGGCGGCTCGGTGCCGTACTTGTCTGGGAAAATACGGCCCATCAACTGGTAGAACCGGGCTCTTGGAGTCATGTCGTGCGGTCTGCCCGTGAACTTTAGTAACCGGGGCTCCTGCTTGGTTTCTTCTGTGTGGGGCTGTTCCCACTTCAGGATCTCGCTCCAAGCTCCTTCGTTCAGGAAATTGTGGATGTTTACCATGCTCTCAACAGCATCCTCGGGAACGTCTCCCTTACCCTTGCGGATCATGGCGTTGAACATCTGCTGCGGCGATGGATACTCCCAAACGCCCTCGTCCTTGACTTCTCCGCGCGGGATGGTCGACAGCGTTCTCTCTGTAGGGAGATCGAGCTTCTGGCCAGGTGCTTTCTCCTCCGGAAGCAGGTACGGCATGTTGTTGAGAGGATTTAACTCTGTGTCCTGGCCACCCTTGTGAACCACGGGACACGCCGCCAGCTTGGAGTGGTCCACCGGACACTTTGCGGAGCCTGTAGCCGCAGAGTTTGCAACAGAAGGTTGTGTTGTAGGCGCCCAAAACCAACCCATCACACAGATTTGGATAAATAATTTTTTAATTTTTTTTAATCACCAATTTTTTTTTTCTCTGCACCATGGAGCAGCTCTTAGCACAGCACAAAAAGGAGACACGTGACCTGGTTGCGACGACAACAGGGATGCGCAAGCAGGCGACCAAGTCGACTCGGAAGGAGGTTTTGAAGCGGATTGCGCAGATGGAGGCCGATCTGAAGATCCGGCACGAGAAAGAGCTGCGCGAGCTGAACGGCGAGGAACCTGGCGAGGAGCAGGAGGTGAGTCCCGAGCAGCTGCTGGCTCAGATGAGTCTGGCAGAGGAGCAGAAGCCTGTGGAGGCCGCTGTGAGCGCAGAGCCGAAGAAAAAGCGCAACAGGCAAAAGGAACGGCTGGCAAAGCGAGAAGCAGAGTTCAAGAAGCTGCAGCAGGAGGCCGAGAGCGAGGCCAGCACGCAGCCGAACCTGAAGGAGATGGAACTGAACAACATCGCGCAGCTGTGCACGGTGGGGCGGCTAGTGCAGCAGAACATCACGCCAGATGGCCACTGTTTGTTTGCGTCGATCGCGGACCAGTTGCAGGAACGTCATGGCATAACTGTTTCTGTTCAGCAATTGCGCACCCAGGCGGCGAACCAGATCCGCAATGACCCAGACACGTTTGCGCCTTTCCTGTTTGACGAGGAGACGATGGAGAACCGCAACGTGGACGAGTACACGGCAAAGCTGGAGAACACAGTGATGTGGGGCGGTGACTTGGAGATTCTGGCGTTGGCCAAAGAGTACGATTGTCCAATAAGCGTGATGATGAGTGGACGGGCGCCAATGAAGATCAATTCCGACGCACAACAGCCAGAGTTGAAGCTGGTGTATTACCAGCACGCATTTGGACTGGGAGAGCACTACAATTCGCTAAGAGACATGGTTTCATAAAATATGTACAGATATGCCATTTTTCAGCGTTTGGCGGCGGCCGCGTTGATGCGCATGAGGTCGCCGTCCTCAACAACGTAGGTCTTGCCAACACGCGCGATTTTGCCCAAAGACCTCAGGCTTTTTTCGTTTAAGGGTGGTTGCATGTTGGCTATGTCACGGAACTTGATAACCTCGGCGTTGATGAAGGTGCGTTCGAAATCAGAATGGATTACCCCGGACGCCTGGGGACACAGGGTTCCCTGTCTTATTGTCCATTGTCTTGCCTCGATGGGGCCGCAAGTGTAGAAACTAATCAACTTAAGTGCGTCTCGCATCGCATTGACAATCTTTGGAATGGCAGAGTTTTCTCCAGACTCCACAATTTGGGACTCGTAGTCGGCAGAAAACATCATCACAGCAGAACCAGGGGCATTTTCGTCTACCCAGCACTGGACGCTGGAGAGAAATTCGTTTTCCCCAGATAAATAGTCCTGTTTGCTCACGTTGAGCAGGAAAATGGCCGGTTTGGCAGTCAGTAATGAATGCTCATTTAACGCCTCTATCTCCTCTTCTGTCCAATCCGGTTTGTCAAGTATACGTCTTCCTTCAAGCAGATGATCGTAGGCAACAGCCAGCGTTTTTTGCTGCACCTCCAGTTTGGCAACTTCACCTGCAGGTCGGATGCGTTTATTTTTCAGGTTCTTGGCTATACGATCCAGGGAGTTTTCGATAAATTCCATATCTTTGAGTAGCAGCTCGTCCTGAACAATGGTCAGGTCTCTAGTTGGGTCGACGTTTCCTTCAATGTGGGTGATATCATCATCTTTAAACCCGCGCACCACTTGGAAGATCCCGTCCACCGCCCTAATATCCGACAGAAAAGCGTTACCTAATCCTTTATTTTCAGATGCGCCTTTGATTAATCCGGCAATGTCCCAGATGTTAAGCACCGAGGGGATGATCTTCTGAGACCCGTACAGAGCGGCCAGTTTGTCCAGAGTGCTCGATTGGACCGTCACGACAGCCTCCTCCGGCTTTATGGTCGCAAACGGGTAATTGGCCGGGTTGCCCATTTTGCTCTTTGTGATGGCCTGGAAAAACGTCGACTTGCCCACGTTGGCAAGCCCCACGATCCCGCTGGCCAGGTGGTTGCCTGCGCGGCCCAGAATCGGCTTCACCAGCGTTTTCGAAGACATTTACTGATTTGGACCAATTTACAACTTTTTTCAACCTGCAACGAGCTCCCGGGTGCGAGGGTGGGTGTGGTAGGTGTAGCCGGAAACGCTTAAATTTGAAAAGACCGGAAACCTCCACTAGTGACATGCAACGGAAAAAATCGAGAGCAGAGCAATCAAACGTCAATCGCAGTCCGGGACTAGTGCTACCTGCACACACAGATGACGATCCCTTGGTCCCTGGTCTAGTGGTTTGCCAAGCAGCACGCAAACGACAGCCTGTGGAAGTATTTGCTCACTGAAACGGGGCATGGCCATTTGTTACAGGTGGAGCCAATTTTTAGGCATAGAACTATTGATGTGAGTGAAGGTTTCTCACAGCAACATAATTAATCTTCGTGCGAGAATCAGGTTGCCGTAGAATTATGGAAGGTGTTGAAGTAAAGATTATCATTAAAATCTAAAAATATCACGTGGCTACACGTAGCGTCTTCTCTTGACACTGCGCTCATCTAGATCCAAAGGCATCTGAATGGGGGTGATTGTCTGAGACCCAACGGCCGACGAAACCGGCGTCGTTCCGGGAGAAGGAAGACCCATTGAGTCGAATTGTCGCGACCGCAGCGACGAAATCGACTGTGTTCTTGTATGGGAATGACGTTGGTGGTGAATTGGAGATGCTATTGGGGAAATAGGGAGGTTTGGATACAGAACCAGCTCCTGGATAGGAGAAGATTGGTGAGGAGCGTAGCTGACGTAGGGTAATTCCAAGCCTCTTGCTTTATGATGGACAGAAGTAGCCATGTTTGTCAAGTGGGTGAAGATACGGTTCCCAGAATTGAAATACTTGGCCCTTATGGATGAAGGGACCGCTAGACAGTGGCGGAGCAGACCTGTTTGCAACTCGTCGAGTTTCTCGGTGGTTCCAGCAGCAGCCATGTTGGTAAGCACAATGGCTGCCACCGCGATACAGCTCGGGGTATAGCTGTAGAGCAGGCTTCTGTCAAAGTGAGCCAGCTCGCACAGGAACATTGCACCTTCGTGTCTCTCCTTGAGGTTTGGTTGGGAGCTGTTGGTGTAGAATTGAACAAAATAGTCTGCAGTTGGAAGCGAAACGTCCCATTTGAGAACCGACATGATATCCAGCTCCAGTCTGAGGAAGTCCGGCTTTCTATCGAGTTCATAGCCAGCTCTTTTGATAAGAGCGTTAATCAGTTTTCCTTTTGGTTTGTTTTCGTTGTACTTGGAAGCGATCCATAGACAGCAGTAGCCAACAAGCTTGAAATTTTTTTCGTGCACCAGCACCTTGGAGATGTATCTGTCAAGCAGGTACACCGCCAAACTGAAGGTTGCATATGACCATGAGAGTTTTTCTGTCACGTCGAAGATGGAGTTGAGCAACGCAAACCTGTTCTGCGCAAGCTGGGGTTGCACCGGAGGCGGAACAGGGTTCTGCTTGTACTTGAAGTCTAGATGGAGGAAGTGGCTGTGAATGTCATTTCTATACTCGTGAACAACACTCTGTTGGGATCTGGTTTCCAAAAATTGAGCAACGGCAAGGCGGGAGGTCATGAACGATGCTACTAAAGAGCGTTATATGTGAATGCGAAAGTATGGAAATGCGAAAAGTATATGAATGCAGTAGTTTAATGATGCAATGAAGTAAATTGTAGTTGAGTGTCCATAAGATGATGATAACGAAAAGCAAAGTGACCTTGATCAAGTGAAAAGGGTGGGAGACCCGTGAAGTTATATAGAAACTACTCTACAGGGTAATTTCTTTTTGAGCTACCAGTTTTTAATAGCTGTGGCCAACCACTATTGTATTGAGGACCGGAAATGCAGTGATGCCTACTTCCCACTTAATATTTCGGTTTCGGGGACTTAAAGAGCTTAGGAAAAACTCAGATCAGACTTCCCGATTGGGTAACCCTGGCAATGTGGGTAGTTTTCTGAAAAATTGTTTGCCAGCCCTGGTATTCCTGTCGGCAGATGTAGATCTCTCCGCGTGCGAAATCTAGAATATGCGGTGTAACTCTTCCAAAATCGCCCCCCAAATTTCGTGAGCAAAAATTCGTCAAATTACCTATACGGGAATCTTCCTATTTTCACGGGTGAAATGTGCATCAATAGAATCTATGCTGGTCAATCAGAGATCGTTAGGCCGTGCAAACAAACGTAGGAGCCAAGCCTTCTATCGGATTGCTATTGATCTGGTTATTTGCACCATAATGGTCCGATCCTAAGCATTGTCAAAAATGTGCTGTTGCAATCTCACACTGTCCGTCAATGGCTATCCAATCCCTGTCCTATTTGTTCTCATTTCACTTAAAAGACTCAGCTCGGAAACACACACCCCCACCCCCCCCCCCTGCCAAAAAAAAAAATGTAAAACGGAAAACTATATACCCGGTTATTAGAGCGGAAAACAGTGCAGCCATCACTATAATTCCAAAAGATTTAAGGCCCATGCAGACGTAAGTCTTCCTACTCCTGATTTTTTACTATTGATCCGTGCCGCCAAGCAGCGAAAAGTATTGTTATCAAATGGCTTGATTTGGCCGGATTCAAAATCAATTTCAATGGTGGCTATCTGTAAGCTTTACGATATCGGTCTAAAGCCCTACGTTTATTGTAATGTAGATGTGCCGGATTTTTTTGCAGCGTACGCATCCCATAAAATCAATAAGGATGTCGTACGGCAGCATACACACAGATTCCGGTCCCAGACAGTCCCAGCTGTGCTACCACTAAAAAAACAGCCCAAGGCGGGGACTTTTTCGCACGCAGTAAAAATTTTCAACAAACCAAACTATCGCCTCTACAATGGAAAAGCGCCCGAACGCCGAGTGCCCAGTACAATACTCGAAGCGGATGTCCTCGGCAAAAGCAATCGAAACGGTTTCCGTTGACAGCGTCAATGCCAAATCGTTTCAAAAGCACTATGTCTTAAAACGGAAACCTTGTGTGATACAGGGGTTGGTGAAGGGCTTCGATCTAGATTTGTTTCAACTGGAAAATCTGGCAGATTTTTTGGAGTATGACGATTTTTTGCAGGTGGAGCGGAAACATCGTGGCGGGTACGGGTCCGGAGAAAATCGAGTCAACTTGAAATTGGCCGACTTTCTGGATAAGCTGAAAAACGGAGATCATTCTTTGTATTTGACAACGCAGTACGAAGACGACCATGTGGACGATGCGTCGGATGACTCCGCTAGCGTTGAATCCGGACCGGGAGCTGACTTTGAATCTGACTCTGAGATCGGGTCTATAGATCTCGACAATCTCCACGACGACTTTGAATTAACCGACGACGAGGCGGACAACGACGACGAATTCGCCGCAGCACACGCCCGTGTTCAGGAACTGCTACAAAAACCGTTGACAAACCTCTACAGGAAATGGTCAATGGACCTGATCAGGCCCGAACTACTTGAAATTCTCGTGCCACAGCAGATCAACCTCTGGATGGGCCGATCCGACCCAGACTCGCGGTTACTGTTCAATGCCAAAGAGCCTAACCTGGGACTCGGAAGATCGTTACCTTCTCCCGGTGCCTCGTCTTCAGGTCTCCACCATGACCATGCAGACAACCTGTACATACCAATTTCAGGTCGCAAAAGATTCACCCTGTTCCCGCCGTCGGACGCACCTAATTTATACATGGTTGGAGACATACAGACGATCTACCCGTCCGGAATCATCGACTACGTGCGGAACAAGAATGCCCCGTTTTGGAAGCACGTCCGTGGGGACGGTGCCTTAGTGGAACAAATTGCGCTGTGGCAGCTGGAGACTTTGGACTTGGATGAGGCCCAAAAAAAACGGCTCGAGTCCGTGGTGGAGCAAGAGTCTGTTGTCCAGGCCGAGAAGGCCACGTCAGGCACCTCCAAAAAAGACCCGCCGTCGTTCTCGCGGATTCCACCAGCTCTACTGCACTTGGACGAGGTCGAAGACCCCGAAACCCGACAACAGATGCAAAAGCTTCTGGACGAGTCGTTTCCGCTACTTAAAAATTGCACTCCTGTTGAGGTCATAGTGCAGCCCGGCATGATGTTGTACCTGCCTGCGGGGTGGTTACATGAGGTTTCTTCATTTGGAACGGGCAGCGATCTCGTGCATACGGCGGTGAACTACTGGTTTGCACCGCCGGATCAAGCCTCATGGTCAGTATACTCGGATGATTACTGGACTCGTGATTTTGACGAAACGGGAAAATGTCTTCGTGTCTTGCACAGCCGCAGCCGATAATGCACGCGTACTTTCCCAAAAGGGGAAATCCGGGGTTGGCCCGGGATGTGGCGTGACAGACGTTTTTTTTTTTGATAAGCGAGAGGGGTAACTTCGGGGAACTCTTCCAACCGACAGATCCCCGAACACACCACCTTCCTAAAATAGATCCCGACAAATGAAAAATTTAAAAAAACTAATTCTGAATCGATCCGGTCACGTGACCTCCCGCAGTGGGGTCGACCAAACCCTCGCTTACCGACTCTTTTAGCACAGCCTGAAAAAATAGGAGCAGTAGCGGTGCTGTTGCACTTGGGTCTGCGAAGATGGGGTTTTCTCGCCAGCAGCTTGGCAAGATGTAGAGAACAGGCCACTGCAACTGTCGTGTCGGTGTTGTTCTAAAAAAACCCTGACCAGCAGACCGTTCGTTTAGCGTATAGGCCTGGCTGTGAGAAAAAATTTTCACGTAAATATTATAGATATTATTATATCAGAAGCAGGTTCAGCCCTCGTTGAGACGCAAAACCGAACCTGTCCGACTAAGAACAAGCGTATGTTAAGCAGCGATCCATGTTGAAAGAACCAAGTACTAATGACCTAGTGATTCTCACGCTTTTTCGGATTTAAGATCTTGTCAAAACAAGATATTTATTAATTTAAATATCTTCAAAGTGTACGCCACGAGCTTGTGAATCCTCAAGAGTTAAACTGGAACCCGAGTCCATTGCGCATGCATTGGATTTAGACGGCAATCTCTCTATTCTAAGCGTGGTAAGTTGTGTTATCGTATTATTCACGTTATTAGTTGTTGGACGCAAGATCTATTGTTCCGCAACTTCTAGCGCCCAGTGTGTGATTTATCTGCTGTTACAATGAGTATGACGGCTATGGAGCATGCTTCCGATCATGATTCCCAGACCCCAGATTCTCCCCTGAGTCCGAGCGAGAGAAGCTCGACTCCTTCCTCCATCACCTCCTCTGCTGCCACCAGTGTTGTTGACACCGGTGACATCTCCAAACTCCCTCTCTCCTCATCCACATCTTCTCCACCCAAGTCCAAAAAGGAGGAACGGTTAAAGAAATACAACAAAACGGCCCATCGTACCGTTGCTGCTGCCAGTGGTATTTCCACCACGGTGCCCGTTTCCGGCGAGCGTCCAAGACCAACACCCCATTCTACTCTTGACGACGATGTTTTGTTTGCCATCTTCGAGATCCTGTACGATCACGACCCCAGAGCTGAGGGAATGACCGTCAAACAGATCTGCGATATTCTTATCGAAAAACACCCAGAAATGGTTAAACTCTCGTCAAAAACCTCGAACTTGGTCTCGGCCAAGCTCAATGCCTATGTCAAGCGTGTGGAGAAGGGCGAAAAGTCCATTGTCTACTCGCTTTCCCGAGACTGGGCCGACGCCTCTCCAAAAAGAATGGTGTACGTTTACCGTGGTTTGCTCGTGAAAGATTACCACTTGTATGTGCAACAATATCTGGAAAATCAACGCGCTATGGAGCAGGTCCAGGTGGCCTCGCATGGCGGATCCGAATTGGACAGCAAGGATCTGAAAAGATACAAAAGAGCCGGTCATGCGGCAGTCTCGTCGCAAGCCAGCTCCCAAGATTTCGGCGATAAAAAAATGCCGTTTTTGGACTCGTCATTGGATCTCAGAATGGCCAACTTGGCCGTCCCATATGCAGTGGCTCCTGTCACTGCGTCTCTTATTTCGGCATACGAGGACGCCGGTTTCGCTAGTCTGCCTCCAAGAGCCAAGTCGCTCGGGTCCATGCCGGACTCTGACGACGACGAGGACGAGGAGGATGACTACGAGGCTCTGCGGTCTTCTGGTGACGACTCCGGAGTGTCTGTGGCTAGCCACACACGCGGAGCCACCCTTGTCAGGGAAAAAGTGCCGTCCTCAATCGGCAAGCGGTCCAAGTCAATGAGTCTTTTGGGTGCCAAAAAGCCAAAAACCGTCCATTTGACTGCTGCTGCTGCCACCCCGCGGATCCCCAAAAATGCCTCCATTGCAAACAATCCGAGCGCGGCCGCTGCCGTGGCTGCTCTCAGAGCAGCAGCTCTCAGCTTCAACACCCAAACCGAAGCCGTCAACACCATCACCAGCTCCATCCTGTCCGACACCACCGTCGAGCCCTCCATCAGCATGAAGTGGCTTGAGACCGTGCGCTCGGGCTTTTTGGCGCAGGAAATTGGCGCTCCGGAAGATGTCTCCTTGGCTGAGCTTGATATGCTGTTCACGTGAATTCTTCTATTATTTTGCTTTATAGGTTTATGTGGTAATGGTTAGTATGAAAGTTGGATTAGTAAGTAATGTGCCGTCTCTGGCCCTATCTCTCTCCCCAGATACAGACGGGCATATACCAACCCGTCCCCGTGCATGAACGCGGCACTCGCTGCGTCTCGTCCATGCACATTTCTCATCGTAATGGTTACGAGTTAATTATTTGGTGTACGGGTGTCCCTTTTTTTTTCCTATGCACCTTTAAAAAAAATTTAATTCTTTTCAAATATTTTCTAGACATAGCATGGCCGCCCCAACTGCAGTTAAAAAACAGGTCAGCGAGCCGGTCGTTACTCCCCAGACCGACGTATCGGTGGCAGATGATACGGAGATGGTTTTGATCGACGCAGAGGTGCCGGAAACCGAAACCAAGGACGCAAAGAACCCAGAAGCAGGAATGGTGCTTGACGAATCAGGAAAGCCAAAGTTCCAATCGCAGGCCACCTCGAACATGAAGGTGAAGCTGGAGTCTCGTAAGGTGAGTGTTCCTCCGCACAGAATGTCGCCATTGAAGAACTCGTGGCCAAAAATATATCCCCCACTGGTGGATCATCTCAAATTGCAGGTGCGAATGAACCTGAAAACCAAGAACGTGGAGCTGCGTACGTGTGCCAAAACCACCGACCCTGGAGCGTTACAGAAGGGTGCCGATTTTATCAAGGCGTTCACGCTGGGCTTTGATATCGACGACGCCATTGCTCTGCTCCGACTAGACGACCTGTATATCGAGTCTTTCGAGGTGAAAGACGTCAAGACGCTTCAAGGCGACCATCTTTCGCGTGCCATCGGGCGTATCGCAGGAAAAGACGGAAAGACTAAGTTTGCAATTGAGAATGCAACCAGAACACGTATTGTGCTTGCAGATTCCAAGATCCACATTCTGGGTGGATTCACACATATCCGCATGGCCAGAGAGGCCGTGATGAGTCTGATTCTGGGAAGTCCGCCGGGCAAGGTTTACGGTAATCTGCGTACGGTCGCATCTCGTTTGAAAGAGAGATACTAATGCGGGCTCTCACATCCCAAACGTTTCTTTTTTAGCGCTGCGGTGTGCACCTATCAAAAAGAGGAGAATAATAACCCATCGCATAAAAAATTTTCGCTATACTTGTAATTCTTATGTAATCTACTCGTGCGACCATTAGTTGCTTTTGTGGCATGAATAGGTTCCTGTCAGCAAAATTCAGGGTCTGGAAACAGGAAACGCCGGTCGGTAGAGGGATTAAGGCGGCCTACCGGGAAATGCTAGTAGAATTCTTGTACCATAGCCTGTCTGGATCAGCTCCGTCTACGGGATCCGTGCAGGGTGCAACGGTGGCCGAGTAAAACATTGTTGCTTATCATGACTCGGGTTATGGCAACGACTTCGGTCTACGCGGCTCCTCTTTAGTATTACCGAACATGGACCAGATAGGCAATTCTATTGTTAGTACTTTATTGTAAGGTATGAAAAAGTAGTAGTAAGAAGCTCAAATTAGAAAGTGCAGATCTCACAAGCCTTATTACCTTCCAACAGGGCAACCAAGCACACGACATAAAGTGTTTGTAATTTGAATTTTAGATCTTTTCAGTTCTAACTTATCGCTGCCATGGTTCAACCAGAAGAGCAGTCGTTTATGGGGGACGGGGCCAGCAGCGCAATGGGGCGGTCCTCAGCTAGTTCTAGTGGAATTCTTGGCCCCTTGAAATCGTTCGTTTCACGCTTCTACCAAGTGGTGACCCATTTCCGTACCAAGAAGATGTCCATTTTCACAGTGTATGTTAGTTTGGTGGTAATGATGTTTCTTCCCAGCATCTTTTATATGGATACCAACATTTCCTTGCTGCCGCAAAACCACATTGATGTTGACACAGAAACCACGTTGCGTAAACTGCAAAAATACAACGCCGATAACCTGGCATATCTGGTTTTTCCTTCCGAAACACGCAACAACGAGGTGTTGTTTGATCCACGGCTGGTGGTTGCTTCGTGGTTGAACTCGCTCAAATTTCATCTCAAGGAAAACAAGGGTGTTTTGGACCCAAACTTTGAGCTACCGTTTTCGTGGTCGGAATGGGTGGACCTCAACTCCAAGTTCAAGCTCAACCATGAGTTCATCAACCATTGGAAGAGCGAACACCAGGACCACAAAAAGGATAACTTCACAGAAATGACTTGCGACCAATTTCGAATGCTTTTCGCCGACTACGAAAAATTCGTCCAGGAGACCTGTGTCGACTTGACCGACGTTGAGAAAGAGGCTCTTCCCTCGTATCCGTTCCGGTTCAAGATCCACGACCGTACCGGGTTCCAGTTGGAAGAGCCGGGCCGTATTTTGTACGGAGCATCGTTTTTGCAAACCTCGGCTCCTCCTCCGGCAAGAGTCCATTTTTTGGGCGCAGGACTCAACAAGTCGTCCGTCATCATCAACACGCAGCGGAACCCAGTCACCCACGAGCCTGTAATTCTCGACCGTTCCAAAGATATTTATTCCGTGAGCGAACACCTTCTGGAAAATGAGGCCAGGTGGCGCTCCACCACCAAGGAAAAAGTCATCAAGGACGGAATACGGCTCGACCACATGGTCAACGAGATCCAGAACTTGTACAACTATGACGCCTCCGTTCAGCCGTGCTACGCCGAGGACGAGCTCGTGTACGACAAGTCGTATCTGTTGAAGCTTAGCGACCAGGTCAACGTGATGACCAAGGTGGCCGTGACCGAGAAGGACTTCTATTATGACCATGAGGAGATCATGAACACCATGAAGCAGAAAATCGAGCAAATTGTTCGCCAGGACCCCAACGTTAACAAAGACACCCTATTGGACCACCTGTTGTTGAAACAGATTGAAAGAGAAATGGACGTTTTCGAGTCCTCTGGCAATGCCCACCCGGCCTACCTCCGTGAAGCTTACATGGTGAACACTCTGCTTGGTGCACACTTTGACTGGAGATTCTTCAACGGTCTCGACCACCCTGTCGAGTCGCACCAGGCCGTTATCCACCGTATCGGCCGGGCCTGGCTGCGGTTTTGCTACCAGTCCGGCTACCGTACCTTTGTGGCATACGGCTCCATGCTGGGATGGATCAGAAACGGACTGGCCCTGCCGTGGGACGAGGACATCGACGTGATTGTTTCTGTGGACTCGTTGTACAAGATCGCCAGAAACCACAACCAGACGCTTGTTGTGGACGTTTCCCAGGAAGACAAGTACGCCTCCGGTATTGGGTCGTTCTTCCTGGACATTGGCTCGTCGTTCTATTCTCGTGTGCGTGGATCCGGAGCCAATGCCATCGACGGCAGAATGATCGACACCTCTTCCGGAGTGTACGTGGACATCACTGCCATTGCATGGACCCCAGACTATTTCGACGAGCACCCGATCGACGAGGTGATGCGCACATTGGTCGACCCCGACTACCGCAAAAAAGTGGACATCGTGGAGGACAAGGAAGCATACGAGAAGCAGATCGACGTGCAGGCCAACGAGCTCCAGAATGAGCACAAGATCTTCCACTGCCGTAACAACAACGTGTTCCAATTAGACGACCTCAACCCAATGGTGCCGACGTTTTTCGAAGGTGTGCGTACCCATGTGCCACACAAATTCAAGGAACTCTTGGATAGAAAGTACCCAAGAGCCTTGGACAGAAACTATGAACCAGAGTTCAATCCGCATCTCACATATAAAAAAAACCTTCGTCTCTGGGTGGAGGATGCCCAATGCCCAGGCGACGACAACGAAGGTGCTCTTTGTCAAGATGAAGATGTGTTGGAAGAATATATCCGCACCAAGGATTACACAGCAAGACACCTCCAGTTGCTCGAGACTGTCTATGATAACGCCCTCCGCATTGAAGATGAGACCGTTCCTATGAAGTACGACGACTTCATCATTAAGTATGCTGACTTGCTCAACGCCAGACTAGGGTAATCCACATACGTACTCTCCTTAATAATATAGCTGATAATTAACTTGGTGTAAAGATGCAGCCGTTTTTGAAAAATTTCTTTAACTACCGGATGTTGAACCAGGTGAACAGATCGTCCAACTTTTTTGCTACGCAGCTCTTTTGTCGGGTTCCGCGTCGTTGGCAGACCTCTCAGGCTGCAACTGCTGACACCGCGCCTCGGCGCTCGTACGACCCCGTCAACACCTATGCGGAAGCAAAAGCCAGAGGTCTCAAGCCAATGTCTTCTTTGAGCGTCTTGACCAGAGATACCACTGTTTCTATTTCCGATTTGTTTGCTGGCCTCGAGGAGGCGGTTTCGGGGATCGACAAGGACATGTATTCCGCTGTTCTGGGCCGCGGACACTTGTTGTTCAGCAAACTCCATGCTTTGAATAAAGACAACGCTTCTGTGCCCGACTCTCTGTTATTCAGCAAACTATTGACCATTCTGCAGTCCTCCGGGTTCCTACACTGGTCTCACGTCGAGAGAGTGATTCGCCAGCTGCTGGCCGAGAAAAAGTACGACAAAGCGCTGGAACTTTGGAATTCTACACTGGATCAGTTTGGCTCCAATATTTCGTTCTATCTGCCATCCAGCAAGAAGATCGACTTTGAGCCGGAAATCGGGTTCAGAGCAGCCGGTCTGGCCGCTTACTTGCTCAAGAGCCTTGATACAAATACCACTCCGGAACCTGCTGTTGTGAAACGTCTTGTTGGAGACAAGAAGCTGCAGAAACGGCACGTCAACTTTGTGATCCAGTCTCTCAACTTAAGCACAGACTCCAAGGCCAAGATCGCCGACCTGTTTGAAGAACACGTGTTCCGTCCAGACCCTAACAGTGTCCAGCTGCTCAAGTCGGCACACTCGCTGGCCGTGGCACAGAAATACGACTCCATGGAGTCTTTGCTCAAAAGAATTTTTGTGGCCAAGGAGAAGAGCCAGGTCCAATTCACCCAGAAATCGTACGCCATGCTCATGGAAATCTACAACGTCTCTTCCAAGTACGAGAAGACGCTGGCTCTTTGGGGAGAGCTGGTCAAGTCGGGCACCAAGCCTGAGATCGACTCGTGGAACCAGTTTCTCAACGCCCATGTGAGCTCGGACGCTCCACAGAAGCTTTTGAGAATCGAGAGCGTTTACAAGCTGCTCACTCAGAGCGTCCAGCCAAACAGCACAACTTACAATATCATGATCAACGGATACTTGAGCAGCAAAGAGCTCAACAAGGGTCTGGACTTCTACAAGGCCCATAAGAGCAACGTGTCTGAGTCGGAGCTCCAGACTCTGAAAAACACGCTTCTTGCTGCCTTGGCCAAATATGATTACATCGAACAGACGGACTCTCTGTTCAACGTGTTCACCGCCGAGGCTGCTTCCAAGAACACCGTCTTCGAGCCTAACGTCCAGGTTTACAACATTGTGTTGCAGAGACTGCTTAAAAAGTCGGACTTCAAGAAAGCCATAGAACTCGGCGATCAGATCGCAGCTTCCAACACCATTGTTCCAGACAGCGCCCTGTTTTCCTCATTGTTCGAGACCCTGACCCACAAGGCCGACGAGACTGGAATCTCTGCTCCATTGCTGATTCAGGAACTCGTCAGCTCCAAGGTCAAGAAAATCAATAACTCTGCCACCATTACTGACCTAGTGAGAGAACTCGCTAACAACCCTGCCACCATCTCTGTGGCCGAAAACCTTATGCAACAGTTGCGAGAACAGAAAACCCGCTTGCCTCCGCAGGTGTATAATAGTATGGTGATTTATGAGAGCGCTCAAGGAAGAGCAGATAAGGCTATCCAATACTTCTACCAAGGATTGGAAGCAGGAAGTAGACTCCAAACCTGGTTCTACAACAATATCTTCAAGGCCCTCAGCATGACCGGAGACACGGATGGTATTCGCGATTTCTACGACTTTGTCAAGACAAATTCCAAGGACAAGCCAAATAGGGTCACTTTCTACTACATGTTGCGTGCGGCACAGCTCAAAGACGACCATATCTTTGCCCAATGGACCATTGACGAGCTTTCCGAGGCCAATCTGGCCAACCTCGGGGACCAGGTCCCAAGAATCCTGGAAAGATACTCCAAATCAGGTCTTTCTGTGCCATCGACGCTCAAGCTCTCGGCAAACATCCACAGCACTTGACCAAATTGTATATAAACTAGTTTCCGGGCGGTGCAGCATGTATATGTATGTAGCTTGCTAAATTTCCGGGGTAGATTCCTTAATTGAGGGGATGGGCCTACTTCTCGCCAACCTGACCTCTGTGTATGATTTGGATAGGTCCGAGGTACTGCTTCTGGATCTATTCACCTTCATTCCAGGCACGTTGTCGATGATGAGCGGGTTTTTGTCCATTTATTGGTACTTCAATATTCACGTCTCGAGGAAAACTTTTCGACACAAGCTCATATTGTACCTGATGCTTGGAAACACCATTCGGGGATGCATCCATTTCATCTACCCGATCTTGTCGTTGTCTGCTTTGTCGCGACATTCGTATCAGTGTGCATTTTTCACCGAGCTACATTTTGCAACCTGCGACGTATTTGGCTATCTATTGAACAGTTCGTTTGTCTGTGGCGACGTAATCATCATTGTGACTGCCCTGCACTCGCTGCTGCTGATAATTCGACCGCAGGACGCCAGAGTGTATCGAGCTTCGAAATCGCACCCGTGGAAAGGCCGTCTACGACTTGTATTTAAAGCCGAAAAAAATAACATCCCAGAGTCCCTCGCGCTGCTCCAGGACGGATATCTGGAAACTCAAACGTACACCTACAGACAGGAGGCTGGACTGTATAGATACGACCCTTTGATTCTACTCGGATGCATGGTTGCAATTCCCTGTACGCTTTCGTCGTTCGCGTTTGTGGACGGAAGCCGCTACGACAACTACATCTCGTTCTGCTACTTGCCTGCAAACCCGGTCTGGATCCGGATCCTGGGCTCGTGGGGCCTGCGCCTGTTTGCCTTTGTCATCATTCTTGTGTGCTACTTCACCATATATGTGTACATCTATGCCAGCTACCAGAAACTGAGCGCCCACCACGAACGGCTTTTGAACGTCAATAAACACAAACCCAGGCTTCAGTCGCTCCGGGCGTTTCTGTTTGGAGTTTACTACTCTATCTTCGACATCTCCATGAAAAACCAGTCAAGTATGTTTGTTGAAGCTACCCCAACTAATCAAACCCCAATGGTTCTAGAGACCGACCAAAATGTGACACCCATGAACTCACAGATCCCACAGATCCACTCAGACTCTCCAATTGCCCAGACCCAAAGAGAACTGGCCATAGAGGTGTTTGAGAAATCCGTGCAGGATTTCAACGACCGCAAAAAGAGCTCGCTCAGAGCCCTTAAGTTCATTTTCATTTACCCCCTAACGTACATGATAGTTTGGGTGGTTCCTCTAATAGCCCAGATCCTGCGTTTCAGAAGACAGAAACAACCCTTGGCACTGCTATGTGTGGTGTCCTTTTTCCAGTCAATAGACGGACTAATCCAGGTACTCGTTTTCTGTTTTCGTGAAAAACCATGGAAGCTCGCATCGAAACTGCAAGAGCAACAGCCCGCTCCGCCACCACTTGTGAACTCGCCAGCCTCCGGAAACGGGTCGCAGGTCGACCTGGTTGCAATGTTGAAAGCAGCTTCGTAGGTGCGAGGTGGACACCGGGCCTCTAAATCAAATTTATTTCAGTGTATATATTTTCTTCACCATGAATCTTGTATTTCTTTTGGTTTGGGCGTCCTGCTGCTTGGCCTTCTCGCTTAACGAGAACAAAACGTACCAATTAACCGCCCAGAACTCGGCCACGCCGGCCACGGAGTTCGCCGAGCTCTATTTCACCAACAGATGGAGACTTAAAGATACAGCCCAGTTGCCGGACGACGTGTACTGCGTCGGTTTGGCCTTCGAATCGGAGCCTGTTTTCCCATGTTTCAACACCAAACAGCTCAACTTCCCATTGAACGACACCCTGGTCGTGGAAGTGTACAATAACGAAGTTTCTGCTTTGTCGTTGCTCGAATCGGATAACGCCCAAAAGTCGATCGTCAAGGTGGTGTCGCCACAAATAATCTACCCTCCGCGCGAAGACCCTCCGCAAGACCACAAAGCCGCTCCTGTTGCAGAAAAATCCTTTATTCAGAAATATTGGATGTACATCGTGCCGCCGCTAATAATTCTGATGGTTATGTCTCCAGAATAGTGGTGCAACTCTGGCTCCTGGCTTCCTTTTAATCATTTCTTCCCGATTTGCAGAACCTGGGTTTTTCTTACATCATGTTCTTGATATATCTACTGCTCATCATGCTAACGCCCGGTGCCTGGGCGCGCGGAATCACCAGCGCCGAAGGTGCAACCTGTTTGTTCATTGCCAATAACGCTACAAATTTCCCGTTTGACTGCAAGGGAGATGATCTGGCGTACAAATGCCGGTGTCGATGTCCTGCGTTTTTGGGGTCGGTGCTGCTCTGTATCGAGAAGTTCTCCAGCGACAGCTCCACTCTCACCAAAGCTTACGACTATTTACTGGACGTTTGCGAAAACCAAGCCCTTGTCAAATACAATTTCACCGATCTTGTCAAACAGAACGAAAACGCCTCCAGCTATTACCTTGAACACGCGGAAATCGCCAACTTGTCCGTCATTCACCATCCTATCATGTTTGATGATGAAATGTATAACACAACGCACCAAAGTGTCACTGTATTAATAAACCACAGAAAACTGGCAACCAAATATGGACACGCTTTGCTTGGCTACTGGGGGTGTGTTTTTCTATCGGCGTTGTTCTTCAACATCGCGCGATGGTGCTTTCCCTATTTGTTTTCCAACGTTTGCAACCTGAAAGCTGTCAAGTGGACTAGACGCCATTTCATATCGTCCTTAGTGGTGAAACCTATGCAGATCCCAAAACCTTCCGAAAAGTGGCAGCACAAGCTACTCTTCTATGTCCAAAAGTCCATCTACCTGTTCCTTCAACGACTTCCAGTGAGAGTCCATATTCTCATCATTTGCACCTACATTGCACTAGTCACCATTCTGTGCTGCGTCAATTACAAAATAGTGGTACCAAACAGCGTGTTCCGCTGTCCTAGCGGACAAAAATGGGTTAACATAGCCGATAGAACGGGTATCATTGCCATCACCCAGCTCCCGCTCAGTTTCCTGTTCTCGGCCAGAAATAATCCTCTATTGATGTTGACGGGAACATCTTATAGAGAGTTCCAGATGTACCACAAATGGATCTCGCGGGTGATTTTTGTTCTGTTTGTTTTGCATACCGCGTTCTATCTGCTCTACGTGGATACTCGCGGCGACTACATCGCACGGTGGGGGCTGACGAAATGGCGGTGTGCAAATGCCGCGTTCACGGCCGTCACTTTGACAACGTTCTTTGCGTTTTTCCGGTCCCATTTCTACGAATGGTTCAAGATGACACACAAGCTGCTGATTGTGGTGTTTGTCGTAGGTGTCTGGTACCACTGCATCACTTTGGGCTGGATCGAGTACATTGCTGCCTCGTTTGGGATTTGGGCAGCAGAGTACGTTTTCAGAGTCGGCAAGGTCATCATCAGCGGAGGAGTCTTAAAGGGCAAGTGCAAGGTGTTGTTTGAGACGGTGATGGACCAGAATGGATACAAACAGGTTCCGCATTCCATCAGAGTTGAGATAAACCATTCTGGCTGGTGGAGAGCGTTCCCTGGAGCGTACTGCTGGATCTATTTTTTGAAGAAGGACATGTTCTGGCAAGCGCATCCGTTCACGATCGTCTCGTCCACAGCGGAGGAAAATTTCAACCAGCTGGTGTTCATTATTAGGGTGAAGGAAGGACTTACACGAATCCTGGCAGATTATATTGCAACCACGCCCAATAACGAAGCATATGTGCCGTTGGTTGTGGAAGGACCGTACGGAGCCACGATTCCGTTCAAAGCATATAACCACTCGGTGTTTATCGCTGGCGGTGTGGGAATGACGGTTGTTTACACCATTGCGCTGTATCTTGCTCAGACTTATAGAGCCCAGGTACTGCGGGGCCATAAACTAAAATCGGAAAACTCCATCAGCATTGTCTGGGTTGCGCCCAGCTTTGAGTCTCTGATGAGTTTTAAAAAGGACATTGAAAGCATTGCGCCGTTTGAGGGACTTGTTGAGCTGCAGATCTTCATAACCCGAGATATCGTGGACCCCGAGCTGAAACTCGTTTTCGACCAGGAAACTAACAAAGAACTCCAGGAAATGCCGTCTGTGCATGAACAGAAAGACGACCTCTCGATTAGCGAGTCTCTGGACCCGTCGTTGGCAGAGAAAATCGACTTTTTGCAACGACTTCTCAGAGACGAGGTTGGTCACGTGAGCCTGAACGTTGGAGACAAGCCGGATCTAAGCGCAGAGCTACCGTCGTACATTCGGAGTTTGAACGGGGCCACTGCTGTCATTGCGTGCGGGCCATCGTCGATGAATGCAGACGTGCGACACTCAACCGTCGAATGTCTCCGTGGCGACGAGAACGTGGACTATTTCGAAGAGGAGCTGCTCTGGTGAGTGAGCCGATTTGGCTGTTCTTTGTGGTGCACGGATGTGTTGCTCCTGCCAGGCTCAAGATTGTAAATTTCGTAAAGTAGATGAAAAAAAATAAGTGCGTATATATTGCGAAATGGGCGAAGGTAAGTTTCAGACCCCGGAGACTAACAATCAGACGTATTGCGGCAGAAATGCGTCGATCTTCAGAGCAAGATTGATGAGCTCGAGCAGGAGAACCTGGTGACGTCTGTGGCGGTGTCACGGGGCAAGCAGGCTGTGGAACGTCTTCGATACGAGTATGCACTTTTGTTAGAGGCTTTGGGTCGCAAGGCGGACGAGGTGAGCATTCCGAACGTGGACCAATTGAGTGCGGAGGATTTGGATGGCGAGGAGATCGCAGGGCTGCGGTTAGCCGACGTGACACATCTTTTGACAAAGACTCCATTCTCTTTGGCCAAGAACGGATTCAGCGCTTCTGTGGGCAGTCTTGTTGCCAAGAAGAAGCGCGGAAACACAAACACATTGAAAAAGCAGCGGCTGAAGGATCCGAGTATTCCTAAGCGGCCAACGAACGCGTACCTGATATTCTGCGATCTGGAGAAGGAGAAGGTGAAGAAACAGATAGAGGCGAAGGACCCGAGCGTGCCGTCGGACCTGTCGAAGGCGATGACCGAGGCGTGGCGCAACCTGGACGATGTAGCCAGAAAGCCGTTCTACGAGCTGTACGAGCAGGATAGATTGAGGTACCAGCGGGAGATCAAGGAGTACAACTCCAAGCAGAAAAACGGCAAGACCCCGGAACTTAAAAAGGAGCTAGACGGACCAGAAGGGCCTGACCAGGACGACGAGGTTACCGAGATGGACGTGATCGAGGACGACGAGGACGACGAGATCGAGGACGATGAGGACGAGCTGGATTCCATGCCTTTGAACGAAAACGACGACGACGACGAAGTCAGTTTCAAAGAGGAGGACCGGCCGCCTTTGTGATGTAGTAATGTATCTTATTGCGAAGTATTCTATTAAGTTTAATGCTCTTTTCTTCTTTTGGCACGGTACAGGCCATTTTCGTCTTTGAGATGCTTTCTCTTTTCCCGTTCCCTAGAGTGTTTTTTGAGTTTCCGTTTGGCAGCGGCGGCTGGGTTGTTGAGCGACAATTGCGCGCGCTTAGTCTTTCTTTCATGTCTGCGCTCCATGATGGCCTTTTTGGTGGCCGCGTACGCCAAATTGTACTCGCTGACTCCGATTTTGTCGGAAACCAGCTCCAAGCATTTGGAAGCCATCACAGGCACCGTATTTTCGCCAGTGTCTTCGATGGCCGGTTCCTGTTCCGACAGAATGATCAGCGGATCCAGGCACGGCATGATGGCGTGTTGCAAAGTCTCTGCGTCCAGGAATCCGGTCAAAAACACACAGTAGCTGATCATGGCCTTTTTGGTGGTGATCAAGTCTTTTGGTGGAGCAGACTCGTTCTTGAGCACTCCGCACACACGCAAGAGCGCCCAATCCAGTACACTTTGCTTCTTGTCCTCGTCAGTATCCACCGGAACAAACAGAGTGTTGTTCTGTGCCCATATCTTCGAGATATACACCAAAGTCTTTGCAACCTCGTTAGCAAGAGTCTGCGAGATTGACGGAGCACTCAGCTGTCTGAAACATCTGTAGGCGATTGTTTGCAACGTCTTGTCCTCGACGTTGGCATACTCCTGCACATACCGCCCCACCAGTCTCGAAGTAGCCAGCCGGATCCACGAATGAGGGTACAAAAGACACTCGATGATGGAAGACCAGGTGTTGGTGTATTTCTCTTTGTAGACGTCTGTTTTCTCCGCAAGTTTCTCGAACGCAATGATCGACGAATACACCAACTCCCAGCTGACGGTCGGCTCGCTCGACTTGGTGCTTGCAGCAAGCAAAGAGTTGATCTTTTCCAAAGCAACCTCGTTTAAGACAACGTTCTCCGTTCCAACAGCTTCCACATACAGCTGGTACACGTGCAGGCCGCACCTGACCAGAAGCTCGTTTCTGGTGTTACCGATCCACGAAGCTGTGCACTTGTCGATGAATGCCAAGTCGTCCACGCGGCCGAGGATCTGCGAAAGAACCTCGGAAGCCATCTCACGGCACGACGGAGACTCGTCCGTCACCGAGACGTTGGCCAGAGCAATAAAGAACGACGAGGCCACCAGCGACAGCAGCTCTTTTCCGGCTTTTTTGACAATCAGATGAATCAGCTCCATCACACTCTGACGACCGCTTTGAGCAGGATATTCCAGGTTTCCAAGCAGCATTTTGAACTGTTTCTCCAGCCTACCGCGACTCTGGTCGTATTCCATCAAGAACGTGTAAAAAACGCTTCTGGCAGTTTGTCTAATCTCTGCAGAAGTACTGGTGACCATGATCCGCGAAACCGTTTCCAAAACATCGTATATTTCAGGCAGCATGACATGTTTGGCTATCAATGCCTTGACGAACCCGAAAGCGACTCCCTGTCTCATTGGTTCGTCCAAATCAGGCTCGATCTTTTTCAAAATGTAGCTGACCGCAGTGTCCTTAAGCAGCAAACCGTCCCTGTTTCTGATCACAGAGCTGAGGAACTTGAGCGAGTTCTGACACAACTCATTGTTGGTGCTTGGGATGTCCTTGATGATCTTCAGTGTTGCTCTGGCGCACGCAGTAAACTGGCCATTAACTGTTTCTGAGAATTCAAGACGAGACAGCAGTGTAAGCATTTTTAGCGACGAGATCACAACACCTTCGTCTCCAGACGATAAGCCGGTTTCCAACAACGGAACAAACTCTTCAAGATTACCTGGAGTGAAAAGCTGCTGGTTTTTCGAAACAACAGCCAAAAGCAGGTCGAACGCAAATTTTTGCAGAACTTTGGAGTACAAAGTGTACTCCATCTGGGTTTTTTGCGGCTTCGAGTCCAGTTTCACCAGGAAATGGTCTTCGGACTCGGTCTCGCGTCTAACTTTTTCCTCCTCTTGCACCAACGACTGATTGTAAATCTCGTGGCAGAGCAAGATGGAATTAGTGGAGCTGGCTTCGGCATTTTTCTGCAACCCAATGGAAACCCGTCTCAGAAGCTCGTCCAAACGTTTCTGGACCTTGAACGCCAGCTTTTCGCGCAAAAGAAGTCTGATTGGGTTCAGAATCTGCGAAAAGTTCTGCAAAAGCATCTTACTGGCGAGTAATTCAGCGGTGTCGTAACTCTTGTTGTGCTTGATCTCCTTCATCTTCTTGTTGTATCCCTCGGCCTCTTTCTCCTCGCTCGCCGTGCCAAAAATATCGTTCATCACCGCTTCAATCACGTACCCTGTGCACTCGTCCAGGTCTCCCTGGGTCAGCACGTTGTCAAGAACAATTAACAGGTAGTGGAAAGTGTAACTCAAGATATGGATCTGAGGACCTCTGTTGAGCGCGGTTTTGAGCTCCTGCATGATAAACTTCAAGTACGACGACCCCAGAGCAACGGCAATTCTTCCCAGATGCTTTCTGACGGCGTCTCTGAGCTCCTCGGATCTGGCTCTTAGAATTTGACAAATACTCGTCAAAATTCCCGGCAGCTCGCTCTGCATCTTTTCCTCGGAACAGCAGATAATCAGAGAAGCAAGCGCCTCTGATAGAACAACACGATGAACCACCGTCTGCTCGTCACGTTTCGTCAACACCTTCTTGATCTGCGGAATCAGCGTATCGACAATGATTCCATCCAGTTTCTCGCCAGACGGCAGATCTCTAGGTTGCCGTTTTTGCAGGTCTTTCAGAGCACTGGCCACACTGGTCACCAGCAAGATCGAGTCTCTTAGCTCGTCATGCTTCTCCTTTTGCAACGCTGTTGCCATGGTACTGACGTATCTGCTGAGAATAGCACGGTACTGGTTCCAGCTGACAAAAGCAGCCAGTTTCGAAACGGTTGCAACCGTATCGTTGGCCAAGTTTCTGTACTTGTCGTCTTCCCAGTAAACGAACTTCTCGATCATCGGCAACAGATAGTGCGAGATGGACTGTTCAGTAAATTCCGAAGCCAAATCGCCCAATCTTCTGATAGCCCTCTGTCTTCTGTGGACCTGTGGATGCATAACATTCTTGAAGAAATTGGCTTCCTCATCTCCGCCGTGGAGCAGCACCTTCATGTCTGCCAAGTCTGATCCAATCTCCACCACACGGGCGACAACATTGATGTACTCCAGCCGAACAAGCTCGTTCTTGCGTCTCAAACCTGGACGGATAACTGGAAGCACAATCTCGTGCAAGATATCCTGGAAGTTCTCGGAAACGTCCACGAACCTGATCAATGTGTTGCCAGCAGAGGATCTCATTGCCTGGTCAGCCTCGTCATTCACGTGATATAGTGCCGTGTAGATCACCGGAAGCCACTCTGATCCTGAAAGACTATCATACAATACCTTGTCGATATTTCTGTACGTTTCAAGACGACGCTCGTAATCTGGTTCGCGGATTCTCTTTGGCGAGTATGCGTTCAAAGCATCAATGATCTCGGAAACACGCTCAAACTCGGCATATTTCTTGCCCAATGTCAGATAAACCTTGCAAATGGCCACTCTCATTTCACGTTCGTCGTAAACTTTCAAAAGCGGAGCCATACTCTTGTACAAGGGCATGATCTCCATCAATGTGCAGTCGATATGGTTGGTAACCATAGCCAACACGGAAACGATATCTGTTCTCGTACTCATGTCGATCTGGGAGGCCGGTTTGTCCAGAACCAGCACCAAAGAGTCCACCAGGTATTTGCTGCTATCGCTTCCAGTAATAAGGTCTCTCTCGACCAGAGTGTGCAGGATCTTGACACACAGCGAGTTCACCTCTCTGCTATCAGATAGCTCGAATAGCTGCACCAGTGCATTCAGATACTCTGAGATGATCAAAAGCATCATATCGATGTGTTTCTCGTCGCTGGACGTGCTGTTGAGCAGTTTGTTCACAAATTGCAAAATCACCACCTGCACAGACTCCTTGGCCTTTTCGTGCTTCAGGACACCCATCAAGGCCTTCACGGGAGCAAATTCGTCGTAGTTCAAGAAAAATTGCATGTTGGGAGCCGGCCATAGCGACGTCATCAGTCTCATAAGAGACGAAGGCTGTTGCAAGTTCTCCTCGGCGAAGTTGGCCATCTTGTGCTGCACCAGGTTCGTGTAGATCACGTCGCCGTACGGTTGCCAGTCAAACGTTTCGCCTAGATAGTCGGCGACCTCAAACAGGACACGGAACCCAAGCTGTCTGTTGTTCCTAGCGGCTTTGTCGAGAATCTCGTCATCAGATCCAATAGCTTTCTCAGAAACACTAAGAGAATAAATTAGAGGATCCAGAAGAATAGCAAGACATTCTCCTCTGGTTCGTCCAATCGACGGTAGCAAGTCCGAAACCATGTTCAGGAATCCGCTGGCTGTGCGAATCAATCTGAAGTTGACGTTCTGGTCTCTCATTTCGTTCAATTTCTCAAAAGAAAGAGCCAAAAAGTCCTGGAGATGTTTCTCGCTGAGGTTCGAGATGGCCTTCACGGCAGCCATCTTTCTTCCCTGTTTTGTTCCGCTGGTCTTCAACGTCTGAGCACGACCAAACAGAATTCTCAAGATCAACGGCATCACAATCTCCTCGTCAGCTGGCTGAATAATATTCTTTTCGTTATTTTGTAGCAGGTTGATAACCTCGTCTCTGAAAAGCATATCGTCCAACAACCCGTTAAGGTTGTCTCTGTATCTGTTGTATGCCGGGTTTTTCCAGTTAGACAGAGCTCCAAACGCGAGTTTCTGTGTCTGGACGCTTCTATTAGCCAACAACCGCAACAAGAAGGTATGCACGGTGTCTGCTCCTGGGACCCTGCGCAGGTTCTGGAACTTCGCCATGATCTCCACCACGCTATTTCTGTCCTTGACGGACCATTTCACGGTGTCCTCGTCGTCTTCAACCACAAATGGTAGCAGCACGTTGAAATGAGTCTCTGCCAATTTCGGTAGCCGTTGCAAAATGCGTAAACACTGTTCTCTGTAGAACTCCGTAAACTCAACACTCTCTTCGTTGCTGGAAAAGTTCTTGTCGACAGATTCGTATTTCTGTGTCACTGCTCCGACTTTCTCCACGTAGCCAACCAATTTTGGGTTGAGTCCATTCCAAACAGTATCAAGCATCTCTTCGTCGCTGTCCAACGTCTTGGACTCGTACTCGCGCGTCAAGAATGGCTCGATCTGTTCCCAAAGAGGTTTTTCGATCCGTTTGAACACACCTTCCAAGAACTCGAGCACTCCGTTCCAAGATGGAGAGAACTTGTTGGACATTTGGCCAACACTAAACTTGGCCACAATAGAGTCCATAAGATCGTTCTTTGGTGAGTCCATGAACGTCTGCACGAGAGCTCTGTACCGCAGTTGAATTTCTCTTCCAGTTTGCAAATCCAGTGGAATCTGCTCGATCAAGCGACAAACTCCCAATGGCTCTGGTGGTTCCTCGAAAAGAAGCATCATAATATTAAGTGTGATTTCGCGAACGGAGTGGGATGGAAGAACAAGGTTGGCTGACAACAGATCCAGCAGCTGTTCCTGGTCATTTCTAAACGGAAGTGGGTTCTTCATGACAATTTCATAGACACCTTCCAAGAATGTCAGGTTGGTAGCAGAGGTTGCAATCTGGTCGATTATGGTCTGGTAGTCATCGCTAGACAACTCCACCTTTGACACTACCTTAAGAATGAGGCCCTGTTCGCTGGCAGAGAGCTGTGGTAGCTTGGAAATCAGCTGTTCTTGGTCAATGGTGGCCTTGGTGTACTGGAGCAGTAGCAGTCTCCAATAAAGACCCTCGTCCACACTCGACTGGATGTACTCGTTGAACTCGCGCAGTATCACCACATCCAGCTGCACGTTCTTGGAGTTCATTCTATCGAGAAAGTATGCTATTTCCTTGTGTTTTTGCTCCCAGTTCTTGGTGATGAAACTGGTGATGTATTTTTTTCCGTACCCCAGAGTTCTTTCTGGAGCAATTTCCAAAGCAGCGTCGATGAAGGGCAAGAACTGGTTCTGTTTTGACATCATGGTGGTGAACAAAGCAACGTGTCTTTTGGACAGCTCCTGCTGGTCGGAGTTTCTCATTAAAGTGGCGTATAGAAGAACCAGGTCGGAGTCTTGGGGCAGTTGCGAAACACCGTCGAATATGACAGACCAGTTGGGCACTTTCTTACCGCTTTCAGCGAAAGCCAGTGTCGTCAAAACCCACACACTTCCAGCAGACTGGAAGTCAAGCTTCTCCAGCACGGAACTGTACACGAGCTCGCCGTCAGAGACGTGTTCGAGAACTTCCATCAAAATGTCAGACAGTACGGCGGTCTTGGATTCCGACTGCTGACACACATGTGTGAGCACGTCGAGCATGATCGGGCTCTTGGAATGAAGCGACTCGCCAGCGTTTTTCATTGCCTCGGCAAATATCACCACGACAGACTTGAAGTAAGTGTCAACGTCAAGATCCTGGTTCATTGCAACCTCAACAAATGCTAGCAATGATTTGGAGCTGGCCTTTCTGACCAGGAACGACATTGCCTGGGAGGCAAACCGAGCCAAATACGTCTTCTTGCTGGAGTTCATCAGGGGCTCGAGCAGCTTGAAAGTCGGCACCAGGTCTTTAGACAGTTCCTTGGATAGGTATTTGAAGAGATAGGCCAAAGCATTGAACATCCACTCGAGGGAATCTGCATCTGACTGGGTGGTTGCCACTTGAACGAGTGTTTCAAGTGTCTTGGAGTAGTATGGCAAAAAGTCTGAGCCGAGATCATGGCAGAACTGGGTCAAGAGCTCGAGAACCGGTTGCAACGAGAGTTTATCACCCAGAGTCAATGCATCATTGACGTGCTGGAAGATCTGACTCTGGTGGTACAGTAGCTGTGGAAGACTCAAACACAGCGGGTCCAGAACTTCCACAAGTTCTGTGAACGACTTCGAGAGGTTGATTTCTCTCCAGTGGTCTAAGGTAGATAAGAAATGCGAGACTTCGGCTTCATGGAAGGCCTTTTTATCGAGTTTGTGCACCGGATCGATCTGGATCGCATCGATACGGTCCTTGAAGGACGTGTAGACGAATCTTCGACCGGATTCAGTTCCACGTTTCTTGACCATTAGACGGTTTAAAGAAAATCTTTTAAAAGTGAAATATTTCTAAAATTTTTTTTTTTAGTATGAGGTACAGTCTAGGTAAAAAAAATACTTGTAAATTAAATTAATCCTCCTTTTTAAAGAACCCACCGTTTATTTCCTTTTATGTCCGCTTCAGAACGAACAGCGCTGCTTTCAGACAATCCATACGGTTCGATGGCCGGGGAAACGAGTCCGCGACCCGCTTCGAACCTGGGAGAAGGGCCCAAACCTAAGAACGTTGCCAAGGAGCTTGGTCCCAACATTGTGCCTCAAAGAACAAGCAGAACAAGTCAGAAGCTGAAACTGTTGCCCGACCAATTAGATTACACTTCTATCGACTCCAGCGTGGATAAGTCGTACTCTTTACAGAAAATCACAGATAGACCAGCACGTAAGGATGCTGAGCGGTTGGGCAAAAAACACCGGTCGTTGCTTCCGCGAGTCACCGCGTACTGTACGGCTGGTTCGTACAAGATGCGCGATCTGATCCGGTGGCTAAAAGACCGCAAACGGATCCACGGAACAATGCCCAAGTTGTTCGACGAGTGTATCTACACTCCATTTGCATATAAGGACTGGAGAAGCAACAGCAGCAGTTCTGGTAAACGGCCGGACTTTGGCGATAAAAGTTCGGTTGCCACAGAGACTATTCGACTTGACGACGAAGGTGGCGAGATCGATGTTGGCAAGCACTCCACTGATGTGTTTATTTTTGAATACGGAGTGGTTGTTTTATGGGGATTTAACGAGAGAGAGGAGAACGCCTTTTTAGTTGACCTTGCCAAGTTTGAGAACGAAAAGCTTGCTGATGAAGACGTTCAGGCCGAGGAGTTCAACTATTACATCACTCACAGTTACCAGCCGCGGATCTACAACGACTTTATCACCTTAAGAGACGACTCTAACTACATGCTCAAGCTGAGTATTTCGTACGCCATTTCGCAGTCGGTCAAGATCTCGTTGTTTGAAGAGCTGGTCGACAACACCATCGAGGACACCCAAGACATCCCGCAGCAGATTGCCCAAACGGGTAAGGTGGAGATGACCAGAGAAGAAATCATGAAATCTATCGGAGAATTGTTCATTCTACGAATAAACATCAATTTGCACGGGTCTGTGCTGGATTCGCCCGAACTGATGTGGTCGGAGCCCCAGTTGGAGCCGATCTACCAGGCAACTAGAGGATACATGGAGATCAACCAGCGTGTTGCCCTGTTGAACCAACGTCTAGAAGTTATCAGTGATCTGTTGCAGATGCTAAAAGAACAGCTCGGACACTCTAACGACGAGTATTTGGAGTTCATTGTGATCATGTTGATTGGTGCAGAGGTGATTGTGTCGATCATCAACATCATTGTGGACGTCGTTGGACAACGGTAATACAGCTTTACTCAAAATATAGTGAATCACTTACCTAACTAATATACACTGGACTTTGCCTACTCTTACAACTCCTGGGAACCCTTAGCCTTTGGCAGCTTCTTTGGAAGCAAGTCGGAGTGAATGTTTGGCAAGACACCACCCTGGGCGATGGTGACAGAACCCAAGAGCTTGTTAAGCTCCTCATCGTTTCTGATAGCCAGCAACAAGTGTCTTGGAACAATTCTGGTCTTCTTGTTGTCTCTGGCAGCGTTACCAGCCAACTCCAAGATTTCAGCAGCCAAGTACTCCAGAACAGCAGTCAAGTAGACTGGAGCACCGGAACCAACTCTTTGAGCGTAGTTACCCTTTCTGAGCAATCTGTGGATTCTACCAACTGGGAAAGTCAAACCAGCCTTAGAAGATCTGGAGACCGAAGCCTTATCTGCGGAACCTGCTTTACCACCTTTACCACCGGACATTTTGATAATTTAAAAAGATGGAAACACGGGACGGGGGCATTATCTTGTATTTATGTTGGGGAGCACGCATGGAGCGAAAAACTGGTTCCCAGATTTACACGCGCGTTATGCGTAAATTTCAGGATTTGTTTTTAGTTAGGGCACAGTTTTACACAGACACGGGAGTAAAACATATACCGACGCGGTCAACAGTTGGAAACAAACCACCCACAGCTATATAATAACGGTGCATTCGCCCTGTTTGTCCTCTTAGTATTAACTTTATTTTTGAAAATGGCCCCAAAAGCAGAAAAGAAGCCAGCCTCTAAGGCCCCAGCCGAGAAAAAGCCAGCCGGAAAGAAGACCGCTGCCTCTTCCGATGCTAAGAAGAGAACCAAGGCTAGAAAGGAGACCTACTCCTCTTACATCTACAAGGTTTTGAAGCAAACCCACCCAGACACTGGTATCTCCCAGAAGGCTATGTCCATCATGAACTCTTTCGTGAACGACATCTTCGAGAGAATCGCTTCTGAGGCTTCCAAGCTTGCTGCTTACAACAAGAAGTCCACTATTTCCGCTAGAGAGATCCAAACTGCTGTCAGATTGATCTTGCCAGGAGAATTGGCTAAGCACGCTGTTTCCGAGGGTACCAGATCTGTTACCAAGTACACTTCTGCTACCTCTGCTTAGGTACGGTGTATTCAGTAGTAATTGTATATTAGGAATGGAATTTCAAGAGAAGCGAGTAGTTTGTCGTAATGTTTATTTGTTGTTGTGTTTTACGGTCTGTGCAATGGCATACAACAAGTGTCATGTCGTATATTCAATTTTGCAAGGAATTAATTCAATATAATGTAGAAGAAATTAAAAACGTGAAGAAAGGTAGCTACCAAAAGGAGAAGAATTATTTTATCAAAGAGGGGATTAATTTGAGTGGTAATTCACCAATTCACTTCCACCCATCTTCAATCTCCTATGTACTTTATTTCATGCCGCTTGCCCTCCTCTTTATCCGCCTTTTCGATCTCCTCTACAACAATTTCCACTGTCGCGTCTGCTTACATCATCACCATAATACCCTAACGTAGGCTAAAAGATGCAAGCAAGTGGAAAAACTCGCTTTTTACAATTCTTCTCTCCGCCATGGAACATCCCACTCTGTTGAGTCCCAAACCCGCAGCCACCAGGCTCGCGCCTATTTGCGCCATCTTCCTGGCCAAGTTCGACGTTCACACAGGTTACGAATTGGCATGGTTCAGATCTCTCAACGAGACAATATATCCTTCAAAGGGTCTTGAATTCAAGGCCCTTCCTTCCGGACTACATTCAGTTGAAACAGATATTATCTGTTTTGTTCAAGAGAAGCAAGTTGGCCAGCCCACAGACCAAAAACCACTGCTTTACGGAATCTCCGTCTTCAGACAGAACCTGTCTTCCCTTCAGGAAACAAACGGAAGCATTGATAGAAAATCTGTTCAGATGTACTCTCTGGGTGTGGTAATTGACCCGGAACATGTTGGAGTCACATGGAATCCCAAAATCTACTCCTCGTGCTGGAACTACAAAGACCAGCTAAACATGCTTGTTACCAATTACGTTGGCTCAGACAACCAACACGAACAATTACAATACCTGGAACAATTCTGGGAAGTTCAACGTTTCAAAGGGTCCGGAGACTTGAACTCCAAATTCAAAGATATCATGAAAAATGTTAATATAAATAGAAGAAAGTCTATCCAAACGTTGATCAACGACGAAGCGCAAAACAACACCGACACAACTACCAGCGCAGGCAGCGGAACGTCTGCCGGAACATTCGTTGGAGAACCCTCGTTACAAAAAATTGACGATCTGAATGCCGAAAATTTCAATATTGATGATGACCACATGATCAACTCGTTGCTCCCGCTGTTGAGCTCAATGGGCCCGCTCATCTTCCGTCTGTGGAAACTTGCGCTTTTGCGCAAGAAAATCATCCTTTACGCGCCACAGGGTTCGCACCAGTCCATAAGCGGGTTCTCTAAAATCATCTATTGCGTTTCTCTGATCTCGTCTGTTCCCAAAACTTTGAGACAGACGCTGCTCAAATCCGGAGTCACCGACCTGGACGAATTGGCATTCAACGTGCCAATCTATAACGTCTGTGTCAACGACATCGGGTTTCTGAGAAACCGCAAGGCCGGGTTCATTGCATCAACCACGGACCAAATTATTCTGGAGAAAACCGATTTGTACGATTATTCGCTAAGATTCCCCGAGAACGACAGCGAGGAGCCCCAAATCTTCAAAGCCGGATCCTCGGAACCGATCTTGGCGACGTCCAGAGACTTCAACCGCTTCAAGCTCGTTTATGCGAATTTCTTTGATAACGTGCAACCATTGGAAAGCGGCGTCGATGAATTGGAAGTGAAACTCCCTGCTCACGCAAGACTCTCTACCGAACCACTATCAGTTAGAGAAGTTATGTGGAAAGGTCTTTCATGGTGGGCCACGGCAGGAAGCAGCGAGACCCACAAAGTCGAGTTTGAGCTTGAATATGAACTGTTTGACGACGTGGACAAAGACGAGGTTGAACAGGTGGTTTCTCTGCTTGGATATTTCCAGAAATTGACCATCAGATTGTTCACAATGTTGGTTGACATAATAAATAACAGCGAGTCCGAGCATATGAACGAGCATACGGCCGAATCTGACTCGCTGGTGAACCAGTCCTCTCGCGACGAGAGCTTATGGATCGAGCCGCAGGACGTGTATGAAATGGGAATGGATCCTTATAGCAGCACAGACACACAAGTTCTGGTGGATCTTTGTGCTATTTGGTGGGGTAAAGAAGCCAAGATTGGAGGGTACCTTGGGAACTATTGTTGTATTTAGGTCAATCAATTCTTTTTCTGCGCGGCTTCCTTTGCCTGTCTTTGTTTTGCAATCATTCGGCTGTACTCTTTCTTTTTTTCCCATAGGTTGAGCACGTATTGATAAAAGAAGTCGTCTTCTTTCTCAAAAGCTTTGAGAACATTCTGGACGCCCTGCTTGAGCTCCACGTCGTTTCCAGCGAGATTGTGGAGCAGTTTGATGTGCCTGTCGACTGGAGACTCCTTGCGCTGTCTCATGGAGTTCAACACAACCATCAGTGCTGGAGCGGCGGCTTCCAGACTAGAGGCCGGCTGTGGAGCGGATAAGAGGGGTGTTTTAGTGAAATGACGGGAGATGGCGTCCTCTATATCGAACATGTGGTACAGGTTGGAGTACTTGTTGCGAATTTCTGCCGAATTGGACAGGAAACCCAGCTTGTTGACATTGACGTTGTAGTACCCCTTTCTTAAAACAAGCATGTGGAGATCGTCTAGCATGCGGAATATGTGCGACTTTTCGTCGAATTTCTGCACACGGGCCAGCATTTTGGCCTGTTGCACTTCGTTGGCGGCGGCTAGCGACGAGGCAAACCGTCTTGGCGCTAAAAATAATGTTCGAGGCAATCTCATCTGTATAGATCTCAGGAGAGTGGCAAATCAGAAGTTGAGCTGTTGTAAATACTGGAGCACAGCCGTAAAAAAGTTGCGTGAATCAGTTTTTAGCCATTATTTATTATCGGAAGAGTGCAAAGGAATGACAGGCACCCTAATTTTGGTCCGCCATGGACAATCGCTCTGGAACAAGGACAACTTGTTCTGTGGATGGGTGGACATCAAGCTGAGCGAGACCGGGCGTGAGCAGGCGCGGCACTCGTCGCGGCTGATTTCTGAGTCCGGATACGTGCAACCCGACGTCTGTTTCACGTCGAGACTGTCGCGGGCCATCGAGACGGCCAACATCATCTTGGAGGAGATGGATGTTCAATATGTGGACGTTTTCAAGACCTGGCGGCTCAACGAGAGACATTACGGTAAGCTTCAGGGAGAATCCAAGGGCCATATATTAGAGACTTACGGGGAGGAAAAGTACCAGTTTTGGCGGCGTGCGTACGACGGGTGTCCTCCGTTATCTGAGAAGGGCGATAAATACTACTCGATCGACGACAGAAGGTATTTGGACACTCCAGAGTCCGAGCTACCACGCGGAGAGTCTTTACGCATGACACTTCAGAGATTGCTCCCATTCTACACCAGCGAGGTTGACCCACGTTTGAAGAAGGACCAAACCGTTCTCATTGTCACGCACGGCTCGATTGTTCGTGCGTTGGTGAAATATTTATACGAGATCAGTGACGAAGCTATCAGCAAGGTGAACATCCCGAACGGGATCCCGATCGCCATCAAGCTCGACGCCGATCTGAAACCCCTAACAAGCGAGTTTGAGTACTTGGACCCGGAAAGAGCCAAAATCGAGGCCGCCAAGGTCGCTCGCCAAGGATATGAAACAAACTCAAACACTAAATAATTTACGATAGATCAAAAAACTTCGCTCGCGCACTTTGTTCTGCTTTCCAACCATGTTTCCCCAATAATCTATACAAATGTCCACAGATCTAGTGATAAAGTGTACCGAACAGCAACATAAAGCCATCCTGAGCGAATTCGAGCCAGACACGGTTCTGGGGATCAGCGCAGGTCCAGGGTCGGGGAAAACACGAACCATAGCGAGTCGAATCGCATACATCTTGAGCGAACAGTCGCCGCACGATATTCGGCCCAACGAGATCGCCGTGCTCAGTCTGACCAACCGGTCCGTCAACGATATCCGGTCGCGACTCCAACTCGTGCTGGGCCCAATGGCCCTACAAATCCCCGTCATGACCTTCCACTCGTTTGCTGGTAAAGTCGTGGGCTCGACGTGTCTGGACTACCAGGTGCTTGACGACGACGACCTCAAACGACTCGCCAAGCTGGTGTTCCCTGAACGCAAGTCGCTGTCCACTTTGGAGCTGCGCACCTTGCTGAAAGATATGCGTCGATCGACCACTAAAGTCGAGACACCCAGCATCCTGGAGATGTTTGGCGAGAAACAGATTTATACCCACGACGACCTGTTGGAAGAGTGTGTCAGGCTTATAGAGGACCCGATCAAGATCCCCAAGTTCGCAGAGAGTTTCCGTGTGGTTATCGTGGACGAGTTCCAGGATATCTACCCGGCAGTGATGGATATGGTGCTTTCCATGAGCAAAGGACGGCATCTGACTCTTGCGGGCGACCCGAACCAGTCCATCTACGGGTTTCTGGGAGCATCTTACGATACAAACTGGGAGAAACTGGTTAAATACCGGCCAAGTCACAAAATTGTCCGACTCAACAAGTCTTTCAGATCGACTCCTGAGGTTTTGCAGTTTGCGTCCCAAATTCTCGGGCCAAACATGCCAGAACACACAAGTGTCAAGGATTCGTGTCAGGTTCCATCATACAGACTGTCCTTTACGTCTCAGGCCCACGAACATCAGTTCATCCACGACGAGGTCTCCCGTTTGGTTGACCGTTCGAATGGACTTATCAAGCCGTCAGATGTGGCCATATTAAGCTACACCAACAGGGAGATCGACACGGCAATCAACTACTTTGAAAAACGAAACACGTTTGGACATTACCGGCTAAATAACAGTCCACGGTGGATCCAGAGCCCTGTTTCTTTTGTGATGCAGTATGTTCGCACACTGGTTGATCCGTCCAACAACTTCTCGTTGCTATGGTCGCTCTCAAACATCCAGGGAGTTGGAGAGTCTACTCTTCGTAAACTAGCTCTTTTGGCGACCGCTAACGAGACCTCCGTTTACGACTATCTTTTAGAGTCTGGATACCCGAAACCAAAGAAGATGGAGGAGTTGGCACAATACGCAAATCTTATACGGGAAAGCCGATTGAACCTGGACCAGAACGATCCAGACGATATTGTTGTGACTCTGTTGGAGCTTGGAAAGAAATTGGGGCTCGACAAAATGCTCAACATCAAAGGATTGACAAACGACCAACTCTCTGCATACAGAGCTCATTTCCACACGATTTACGAAACTCTTCAACGAGCCATACCACTTGCATCGTCTAACCATACCGTGCTTTCCTACTTCATGGAAAACTACAACAGCGACGCTCTAGTTTCCAGTAGCAACATCAAAACTTCGAACGACAACGAGGTCAATTTCTCCACTATACACACGGCCAAGGGCCTCGAGTTCCCGATAGTTTTCGTTCTATCAGGGAACAACTCGTTCAAAATGAACAAAATCCAGCGTCGGATTGTCTATGTTGGCATGACAAGGGCGTCTTCCTTACTTTATTTCAACAAGTTGACCAACCAGTTTGTGGAAGGAATTGACAATTCGACAAATCCGAATTTCTCAACCAAACCACCAAATTGGACGCCCAATACGATCACAAGACTTCTGGGAGACATGAAGCGTAGACCGGCTCAAAGTGTTGGACAAGTTTCTTCTAAAATAGCGCGTGCTATTCTATAGCCTCATTTTTTGAACGTTTGATGCGTCAGTATATGTTTGATGTTAGCCTTGAATGGACCGTTATTTAGGAACCCGATATCCACGTCGTCTACTGATCCTGCCAGCTTGGCAAGAGCAGGATACATCTTGGCTGCACCTTGAGATAGAACCAACACCTCTGTTGGTTTCTTCAGGCCCAAAGCTTGTTGAAGTCTTTGATTTGTACTTTTAGGTAGCTGTATTAATTTGACGGCCGAATAACGACTAAGTACCGGGAAATGTTGGAACAGAAGCGGAGTTGTCATATCGATCTTGCAAACAAACAGATATTGCAGTGCAGTGTCCTGTTGCGGGTCGAATTTGTCAGCTCGTATTAGTTTGGCCTGGTTTTCCAGCGCTTTCATGCAATTATTGAACCCGTAAAGAACGTATTGGGAGATTTCTGGCTCCTTAAGACTCATTTTCGTTCTCTCAGAAGCAGAAAGCTGGTTATAAGTGCCGATTTCCCTGAGTGCTGAACACAGAAGATCAACCACATCTGTTTGAAGTTCCGGGCTCACAGCAGGCCAGATGTTTCTCTGAGAAAACGGATGTGCCAGAACGGTCTTGAAAACCTGTTTCTTTCTAGCCTCTGTCTGCTTGAGCGAGTTGGAGGCCGGCTTTGCAGGTTTCTGTACTTTACTCTGTTTCTTCATACTTTTAGATTATTTTTACACAGATTTTAACACCCTTGCACCCAGACATCTATCAGTATTCTTTAGCATGAGTAGGAGGAGGACCTGGAGGCGGAGCGTAATTTCCAGTGGAAGATGTACTAGAAGGCTGGGGGTTGGCGCTAGGGTAGGCCTGAGGGCTGTTTTCTGGGCGAGCGTGCGCCTGCTCAGGCTGACTGAGAGGTTCAGCGTTGCCAGTAGTGTTACCTGCAGCGTTGCTGTTGCCCTGGGTCGACGCCGTTCCCGTTCCCTGGTTGTCGAATGGATTTGTAGAGGTCGCAGTGCCGTCAGTCTTGGAGTATGGGATGAAATTGCCATTGGAGTCGTAATATCCGATGTCTTGATTCGGGTTCGGCTGGGCAGTGTATGTAGGTAACTGCACCCCATTGTTTTCGTGGCGATTACGCTCGGACTGGTAGTAGCTTGGAGGAGCCAAGTACTGCGAAATAATAGGAGTTCTTCCCCGTCTGATTCTGCGGACATTAAGCAAACATGTAAAAACGAAAAAAATCACAATCACAGCAGCAAGAAAAGCGAAAAATGCATATCTTGACCCATCATTAGAATATGACCAGTATCTTTTGGCCAAATCGACCGATTGACCTTGTAACATGATGGCAAAGTTGAATTAGAGGAGAAACTTTTGCCTTATAAACCACAGATAATAAATTTTGCTACTGCAATTCCGTCGCGACGATCTTTTTCCTGGGTTGCAGATTATATGGAATTGGCAACCAACCAATTAATTAGCGTAAATTGTATGAATGGGCTTGAACAGGAACCGTTAAAATATTGGATTCTCGATGAGGCTCAATGCCCTGTATATATTCTGGGACGATATCAGGAACAATCAGTATTTCGTCATAAAATTTCATCGTGGAAGGGTCTAAAAACTGCGCCACTCGAACCTGGCGCAGACGGCCCTTATAGTCACGATAGCATTTCGTCGTTTTCAACTCCGGAACAGAATACGAGGACTTAATTCCGGTATACGGGGCGGGTATTTCAGCCAATTGTGTTTCTGAGTATGAGGGGGGCAAGTCGGGCTCCGTTTGAGATTGACGGAGTTCGTTTTGCGTTGGCACCGTGAATAAAGGTAGCACCAGCCTCTGGTAGCTTTGCACTCCCCAATACACAGCCAGGAGCAATATTAGAGCGAATGTAAAACAGCACAAAATTGCCACAGCAATCATACCTGAAACCAAGTGAATACGCACTAGTCTCTCTCATCGGGCACTCTTGCTGCCTTTTAAGGACCCTCACTAGAACAGACAATTTGCACTAGTGTCGTCATCTTTTTTCTTTCCACACACCCGTACACCACCTCTCGCATTTTTTTTCCCCATGGGCCCACAATTAGGCTACAGGGTGATTTCATTTGTTCTCTAATTATTGTTTCATCTATGGAAACCAGAGTGATTACTATCTCGCCAGAACTGAGTTCTGTGTAAGAAAAACCCAACTTTTCCTTGTTTTTCGTCTCTAACATTGAGTCCCCAAATCAAAGAACGTATATGGAGCATCTTATCTCTTGTTGATAATGGGTTTCGCAAGGGAGAGGCCATTTGTCTTGTTTTGAAGAAACAGAAAGACTGTCTCAAACGTAAAAGTGATTCTGACCAATGCATTCCCACAATGATCTCCAGTGTTACTGAAATCAGATTCCCCTCGTTGGATCCCGAAACCAACCTCAAATTTGTTTGTTATTTGAAAGTGCTCCGACTACTGTTTGATCAGCTCTCTGCCAACTCGTTTGTGTCAAAACGTCAAATATACTATCGCGATGTGACTCTGTTTAAAAAACAGGCCGTGATCAACCAGTGCATTGACGACTATGCGTGCTCGTTTGGAGTTTCCATCGAAAGTTTGGGGGTGGTTGCAGCACAAAAGGGCATAATTTTTGGGGATCTTAAATTTTATTATAAAGATAGATTGGTCAGTATCGAGAAAACCGAAGGGTCTGCACTCTTGCCGCTGATTTCACTCAACTCGAACCACGAAGACTTTTCATTTCTGTCTCCTGCCCCAGAAGAAATAGTGGTGGTGGAAAAAGAGTCTGTTTTCGCCAAACTGTGTGATAACGAGAAGGATTCAAACAAAATATTCATCACAGCTAAAGGATTCCCGGATAGGCTCACCAAGAGGTTCTTGTACCATCTGACCCAACACTATCCGTCATCCAGAGTTTCTGCTCTTGTGGATAGCGATGTTTACGGACTGATGATCCTCAAGGAGTACAAATATACTCCGGCAATCAAAATCACACAATCTACAGATATCACCATCAAGCAGGAGACAGAATGGGCCAACAAATCGTCCCCCCTGATTGACGAAACAGGGAAACTACAAACTTGTTGGTACGTTGCCCCATGTTCAAGACTAAAGTATAAGGGAACGTTCTTGTTCGACAAACAAAACCAGTTGGGACATCTCGATCTTATACAACGGGATTTTAACAGTATGCGGACTTTCCTGCGTACATTGATAAACCTACAGGAAGTTTCTCCGGATAATGAGCTGGCAAAAGTGGTTCGAGAAGTACAGATTGGGATGTTTTTCCTTAAAAAACGCGAGATGGATTAGAAAAAGTGGTGTGAGGAGTGTCTCGGAGTTGTTCGAGTCGGATTAATTATTGGGTCATGAGCCGCGCCAAAGCAGGGATTTTTTAATTACTCCGCTCGAAACAGACCATACATTACTCCTCAATTTGGAAAAAGAAATGCAAACAAACGGTCGTAAAGATATATGGTCGTCTGGGAGGGGTTTTCTCGACCGAAACTTCTATTTCTGTTTAGAATACTAATCTTCCGGGATGATGAACGAGTTGACTGCTGGATTTGCAACTACTAGGACGCAGTCTACATCTTCTATCGCAACGATACACACGGCCGCCACAACTCCGGAGTTCTTTCCGAGCTTGGTTGAGCTAGAGGTTGGAAATCTGTTACACGTTAATGGGTTCTCTCTAGACCACCAAGAAGTTGAAGATCCTGGCACGGAGTCCGCTAGCACAGAGTCGGTGACTGACACATTGGATTTCGAGCGCGAAAAGTGGGCCATCTGTTTGGTGGGTCTGCCTGCGAGCGGGAAGTCGACAGTGGCGAAGCACCTCGAGACTTACGTGAACAACTTTAAACACGCCGATATTCGGTTTGGCGTGTTCAACGCGGGGAACGTGAGAAGAAGGTATGAGAAGAAGCTGACCAACAAGTTCGATTTTGATTTTACAAAAAGCGACACTCAGCGACTAAGAGAATTATATGCATTTGAGGCTCTACACGAACTCACTAGCAGTCTTGTGAGCGACAAGATTGATGTGGGTGTGTTTGACGCCACCAACACCACCAGGGAAAGACGTCAGAAAGTTGTCGAAAAGATTAGAGAGGCAGCGGACGACGCCAAGGTGGCTATAAACATTGTGATTCTGGAGGTTTGTTGCCACAACATCTCTCTTAGAAGATACAATATCGAAAGAAAGACGACCAACACGGATTACTATGGACTTCCACGCGAGGAAGCCATCGTTGATTTTTTAAGAAGGGTGGAGCGATACGAAAAGGTTTACGAGAATATCACTGTGGATGAAATCAATGAGTTGGACGTGAAATTTTTTAGCATGGCGAACGTTGGCGAATCGTTCAGTTACAACTGCGGATTGCAACTGAGACGTAATAAGGAAATACAATTGGGAAGTTTGTTTTTACACCAGATTTATGATTTTTTGCTATACTACAGAACCAATTTTGGGCAGACTTATCTTTGCGAGGTTGAACAGTTTTATAAAAAGGGATACAAACCCATCAGACAAGCGTCAACCGTGGCTGATAGCACTGTATATAACGTATAGAATGGAAACTTTTGATTATCTATTTGTCATTCCAGGAATACTTGGAAGAGAGCTAACCCCTTGTAGTCCAGGCAACCCAGGCAATCCTGGAAGACCAGGCAAGCCAGATGGAGGAGGAGGCGGTTGGAATCTGTTTTCCGGCTCTCTTCCGTTCTGGTCCATGGAGAACGGCTGTTTTTCGGCCCAGGATTCTCCTGTGTATGCGTTGTCTTGGAAAGCAAGAGGATCGTTTGGTCTGGAACGACACCAGAACCGCATCGACTTGTCTGCGCCTGCCGTGCAAAGAACGTGGCCGAGCGGGTGGTACTGGAGGTCGTGAATGGCTTTGTCGTGGGCGTATGGTATACGGTGCAGAGGAGAGGTGGTGGTGGCAGGCTGTTTTTCTCTGTTGAAGACGAGGTCCTGGTTCAGTTCTTTGGACAGATCGTAGGAGGACAAAGACCCGTCGTATCCTCCAATAGTGAGCGAGGCTGAATGAACCGGATGCCATGTGACAGAGGTGAGGTCGACGTCATCTGTGGATCTGATGACGTTGATAGTTTTCATGAGTCTAATGTCAAAGATTCTTGTGGAATGGTCTCTGGAACAGGCAGCCAGGAGTCTTTGGTTTCCGTTGGGCTGGAACCTAACTTTGGTGACAGTATGTTTGAAGTCGTGAACGGTGGAGATACACTTTCCGTCTCGAGGGTCCCAGAACTTGACCAGATTATCTTTTGATCCGCTTACTATAAGGCCGAGGTTTGGGTGCCAGTCGCAGGCCTTAACGTCCCAATGGTGACCCTTCAAAGTTCTTTCTTCGGTAGCGGTGTTGAAGTTCCAGATCTTGAGCGTGAGGTCGTCGGAACAGCTAACAAACTTGGAGTCGTTTGGAGAAAACACAATGTCCTGAATAGCGTTGTCATGGGCCTTTGGAAGAATATTAACGTTGTTGAAATTTGGCTGCCAGAACTTGACGCATCCAATCTGGTCTGCGCTCAAAAGCCAGTCGCCGTTGTGGCTGTACTGAAGAGCGAAAATGGGCGAATCATGGGCCTGCATGATGGACTCGAAGTTGAATGTCAAACCGTTCCAAATGGTGAATTCTCCAGAATGGGACGAGATGAGCACTCTGCGCGCGTCGGGCGTCCATTTGAGGGCGTGAATCGCATGTTTCGACTTGTTGGTCGAGACATGGACAAACTTGGTGGCCAGATCCACCACCACCGGCTGTTCTGGGTGGGGAGGCAAGAGCTGTGTGAGATACGACATTTCAGGACGCACTTTGCCCAACGGCTGACGTCCACGGCGATTGAGCACATTTTTTTGCACCATGTACCGTCCAAGCGGCGCAAAGTAGTCGACCGTCCGTCGGTGCTGCAGTTTCTTCTCGGCGTCGTCCTCTTTTCTCGGGAACATTGCAAACAAGCAGGAAAATAAATCTCAACTTTTTTTTTCCTTGGTGTAGAGATGAAAGGGGGGGGTGGTGAAATCCAAGTTTATCTTTTTGTCATTATCGTTGGTAAGAAGAGCACTACAAATCGGCTCTTTCCAAAGTCTGTTCATCTTCGCGCTCGCGTCATTTTCATCTATACATCCAAGTCATTATGACAGACTCCTTGCGCGGTCCTGCCCAGTCGATAAGCTCGCTGGAACCGCTTCTTGTGGAGTCCAACAAGTTCCGCAGACAGTCGCGCAGCAGTGCCGGGCTGGTTCCGGAAATGCGCAGTCTGCGCAGCATGCACGAGTACTCGTTCTCTTATGTTAAGATCGTGTTTGTTGTTGTTTTGTTTGTCACGTCGTTGATCTCGTTTGTCACCCAGACAGAAACCACCGCATACCTCTACACAGAGCTCAAGTTTAGCGAGCCGATTCTTTTGTTGCTGATCACCCATGGATCCTGGTGGCTGCTGTGGCCGCTGCAGTTCTCGGGAATCGCGCTCTACAAAACATTCAGACGGTATCTGCGTCACAAAAACGGCTACATAGATCCTCACGGTAAGAAATGGAAAGGTTTCAGAAGAGCGTTCACCAGCTCTGTTAAGACCCAGCACAAGAACATTTTCCATAGTGCCGAGCTCACAATCCGCATGAATCGCAAAGATTACGAAAAAGAGTTCGGTTCCAAGAGCTTTAAGCATTTCCCGCAGTTTTTCAAAAGCCAGGCTATCAAATACATCTTCAAATCCACACTGATTCTGTCTGTGATTTTGAACGCGGCCGGAATCACCTGGTACATAGCCATGGGGATGTCTACGGGATCTGATGTGACGGCCATCTACAACTGCAGCGCGTTCACAGCGTACATGTTTGCTATTCCTATTCTGGGAGAAAAATTGTCGCTTGTTAAGCTTAGCTCTGTGGTGACTGCCATCGCGGGAGTGATGGTCGTGGCGTATTCGGGAAAGAACCAGAACCTCGGAACGTACCCCCACCGGTTACAGGGAGACGTGATCATCCTGATGGGTGCGATTTTGTACGGTCTTTACGAGGTGCTGTACAAAAAAATGTGCTGTCCACCGTCGAACGAGGTGAGCGCAAGACGCCAGGCCACGTTCTCGAACTTTTCAATGTGCCTGATCGGCATCAACACCGTGTTTGTGGTGATCGTGCCGATGGCGGTGGTGCAGATTCTGGGCTGGCACAGGTTCCAGTTCCCAACGTCCAGCAAACAGTGGCTGTACATCTTCCTGTCAACGTTCTCGAACCTGATCTTCAGCGTCTCGTTTCTGGCCTTGATGGCGCTCACGTCGCCGGTGTTCTCGTCGGTGGCCTCGCTCGTGACGATCCTGATCGTTGGTCTCGTGGAATGGTTCCTGTGGGGAATAGCCATCAGTGTGTCGCAGATGCTTGGATACCTGCTCGTTGTGGCGGGCTTTGGCCTGCTCACCTACGCCTCATGGAGCGAGATCAGCGAGGAGGATACCGCGGACGAGCTCATCGACACAGACACAGAGTCTGTCGTGAGCACCAACTAGAGACACTTCTCCGCTTATGTAATATTTTTTACACCCAAAATTCCGCACACCATAGATTTATTTTCTGTTGTAGAAAATTAGGAAAAAATCGACATGAGCGAGCTTATCGATAGCACTGAAAAACTGGCGATCGGATCGACCGAACAGACCGAACAGAAGATCACTCCATGGGAGGTCGAGGGAGCCGTTGTGGACGGCCAGGCCGTCGGCATCGATTACGAGAAACTGATCTCCCAATTTGGTACCAAAAGAATTACCCAGGAGACTCTGGAGAGATTCACACAGGTGACCGGCCACCAGCCACACCATTTCCTCAAGAAAGGCTTGTTCTTTTCTGAAAGAGACTTTAACAGAATCCTGGACCTGTACGAGCACGGCGAACCGTTTTTCTTGTACACCGGCCGTGGTCCTTCTTCCGACTCGATGCACCTGGGTCACATGATCCCGTTCACGTTCACCAAGTGGTTGCAGGACGTTTTTGACGTTCCGCTCGTTATTGAACTCACGGACGACGAGAAGTTCTTGTTCAAGCCTAAACTCACTATTGAGGACGTTAAGAAGTTCGCCAAGGATAACACCAAGGATATCATTGCTGTTGGGTTCAACCCAGAAAACACCTTTATTTTCTCCGATCTCGAGTACATGAACTCTGCCTTCTACGAAACGGTTGTGCGTGTGTCTAGACAGATCACCACTTCCACTGCTAGAGCCGTGTTTGGGTTCCAGGACTCGGACTGTATTGGAAAGTTGCACTTTGCTTCAGTCCAGATTGCTACCGCCTTCCCTTCTTCGTTCCCTGAGGTGTTGGGATTGCCTCCAAAAACCCCATGTTTAATTCCTTGCGCTATCGATCAAGACCCATATTTCAGAGTGTGCAGAGATGTGGCCGACAAGCTCAAGTTCAGCAAGCCTTCGTTGATCCACTCCCAGTTCTTCCCTGCTTTGCAAGGTCCAACCACCAAGATGAGTGCTTCTGACGAAAACAGTGCCATTTTCATGACAGACACCCCTAAACAGATCCAGAAGAAGGTCAACAAGTACGCCTTCAGTGGAGGAAAGGTCAGCATCGAGGAACACAGAAAGTACGGCGGTGACCCTGACGTTGACGTTGCATACCAGTATTTGAGCTATCTTAGCGAAGACGACGAGATGCTCGCGGATGTGGCGGAGAAATACCGCTCTGGTGAGCTGCTTTCCGGTGAGATGAAGAAGTTGTGCATAGACGTGTTGCAGAAGTTTGTCAAAGACTTCCAAGAAAGACGTGCCTTGGTCACCGAAGACGTGGTTGCTTCTTTCATGAAGCCTCACAAGCTGGTTTCCGGAACCAAGCAAAGACTTGTTCCTGCCAAAGAGAGACCAAAGAAGAAATAAGAGCCTAGGTTGTTTAATTACATGTTCTATATTCCTTGCAGATATGCTATGGAGCCGTCCAGATCCTGTCTCATTTGGGCGAACGTCTGGCTGATGGAGTTCTCGGTAACTTTGAACGGCTTGCCTGTAGTTTTGAAAAACGATTGGACCTGTTTTTTAGTGTCTTCAAGCTGTTTTCTGGCCAACGACTTGAACTCTCTGTTTTCGTTGCGAAACGTGGTCAGCAACGACTTGAGTTTGTTGGTGTTCTGTTGCAGGAACACCATCTGCTTGTAAGTGTCCACCACAACGGTGAAGTAGTAGTTGAACTCAGATAGAAGCATGGACTGAGGTTTTGGTGGCAGTTCCAATGCTGGACTGCCATGAAGATACTCCAACAACACTGAATAGCTCCATTTATCTATCGGCGACAGTTCAAGCTCGTTGTAAAGGTCTGTGAGCTCCTTGACTCTCGACTGGTGATGTTTCGAGAGAGAGTCGTAAATGATGAGCTCTCTGAGCACCATCAGTTGCAAGTGTTTTGTGGAATAGTAGCCTGGCAGCTTGTCTTCAATTTTGTCTATCCGTTCGTGGACTCCACAATCCCAAAACGTTTTGAAGTCTCTGTTGTCACTAACCAGTTGTTTTTGGTACGAGCGCAAAATTACCACCTGTTTGTCCACCTGTTTCTGGTCGTCCTTGATTCTGTACGCTCTCAACAGCTCCAGAGATGTGGTGAATTTTGCGAATGAGTTTGTGAGTCTAGACTGGAACTCGATGAACCCTTGCAGCTTATTCATAGCCTTGCTTTGGAAGCCGGCAATGATCATGGCTGGAACTTCTCTCTCAACGTTCTGCGGATAAAACTGCGAAACTGTCTCCAGCAAACCAGGAGCAATTGCACGTCTGGTGCTGATGTAGTGCGACAAAGTGTCATGCTGGACAAACTTGATTTTCAGCGATTTGTAGAGAGTATCCGCTGCTGATTGCAGGTTGGCAATAGTGTAGAGTCTGATAAGCCACAGCTTGAGATGGAACTCGTATTTGTTTCTTGAGAGAGCGTCTTCCAGAAGCACAATCAAGGAATACACCAGTTTGAGGTCGAACTCAGATTGTTCTAGGATAGTCTCAACAGCCAGGATCAAAAACTCGAAACCAGGGAAGTAGTCAAAGTCTTCCAGAATGTCCAAATGGAAGTTTGTAAGCGAGTACAGCCGACAACACTCGGCAACAAAGTGATCATCTCGTGAATCGAGCGCTTTGAACTTCATATAGTTGACCAGGAAGATCACGTCTGCCGAGGTCGGCTTGGTTGTGTTTAGAAGCTGGTCGAACTTGCGCTGGAGATATTGCTGTTCTCTGAGCTCAGGACTCAGGACCGACTTGAGGTCGGTAAAACAGCAGAGCTTGGTCCCGAACGACTCTAAGTACTGCTCAACCGAGCCAGACTCATTCAGCTCGATGGCCGCCAGCTTGGTGTTTCGCGAGGAGTAAGTTTTGACCAATTCTCTGCATTCGTCGAGCTGTTCTGTTGCCTTTGCGGCCTGAATCAGCAGTTTCCAAGTGTCCCAATCGTCCTCCTTCAGTTCAATAAGGTATCGTTTGCACACGTCGTATAGTTTTGCGGAATGTCCTTGATCCTTTAAAGTGTCGAGGTAAATGATCTTGAGCTCCAGATCGTTTTCTTTCTCCAGGAACTTCTCCATTTCGGCCAAACTGTCGTCGTGCCGGCCAGAAAGCTGCAAAAGTCTCACGTAAACGTAGACTTTCTGCGCATCGTCCAATCCGACCTGCTCCATGAGTCTCAGACCCAGCTGTGGATAGAGCTTAAGGAACGAAGGAGCCAGAATGGTGCAACGACAAACAAGCATCAAACACACGGCTGCCCAAAACTTGAACAGTTGCGGGTCAACTGTTTGTTTGGACGACGAGATCGCCCGCGTCAACAGCATTGAAGATTTCTGCATACCCAAAACGTCTCCCCTGGTTACACTGTAGGAGAAGTACTCGTAAACGAGGTCTGCTGTTGGGTACTTCTTGCACACCTTATCAAAAACGTCCTGTGGAGCCTCGCAGATCTCAAATGTCTCAGACAACAGTTTCAAGGTATCTGGATCACTGGGGAACTTGGACAACAGATCATTGGCTTTTGTTTCAGCTTCCTGTCGTTTGCCAGATAGAGCCAATATATGAGCCTCAAGAGCATAGAAATAGGAACTGTTAGGATACTTTTGGATTTTCTTGGCAACGAGAGTCAACGCGTTGCGGAAATTCCCAAATTGAACGGCCGACTGGATGGCCGAATCTTTATACATGAAATATTTTGGAACAACTTTTTTTTTTCAACTCTTCATCTATTTAGATTGAGGACCACGGTAGATGTGGAATGGGGATGCCTGGTTGTTACCGAAGATCAAAGTCTCGGCAAGAACGGTATTCTCCTTTCTTGTAGCAGCAAAAACAATGAGTTCGGCAATGTCCTCGGCGTACAATGGCTCGGTGTCCTTGTACACAGAAGCAGCTCTTTCCTTGTCACCCTTGAATCTGACCAAGGAGAACTCGTCGGTAGCAACGTTACCTGGCTCGACCTCGATGACTCTAATCTTGGTGCTGATAAGCTCTTTTCTTAAAGCACCGGTGAAAAAGTTGAGTGCAGACTTTGTAGCACAGTAAATACTTCCACCAGGGTATGGCTCTCTGCCAGCAACCGAGCCCAACTGGATGATATCTCCCTTGTTACGCTTCTTCATCTGCTGAACAACCAATTGGGTCAATTGGATCATTCCCAGAACGTTGGTGTCGAACATCTCCTTAACGTCAACAGGATCAACAGACCCAACCGGATCCAATCCCAAAGCCTTACCAGCATTGTTCACCAGAACATCGATCTCGGCAAAGTCGGAAGGCAGACTTTTCAAAAATGGAGAGATCTGGTCAATTTTCGAAACGTCCAACGATGCAATGAAAACTTGGATCGATGGGTACGATTTCAGAAGCTCCTCCTTAAGAGCCTTGAGCTTATCCTCTCTACGAGCAGTCAGCACCAGCTTGATGTTACCGGCACCAGCCTCGGCGAAATACTTGGCTGTGCTGTAGCCGATACCTGTGGAAGCTCCTGTGATGAGGATGTTTTTACCTGCCAATCTTTCTGCGATTTTGCCAAACATAGTGAACAAAAGATGAAAGTAATTTATCGAGCTCTTATCGATTTTGGTCACCGGCTCGGGGCTCGTTTTCCTTGCCGTGCACGGGTGTGTCGGTTTTCCCAAAAGGGGGGCCTTTTTTTTGGGAAACTAAGGTGCGAATTATCCAACACTCGCACCAACTAAGTCGTTGCACCGATTCCGCGGATCTCACAGCACAGCAAACACAAGCCGCACTAACCAGATCACAATCACTAATGTACGGTTCTGCAAAACGATAAGCGAAATGTGGTGTGATTTTCAAAACCCTTATAGAGATTACGCACAGAATGCAACCGGACTCGGTGCACCGACTGGAGCACAATTAATTTATTCTAATTACGGTGCACCAGATAGCAAATAATAAACCGTATCTTGTTTAGCAACAATACTGGTACCTCTACTCGGCGGATCGAGCTTCCCGCAACTACCGTTCCACAAAGAACTCTTTGTGAAAGCAAGCAAGGGGACTATGAAACGCTGACGTAATCTTTCGGAACTCTCCGAGACCCGGCAGAACGAGTCGTTAGTTTGCTTATTGTTAAACGTTCCTTGCTTCGAACTATATAAATACCGCACACTTTATCAGTTGTTGGAATCAAGATGGTTGAATTGCAAACATCCACCTACGGAAAGGACAACGTCAAGTTTCTCAAGGTCAAAAAAGACCCTTCTAACCCTAATGTCCATCAAGTGATGGAGGCCACTGTCAAAATTTTGCTTGTGGGCAACTTTGACATTGCCTACACGGAGGCTGACAACTCCCCCATCGTGCCTACCGACACCGTCAAGAACACCATTTTGGTCGAGGCCAAGAAGTTCGACGTGTTCCCGATCGAGGCCTTCATTGCGCACCTTGGGCTTCACTTCATCAAGAAGTACTCGCATGTGAGCGGTATTGATATCGAGATCTCCCAGCACAGATGGTCCAAATACCTTGTTGACGGCAAGTTGCACGACCACTCGTACTTGAAGGATGGTGAGGAGCTCAGAACTGCCTCTCTCAAGTACAAGCGTTCCGGGGAGTATGTTTTGAAATCCGGAATTAAGGATTTGACTGTTTTGAAGTCCACGGGATCCATGTTCTACGGATTCCACCAGTGCGACTACACCACTTTGAAGCCTGCCACCGACAGAATCTTGTCGACAGACGTCGACTCTGTCTGGGAATGGGATTCGAAGAAAATCGGTGCATTGTCTAATGTCATTTCTCAGGCAAGAGCTGGACTCTTCGATTCTGCGTACGAAGCTGCCAGAGAAACTACTTTGAAACTCTTTGCTTTGGAGAAGTCCGCCTCTGTTCAGGCCACCATGTACAACATGTGCGAGGAGATTCTGAAACAGGTCCCATTCATTGCTACTGTTTCCTACTCGTTGCCAAACAAGCACTACTTCCTGATCGATTTTAGCTGGAAGGGACTCGAGAACGACAACGAGTTGTTCTACCCATCCCCACATCCAAATGGATTGATCAAGTGCACGGTTGGCAGAGAAAAGAAGGCCAAGTTTTAAAGTTCTGAATGAGCAAAGGTTTTAGGAGCATATATTGCTATTTATTAAAGAATTAATATTGCAACCATCAAAGTAGAAACTATGGAAAAAAAGATATCCAATAGTTCACAGTTGATTTTATTGGAAAAAAAATAATTTTGAACATGTTTGCTTCGAGATTGGGAATAAGGGCCGGAATGAGAAACGCATTCCGGTTGAAATTCCGGCCAATTCGTTTCAACTCCACCAACACAAACACTTCCAAGAAGCCAACGGGAATCAAGCTGTTGATGCAGGAGTATGGTTATTCAGCCTTGGGAGTCTACTTTGGACTCAGTTGTATCGACTTGCCAATCATGTTTTTGGTGGTCCATTCGGCCGGAGAAGAAAAGATAGAAGAGTACCAGGACAGATTTCTGAGATGGATCGGGTGGCGTAAGGGCGAACCGCAACCTCCCAATCCCGACGCCGAGCCAGAAAACAGCTCAGATTCCAAATACTCAACACTGTGGACAGAGTTTGCAGTCGCTTACGCTTTGCACAAATCGCTTATTTTCATCCGACTACCAATCACTGCGGCCATCACTCCAACAGTCGTTTCCAAACTGCGTAAATTGGGTTTCAATGTCGGAAAGATCCCCAGCGCCGCAAGACAAAGCGTTGGCGAACAAGGCATTCGCAAAACTCTTACCGCGGACGGCGTGAAAAACATGGCCAAAAACATCAACGCCGATCCTGCGGCGCTCAACCCGAAGTTTGGCAAGTCTGCATCCAAGGGCCAGAGATGGTTCTTTTAGCTGTACATAGATATATTAATGGCTTACCGGAACTCGGAGTAGTACTTTTCTTCACGGAACCGTTTTTCCACAAGCTCAAGAACGGCTGGCGGGTAAACCGTCTCCAAAGACTCTCCTCCAAGAAGAACACGGTCCTCGTGGACTTTTTGTTCCTCCTTGGTCATGATCACCACGTTTTGGAGCGACAATGGTTCTTCTCTTTTCCATCTGGAAAGTGCCAATCTCGTGGAAAACCCGCTGATCGGAGACTTTCCACGGAAAACCTCCTCGAGAATGTAGTTCACGTCGCTCAGAGAGATTTGCACGCGCTGGTCCTTCTCCCCGAGTCTAGACTGTTGTCCAGCCAAACTCTGCAAGATTCCGTCGTACACCTTTATTCTGTTCTTTCCCTCGATCGGCTCCACAGGGTAGCCAGAAACAGTGGTCACAATGTAAGTTGCAATGGTGAGACCAAACATGGCAGGCATTGTGCCCAACACAGGAAGAATACGAACACGGAAATTCTGCAACGCACTCAGCTGGTCAACATGGCCCTTCTCGAACTCCTCATCTGGAAGTGGTAGCAAGCTTGCTTTACGAGGGTCGGGCTTCTCGCTTGAGAAAACACATGGAATGCCGTTGATGATTCCTCTTTTCTTCAATCTCCGTCTAACAGACCGTGCCAACGGATCTTCGTCCGAAGCAGAGATGTCTGCCACATTGACCCTTGTCGAATCGCTCTTGCAGGCTGCTCCCATAGACGAAATCACCTGAATGCCCTTGCTGTGACAGAAGCTCAACAAATCCACCTTGGTATCGATGTTATCAATACAGTCCACAACGTATGTAGGACTGTCTTTCAGTAGTAGCGATTCTGCGTTCTCAAGGTTGAAGAGCGTATTAATTGCCTCGATCTCACACCAAGGCGCAATTTGGAGCAAGTGTCTGCGCAAACAATCAACCTTGGACGTTCCCACATCTCTACCAATAGCCACCGAGTGTCTGTTGAGAGATGAAAGGGTCACCTGGTCAAAGTCAATAATTCTGACTTTGGAAACTCCAGACCGAACCAGAGCAGTGACACAGTTGGATCCAACTCCACCTGCTCCAACAACAACCACAAATTGGTCTCGCACTTTCTTCATCCCTTCTTCTCCAAGAAAAACGTAGTTTCTTGCAAGCTGTTCTCTGATCAGCTCCTCAGAGTAGTTAGGAACGGTGTCTGTGAATTCTTTTGAGCGAGCAACTGGTGTTTTTGGCCCCGAGGACAAAAAATAGTATCTTGCGGCTTCAATGACAGTGGCAGTAACCACGGCCGTGGTGACAGCTGTTGCTGCTGTCCAAAGTGCAAGATTGGATCTGCTCATTGAAAAAATTTGAAAAATATATTTGATTTTTTGGACAGTGTTGTAGTCGGTGGGTGCGACACAGTTGCAACAAGATTTATCAGTGGGAGATATCAGAACCGCAAAACAACCATAAAGCCTTCCATAACCAGCCCATATTGACCAAGATAAACTCGCTGCGGGTCAAGTTGCACATTTTATAGCTACGTGACCCTCGGACGCCTGCAACTCTTGCTATTTTGTGGGTTTGGCCGAGTGGTTAAGGCGTCACGTTTAGGATCCTAAATTCCGTGATTTCGAAAGAAGCAAGAGTTCGAACCTCTTAGCCCACATTCTTTTTTTTTTTTCCTTCCCTGCTAAAATCGTCTCCTGTGGAAGCAACAGTCCAAAAATAGCACTGGACATTGCAGCATGTCCAGCTCAGACCCTAACGCATTAGCCCCGACTACAGAAGGTGCAATGGCAGTACCTGGCTCGAACATTTACTGCAATTGCTAACAAGTAAAGATCTCAGGTAATCAGTAATCTGAAAATTGGGGCCGGCCTCTGCGGTCCACCATATATTGTAACATTTATTATTGTCCACAGCTTTAAATTTTTCCATTGAATTTTAGGGTCAGTCTTTTAACTAACCAAGATTGTTTACGAACTAGCGCCCAATACTGGTCTATTGTGACTGAATTGCTTTCGTTTAGACGCCGTAGGCAGTACATTCCTCTCAATTCACCATTTTTGGCTGTTGAACATTCGAAATCAATCGAGGGCAACTCACTCATTATCACCCAACCATGGGCCACAACCAAAACACCCCGGATTTAACACATCCGGATCAGCAACCCACCACCATCCAAACCTCAGGCAATAAGCCCAGAACCATCCATGTGGCACACAGACGCTCGCCTAGCGAGTTGACCACTCTGATGCGTAAGTCTTGCTTTTCTCTTCTCTCAGATTCGTTACTAACCATTGCTAGTGGAGCAATTCAATCTCCAACGTCAGCTGGAGATCGTTCAGGCTCAGCAGCAGCAGATTCTCCAGCAACAGCAACAGCAGCAATATAATCAGCCGGCTAGCTATGCCCAACCTGGTTTTAGCTTCCCGGGTGCCTCCATGCCTCCTCCTGCAAACCCGCCAAGACACAACAGAAGAGCATCGGGTAACAACAATTACGACCATGACCAGTCCTACAACGCAAGAGGTCACAGAAGAGCCCAATCTTCGGTTGCTTCTGGTGCATATCAGAATTACAATAAACAGGATAACAGACAGCATGCATTGGGGCACAATAGAAGACATTCTCTTGGCGTTTCTGAAGCAAAAAGGGCCGCTGCCGAAGCTCAGGCTCAAAGATCCGGTCTTCCAGTCAAGCCGGAGTCTTCAGCTCCCAACTTCAAATTTCCTCCAGAATCCGACGATGACTCAGGATTCCAAAGACAAGGCGGTCATTACAGATCCAGATCAAGTGTCTCGCCTCAGAGATCATTTCAATTCCCTCCAAGAGACAACTCACAAACTCTTCTTCCACCTTCCGGCAATTACGGCCACGAGAGAAGGCAATCTGGAAATTACGGCTTTAGAACAGCTCCATCTGATATCAACGCCAATTGGAGAAAACAACAACAGCCTGTTCCCTCCCAGTCGTCGTTATCTGGATTTGAACCTCCTTCGTTCCAACCAGGTCACCGTGTGAGATCATCCTACGGTGGATCCGTGTCGTCCATTGCTCAGTTCAACCAGTCCCAGAACGGTCAGCAAAGAAAATCTCTCTTCGCGCCATACCTCCCACAGAGCTCCCTTCCGGATCTCATTAACGAGGGAAGATTGGTCACAGGTGTCTTGAGAGTGAACAAGAAAAACAGATCGGACGCTTATGTGTCTACAGATGGCCTATTGGACTCTGATATATTTATCTGTGGATCTAAAGATAGAAACAGAGCCTTAGAGGGAGATTTAGTTGCTGTGGAGCTTCTGGTTGTTGACGAAGTTTGGTCTTCCAAACGTGAAAAAGAGGAGAAAAAGCGGAGAAAAGATAATGTCAGTGCCCAGGCTGATGTTGCTGACGATTTCCACAATGATGCTAGCACCACTTACTCTTCCTCTACATCCTCAAGTGCTGCAGCAGATTCTTCTCAAGGTACCGAAACTCCACCTTCAACACAGTCATCTAATGGGCTTGGCCGTAGCTCAGGGTCACTAAACAGAAGAGGATCTTTAAAGCAGCGTCCACCCCAGAAGAAGAATGACGATGTTGAAGTTGAAGGTCAATCGTTACTTCTTGTTGAAGAGGAGGAAATTAGTGATGACTGCAAACCTTTATATGCAGGTCACGTTGTGGCTGTTGTTGACAGAATTCCTGGACAATTGTTCTCCGGAACTTTGGGGCTGTTGAGACCATCCCAAGCCGCAAAAGAAAAGGACAGTAAAGATAAAGACGACCAAAAATCGTCTAATCCACGCCCAAAAATCGTGTGGTTCAAACCTACTGATAAGAAGGTGCCATTGATTGCTATTCCTACCGAACAAGTCCCAAGAGACTTTGTTCAAAACCACGAAAAATATGCCGATCAGGTGTTCATTGCTTCCATTAAGAGATGGCCAATCACATCTCTCCACCCATTCGGTACCCTTGTTTCGCAGCTGGGACCGATGAACGATCCTCAAATTGAGATCGATTCAATTCTCAGAGACAACAATTTCCTGTGCGATGAATATCCTGACGACGAAGAAAAATATTTGCAGGAGTTGCCAGATACAAAATTGGCTCTCGATAACGAACACAGAAGAACTTTTGAAGACGAATATGTGATTGCGTTCACACAGACCGGTTCTTTCTGCGACCACGCATTCCATGTGAAAATAGTCTCCGACACCAAGATCCAGCTTGGTGTCCACATTCTGGATGTGGCACATTATATCAAGCAAGGGTCCGGACTTGATAAAAGATCCAAAAAGAGATCTCACTCCGTGTTCCTTCCTCAGAAGTGCGTCCACTTGTTCCCAGGAAAAGTTAACGAGTTCTTGTCTTTCAAGGAAGGCAGGACTGGACTTGCTCTTTCCGTCGTTTTTGAGATCGACTCCACCACTTTCGATATTGACGATGTCTGGATGGGGGAGTCTGTGGTGACCCCGAAACAGAAAGTTGACTATGGTACCATGGATGAGATCATCAGTAAGTCTTCTACGAACGCCAAGGAGGGCGCTAATGCAACATCAGGATACATCAGCACTCTTTCCTTGATTGCTCAAGGACTGAGAAGAAGACGTTTGAACAATCCGAAACTTGGATTGGAGCCAGTGCTGCCACTGTTAGAGCAGCTTGACGATGAGAAAGTGAAGCTGTCTCTCAACATATACGATGTCAGCACTTCTACCACTGTGATTGACGAGCTCTTCCACAATGTGAACGCTGCTGTTGCACAGAGAATTCATGCCGTGCTTGGAGACAGAGCTTTGTTGAGAAAGTATGCCATTCCTACGCTGGCCAAGTTTGAAAATTACAACAAAAAGGCCTCCAACCTTGGTGTGGAGCTCGACACCACGAACGCTGCGTCTTTCCAGAATTCGTTGCTCCAAATTGAAGACCCTGTCAAGAGAACAGCCATTGAGACGATTCTGATCAAGTCGATGCCAAGAGGCAAATACGTGATTGCAGGTAAGACCGATGCCGACAGCTTGAACCACTATCTGTTTAATCTTCCGGTTTACACGCACTTCACGGCTCCTTTGAGAAGATACGCCGACATCATTGTGCACAGACAGCTGAAGGCCGTTTTGAGCGGCGATGTTCAAGAGTACAAGGAGACGTTGGAGTCTCTCAAGATGAACAGCGATTACTGTAATTTCAAAAAAGACTGTGCCAAGGCCGCCCAAGAGCAAGCCATCCATCTACTTCTTTGCCAAACCATTAACGAAATGAGTGTTTCCACCGGACAGATCCTTACCATGGGAACCGTGATACAGGTTTACGAGTCGTCTTTCGACGTGTTGTTGCCGGACTTTGGAATTGAGAAGCGTGTGCACGGCGACCAGCTGCCTCTCAGAAAGGCCGAGTTCGACAGAACAGAGCGTGTCCTCGAACTCCACTGGGAGCCTGGCGTCGACTCGGCCACGTTTGTTCCAGACGACGAGAAAGAGCCGTTCTCGTACAGAGCCTCGATCAAGAACAAATATCGTTCGCCAGCCAGCACTGCTGCCAAGTCCCAGAGCAAACAGGTGCTTGAGAGCGGCAACATGATCTCGGACGAGCTGACCCAGAAACTGGCCAACATGAGCCTGTCTGCGCCGCAGCTTGCAGTTCCGTCCGAATCTACCCCAGAGAAGGACGTTTCCGACGAGCTTACCCCCCACGATGCTGCTTTGACCCCGTACCTGCAACATTGCATCACCAGAGTCGATAACGACAATTACATCCAGGAGATCAGAGAACTAAAGCAAGTGCCTATTCTGCTGAGATCCGAGGTTGGAATGGCTCTTCCGTGTCTGACTGTGCGGACACTGAACCCATTCGCTGGTGTCATGAAAGAGTAGTTCTCACCCGTTTATTAATGAGCCGTATACCTTTATATCAAATTCCATATTTTATTAGTACAAATGCCCTATTTGGTCATCAGGCTGTTGAAGAGTCCTTTTGTCGTGAGGTTCTTCGAAGACATCACCGGGTGGCCGTGTGCTGCTCGTTCATGCTCCACACGGTCGTCCACCGCAAACGAAACGTCGTATTGATTCTCTGCGTCGAAATTGAGGTTCTCGTCCAAACTGCGCTCAATCAAATACTTGAGCGAGTTGAACCAGATGTTGTGGCGTTTCTGCGATTGACAGGTGATCTTGATGGATCTTTCCGTCGAATGGACAATGATGCTCTTGTGGAACAGTCCTGGAGGCAGCGGGTTGCTGTCGTCGACAGACTCCACGCTCGAGATGGCCAGGGCACGGATCTTGTTCTCTGACGGGTCACCAAGAATAGGATTGGTAGCAGACCAGTACAAGGTGAGACTGTATGGATGGATCCAGAAGTACCTCTCGTGTCTCGTCTCGGAAAGAGAAGACAATGGTCCCAGTTTGCGGTAGTACTTGAACAAATACTCTCCAATGATGGTTTGGGTAATTGCTGCAATCATCTCCTGGTTCGAGAAGCCCAGAGAGGCCGATGTGTGTAGAGACGTCTTGGTAGCATGGCGTGCAAGATTGATTTGGGCCGGCGGAGTCTTGACCACCTCTGCTGAGAAAACGCTTGGCTCGTCTCCTTCTCCACCAACGTGTTTCTCCAATCCCTCAATCTCTGTCTTGTGGTTCTTGTACCAGCCATGGCTCCGGATCAGCTTGTTGTAGTACGTGGACGGAAGCACAACAACGTTGGACTCGTCCACGGTTCGCGAAACTGTGGTAGCAATGAATTTCGACTCGGGAATCAGCATGTATCCCTTCTCCTTGGATAGCTGCCTCAAATCTGTCTTTGGCTCCTCGTCCTCGGGAACGAGCTTTAGCTTCAGCTCAGCGGCCTTGTTGGCCAGGTCTTGCGAACTTATTGGACGTTTCTTCAAGGATTCAATCTCAGACGAGCTCAGCAGTTTCAGGCCCAGTCGCGATGCAGATTTTTGAACGTCGCTTTTGTTAGGAGCAGCCTTAGGATCAACAACCTCAACACCAAGGTTCTTGGCCAGTTCGCGCAGTTTGGTGGTATCCACCTTGGCCTCCTTTGGTCGTTGCAGTTGTTCCAGCTTCGATGGCTCTATCGTTTCCAGTCCAAGGTTCTTGGCGATCTTCTTCAACTTGTCTACGTCGGTAGCAGATTTATCACCGGACTTGCTGTCCCATGGTAAAACCACAAATCCGAGCTCGGATGCACGTCTTTCAAGATCAGCTTTGCTAACAACGGAAGTCTCGAGCTTCTCGGAAGCGTCTTCGTAGACAGACTCCCGTTTAGCTTTCAAAGCGTCCACTTCTGATTTTGTCAGACAAACCAGTCCGTTCTTGGTGATCACGGATTTAGCTGCACCAAGCGAAATAGATGCGCGTTTCGAGGCATCCAGTTGTCCCTTCATATCCTTCACCTGCCTTGAGGAATCCTGAAGCGCTTTGTCTTTAGATTTCAGCTCATTGTCCTTATCAGAAAGCTGTTTCTGAACTTGCTCCAGCTGAGCTTCCAGCTTTTGCTTGTCGGCAACAGGAATTGCAATCAGACTATGCTTTGACGCCTGGGACTTCACGTATCCAGCAGTTTGCGTTTTCTTGATTTTCTCAGTCTTTTCCTGAACCTCTGCTTTCAACTTCGTGACCTCCTTGACCAGAGAATCGAGTTTCTCCAGCTGCTTCTGCGTCTTATTATTCTGATCCACCGGAATCAAAACGTGCCCAGATTTTTCAGCAGCACTAATGAGGTACTGAGTATCTGGTGATTGAAGCTCTGACTGGAGCTGCTTGTTTTTGGATTCAAGCTCTTTCAATCTTGGAGCAAGCTCCGCAACCTGGTCGCTCGTGCTCTTGAGCTTGCCGTACTCGTTTTGGTCCACGAGCACAAGAGACTGTTGCTTAGCAAACTCAGTCAATTGCGACTTGGATGGTCTGGATAACTTCTTCGCCTCGCCAGCACCCAAAACAGTCAGACCTGCAACTGCGGCCAATTTCGAAACGTACTCGTGCGAAGGCTTAGAAGACTTTTCTTTGTGCGAGACCAGCTCTTCGTGCTCTTTGCTCTCCAATAAAACATGGTCGTTCTTCTTTGCAATTTTTCTGCAATCATCGAGAGTTGGTTCAACCTTCTTGGCCTTAAATTCTTTCTCGTTCAGCAAATGATAGCCAGCATCTCTGGCTTTCTGTGTGAGATATGAAACAGAAGGGGACTCGTATGAGGTTGTAATCTTAGATTGTTGGTCAGCCAAAGATCTCAACTCATTCACCGAACTATTGATATGCTGAGGGCCTGACCTCTTCATCTTCTCAACTGTCTCCTCGAATTGGGGTCCAAAGATTTCTATGGTTTCCAGTAATCCATCGTAGTCGCCCTTCTTCAAGGCAACCATGCCAGACTTCTCCACTCGCTCCATCAGCTCCACGGATGTGAGAGATCTCTTTGACGAAACGAGAATGCTCTCATAGGAAGACTTGGACAACACCACCAGTCCCCTGTCTGCGCATCTCTTCTTCAGAGACTCGACTGTCTCTGCGGACTCCAGTGCTTTCTGTTTTCTTGGAGAAACGTTTACACCATTCGAAGAGGATTTTGCAACCAAAATCTCGTACTCGTTGACTGGCAATGCCTTGTATCCTAATTTGGTCAGCTTGTTGGAGAGGAATGTGATTGTAGGGTTATCCACTGTTTGTTGCAATGAGCGCAAAGTGGAAGCCGCGATTTCCACAGTTCCATCTGTGACAGAAGGGCCATTTCGTTTGGTAGGGCTGCCAAGATCAGCCCCGCGTTTCACAGGGCTACTGCGAGGCGTACTCAGCGATTTGATCGACTCATTCTCGGCAGTGGTTAGGAGGACAAGGTTGTGTTTTCCAGCAAGTTCTTTGATGTAGGACACGTCTGGAGAATCCAGCTTTGTTTGTGCAGCCTGTAAAGATTTCTTGAGTGAATTGATATTTTGTTCGTGCTCTTTGCTCTTGGACTCTAAATCGGCTTTCAACTTGCCAAGCTCAGTTTCGGCCGAGTCGGCCTTATCAGCCTTCGATTCCAGCACTTTGTATTCGAGCAGAGGAAGTATTTTCAAGCTTGAGTCTTTCAGCTTTGACTCGTCAATTTCCTCGTAGTTGCTTCTCTTCACCATTTGTTCGTAGTCTTTCTTGGAAACGGGAACCAAATCATACTCTAAGCATTTCGTCTTCAGCTGCTCGATTGGAGAGTGAACGTTCTTATCGTTAGGAAGAGCAACAATATCGAATCCGGTTGAAACGTCGATGATGGGTTTATTTGGAGATTTTTCTGTCAAAGCTGGAACCAATCTCATACCATGCTGAGACGCATAGTTCTCAAGGTACCTAATTTGGGAAGTTTCCATTTCGTCGTACTCGTCAGAAAGGTTGCCAAGTTCTTCTCCCAGAACCTGCATGTTGGAATATTCTGAGTCCTTCGGAGCGATCTCGGAACTTTTATCGTAGTCCTCCCAACCAACAGACTCTGCTGCAGACAGTCTTTTGCTTGGAGTCTTAAAGACCGCGGATTTGGGCGAGTCACCCGCAAGTTTTCTTTCCAAAGTGTCTCTTTCTGCTTTGGTTTTCACCAGGTTCTGTTTGAGCTTGGAGATGGTCTTTTGCGCTTTCTGAAGACTGGATGCAAGGGTTTCTGATTCTAATCGAGAGTTGTTGTGAACTTGGCGCACTGGAGACAACGATGGATCCATGAACGAGGACTCGTCGAAGGTATCATGTTCGAGATTCTCGTTATTGACTGGAGGCAAAGACACGCGTTTCGGTTCTTTGGTGGACAAGTTTTGAACTTTTTGGTGAAGATCATCGTTTTCGTCGTTCAGCTCGGAATTACGTTGTTTCAACTCCTTGATAGTGTTGTTCAACTGCAAAATCTTGGAAGCAGTTTGCTTTTCGTTGATTAATGAATTTTCCTGTGCTGCTTCCAATTGAGATTTCAGAGTCTCCAACTCTGAATCTTTGGACGCTTTATCTTTGGACGATTTTTCATACAGCTGTTGGTATTTCACAGCGTTTTCACGCAGAGTTCTGATCTCTGTTTCTAGTTCCCAGATCTTGTCACCAGATGTTTGCTCTTTCTCGCCCAACTTCTTGCTAAGAACCTGAAGGTTGCTCAATTGCTTAGTGGACTGATTATATTTCTCCTCGAGCTCTGAGAGCTGTGTTTTCAATTGCTGGTTTTCGTGATTTAAACGACGCGACTCAATCAGCAGGCCATCACTGAGATCACTCAGGAAATCGACTCCCGACAACGGACGTGCTCCCGAGTTCAAACTGTCACGCTAAAAATTAGCACTAAACGGATAAATGAAACTTACCTTCGAACGGGTGGTGGCAGGGTCCTGAGACGACTGCGACTGATCAGATTTCTTCCCCAGCCGCTGCTGAAAGTCCTTGAACTGGGACTTAAGCTCGCCGGCGGAAGATTTACCTTTGGACGTATCTTTCTTCGACATATCCGATTCCGATCCAGATGTTTTGTTTAGTTAAAAAATCACACTTGATCGGAAATCGAAAGGGAAGCGGAAGAAAAAACCTTGCACCGCAATAATTTGTCAACATTAAGCTAAATGGTAAGTTGGATGGCAATCGGTGACTAACTGGCAGCTGAAACTCAAAAAACTGCAAAAGGAACAGGCAACAAAGACTGTGTCGCAGTCTGTGTCTGTGGCATATATTCGTGCCAAAAAAGATCTACAGGAATACGAAGAAATACCAGGTATTAGTATCAAGTACGATGAAAAAAACCCAATGAGAATCGACCTGACGGTCCGGCCTAATGAAGGGCTTTATCAAGGGGGTGTGTTCAAATTTATCTGTGAAGTTCCAGAGGACTATCCGAACAGGGCTCCGGAATTCAAGTGTCTGCCTAAAATCTACCACCCTAATATCGACCTTGAAGGTCATGTGTGTCTCAACATTCTACGAAACGACTGGAAGCCAACGCTGACTTTACAACTTGTATTTGCCGGCATTTTGCATTTGTTTTTACAGCCAAACGCAAACGATCCTCTCAATAAAGATGCAGCAAACGACTTATCTAAATACCCTGCGCAATTCAAACGACATGTGCTAAACGCAATGGCGGGCGGATACGTTGAGAACGAAAAGTTCGATAAAGTGGCGGATTACATAGATAGAAGGTATTTATAAGGTATATTCATTGAAAGCGCAATATATTCATCAAAAATCTCATCATAGAGGAATGTCGTACATAGTTAAGGGCATGGAATCATTCGTCGATTTCGCCAGCAGTCATGTAACCGTGTCCGCTAACGGAGCCACCTCCAGAAACCAGCGGAGTGAAGCCATGGTGGGCAGAGATATGGTTGTGGTAAGAAGGATGAGCGTCTTCAGCGTTCTTAATGATTGTCATGGAATCGTGTTCGACAAGGCCGGCCCCGCCGTTGTTGCTGACAGTTTGCTTCACCTCAGGGCTTTTTTGGTAGTCCTTTTGGTTGTACATGTCAAAGTAAGAGTATTGTGGCTTGGTGTATGAGGCGAACGATTTGGTGGGGATAGTAGAACCTTGCATCTTAACAAAACATCTAGAAGCGGTATTGAGCTTGAGGATAGATTGAGCGGTCATAGTTGTTTGTTCAAGAAGAAATGGGGTGCTTATATATTAAAGATTATGTACTCCGGCAATTTCGCAACGGGGATACGGGGCGTGCGCCCCGTGCAGCCGAATTGTTGTCAAAAAAAAATTGTGTCATTTCCTGTACCCCGGATACATTTTTTAATCGTGTTTCCTAATCGGGAAGGAGACTCGGGAAAATGGTAATGCTAAAGGAATCTTGTGGAACTGTCGAGCAATCTGAATGGCTCGTCTCCCTTCCTAAATTCAATAGGGTTCTCCGAAAAATACGACTCACGCCACGCTTCCATGGTTTCCGAGTCAAAGGGTCCGTGTATTTCCGTATCTCCCAACCATCTGTACTCCCATAATGGAACCTGTTCCTCTAAACTATCTGTTTCATCATCTCTTTTGCGTTTGCGCTCATACACAGCAGATGAAGACAGCTTTCGGCACAGCTCTTCACGTGTCAAGTCGTACACCCCATTAAACCGAGTTTCCAGCACTTCAACGGAATCCATCACCCGTGCAATCTGTGCGCGAGCTTGTTTTTCCGGTGTTGATTGGCCCTGTTTCTTGAAATTCTTGGCTTCACCATTTAGCCGTTGGAGCAGCTCCATTATAGATTCCGTTTTTTCTGTCAATTCCACAATTGCCATTATCGCCTCATCCAGGTCCGCACCGCCCAGACGGTCCCGTTTGGCCTTGTGTTGTCTTTTCCTCTCAGCCTCCTGCTGAGCCTGTGCCAGCTGTGCTTTTTTGATATCTTCTTTATTCACGTCATCGAGCCACTCCTCGTCCTCGCTCACTTCCTCCTTTCTGACATAGTTGCCGTTTTCGTCAAACACCCCTTCATCCATCTCCTGTTTTAAATTGAAAGCCTCTATTTTCACTCCCTCGGAGCTCTTTCCGTCCTCCGACTCCGATCCGGACTCGACCTCCAACTCCTCCTCGAATTTCGCCATATCCATCGTCTTGCCGGACTCTGTCTCGCTCTCAGAGTCCGACCCGTAGACGTCGGTCTTCACCTTTCTGGTTCGACGTCGTTTATTAAATTCGGACATAAATAATTTAAAAAAATATTCGCACATGCCGTCCGAACAAAAAGACATCGACTTCGACTCCGTTCTCAACCTTGAAAGCCAGTACTACCACGAAGGGTTTCTCGAAGGACAGTTGGAAGGCGCTAAACAGCAATTTGTTGAGGGAAAACAGCTCGGAATCCAAACGGGATTCCAACGGTTTTTGGTTATCGGATATTACAAGAAACTCGTTGCTCTGTGGATCACGCAGACAAAACAGAAACTACAACAAGGTGTCACTACCGATGACTCGGGGAAACCAAGAGATTACGAGAAAATACTGAAAAGCCTTACTGATCTTCAAATGCTAATAGATACACTTTTCGAAAACGGCTTGGCACGCACAACCAACAGCGACATGGACATCCAGACGTACGAGAGCGTCTCCAAACGGGTTCGTGCCAAGCTGAGGTCGCTGTTGCCAATCTTCAACCAAAATTATAACGCGATCGAAGACCTCTCGTTGAAAATCGGAGGCTCTGTTCAGACAGAGCAGCAGGACGAATGGTGATTCGTTCACTCCATGAGGAAATTCTCAATGCTGAAATCTACCTCTTCCGCAAACTTCTTAATCACACTCCAGTTCACATTACACTTCCATTTTGTTCCTCCGCCAATAGTGTCGCCCAACTTGAGCTTCATGATGGCTTTCAACGTAGAAAGAGTGGCCAGCTCCGACATGAGCTCGATGTCATTTGCCAGCTTCTCGCCGCGGTTCTCGTCGTATATGGCATGCAGAATAGCAAGCAGTCGCTCGATAGTGAACGCCTGCGGTGACAACATTCTTGCCGATAACTGCTGGCTCTGCTTGCCGCTTTTCCGCTTGGAATGACGCACTTTTCGGTTCGCACGAGCCTCTCTCTGTTTGGAAAACAGGATCAGGTCGTACTTTGGGTCGTTGTACGACGCCAAATATGCTGCTATCAAGATATACTTTGTTTTCGTTGGCAGATCGCTGGACGCGATATCCTCGGTTGCTAGCTCATCTGCGAGACCAAACTCGCTTTGCAGTAGAGCTTTTTTGTTTTGGTAAGTAGTGAGAACGTCATTCACTCCGTTTTGGATTCGGCCCATGCTAGCAACAGGAGTTATGAAAGTTGGCCATAGTTTCGTCAACACAGGAACCATCAGTCCAATGTCTGTCCCGAAATACGACGAATAGGTGTCTAGGATGACGTCGATGAATTGCCGTGCAAACTGCTTGAACTGCGCTTGCTCTATGCTAATAGTATCTGTGTATCTGAACTGTCTCGTTAGTATATCTTTGATTTGGTCCAATTTGTACGACGAAAACGTAACCAGGGGTAATGCAAGGGTTTGGATCCCAACAGAGTCGGCTCTGTTCACCACATATACAAACGAGTAGCGATTCAACATTGGGCTCTGTTCGTGTACTCTGGATAGAGCAAAGCAGAACTCGGACGAGTTTTCGTTGGGTAACAGTCGTTCGACGCGGTCTAATAGAAACACTATTGGTTTCCGCTCTTCATCTGGATGGTTTGACTCGTTGATATGCTCGATTCGTTTCAAAACATCGACAAACGTTCCTAATCCATCACACTTGTACACCAATTCGGCCTCATTCTGCGACGAAATCCCCAAAAGTCTGATCAATCCACGCAATATAGCATGGAGAATCGCCTTGCGAGTGAGGCAGTGCTCGCATTGGATCTCCAGGAACCGGATCTGGCCATCCTGCTCCAGCTGTTTGAAATATTGACGAAGGGTGTATGTTTTCCCCGACGAGGTGGGCCCCTCCACGAGCATCGACGGAGCCATAAATCCATCCCATGGACGCACATACGTGGCAAGCAGATCCAGCTGCTCCGATCGATATCGGCAATTTGTCTTGGTGACACTTAACGAGTCCATAAATTTATTCAAATATTAATTTTCAGGTCGCGATAATAATCGGCTAGCCGGTCATATCTTTTGGGGATGACTAGATTTGCATATATAAGCCACCTACAAATCCTGTTTGAAAAACCATTCAGATCTCTATAAATTCCACCACGGCCGTCCAAGTTGGTCCGAACAGCCAATCACTCGCTTAATTACCAACTAGTGCAGAGTTACTCCACCACAAAAAAAATTGTCGCACCAAAAATAATTTTCTAATTATTATGTCGTACTCTCGCTTGCCACCTCCTTCGTACAGTGCGTTTCCCGAGGAACCACCTGAATACGAATACACGTTCGAGAAACCCAAAGAACCTGTTGAGTCGGAAAAATTTGAGGAATCGTTTGAAATTGCAGCCCCAAAATACAATGATAAGCCCTTTACAGCACTCTTTCTCGCAACCGTGGGCCTGTTTTTGTTGCTTGCCTTCAAGTCCATCAACAGCATTTTGTCAAATAAGTCGATAGGCGTTCAAGAGATTGTCATTTCCAAGTCTTCAAGTTTTTCAGCTATCGTTCCGCTCCTGTTTACCGTGTTCACCATCCCAATTGTGAGCTCCATGGCTATGCTCTATTTTGTGTGGGCCATGCCGGTGCTATTCGTGGTTTTGGGATACTTCATGCTTCCCATCACCGCTTTTGGACTCTCAATCACACTGGTGCTTTACGGAAAGCCAGGACCCGCCGTTTTCCTTGCTCTTGGTGGCCTCTTCCAATTATGGTACCTCTTCCGCATCCGCAGAAACATCAGCTTCACCGGCCTCGTTTTCCGCATTATTATTGAGACCATGTTCCAATATCCTTCCACGATTCTCGTTTCGTGCATAAGCTCGCTGCTATCGGGTATTGTTGGACTCACTTACCTTATCCTGGCTTCTATCATAGCCTTTGATCGGTTGAAGAGAGACGACGCCAATTGTCCTCATGACAGCGACGGGAACGATGTTTGTGTCTCCAACACAACTCTTGCGATCAATCTGTTCACCTTGTTCACCGGTTACTTTGTTTTCGAAGTGATTGAGAACCTCACTCACGTCACAATTAGTGGAATTTACGGTTCGTGGTATTTCTTCCACGCATCTGCCGTGAAACCATTAAACCCAGCTTGGGGCTCGTTCAAAAGAGCCATAACCTACTCGTTTGGAAGTATCTGCTTTGGATCCCTGATCGTCTCCGTCACAAGAACTATTCGCGCAGCCATCACCATGATGAAGGAAAAAGTGCAAGACAGACAATTCAACAGAGACGAAGGGGAAGGTAATGGAGCAATCATGTGCGCTTTGATCTGTATTTTCTCCATTTTCGAGTGGATTGCCGATCAGGCAGAGTTTTGGATCAAATGGTTCAATAAGTTCGCCTACTCGTACCTTGCGCTGTACGGAAAAGATTATCTTTCTTCTGCCAGAGATACTTACGAACTATTGAGATTTAGAGGACTTTTGGTTTTGGTTACTGATTGTTTGGTTGAGTCTACAATCACTCTGTGTTCGATCCTGATTGCTCTACTGAGTGGTGGAATTTTCTATTTCATCTACGAAGGAACTCAGCTTTTCCAAGAGATGTCTCCTGCTGCACTGACTTTCTGCTTTATTTTGCAGCTACTTCTTGGACTCTTCATCACCAAGGTAACGCTCAATTCAGTCAACTCTGGCTTTATCACTTTCCTGATTGCTCTGAGTATCAATCCAGAAGTGTTTGAACAGACTTATCACGATTATTACGTCAAGCTCACAAACTTTTACCCTGAAATCAGTCACACGCTCAAGACTCCGTTTCCAGAAACTGTGTAAAAAATAATATAAATTATTCGACATGGAGAAGTTCAACGATTGGAGAGATAAGGGAACGGGGATTTCACCGTTTATGCCAATTCCGCCTCCAAATAGCTCTGTGGTTGTCAAGTATATTGCTGGCCCTGTTTTTGCGCTTTTGAAACTAGGCCCGGCTGTAGTGCTTGGACTCCTGTTGACAATCACCTGGCCAGTCAGTTTTCTCTTCAAACCGCTCCTGCGTCTATTTCTACTTTTAATATTCAACGTATCCGAGGTAGAGTTCACCGCTGATGGTGTAAAACGTTCAAACACCAAACAGATCAACGCAAAACGTCCGAAAAACGGCCAGATTGTATTTGTCAACTTTTCTTCTCCACTGGACAGTTTGGTGCTATTTCTGTCCAGCACAAGCAGCTCAACTGTGTTTCTGTTTGCAGACAGCAAGGGAAACTTAAGACAACTTTCCGGACTGATAGATTCGTTCAAATTTGCTCTTAGTCAACCAATCATCTATCCTGCCTCAGATAAAGGCATTAGCGATTTGTCCAAATACAAGAGCAAAGTGGTGTTCATATTTGCCGAGGGAACAACCAGCAACAACAGAGGAGTTCTGGCGTTCCCAGACATTGATTTCACAAGCATAGTTGCCAAGAAGGACAGTTTCCACTTTAGAGCCGTGAGTATCAAGAGTACCCCATCATCTTTAATTTCGACGCCGATCCCACAATCTTTGAGCTCGTTCATGTATGGGTTGCTTTCGCATCTCAGTTACGACGTTAAATATAAACTGAAAGTGTTTGACTTGCCAGATCTCAAGCCTGCTACCATTAGAGAAAAACTGTCCAATTTCGGCACTTTGAAGCTCACCGGACAGGACCTGGACATCAATAAAAAGCTGTCGTTTATCACAACATACAACAAGGTCAACAAGCGACTATAGTATAAGTAATCCTTAAATATCTATTTAGTAAGACCTGGCTTAGGAAATGAAAACTGTCCGGATGGATACTTTAGAACCGCAGCATTAGTGTAATCGCTTCTCACATTTCCACCAGATCTGCTAACACGGAAATACAGGTTCTGGTCTTGAGAGGAGTCTGAACTTAGGATGAGCTGGCTCAGTATCTTGTTTTCCGCAGCCAAGGTCTCTAAACTAACGGAAGTGTTTGGGCCGTTGTACCATTCGATATCGTTGATCAACAACGAAAACTGACTCAGCTTGTCGTGCGGAGAAATGAACTCACCATTAACCATTGTTGGAGTGTTTGTCTCCTGGACTTTCCACGAAATCGATGTGTTGGAGTGTTCGTAGCCAATAAAGGTGGGTGGTTTAATTTCACCTGTTGGATCGGCTCTTCTTAGTGATCTATCCGTCTCTTCTATCGAGGCAAGCCCCCATCTAGCTACTCCGTTAACCAAAAGTCCCAGTAGAACTCCTTGGAAAAGCATAGCTGTCAGACCTTTGGTGTTGGTTCCAGGTAGAAGTAGCATGGCCAGGATGTAGTGGTGGATCCGGAGATTGAGTCCTGCTAGATTTCCAAGCACAACCAACGCGACAATAAATCCAACATACAACCGCAAATACTCTCTGAACTTGCCCGCTTTCCACAAATGATAAGCCTGCACAACGGCTCCACAAACAATTGTCACCACAATTCCCAGGGTAGCAAATATCGATCCGGGCTGGGTAAGAATATCGGTGATTGTTAGACGGTCGACAGGGAGTCTATCGAAAGTGACATTGTTGAGTATTCCGACCCAGAAAAGTGGGTACCAGATAAGAGTTTTGCAGATTGGAGACGATGGGTAGCTCAGAGTGGTTTTGCAAGCGATTTTCCAAAAAACGTAGAGAATAAAGCACAATGGTAGCAGACGCTGGAAACCCAAGGAAATAAGGGTAGCCAACGACTCCGGGTCTTGAGCTTTCACCACCATTGGAGGATCAAACGTGAGGATGATTGTCCAGAACCCGCTGATACAGACCGTCCAAAACGCAAGAGCACCACTATTTGATAAGAACATCACCGGGAACCCCAGCAGAATGTTGATCAATGCGACCAGGACTCTTGGATCAAAGCAGTTGTGACATTTAGGAAGCTGCACAAACTCAAACGAGGCAGGGAAGAACCCATTAAAGCCAACAGACCCGTCCCTGGACGGGAACTCTGATTGTGCGCCAACAAATTTGATTCTTGCACAACCTCCAAAGTAAGGCGACACAACGCCTGCATGGATTGCAGCACCGCAAGGGAATGAGTCTGCGCGATACGGATATGAAAGCGAACCGTTGACAGGGAAGTTGAGTCTTCCTCCACCGATGGTGAAATCTCTGTATTTGATATTTTGATCTCCGACCGAGATCGAAGAGTATGCGATGGATTCGGAGTCGCACAAAGCCGGACAACGAACATAAACCTCACGGTCCTCGAACGGAGCACATTTTTTCCCGTTTAGTCCACACTGGGCGTTTTTGCCTCTCCAGATGGAGCTTTCCTGCCGACAGGAGATACTGATAACGTCGAGCGATTTGCCGGAAACCTCGTCTTCCCAGGTCGGCTGTTCGGTCAGGTATGGGGCAAGGGCCTGCTGGAGAATGAAGAGCCAGAATGTATAGTAGAGCAAAATGAACGGAAGTTTGATCTTTGCCGGGAAAGGAGCCGATATCCTTTGGGGAAACGACTCGAATTGCTGAATGTAGGCACTTTTGAACTGGACCGGATCGTCGCGGGGGACAATCGGGCCGTTCCAAAGTCGGTATAGAAAGGATTTTAATTTGGACCTTGAAGGGTCCAGGCCCAGCGAGGTGCCCAAGTCCGAAAACTGGCTATTTTGCTCCGCAGAGTCCCGAGAGCTGTTTGAGCGGGACTTGGCAATTGGATGGAGCTCGATATCATCCGATATGGCGAACGCGGATTCGGAAGAGCTCATTAGGTACGAAAACACCTAGAGCAATAAATTCAAGATGCAGAATACTGATCGGTACTTTATACAGACCATCTGAAAAATGTCTGCACAGCCCGTGAAAAAGAAAGATGCAGGGACCTAGGCCAGAAGACAGAAAATGAGCCCCATCAGAGGGTTAGATTTGAGTGCCTGTTTTGCCATGGCAACAGGATGGTGAACTACTCGAAATTTTGCAAAACTACGTGGAATTTCTGCCCCAGTCTAAAGTCTATTGTTACGTATGCCCAGCATGTGGTTTATTTAAAAAATTTGAACGAGTGACTGATTTGAATAATTGTCAAATATTTTTCGCTTAAAATCTTTTCAATGAGCGCAGTTGCTGAGAACCAAAACGATAACGATCTGCTCACTTTCAAAAGACAGAAATCCCCATCTCCAATGAGCGAAGAATACGACGACTTGAGAATCGCAGACTACGAGCCTTTGGTTCCTCCTGCTTTGTTGCAGCAGGAAGTCCCAGGAACTAAGGAATCTTTCGCTGCTGTCGTCAAGGGCAGAAAAGCCGCTGGCGCTGTGATCAAGCAGCAAGACGATAGACTTTTGGTTGTTGTTGGACCATGCTCTTTGCATGACCCGGTTGCTGCCATGGACTACTGCAGACGTCTGAAGAAGCTCTCCGACGAGCTTTCTGACGATCTTGTTGTGATCATGCGTGCCTACCTCGAAAAGCCTCGTACTACCGTTGGCTGGAAGGGTCTGATCAACGATCCAGACCTCGACACAACCTTCAACATCAACAAAGGTTTGAAGATTTCGAGAAAATTGTTTGTGGATCTCACCAACGAAGGTATGCCTATTGGTTCCGAGATGCTCGATACCATCTCGCCGCAGTTCCTGAGCGATTTGCTGTCATTTGGTGCTATTGGTGCTCGGACCACCGAGTCTCAGCTCCACAGAGAGCTTGCTTCTGGTCTGTCCTTCCCTATTGGTTTCAAGAATGGAACTGACGGTTCTTTGGACGTGGCTATCGATGCTATCCAGGCCGCTTCGTCGCCCCACCACTTCATGGGTGTTACCAAGCACGGACTCGCTGCCATCACCACCACCAAGGGTAACGACAACTGTTTCATCATCTTGAGAGGAGGTAAGAAAGGAACGAATTACGACGAGGCCTCTGTTGCTGAGGCCAAGTCCAAGCTTCCTGCCGGAGGCGTTATGATGGTCGATTGCTCGCACGGAAACTCCAACAAGGACTACAGAAACCAGCCAAAGGTCTCGAAGGAGGTGGCCAGACAGGTTGCTAACGGAGAGGACAAGATCATCGGTGTCATGATCGAGTCTCACATCAACGAGGGTAAACAGAGCATCCCAGCAAACAAAGAACAGCTCAAGTACGGTGTTTCTGTGACCGACGGATGCGTTTCCTGGGAAACCACCGTCCAAATGCTCACTGAGCTCGCCGAGGCCGTTAGAACTCGTCGTGCACGTAAATAGATTTTGCACGACCAATATATATAAATTTTCAAAAATACAGTTAGTCATTTCTTTGAAGCACACGATCTTGTCATGACCAAGGAGGTTGTTCACGTGATAGACCTTGAAAGCGGGAACTTGCGTTCGCTCCAGAATGCCATCGAGTATTTGGGGTATGAGGTCGAGTTTATCAAGCACCCTCTGGATGGTTCTTTAATGCATGCACAGAAGCTGATTTTGCCTGGTGTCGGTAACTTTGGCCACTTTGTCCGCGAATTCCACGCCCGTGGGTTTGTCGAACCACTGAAAGAGTACATCAGTAGCGGAAGACCGCTTATGGGTATTTGTGTGGGACTGCAGACGTTTTTCAACACTTCTGAAGAGAGTCCAGATATTAAAGGACTCGGGCTTTTAAACCACGATCTGACCAGATTCGACGACTCCGACAAGTCTGTGCCGGAGATTGGCTGGAACTGTGTTGAGACAACCGTCGCCGACCCAAACACCCTCTTCAGCATGGATCCAGGGTCCAGATTTTACTTTGTTCATTCCTACGCAGGTATCGTCAGTTCTGAGGATATCCAACGTCTTGAGAAAGACGGCTGGGATCTTGCAACCGCCGTGTATGGATCGCAAAGATTTATCGCTGCTATCGTGAAGGACAACATTTTCGCTACACAGTTCCACCCAGAGAAGTCGGGGCTTGCTGGACTTAGACTGATTGACTCGTTTCTGAAGCAGCAGAAATTCACTAAGATCGTTAATAAGGCTATGAGCGATGTTGAAAAAACGCCAACAGGACTTACTCGGCGTATTATTGCCTGTCTGGACGTCAGAAGCAACGACAAGGGAGATTTGGTGGTCACAAAGGGTGACCAGTACGACGTGAGAGAAAAGACAGACGGTGGAGACGTCAGAAATCTTGGAAAGCCTGTGGAAATGGCCGAAAAGTACTACAGACAGGGAGCAGACGAGGTTACGTTCTTGAACATCACGTCTTTCAGAAACTCACCTGTTCGTGACGCTCCAATGCTGGAGGTTCTGAGACTTGCTGCCAAGACCTGTTTTGTGCCGCTGACCGTTGGAGGAGGAATCAAGGACGTTGTGGATCCAGATGGATCTCAAATCTCTGCTCTGGAGGTGGCCACGCTCTACTTCCGTGCTGGAGCAGACAAAGTTTCGATTGGTTCTGACGCCGTGAGCGCAGCCGAGAAGTTCATTGCTTCCGGCGGACAAAAGTCCGGCACTACCCCAATAGAGACCATTTCCAAAGCGTACGGTATCCAGGCTGTGGTGATTTCGGTTGATCCTAAACGGAAATACGTTTCCGACCCGGCAGACTGCAAGTACAAGTGCATCGAGACCAAGATTCCGGGTCCTAACGGCGAGAAGTACTGCTACTACCAGGTCACCTCGCAGGGAGGACGCAAAACTCATGAGCTTGGTGCTTACGAGCTGTGCCAGGCTTGTGAAAAGCTGGGAGCAGGAGAGATCTTGCTCAACTGTATCGACAAGGACGGAAGCAACTCGGGCTACGACTTCGAGCTGATCTCTCAGATCAAGGGAGCGGTTTCGATCCCAGTGATTGCCTCCAGTGGTGCAGGAAATCCAGAACATTTCGAGCAGGTGTTCAAGAACACAACCGTCGACGCTGCTTTGGGAGCAGGTATGTTCCACCGTGGAGAATACACCGTGAAACAGGTCAAGGACTACATGAATGACCACGGATTGTTGGTGCGACTAGACGAGGGAATGGAATAAAAGACTAATGAATAACAATTGTAAAATACAGTATATAATACATCTATTCCAAAGACTCTTCAAAGTCCTCGATTTTTTCTGTTCTTTCCTCGGCCTGTTCCTCAGTCAGCTTGACACCGGCACTGACACTGAACTGACCACCGCAGCCGACCTGAACAATGTCGTGGTCTCGCGTAGCGGTGTTGTTGATTCTGGTGGGTTTTGAAACGTCCTCGTCCAGATTACCAAGTCCCAAGGCGTAAGTATCGGCAAAACCCCAGGAGAAAGCAATACCATCTTGGGTCAGCGCGACCGAGTGGTGCGAGCCGGCTGCCACAGCTTTGCATTTTGGAAGAGTGGTCAGCTTGGTAGGAACAGGAAGCGATCTAATGTTGCCATGGCCGTCGACAATAACGTCGTCCTTTGGCAGTTTTTCCTTTTCGATACCGATCTCCTTCATGTCGAATCTTCCGAATGTGAACACTTCGCCAGAGGAAGACAATGCCAAAGAGTGATGTTCTCCTCCGGTGATGTAGATGATGTCCTTACCGGTCAAGTCTTCGATCTCTGTTGGCTTGGACACAACAGCTCCGTCTTCGATGTCGACCTTGATACCACACTGGCCGTACTGGTTGAGTCCCCAACTCAACACTTTGCCGTCAACGGTGATGGCAAACGAGTGGAACTCTCCAGATCCAACAAACTTAACGTTCTTCAAGCCAAATGAACGAGGCTCCAACGAAGTCATTCTTGTTCTTTCGAGGATCTTTCTTCCCAGTTGGAACTGCTGTCCATTTCCCCAAGCGTAGACAATTCCCTTGATGTCGAGACCCAAAAGGTGGTCTTTTCCTGCAGCCAGTTGGACAATGTTCTCGAAATTAGGAATCTTGACAGGGGTCTTTTGGATCTTGATGTCCTTGTTAAATCCGAGAATACCCTCGTTACATCTGAAAGTTCCCCATGCGTACACTTCTCCGGTTTCGTAAAGCACTGCAGAAAGGTTATCTGTGGCAGCCAACTGCACAATTTTTTTGTCGGAAGGGAGACCTTCAACAAGAGCAGGCGTGGACTCCAGAGCGTTCAGGTCGCCATCTTCGTCGTCACTTTCGGCGTCTGCATCTCTCAGCTGCTCGGCGCCCGCTTTTGAGGTGTCTCTTCCCAAAACCCCCGAGTCGTTGGTTCCCCAAGACCAGAGCTGATTTTTGTGATCAAGAGCAAGAACATGCATTCCACCCACAGTGAAATCAACGATACCTACCTCTTCTTTCTTCAGCAATGGGTTCAATCTTGGACGCTTGACTTCCTTAGTACTGGCGGCCGGACCCAGACCCAGTTCGCACATCGATCCCGAACCCCACACAAAAACATCAAGCAGATCGGTTTTCTGAGAAGGGATAGAGTTGATCGACTTCAGCTTGGACGCTCTGATCGACTGGAACGACGGAGAGTTCTTTGCTCTTTTTGCGTGGATCGGCTCTTCGGAAAGGGCCCGTTTCTTTCCATTGGAATGATTTTCAGCAGATCTCTTAAGGCCCACCATTTTGTTAAAAACACAAGGAAAAAAAATATCGGCCAGGGAACTAAATCAAATGATAAAATTCTGCCATTGACAAAACGGGCCACAATTTCCTAATTAAATTTTTTTCTAATTTTTTAAAATATTTTTCGGTGTATCAATATGGGTAAGATCAGTACCAAGGACAGCAAGGACAAGATCCGGCACAAGCCTTTGTACAAGGACATCACTGAGACCGGGACCTTGAGTACGGGTAAACGGTCCAAACAGTCCAAGAACGATGATGAGGACTTTGACGACGAACAAGTTCTTGACGCTGCTGCGTCCCGTAGAATTCTGAAGCTCGCTAGAGAACAGCAGGAAGAAATTGAGAGCGAAGAGAACCACATCAAGGTTGCGGAGAAACCAAGATTCCAGATGATCTCTCCCGAGTCCGACGATTCGGACGCGGATGCGGCTTACGAAGACATGACAGACGAAGGTGAAGACGAATACTACGATGACGACGAAGTCGAAGAGATCGACGAAGAGGAAGCCAAGCTTTTTGATTCATACTTCAAGTCAGGAGACAACGCTTTTGGCAGTTTCAACCTTGCAGACAAAATTATGGCCAAACTGGAAGAGACCAAACAGACCAAGACCGAACAGACAGAAAGACCACAGGACAAAGTTTTCCTCCCACCGCGGGTGATAGAGGCTTACGAAAAAGTCGGACAAAGTTTGCATCATTGGAGAAACGGAAAACTGCCAAAACTATTCAAAGTGCTCCCAAGTATCAAGAACTGGGAAGATTTGATTTTCGTCACCAACCCAGAAGCATGGACTCCTCAAGTGGTTTACGAGGCCACGAGATTGTTCGTTTCTAACTTGACTGCTAATAAAGCGGAGAGGTTCGTCAATTTGGTACTATATCCAAGAATTAGACAGGACATCGAAGAGAGTGACGAACATAAACTTAATTACCATCTCTATCGGTCCTTGAAGAAGAGTCTTTATAAACCAGCAGCTTTCTTCCGTGGATTCCTGTTCCCATTGATCCAAGAAGGATGCACAACAAGGGAGGCAATGATCGTGGGATCAGTTTTGACAAAGTGTTCTGTCCCTGTCCAGCACTCATCTGTTGCACTCTCGTGGCTTTTGGAACAAGAATTCAACCCTGCAACCACTGTTTTTATCAGAATTCTTGTTGAGAAAAAGTATGCATTGCCATACCAAACCATCGATGACTTGGTGCTTTATTTCATGAGATTCCGTGTGATCACAGACCAGAACAAGAACGACATCATTTTGGACGACGCCACAGAGATCGCTGAGCAAAGACGTCTCGCACAATCTCCTCCAATGCCATTGGTCTGGCACAAAGCATTTTTGGCATTCGCACAACGGTATAAGAATGATATCACCGAAGACCAGCGCGATTTCCTGATGGAGGTGGTGAGACAGCGTGGACACCGTGAGATTGGTCCAGAAATTAGACGTGAACTGCGTGCGGGAAGCGAACGGTCAACGACCACCGCACCAAAGGAGGACAAAGAGGACGATATCATGTCTTTCTTCTAAGCCTCACCGTGACTCACCTTAATAAATAGTGTCGAATATATGAACTCCTCGCCTTGTAAGTCGTACAAAGGTAAATGTCTGTAGCCCTGCTTTAGATATTCAAGTTTGCAAGTGTGTGTTCCGATCAGCTTTTCAGAGTTTTCATGGTTGCATTTCACCAGGAACCGCAAAAACACAAAATCCACTTCGTTGGTGAGATACTTTAGTGAACACTTTTGGTTCCAGATCGGATTGAATCCGTTCTGGATCTCCAATGGCGACTTGAAAACAGCAGAAGGTTCATTCGACTCAAACAGGTGGTCAATTAGTGATCTTCGCGATGAACTTCTATCGGGAAGGGTGTAAGTTCCTTGACTTTTGGAGAGCGATGTCATTTGTGCCTCGATAACGTCTCCAGAGTAGACTTCCAATTCCAAAAAGGCATCAAACGTTTCGCATTTGATATCTTTAGGTTTTGGAAGCTGCTGGCATGAGATCAAGTCGACGGACAAATATTTAAGGCGATTGAATTCCAAGCAGGCCAGCTGCTCTTTGTTCTGAATTTTCGGGTTCTTGACCCGCAGACATGATGGTTTCAAAACGTATCCTGAGTTGGAGCCAACGTTGAAGAGCGTTTCATTAAATTGCTGGCCCAGGTCGTATATTTGCCAGTTGGTTGCTACCAATTGGCAACCGAGCTCCCAGAAGAAGATCGGATTAAAGTTATTTGAGCTGAATCGATAGATAGAAGGGTATATTCTCATGAGGAATTTGGCGTTGTGTTTGAAGATCGCTGCCAGTTTGGTTTCCTCTTTGGACATTTTGATTAATGCCTTATCACTAAAGGAGAAACAATGATTGAACGTTTTTGATTCGGGAAGAGAGAAGTTTCTGAACTTGGCTCCAATCACGTAGATGGCAAGATCGCCAAGTTCAGGAGACAAGTTCACAGTCTTTTTCTTCTTCGGAACAATTTTCGAGATCGATGATCCGTCTTCACTAAATGAAGATAGTGAAGAAGACATGCTATCAACGGTCGATGAGCTTTGAGTGATCTTCTTCACTTTGAGTAGCACTTTGTGTTTCAATTGCTCAGGAGAGGGAAGAACATCATTTGGAGAATCAACCGGATACATAAGAAGTTGGTCTTGCAAAACATCCTTGAGAATTCTGGCTGCGAGCAACTGATTCTCAATACTGCAGCGGACTTCTAATGATATGATCACAGGATAAGGAGAGGTGATGAACGAGTATTTGCGGATTGTTTCAACAACGAGCTGGAAATCAACAGAGCTTGAAAACGTTCTTCCGTGTGTCACAACCGGTCCACCAATACTGTCCCACAAGTCAATTTCAATACTCCGACATCCACGTTGCAAAGCACGAATATATCCCTCTATGGAAGCCGTCCCATTTACCTGTTTGCCAAGAAGATATGTGTTATGCGAAGACGAGATGAAATATTCGTTCAAAGGACGAGTATATGTCTCGTTTATCTGAAGATATGGAGCAGCATACGAGCTTGAGAGATAATTTGCAAACTCGTCGAAATCCAAATACGTCTTGGACTTTGAGAACCGGAGAAATATGTGCTCTGCTTGCGAGTAAGTGAGCGACTCCTTTTGCACTTCAACAAGAAAGTTGGAAAACTCTTCAAAAGTCAACTTGTCAGCCACTGTACGTGCCTGTTGCATGAATATTTGTTTCAGCTCCTTGCGATCTCTTAAACTCTTGACAAACTCTTTGAAATCGTCAAAGTTCAAATATCCCTTATGTTGTTTATCTGCATGGTTGAAGAGCATGTTCAGGTTGTCCGTGCTGACGTGGACATGCAGTTTCGAGACGAGTTTGCGTACTCCCTCGAACGACAAGTGCTCGTTTTCTGAATCTTTATTATTCCAGTGCAAATTAGTGAACAGACCATTAATACTTTCCATTTGGTGCTTGTAGTAAACCAGATTGCTCAAAGTAGTGACAAACGTGTCGTACTCGTGTTTTCCTGGCGCAATCATGTGCAAAGCCTTGATATTGTTCAACTTGGAGTCTTTGTAATAAATGATAGTGATCCACAAATCCTTGTAATCCGACGAAACCTTGAACTCTTCTCTGTAGTTACGAGCATCATCCCCCGTTCTAATAGACTTGATCTTGTCGATCTCCAGAAACGAGGAAATTTTGTTATTCCATCTAAGATGGTTTGTGTCAAGGTCTAAACGGAAGCACCTCTTTATTTTTTTCTTATGAGTGACTCTCAGCATCTCAATTCCTTGGTCGATCAGTTCTCTTGGGATGGTCTTCTTATCGAGAGGAGCAGAGAATAATTCGTCATTCTGATAATCCAGCTTCGGTTCTGGTTTCGGCTCCTGTTTTAACTCCGGCTTGGGATCATAGTCGCTATCGTCTGAGCTGGTCCTGGACAACTTGCGTACCCTACTGATGATGCTCATGAGACTGCGCTTCTCATCACTATGGTCGCTGTAGGACTGTGTGTCGCTGCTATCTGTTTTTTTCAAGGCAAACCCAAATTTTGATATACCCCAGTGAGATCCGTCAGAGGGGGAAGACGGGAGGGGAACGTGGTTAAGCTCTGATTCCTGGGGGTCAGGGGGCGACTTATTTCGCAGCACAGAGAGCCTATTTGATAATGGAGACTTGACGGGAGCAGTCGAGCCTGCTCCGGCAGAACCTGTCATAGAGAGAATAAGTTTAAGCACCTAGCAAACAGGGTTAGTTAACTTTTTAAACTTTCACTTGGTTTAAGGTGTGGTGTAGAGATGCTCTCGCGCCCGCGAAACACGTTTTTTTTCGACAGGTTGCAGGTGATGTTTCTATTTTCGGGTTTTGAGCGGTTGCCCAAATCTGCAAGTCAGCGCTATTAGCCTCGAGTTTTTGAAAAACAAAAATAGCACAGAGAACATACCAGGCGGGCTGGCCAACGCGGAATTACATCATCCGCCTATTAAATTTTAAAAAATAACTACAGGTACTGCAGCCAAGAGAAAAACATTTTGAGACACCGCTAGGGCAAGAGGCTGGCCTTTAAAAACAGGATCTTTTTTATAAGGCCCTTTCTTTTTTGTTGCCTTTGAAAATTAAAATTAGTACACTGACGTATCAGATTTAGCGATTAACTTCCTTTATTTATACCAAAGGGTCAAGGGTCAGATCGCCAGATGTCATCGTTGACCAGCTCACCCAATTTTTCGTTTCCAAACACGGCGAAACAATCTGGCGAAACTGACTATGTTTCAGACCAGTCCAACTCGTCCACGCCTCAGAAACACACATCACGTCCAATGCCGCTGAGCTCTTTGAACGAGAACTACAAGGCAAATCTCCGCGATCACAGAAAATGCGCCAATTCGGTCTCCTCGTTGGGTTCGGACTCAACGCTTGTTGATAGCTCTGTTGACTCGTCGCACCACCCCGGCGCAAGAAACCCGTCAATAGCAAGCACAGACACCCTCTACGAACCTCCACAACTCATGTCCCTCAAGATCAAAGAAGAGGAAGAGGAGGACGACGTTCCCGAAAAATCCAAATCTCAGGAACCCACTCCGGTGAAAGCAAAATGCCATCGCTCTACGAAAAGTGAAATTTATCAAATGTCCCACCAGTCAACCGCTCAGCCCCGGTTTGCCCTGAAGGAGGTTCACAACAGTGCGGCCGACAGAACTGACGCCAATCAAGTCGAAACACCACCTGGTCCAAGCAGCGCCCCAAATCACATTCCTTCGTCCCTTTCGCTGAAAAAATACCTAACCAACACCGATCCAGTCACACAGAGACCGAGCAGATTTAAAGACATCAAGTATTCCCTACCACAAGGATGCTCGTTGACTTCGTCCGAAGACGCCTTCAGACGCATAGAGGACTGGAAGGGAGTCGTCAACGAAGACGGCTTACCCAACCTGCTGGTCGTGGACGTTAGACCGTTCCAAGACTATTGCAAGTCCCACATCACCGGCGCAGTCAACCTTTGCCTTCCCTCTACTTTACTGAAGAGATCAACATTCACATTGGATAGATGCATCGCTACGCTTACATCGGACGAAAAAGCTCTGTTCACAAACTACCTCAAGAGAAGCCCGGAAAACCTACCGGTGCTGATTTTTTACGATAATTCAACAGACTCCACCGAGTCTGCTTCGCTCTCAGTGAGCAATCTGGCCGCTAAGTTTGCTAAATCTGCAACCTGGAATGCACCAATTTATGTTCTGGAAGGAGGCTTTTCAAAGTTCCAGGAATTGTACCCCTCCTGCTTGGAGTCGGGTACTTCTGCCTCCATGCCAAAAGTAATGATGATACCAAAACAAGATTTACTGTCTCCACCGCCATCTGTTACCGTTTCTTTACCTTCGCCATCATCGTCCACATCGTCCAACGCTTCTTCCGCGAAAAAACCGAGATTTTTCAAAGACAAGTCTCCAGTGTCACATGGCCTTTCGCACTTCTTACTCCCTGACAATGCAAGCAAACCAACTTTCAAATCAAGACAGCACGAAGAGTTCCTGACTACAAGACCCGATTTCTCCATGCATCTTTCCACGAATTTAAGCTCGCCCGATATCAAGATGTTACCACCATGGCTTAGTGGGGTCATTGGCTCAGACTCCGGAGCTTCGGCATTATCCTTCAAGTTCAACATGCTACAGTTACAAGAAGTCGAACGTCTTAACCGCGCATTATCAAGACATTCGACGGTTGCAACCCCCAGCCCCGAAACCCCAAGTTTTTCCGCAGGGGTGGAGCTTGGACGGAAAAACAGATATAAGGATATCTTCCCTTACGAGCATGCTAGAGTCAAGATTCAGAAGTACGACGCTGAAGACGAGGACCTGGACCAAAACTCAAACTACATTAACGCTTCCTATTTGAGATATCCAGGTTCGCAGCTCAACTACATTGCTTCGCAAGGTCCATTGGAGGAAACCATCGGAGATTTCTGGAAAGTTGTCTATGACCACAAGGTGCCTATGATTCTATCGTTGACTGCTCAGAAGGAGAACGAGGTCGAGAAATGTGCTCCGTATTGGATTCCAGGTACCTACTCGTCTAACGGAATTTTCATACACGTTGAGCAATTGGAGGAGACCAACGACATCAAGTTGACAGAAAACTCCAATTGCGAGAACGTGGTTAGACGTTTGAGATTGAAGATCGGAAAGAAGCCTGTCCATGAGGTTATTCAGATCCAGGTTCTGTCCTGGCCCGACTACGGAGCAATGATCAGCTCGTACGATCTGATTTCGCTTGTTGCTTTCAAGAGACACATTCTGATGCGCACGCAAACGGAAAAGGTTCCGATCATGGTGCACTGCTCTGCAGGATGTGGCCGTACAGGATGTTTCTGTGCGATCGACGCCGTGATCGACCAGATAGTCAACCACCCGGAGACAAGCAACAACGACACAGATATGGTGTACGAGGTGATTTCGAATTTCAGATCTCAAAGGGTCTCGATGGTTCAGAATCTCCGCCAGTACATCTTGATTTATGACACAATATTGATGTTCAAAAAATTACAGTCCGGCACTCATCAAGGCGACAAGTCGTTCGTTTACGATTGGGATACTGACAAGTACCACATTCTCAACGAGTTTTTCGCCGACAAAGATGGTGAAGGCCTGGATCATACATAGAGTAATATATTTATTAGCCCAAAACCAATTCGTACAAAATCACCACCACGTTGACTATTATTAATGGGAATCGCAAGAGCGTTCTTGTTGCTCCTATGAGATTGACCAATCGCGACTTGATGGATTCCATCGACCCTTCCACCGGTGACGTCCCGAGGTATGAGGTGTCTGCGCTGGACGATGTGCTCCATCCAATACGGTTCAAAAACCGGTCTTCGCTCAGAACGGCAATTCCGTTCACCAGGAACAGAATGACTAAGGTTGTTAGTGTTGAATGTCGTCAAACTTACAATAAAATAGAGTTCCTAGTCCAAACATAAAGAAAGGAGTTTTTGTTAAGTGTAAAATAATCTCGTCGCGTCGAAACAAAAAGTATAATTATATTTGGTTTTACTTGTGCCAATGACATCTGCCGTTCCCTATGAGCCTGATGATTTCGACAACAATCCGTTTGCCGAGAGCAGTGTGATATTCCAGCCTCCAGAACAGGGCTCGTCGGAGCCGGAAGAACCTCAGGAACAAAGCTCAACGCTCTCAGGAAATGAAGAGGCCTCTCAGTCGCAGCAGCCACGAGAACTCGATTCACCTTTCAATCACAAACCAACAGACGAAGACCTTAAACGGTATCTTCCTGAGCGATTGAACAAGAGTTCGTTCCAGCTAGCCATCAAGGTGGTGGAGATTGGCAACAGGGGGTCAGAGATGGCAAAAAACCCTGTTTTCGTTCTTGCTGCTTCTGTCCAAAATATCCCCGGGTTCAGGAAATCAACCTACAAAGACGTCAGACGGTCTTACAAAGAGCTGGAGGCACTCTACCGGTATCTGATTTATAATAATATCGAGGTGTTTGTGCCTGCGTTTCCTGTTATTCCAACAATCTACAATGTTGGGTCTCCGGAATTCGTTTCTACTCTGCACAAGTCTGTCCAGGTGTGGTTCAACAGAGTGTGTTCGAACCCGATTTTGATCAGAAACCAAGAGTTCACCTTGTTTTTGGACCAGAACGACTTTAGTTATACCCCGTCGAAAACAAAGCCAAACAGCAGTTCTGTGATGGCTACCGGGTTCAAACGCCGCACATTGAAGCAATTCCAACCTCCTTACGACGCCTCGCAGGAATTGGCTTCTTACCGTCCAATGATCAAGAGTATCTATCTTGCTAGTCAGAAAATAGTGGAGAAACTGGACAAGCTGCTTCGATTACAGAAATCGTCTTGCAATGTCAACGCAGACTTCTACAACAAACTTGCTGGGTTCCAGGAGCTTGAGGAGAGCTCGGAAATGTCCAAGATGTGGGTCAAACTCAACAAAGTGCTGCAGTTGTACAATGAAATGGACTTAGTGGAAGGAGTGGGTCTATCTGCAAATCTAACAGATCTGTTCCAACTGTTGACCGACGACTGCTACAATATCAAAGAATCGCTCACCAACCGCCATCTTTTGATGCGCGAACTTCTGAACGCCGAAGATAACACCAAGAAACGCCATTCGACCATCGCCAGACTAAAGACCAAATCTATCATCGATCCTGTGAAAGTCGACGAGGCTATTCGCGCTCTCGAACTGGCCAGCAACTACGAGAAGGAGCTCAAGTATCAGGTTAAGAGAACGACCTACGAGATGCTGCTAGAGGCTGACGAGTTCTTGGTGTATCTGACTGGTGTTGCCAGAAAAACTTTCAAAATGATAGCTCAGCAACAGATCCAACAGCAGCGAAAGAAGCTGCATCTGCTGGATACTAACAAGCTGATCCACCCAACAGAGTCATTGAGCAGACTGGGCCGAGAATCGATGGTGCAGAACTCGAAAAACGAGTCTGGCTCAAGAGACTCCTCGGACCCGTGGAACTCGCGCCCTAAAAAGAAGTTCGAGACCGAGATCGCCGAACCGCTATCTGCCGACTCCTCGTTGAAGGACGATACGAACGATCAACTGGCCAGGGTCGATGCCAAGAGCGCAGCTAGTTTGCTTGCCAACTCGTCCTTTTAGATGGTGCACGGATGTGTACGCATTCTTCCCCCCAAAAAAAGAATAAATCTATAATCTGTCTAGACAGGAAGTAAATCGAGTACAATAATATGTTCAAGAAGAGGCTTGGAAGTTTGAGCAGAAAAGGTGACAAGAGTCCAATCGATGCTCCTCCGGAGACTTCGCCCAAGATGCCATCGATGCCGTCGATTTCGCTCCCACGGTCTCGAGGCGCATCTGGGATTTCGGCCGGGCTCGATACCATTCCCTTCTCCATCGAGGAGCTACAGACTTATGGTATTGCAGGCAAGGTGAAGACTTTGGCATTTGATCCCATGCAGAGTTTGATGGCAATTGTCACCGATTTGAACCATGTCCATATATTTGGTCAGAGCAGAGTTGGCTTCGCACTTACATTGACAACAACGAGTGCTATACGTGGACTGCGGTTTGTCAAGGGCGTCTATTTGGTTGCGATCGACTCTTTCAACACGATATTTGTGATCTCGCTCGCGTCCAAAAAGCTCTTGCACAAGATTGTTGCCAATAACCAAATCACGGCTTTTGAGACAGACTATTCTTTGGAGTTTATCTATGTTGGTCTGAACAATGGTACAGTTAAAGCGTACAACGTGGAGACTGGGCTTGAGACCATTTTGTCTCTTCGCGAGCAACAGTACCATACCTTCATCCTGGAGAGTTCGGTTCAGGTCACCTCCATTAAGCTGAGTCCGCGTGACATTGGCACATTACTGATTTCGTACCCAAAGATGACGATCGAGTTCAATCTGGCGGAAAATCGCGCCGTGAAGGAGTTTATCTACAAACTGCCCCGTGGTGCCCCTGGTGGAGAAAACGCCACGTACAAGTACGATGCTACCGGGTACTACATTCCGAACGTTGTCCAGTCGTTGTGGCATCCAAACGGACTTCACGTGGTCACAATCCACGACGACAACTCGCTGGTTTTCTGGGACGCGCTGACCGGAGAACAAATCCTGGCCCGCTCGCCGTTTGACAGCTATGTCGACACTCCATCGGGAGAATCCCATAGTGGTCAGAAAATGACAAAGATCCGCAAAGCAGCATGGCTTTGCGAGAGCGATCCGGAAAAGACGTCATTGTTGTTCTGCGGAGGAGACTCATATGAAACAGAAGGGTATCACCAGATCGTACGGATGGATTTTGGGAGAATGCTATCATATTCCATGACCAGCTACACTCAGATGGCCAAATATTATGCTCAGCCAAAACAGCAAAACATATTTGCAATTCACGCTGCTGCAAGTATTGTTGATTTTGTTCCACTGGGAGAGGAGTCTCCGTATTACGATGGCAACCACGGACCGAAATTGATCGCGCTGACGCTCAGCGACGGGTCTTTGAAGTTTATGAATTACCCAACTGGAAACCTATCTTTTAGGGCGAACTTGTTCCCGTCTACGATATCGTGGCTGAATCCGAAAATCACTTACTCGTCCTCGTCTTTTATTGACAAGAAGGTTTTGAATGGGATAATAGATACACAGACGAAGCAGCAGAGCGTTTTGAAGGGAGGTATTCCTGGTCGGCCAAAGTACAAAGCAGACGTTGGTTCGGTGATCATTTCTGGACACGAGAACGGCTACATTCGCATTTGGAGCTCCTCGGAGGGGGAATTGGATAGTTCCAAGGCGTTTGAGATCGACATCTCGCGGATTCTGCTGGACGACTCTCCACAGTTCTCCATTTCTCGCGTCTCCTTTGCACCAGAGCAGCTGGAAATCTCGTGCAGCATGTACAACGACGACGTGCTACTATTCAGTTACCAACAAAACAAAAACTTCCAGCCCACCGAGGGAGACCTGAACAGACGGATGAGTTCGTTGGAGCTCTCGTCTACTAAAGCTGAGAAGCAAATTATAGATATCAGCGACAGAGCTCCAAGAGACCTGAAAAAAGGGTTTTTGCCCAAAGTCTTGATTAAGAGCATGGGATACGGGAAGGTGACTGCGCTGTGCAATAGTAATATCGGATTTGTGGGAATTGGATACGAGTCGGGACAGCTGATTGTGGTTGACCGCAGAATCAATGCTGTTATTTTCAACCATCAGTTGGTGGACGATGGACTATCATTAGCCATTTATCCGACCTCCATTGAGTTCGCGTATGGCCAGCCTGGTTTGGTGATGTTGGTTGGAACAAGAATTGGTCGGCTTTTAACGTTTGAGATCACTAACTCTGGCAGATTTTCGTTGCGGCTGATCGACCAGCTCGACTCCAACGACGGAGAAATCACAGAAATCATCCCAATCAATTCAGACACCGGACGTCCAGCAACAGCCAGTATTAGACATGTGAACTCGCCCGTTTCCGCAGACCGTGTTCCGCTGAGCATCATTACGGCTTCCTCCAGCGACGTGAGGATAGTGAAGAACGGCTCCAAGATGGCCCACAAGACGTTCGGCAAGGGAGAATTGTCCAAGGTGGGGATCACAGGAACGAAAACCCAAAAAGGTAATGTTGCCTTTTGTCTGGTTGCAATTCTGGGAGCGTCCAAGAAGTTTGTGGTGTATTCCATTCCGTCCTTGTCAGAACTGACAAACATGCGCATCCCGTATAGAGTTGATCCAAAACTTGTATCACAGAGCTCTGTGCTTCCATTGGGAGACGTGTTTTTGAGAATCAATGCCACGGAGGCCGCACTGGTCAATATTATGGGTCTTCGTCAACCAGTGTTATCTCTGGAGACTATCAATGGGGACGACATCTTATTCTTGCAGAACGTCCTAATTCCTTACCGACCAACGACAAACTACTTTGTCAAGGGAACATCGTCGTTGACATATTCGAGACTGTACAGCCTGCTGGTTGGCAGGGATCGTCCTGCCAGTTCGACGAAGCCAGAGTACGAACTAGCGTGGAACATTTCTCCGTACAATCCGTCAAACCACACGTTGATGGGCGTGTCGAAGCCAAAGTACTACGACCCTAACGCCCTGCACCAGCACCCGGGACTGACAGAAAAACCGGTTGCACCATTGAACGTTTCGTCAGTGACCAAGAGCATCTCCAGATGGACGAATCTGGCGCAGAACCGGCTCGACACTGCCAACGACCGCGTCGACGACTATATGAACGACATGAACGATAACTTCGACAATTTCGTCTCAGATACAAAGTCCCAGGCCATCAAGGGGCTGCTTGGAAGCAAGCTTGGTCTGTGAGCCCATGGAGCCCGGTGTGAGGTGTGTCCACGCCAAAGGTTTAAAAAATAAGTTATGCACGGTTAATGTAAAATAAACAGGATATGGAGCTTCTTCAGAACTTTATGAGCACGCCCAGCGCGAGCGAAAAGGAGGTGAACGACTCAATTACCACCTTGGTGGATCGTCTTTCGCATTCCACTTTGCTCACTGACCGGCGTGCCGCTGTTCTCGGACTCAAATCGTTCAGTAGACAATACCGAGAGATAGTCATTGCAAATGGGCTCAAGAGCCTTGTTTCCACTCTCCATAAAGACGTGCTGGATCTCGACATTGTGAAGGCTGTTTTGGAGACATTGTTGATCCTGTTTATTCGCGGCGAGGGCGACGAAGATAGAACAAGAAGCTGGATTAGCCAGCAGAGTCGACTGAAAAATGGAAAGTATCCGTCGCCCAGCTTGTTGATGGAGAACGTCACTGACCAGTTTTCGCTGTGGATTTTTGACGAGCTAACGCAGTCGGTCAAGAGTTTCGATATATTGGTGGATCTTGTCGAGGTTAACGATATCCATATCAAATTGTACTCGTTGCAGTTATTACAGGCTCTGTGCTCTACTCGTCCCATCAGAACCAAAGAGCTGATCCTCAAGTCGCCGTTGGCGATCTCGAAGCTGTGTCAGGTACTTGACGATCCGTATGAGCCAATAAGGAACGAAGCTATTTTACTTCTGATGGGAGTGGTCAAAGACAACTTCAACATACAGAAACTGGTGGTGTTCGAGAACACGTTCGATAAACTGTACAAAATCATCGAGGAAGAAGGAGGAATAGAAGGTAACATCGTTGTTCAGGATTGTCTGTCTTTAATCTCGAACTTGCTTAGATACAACGCCAGCAACCAGAAATTCTTTGTCGAGACAAACTGCATGTACAAACTGGCCGAATTTCTGAACCAACCGCTTTCCGAGAGCGAATTAGGGCCGTTTGTCTGGAACGAGCAGAGACTTCAGAACTTGATCACCACGCTCGATACCTGTCGATTATTTGTTGCTGATGGAGTGGAAGCCATTGCTCAGGCCCAATTGGGTCTGGTCAAGTCTGACGTGCTCATGCTCATTTTGCGACTGGTTTTCTCTCTCAGTGTTCCGAATATTGTTCGGGTCCATTCTTTGTTAACAACTGCAGACATCATAAGATCCAACTCGGAGATCCAGCTTCAATTCTCACAGATAGACGTCCCATACTTAGACCCTACCCTGCCTGCAGCCGCACAAAGGATGGAGGAGGTGGTTCCAGTGATAGACGCGCTGCTCCATTGGAGTTTGTATGCCAACTCTGTACATCTGTTTGATCTTAGAATGGCTTCGGCGATGGTTTTGCATGCTTACTTTATGGACAACGAAGACGCAAAGTATGCGTTCTTAAAGGATCAGAAGTATGAATTCAACAAAATGAACGGTGTTCCTAATAGCGAGGATGAAGAAGACGAAGAATCTGGACAGTCTTCCGAAGAAGAAACCAACGGGGCCAACGGTGCTGCCGAAGAGAACGGAGAAAGCAGAAGTCCGTCTGTAAGTCTCACTGGCGCCAACTTGTTCGAAACCCTCATAAACGTCGATAGCGAGCTGCAACTGAACCCGTACAAGGTTTGGTTTGCAAGCTTGATTCTGCTCTACGTGTTTGAGGACTACTCAGAAGGACGCGAACTAGCCATGACCATTCAGATTGGAAACGCCAGTGCCAACGAGGACGTGCTGAATATCATCGAGGCAATTGGACAAGCATTGTGCTCGAGTTTGCGGTTCAAAGATCCCCGTGTCTCAATTGCGTACTCTATGCTTCTTAGTGTCTGGCTCTGGGAGAACTTCAAGGCTGTTGATCTTTTCTTGCACGATCCGTCGATCTTGGATCAACTTCTGGCCCATTTGGTGGAGTCAAGCAACGAGAACCAGCTGGTGCAAGGAATAATTGTCATTTTGCTGGCTATCGTTTACGAATTTTCAAGAAAAAGCTCGCCCGTTGGCAGACAGCAGCTGAATTTACTGCTCAAGAGTCGTATTGGTGAGCACGCTTTTAGCTTAAAAGTCCAACAGTTTGAGAAGAGCGATGCGTTTGTGAACTTTGATGATGAAGATTTACTGACACCGGAAAGAGACGACACGGGTCTGCCTCAGGTGTATTTCGATGGCATATTTGTCAAACTAGTCAAGGACAACTCAAGGCGACTGAGAGGTGCTGTGGGGCACGATCCTTCTTTTGATCCGCTGGAAACTCTTAGTTTTGAAGCATTCGAGACGGTGCAGAACGACTGCTTGAAATTATCGGAAAGTCTCAAGAGCTTGCGCGAGGAGTCTGATTCGTTAATCGAGAAGCAACAGGCAGAGATCAAGCGGCTTGTTTCTGAGTACGACGAACTGGCAAAGAACTTTGAGTCTTCCAGATCCGAGCTTGAGAAAATCCAGAACGACAAAGAGCTTCTTGATAGTAATTACGCCAAAACGACAGGAGACTTTTCCAAATTGACCGAGTTGAAACAAGAGCTGGAAAAGAACTTGGGGTCGTTGACGGGACAGCACCAGGAAGCTGTTTCCAAGATTTCTACATTGGAAATCGAGAACAAACAGCTCACTGAAAGATTGAATTCCATTGATCAGCAGAAGAGCAAAGCTGAGGATGGAATTAATAAGATGAGCAGAGAGCTGATGCAGTTGACTAGAGAGAAAGAGAACCAGACCAAGACCGTGAAAAATATGGAAAAGGAAGCAGCCAAGCAGGTCAAGGCTCAAGAGAAATTGAAGCAGCAAATTTCTCAGCTTGAAGGGACAATTACTTCACTGGAATCCCAGATTAAGAGCCTCGTGGCCGAGAAGAAGAGAGGAGACGATAATTACGGAAGCCTCCGCAAGAGTTACGAAGAAACTGTCGCTAAATTGAAGGCTACAGAGAAAGAGGTTGAGCTTTCGCGTGGGAACCATTCTGAAGCAACCCGTAGTTTGGAGATTTTGAAGAAAGAATCTGAAGAGTCTACCAGCTCGTTGAGATCACAGTTGATGACATTGACCAGTCAGAAGGGTGAGCTGGAGGCTCTGAATGAACAGACCTTGACACAGCTTGCCGAGCTCAGAAAAGAGAGCGAGAAGTTTAAGAAAGAAGCCCAGGAGCAGCACGAGAAGCTGCTTCGGGAGAAAGAAGAACTCGAGGCGGCACACTTGAAGGAAAAAGAAGCATGGAAAGACGAGAATGCAAAGTTCCAAGAAGAAAAGGCCTCGGAGATCGAGAATTTGGAAAAGAAGATCAAGTCTTTGACCGAGTCAAAGAACGACATATCTGCTGTTCAGAAGAAGTTGGTTGATGTTCAAAACGAGAAGGAGGCTTGCGAAAAAACGATCGCGTCTTTGAAAGCCGAGCTGGGAGAGACTCGCGAACTGAAGAACACAGCTACTGAGGAGAAAAAGTCTCTAGAGTCAACAATATCCATGATTTCTGTTAATGTTGACGCGAAAGACGAGGAATGTCGTCGTTTGATGAAAGAAAAAGAGCAGTTGAAAAAGGAGAAAGACGACCTGAGTAAGGAGACGAAGGATAAGATTGTGGAGCTCGAAGCGCTCAAGAAGAAAGTTTCCGAACTCGAAAAAGCCACGAAAGATCTGTCTAGTCACTCGGAGACAATTGAATCTTTGAAGTCTGAACTGGCTGAGAAAGAGACATTGAAGACACAGGCTGTTTCGGATGTGGAGAAGATCGTGGAGAAGCTGCGTGGAGAGCTTGAATCTAAGGGCAAGGAGATCGAGAAGGAAAGAGAGCTACTGAGTGGAAACTCCGAGGCAATTGTGAAGGAGTATTCCGAGAAGATCACCGGGTTGGAAGAAAAGGTCAGGGAGCTGGAGTCCCAGAGGGAAAGCGAAGTACAGAAACTGAAGGACGAAGTGAAGACCTTGACGTCCAGCCAGACTAAGCACAATAAGGACACCACCAAGCAGAAAAAGGAGCTGGAGGACCTGAAGCAGAAACACGCCGACTTTGAGAAGCAGGCCAAACAGAAGGAGGAGGAGCTGGCTGGTAAGGCCAGCGAGGTTGATTCCTTGAAACAGAAGATGAAGGAACAACTTCGGGAGCTGATCGATCTCAAGAAGGAGAAGAAAGAGATGGACAAGCTAAAAGAGCAATCCAAGGAGCTGGAGAAGCACAAGGAGAGAACTTCAGACTACGAGGCCCTTGAAGACCACAAAAACAAGACTTCTGATTACGACGAGGTCAAGAAGAAGGTTTCGGAGTACGAGCAGTTCAAGGAGAAGGTTGCTGACTATGACGATCTGAAGAAGAAGGCGTTTGAGTATGAGGAGCTACAGAAGAAGGTTGCGGACTACGACGAACTCAAAGCTCAAGCTGCTGAGGCCGAGAGTTTAAAGAAACAGCTGACAGACCAAGAACAGCTGCAGAAACAGGTTTTGGAGCTGGAGGCCAAGCTGAAGTCTACCGAGACCAAGCTGGAGGAGATGGTTCCAAAAGGAGACCTGGACGACTTAATGTTGTTGATGAGCGAGCTGGACGAGAAGAACAAGGAGATGAAGACAAAACTCAAGTCGCTCGGCGAAGAAGTCAGCGACATGAGCGACGAGGAGTCCGACGAGGAATGACCATAGAGTGTACATAATATTTTCTAGCACAGCCGTGGAAATAAATGCCAAATTATTTTGCCGGACCCCACATTTTAGTTTTCACATGCAGGAGAGCAAGAGTATATAAGATGGAGGGGAGGATGTCAGTTTTGGCATGAGCGAAGTTACATTAAAGGATCTAGTTGTTATTATCACCGGGGCCGGCGGAGGTCTCGGTAAGCAGTATGCGCTGAGTTTTGGAGCGCGTGGAGCCAAAGTGGTGGTTAACGATTTGGGGGGCACGCTTGGTGGCTCCGGAACGTCCACCAAGGCTGCCGATTTGGTGGTGGAGGAGATTGTGAAAAATGGCGGTCAGGCTGTGGCCAATTACGATAACGTGGTCACCAACCCGGAAGGAATTGTGAAGACGGCTGTGGACACGTTTGGAAGCGTGCATGTGTTGATCAACAATGCTGGAATCTTGAAAGACTCGTCGTTCAAGAACATGTCAGAGAAGGATTTCCAAGCGGTTTTAGACGTGCATCTCAACGGAGCGTTTAGGCTGACAAAGCTGTGTTGGCCGATCTTTAGAGACCAGAGGTTTGGCCGGGTTATTATGACCACTTCTCCAGCCGGACTTTATGGCAACTTTGGCCAAACCAACTACTCGGCAGCCAAGCTGGGTTTGGTTGGTCTTGCTGAGACACTTGCCAGAGAAGGCGCAAAGTACAACATCAAGGTGAACGCGATTGCTCCGCTTGCCAAGTCGAGAATGACAGAAACGGTGATGCCTCCTGACGTGTTGCAAAGACTGCTACCGGAAAAAGTTGCGCCGCTAGTTTTGTATCTGAGTTCTGTGGACTGCGACTGCTCGGGCTCGATCTTCGAGGTTGCGGCTGGCCTGTTTGCGCAGATCCGCTGGGAACGGAGCGAAGGTGCTCTGTTCAAGCCAGACGAGTCTTTCACTCCAGAAGCAATATTGAACAGGTACCCAGAGATCACTGACTTTGAAAACCCGCAGCACCCAACACAGTTGAACGATTACAATCGCATCATTGAGCAATCGTCCAAGCTGCCGGCCAACGACCAAGGTAGCACCAAGATCACGTCGCTTAAAGACAAGGTGGTCATAGTGACGGGAGCTGGTGCCGGACTGGGACGCAGCCACGCTTTGTTCTTTGCCAAGTACGGAGCAAAAGTGGTGGTGAACGATTTCAAAGACCCGTCTCAGGTGGTGCAAGAGATAGAAAAGGCCGGAGGTACGGCTGTCGGGTCTCGCCACGACGTGTTCGTCGAACCGGACAAGATTGTGAAGACGGCTATCGACTCTTTTGGAACCGTGGACATCCTCGTCAATAACGCAGGTATTCTCAGAGACCGCTCGTTTGCCAAGATGTCGCAGCAGGAGTGGGATCACGTGATCAACATCCATCTGGTTGCCACGTTCAAGCTGTGCAAGCTTGTGTGGCCGATTTTCCAGGAAAAGAAGTCGGGCAAGATCATCAACTTCACCTCGACCTCGGGCATCTACGGGAACTTTGGCCAGGCAAACTATTCTGCTGCCAAGGCCGCGGTGTTGTCGTTTACACGGAGTCTGGCTAGAGAGGGAGCCAAAGCCAATATCAGCTGTAACGCGGTGGCTCCGCATGCAGAGACGTCGATGACACGCACAATTTTCCAGAAGAACGAGCTGAACAAGTTTGGTGTTGAACAGGTGTCTCCGTTTGTGGTGCTGTTGGGCAGCGACGAGCTAAAGGTGACGGGCGAGCTATTTGAGGTTGGTGCCGGATGGGTTGGAAACACGCGGTGGCAGCGAGCTTCAGGGGCCGTTTCTCATGACGAGAATATAACTCCCGAGTTTGTCAAGAGTCATTGGAAGGAGATCACTGATTTTAGCAACGGCACGCATCCTGCTTCTCCATCAGAGTCTGCTATGGCTATCCTGGATAGTGTTGGTGGCGGCGATGAAGATGAGGACGAAGACGAGGACGAAGACGAGGAGGAAAGCAATGACGACAAACCAAAGGATGATGGCTACACTTATGACCACCGCGACGTGATCTTGTACAATTTGTCTGTTGGAAGCCACGCGAACGAGCTGAAATACGTGTACGAGAACGACGATGACTTCCAGGCCATTCCGACGTTTGGAGTTGTTCCTGTGCTGAACAACGGCGAGGACTCGTTCGATTTCAGCGACCTGGTCAAGAACTTTGATATAACAAAGCTTCTCCATGGAGAGCACTATTTAAAGATCGCCAAGCCGATTCCAACGTCTGGACGACTCGAGACCAAGTCAACGCCCGTTGCAGTATTCAACAAGCACAAGAATGGCAAGAAGAACAGTCTCGTGATCCAGAGCTATGAGACGTACGACAAGAACAACGAGTTGGTGATTTACAACCAAGGATCTTACTTTATCAGAAACGGGGAGTCTAGCACGGGCAAGGACCAGCTGTTGAATAAGCGAAACATTCCTTTCTTGAAGAACAGCTTCCAAAGCTCAGGAAAGCCTGATTTTGAAGGGTTCTATCAAACGTTCACAGACCAGGCTGCTCTATACCGTCTAAATGGAGACTTCAATCCGTTGCACATTGACCCAGTGTTTGCCAAAGGCGGAAACTTCCCACGTCCTATTCTCCACGGGCTGGGAACTATGGGAATCAGTGCTAAGGTGTTGCAGGACCATTACGGGCCGTTCGACGAGATCAAGGTGCGGTTCACCAACGTTGTGTATCCCGGAGAAAAGCTCAAGATCCTGGGCTGGAAGACGGGCCAAAACGTGGTCTTTCAAACGTGGAGCGTCGACAGAAACTCGCTGGTGATCGACCAGGCCGGAATCAGGCTCCGTGAAACCAAATCTAAATTATAAGTAGCTGAATTTATTATAATGATCTATAGATTCCGCTGTTCCACGTTTCGTTGAAGTGAGGTCCTAGCTGTTTCTGACTGAGCTCGATTAGCTCTTTATCTTGCGAGTCTTTGGATTTCTCCAGGATCGTCTTGTATTGGGATAAAGCAGAGTTGAGCTCGTCAATATTGGACACTCCAATGACTGTCTTCCCGTTCTTGGGAAGCCATTCTCTAATTGCGAATCTGGTGGCCAGCTCCGCCAGTTCTGTATTGTAGGTCTGTTTCAAGGTGGTTGCAAGACCGGCGCATGCATCCTTGAGTTCCTGCGACGCTGGATGGAACGATCTGGTTTCCTGGGACCGGAGCAGTGACATCGACAGGATCGAGGCGTTGTTCAACAACTGGATACCAGTGGCCATGAACTTGTCATACCAGTCCAACAGGGACGTGTTTTGCAGACACATGTTGGAGTAGCTAAGAACAAGGTCCAGTTTCCCGATCTTTGGATGAGAAGCACTGGTGGAGCAGATATGGTACAAGAACGGGACAGGGTAGCCAGAAATACCCACGTTACGGATGAAACCTTGGCTCTTGAGCTCCATAAGACGTTCTAGAGCAGCAAAAATGCCCCGCTCCTCAACAAACTCGATATCGTGAAGATAAACCACGTCCAGGTAAGTCGTGTTAAATCTCTCTAGGGACCGATGGACGGACTTGGTGATCCAGTCCGGGGAGTAGTCGAAATCGTCCAGCTGAATCCGACCGACCTTAGTGCACAAGTAGTAGTTGTCTCTGGCGATTTTGCCTCGTTTGTGCAAGTTCTGGAGAGCGTCGCCAATGAGTTGTTCAGAAGGCCCGTAATAAGGAGAAGTGTCAATTGCGTTGATATTGTTCTGGAACGCCGCGTACAAAAGATCCTCGATCTTCATCGAGTATGGGTCGTCATTGTACTGGGTGTTGAAGGTTGCACCGCCCAGAATGAGCGGCGAGATATCCTGCAACTTGCCAGAGACTTTTGGGATGGACATTAATAATTGAGAAATAATTTGTGATCGAAAAAAGTTAAATGGCAAAGGGGAAAAGGGCAATTGAGGAATCCAATGGCGCGGAATTCCAGCACGAGGTAGGTTGGCGCGTATATTAGACGCCAGAACGCGACTAACGGCAGCTTGGCACCGAGAAAAGACGTGTTACCGTTCGCAAGTTCCGCGGAGCAACGCTGATCGATATCAGAGAGTATTACCAGAAGGACGGCAATTGGCTGCCTGGATCCAAGGTAAGTTATACGATAACACGACTAACTTCAGGGAATCTCGCTGACGGAGGAACAATGGGCAATTTTGCGCGGTCTTGTTGACGACATTGACCAGTCCATAGCTCGACTAGAACCAGAGACCAAGAAGTTTAAGAGCGAGGAAAAGGTGGTCGATAGCGAAGACGAGGACCAAGATTCCCCCGCCGCGGTTAAGTCAGAACAACAAACGTCAGACGAAACGTCACAAGAATAAATTCCTAATTAGGTGGTTATCTAATCAGTATTTGGTATCTAAAATGTCAGAATCTTTTTCTCTTGTTTGCTATGAGTGGCACTTCGAATCGGCGATCCAGCAAGGATTTTGAAACAGAGACCGACGCCTTTGGCGTGATCCAGAACGACGTATCTTCAGATTCGTCTGTTGGGTATGATCCTGTGATCGACCATCGAAGACACTCTGTCAGTGTTTCTGCTCCAAGACGTTCGCATCCGCGGAAAAGGGGTCCAAGTATCAGTGCTCCTGCTGTTTCGATGGACCATCCTCGAACTCGACTAAATAAGGTCTTGGCATCGGGAAGTTTGAGCTCGTCGTCTCCAAGACACAAGTACAACTCGTTGGACGAGGTGAGAGAGTCCAAGTTCCAGAAATTCAAAAGCTATAATAATGCCCTCAAGCAAAACCATTCTTTGAGCGGAGTCCAATATAAAACCGAAAATCCGTTCGAATCGACTTTGAAACGGTCCTCTTCCCCAACATCTCCATACAAGGATGACCCTAACTCCGATTCGTACGGTTCTGGAGACGAGGACGAGGAGTCAAACTCAGTGTACGGCTCGTCTAATCCGTCTTCTAGGAGATCGTCCAACGCCTCTTCTCTGGACGACGTTTGTTTCCCCGTGGAGAGTCTGGATGAAGCTGGAAAGCGCAAGGTTTGGCCTGATATCTCTGTTCTACAGCAGTTCGTCGACGAAGAGCTGGAAGAGTTCAAAAAAATCACAGAGGCATCCACTGCTCTGTCGCAGCAGTCCTCTGCAAACGGAACAGAGGACCGGATCAATTTCCAGTATCCGTTGGTCTCAAACGTTGAACCAGGAGAAACAGAGCCCCTTTTTGTTCAAAATGAAAGTGAAAGGGATATACTCAATGGAAGGCTTAGGCCTCGCAGGGTTGTTCCCTGGGGCGACTCTAAACACATGACAACCGAGATTGAAGAAATTAGCCAGCCAAAAAGTCTCAGATTCACCTATTTCAGAGAGGACTTGGAGAACACCATCCACGCATCTAACATCTCTGGGCTTGTTCAGAACAAATATTCCTTGGGTGATCTTTTTGGACGCTATTCGGCCGAGCATGGCCACCAGACACCATACATTGCTACTACCCAACCGTCTCAAGCGAACCTCAAACCAAGAGTCTCGGGAACGTCCACACCAACACCTTCGATAATTGCAGAGAGTAGCAGCTCTGCGTCTGAAGTGCCCCCATTTTGGCTAGACGTTCTTAATCCTACCGAGGAAGAGATGAAAGTACTTTCCAAGGCTTTCAGCATCCACCCATTGACGACAGAGGACATTTTCATGGGAGAGACCAGAGAAAAGGTGGAACTATTCAAGGACTACTATCTTGTGTGTTTCACCTCCTTTGACGTGGTTCAAGAACACCATAATAGGAAAAAAGCATTAGAGAGAGCGTTGGGATCGTCTACCATGTCTGATGACGAGAGCGTTTCAAGCAAGCAGCGTAAGAAAGCTTGGTATCGCCGTACGTTAAGCCAGCTCCTGCAAAGGAAAGGATCTGCTCACGAGCTCGACAAACAACGGGCTCCTTCTATGATTTCCAAGAAACGAGAAGGTGGAAAGAAGAAAAAGAAGAACGGCGATTTGGAACCTCTCAACATGTACATAATAGTGTTCAGGGATGGTGTGATCACCTTCCACTCGAAACCAACTCCTCATCCAGTGAATGTTCGTCGCAGAATCCGGTTGCTTAAGGATTACTTGAGTGTGACTCCGGACTGGATTGGATATGCTCTTATTGACGACATTACCGACGCTTATGCTCCATTGATCGAAAGTATTGAAGACGAGGTGAACGCTATTGAAGACACAATATTGGTAATGCAGAGCGGAGTAGACTCTGACGACGACTCTGACAGTGAAAGTGATGAAGAGGAGGAGAAGGTTTGGCTGAAACTTAAGAGACGAACATCGACTGTGGATAAGTCGTCGCTATTTTCGTGGAAGTCAAAGTCATCGGCTTCATCATCTTCTTCACAGGACACTAGAATTTTGAGCTGGAAACGGAAAGGAGACATGCTGCGTCGTATTGGGGATTGTCGCAGAAGGGTCATGTCTCTACTCCGACTTCTCGGTTTCAAGGCAGATGTGATCAAGGGATTTTCCAAGAGATGCAACGAGCGGTGGGAGGTTGCACCAAGGTCTGAGATTGGAATGTATCTTGGTGATATCCAGGATCACATAGTTACCATGGTACAGAGTTTGAATCACTACGAAAAGCTTCTCGCACGGTCTCATTCCAACTACCTCGCCCAAATCAATATCGACATGACCAAGGTGAACAATGATATGAACGACATATTGGGAAAGATCACCATTCTTGGTTCGATCGTGCTTCCGCTGAACGTTGTTACCGGATTATGGGGAATGAATTGTATTGTTCCCGGTCAAGACTCTCCTGGTTTGACTTGGTTCTGGAGCATCTGTTTCAGTATGCTTGTGTTTGCAGTGACAGCCTACATTTATGCTAGAAAAGTCAGTGGAATCGTTTAATTTACATATCAACGAGATAGTTACTTGGGGCAAGGCCGGAATCACCAGTGTTGACGTTTTCTGCAAACCACCAGCCGTCTGGCTGTTGGTGCAAGATCATTAGAATATCACGTTTTTTGAAGGAGAGCTCCTGTTCGATACTCGCAGTATACGAATACTGGGCACGACAATATTTGAGAACAGGGAATCCTTCTGACGATCTGGATGGCAGGTTTGTTTGATTAACAAATTTTCCTTTCAGAGTTGTGGACGACTTGGACTTTCTCATGGAGCTGTTTCTTGTTATTGAGGTGATTCTTTTGTCGTTGGTTGTTTCAAGCTTTGGCTCGTCGCTAATTTGCATCGATTCACGGAACTTTGACATGCTTCCGTTTCCACCCAACTTGAGGTCGCTTAAATATGCCTCCAACGGATTCACAGGCTGTTCCGACTTGCCAAAGATATTGAACTTTCCAAGACGGATAGGTTCTGTTGGCCTGTCTGAGAGCATGGAATGTAACAATGGATTGGAGTAGGTGGACTCCTGTTTTGATTGTTTGAATGGGTCTTCATGTGCACTGGAAGCTGTTGTTTCGTCTGAGTAATCAGAAAAGACGTTGTGAGAGTTGTGCTCTGACCCGGTGGCATTGCTTGTACGCATTTGGGACATCTGGGACGCCTCCTGCTGGGCTTCTTCTTGGAGCTGTTTGAAAGTCTCCTCACGTCTGTCAATGAGATCAAATTGGACCTGTTGTGTTTCAGTTGGCTTTGGAGGTGGCACCTTCTTGCGTTCGCGCTGCTCTCTTTGTGCCGAGATCTTTGGAATGCTGCTCAGGTCGACTGTTTGAATGCCGCCTTTTCTTTGAGGAACACTTCCATGCGCATAGTCAATGAACTCGATTGGTGAAGCCATGGTTTTACCTGTTTTGAACTCGTCAACGAAGGCAGAAACGTCTGCCCGGTAAGAACATTTCTCCAGACTCAAACGGATATTTTCACAGCTTTGGTCGTCAGTGATACAGGTCGAGCTGACGGTGTTTGCGTACTCCCAAACGTTGGCCTTGATGGTTTTAATTTTTTCCTCCTCCATGGACTGCAACGTCTCACAGCAGGAGAACCACTCGTTTTTCCATACATCCAACATGTTGTTGTACTCATCCACCATTTCACGGTATTCCGCGCGTTCAACACTCATCTGTTCCACCATCTTGTTGACCTTCATTTGTGTGCGATATGCCTCAGTCTCGTCCATCAGAATCTGCTCTGTTTTATAGTTGTTGATCTTGATCCAATGGGCCTCATACTTCTTCCGTGCAAGTTCCACCTTGGACTCCAGATGGCGTCTGTGTTTGACAAGTTTGGCAATTCCCGTCTCCAACGCTTTACCGCGAGATTTGCGTTCGGTAAGATATTCTTCCAGCGGATTATAAACATCGGTTGCAATTCTGTTTGCTTGCGTATAGTGGCTGTTTGCAAGCTGAGTGGTTTCATCTGTGAGGGCTTCCATGCTGTTTTTGAACGTGCTGTCCATCTCGTTCTTGCCAAGGTCATACTTGCGAGCCAACGAGCTCAGCCGTTTGCCATATTCTTCCTCAATGGCTATCCGTTCTTTATAGAAAGCCAGCACCGAGTCTGCGGTCTTGGACCCTGCGTGGAAGTGCCCAAGCAGGAACGAAGATGCTGAATCGTCTGTCGACCAGAAGTTACGCGAGTATAGATGGTCCATGAAAAAAGCAAATTGGAATCAAATTCGTTTTAAATGTATATTTACATATTTCCCAAACAGACGTTTATTAGGGTCCCGGTAAAATATGATTACATAACGCATTTGTTAATACAAGTTTTTGCTTTTTTTCCATTACTCTCGCTTACATCTCTATGTATGTGCAAGGAACTGATAGCTAACACCGTAACGTCTCATGCATCATATAACAAGTTGAACTTGGTATTTCTACACGGTACGCCTAGAGTATTGCCACAAACACTCGACGTACTTAAGCAGCAATGGTCACCTCAACATCAACACCTGGCTCGATGGTGATTTGGGTAATCTTCTTAACGGACTGAGCTGGAGCGTGCAAGTCAATGTATCTCTTGTGGATTCTCATCTCGTAAGTCTCGTAAGTCTTAGAACCCTCACCGTTAGGAGTCTTTCTGGTGGAGACAGTCAGAGACTTGGTTGGCATTCTAACTGGGCCCTTCTTGAAGAGCTTTTCTCTCTCAGCGTTTTGGATGATGTTCTGAGACACCTTCTCAAGCTGCTTGACCTTGGTGGAGATCAGAGTGATTCTGATCTTGTGGATTTCTGGTTCCTCGATGATTTTCTTTTCTTCAGACATGATGGTTTGAGACGTTCAAAGTTGAAAATATCAACGGCTTGAAAAATATTTTTATTGCGACGGGTACGCGGCAGGGTAAGTTTTTCGGTGGAGTTTTATTCTATTTAAATATCACGTGAGCTGCACGTGACGCTTTTTAGAAGACGGTGCCGTCGGCAAAGAGCTCGATGGGTGGGCCCCCGTTGGACCGCAGTTTGGCTGCAACAAGTCTACCGGACTTCCAGGAGCCGGCTTCGATCAGCTGGGGCAACGAGAGCTCGTATTTTGTTCCGGTAACGTCCAGTTTATCGTTCACCAGCGACAAAATGTGGTCGAGTAGCACAATGGTTGAAGATCTCCACTCGACAATGAGGTCGTCGTCCGGCGTGTACAGCGGGATGGTTGAGCTAAGACCCTGTTTGATAGAAAAGTCGATTCCTTGTTTCAGTTTCGACTCTTTCACTTTCAATACTCCAAAGTCCACAAACAGGCCCCCGTTACGGTACTCGGGCAGACCTGTCATGTAATGAGCGTTTTTGATGGTGAAGTGGCCAAACTTCTGCAGCGGCAAGAACAAAGAATATGTGAGCCATTGCGTGAGCTTGTGGAAGGTGACCACTTTGGCGGACTCGGGAGCCTTATCGCCATATTTTTCGTGTGCTTCCTGGATCTTGCTCTGCAGGTACCAGGAGTCGCCGATACACTTGCCGTCGACCTTGATACGACCTTCTGTTGGCCAGATCGGGTTGAGTCCCTCCATGAGACACTTCCATAGAACAGGCAGGTCGATTGTGTTGTCAGTTGACTTGGTCTTGACGAAGTCCACCAAATTGCCTGGTCGAGCGTCTTCACCAAAGATGGTGCTATTTTCCACGAGAGTGGTTCCCAACTTGTTGAGAAGCTTGAGACGGCCTTCAAACCCAGAGATTGGGTTCGTCTCCGACACTTGCAGGCCGTCCTTGAGTTCCTGGGCGGATAGCTTGGCGAGTTTGGCCCCGTTGACCACGTAGCTATCTCCGTCGCTGAACACGCCGTTGAGGAACATGTGGAAACTGGCCACGGCGATCCCCTCTGATCTGCCGATTTTGGTGCCGTCCTCGTCAAACGACCACTGGTTGCCCGCTCCGGCGTCCAGAAGCACACTCACGATAAACAGATCGATAAGCTTCTTGCAAATTTCGTAATCGTCCTGGCCGGCCAACTGGGTCTGGATGAACTTGGTGAGTCGCGGAGTGTTTCCGCACTCAAAGTGCTGGTATCTCCCATGGACCGGGATCGTGAGAAAACTCTCGTTTGTGGGGAAAGACGACTTGATAGTGGAGACGACAAAATCAACCGTTTCCGACAGCTTGGACAGGTCCACGTCGAAGTTGGTGAGCTTGTTATCAAACAGCAGCGTCTTGGTCGACGAATTGGTCTCTCGAACCGACTCGATCGAAAGCAAATACTCGGTAGAAACAGCCATAAAACAGCAGGTCCTCGAGTCCAATATTTATAGATAGCGATAATGCACAATCAGCCGGAGAGCGTCGGGTGTTGTTCCGCGTCTTGTCGACTGTCGACAAGCATTTTGGAAAAAAAATATTCAGTATTTAATATCCTTGATGCTTCGACAGTGGGCCAGACATTACGCCAAGCCGGCCATCAAGGTGTCGTACGACGTGGGCAAGTTTGACCCCGAGCGGATCCGAAAGGCCACAGAAAAGGCCAACGAGCTTCTCCGCAGAATCAACGACGAAACCAACACTGAGCACCAAGTACAGAGATCTGCCAATGCCAGAATAGACGAAGCACAGAGGTCCGGATACAAGTCATCAGTGGTGGACGACGATTATCTAGATGTGCCCACGCATCCGCAGCAGCAGGCAGAGCTTCTGAAAAGTCACCGCTATAAAACTTCGTCCGAGAGATATGTGTACAACCAGGACGGATCGGTCACAGATCGACTACAACGGCCCCACAAACAGTCCAGACAGGCTCCACGGTATCCTTTGCCGTCGCAGGACGAGCGGTTTTGGTCTCAGCTCGAGGACTTCGCAGGATTATTGGTGTTGAAGAACGAGAGTCCTGCTACCTCTTTAAGCTACAAGGCCCTTGCAGACTCTGTGGAGTCGATCAACCTGTACCACAATTCGCATATGGACCCCCGATTCACCGATCCGAACGATTTCTCGCTTGTTTGTGACTACTATTTAACCCGCAAACTGCATTTACTAGAAAACAGGCTCCATCCTGCGTTCACAGCATCTTCTCTCGACCAGACCTCGGTAGCCATATTGGGCATCACTAACAAAGGTTTTGCAGAAACAACAGACCCGCTTCAGCTGTTTGTGAACGCTCTGAAGCCGAAATTCTCCATCATTTGCTGTACACTGAATGTCCCCAAATATCCCGTTCTCACCCAACTGAGCCAGTCCAACGACCACATCAAACAAAATCTATACACTCTTGCATCTCTGGGACTCACCAAACCCCAAAAACTAGAAAACGGCTGGATCGTGTTGAAAGGAGAAACTAATTAGCATTAATTAATACGTATCGCTCAACGCTGCTGTCTGATGTAGTTTGCTATGGTTTCGGCAACATCGCTCTTGGCAACCTTCGAGTTCTTCTCGAACGCCTTCTGGTACACCTCCTGGACCTGTTTGTTGTTCTCGTCGATCTCGCCGTTTCTGTCCTCGGCAAAAGTGTACTCTCTTTGGGGCTCGTTGATATCTGGCTCCACCAGTCCGTGTTCGTACCCGTCGTCCTCATCTTCTGCATCCGACAAAGTGTCAACAGGCTCCTTTTTGCCAAGCCCAAGATCCTTCATCAGATGGCTCAACTGTTTTTGCTTGGCCTCCTTCTCCTTCTCCTCTTTCTCCTTAATTATCCGTTCTCTTTCCTTTTGATAGTAGTCATTATATTCCTCAACTTTGGAGTCAACAGCGTCCAAGAACTCGTCAAATCCGGCACCCGTGTATGCTGAGCACCCAACAACGTCCAACGTCGAGTAGAATTCCTCCAGCATCAAACTCATGCTGTTGACCAACGAGGCCATGTAGCCAGATCCGTTGCTGGTCTCATCGTTCAATTCGCTGTTGGTTCTCAGAGCATTCTGGAAAGCCTCAAAGTCTGTCATCCATTCCTTGGCAAAGTCTGCGTCTCTGACATCGGTCTTGTTGAACACGACAATCATTGGCAACTTGGTCTTGTACAAGATCGAGCACGCATAAAGCATGTTGGAAATAAACGTTGTTGGAGACGAGCTTCTTGGAGTATCTATGATGTATGCTATGACGGTTGGGAAGGTGGACGCGAACGCCTCAGTGATGATGGCACCAGAGGCAGACCAGATGAAACACTCGATTTGCCCTGGAGTATCCACAATACAGTGCTTAAACTTGTCTGATTTCTTGTCGACCAAGCCGATCACCTGGTCAATTTTAGTGGAGAACAGGTTGAGTGACGTGACAATAGCTCCGTTGGGACCCAAATTGTAGTTCTCCATCACTTTCTTGTACTTAACAGAATCTCTGATATCAATGTTACACCCGAAAGGGACTTTCAAAACGGCCGGATCAAGGTTGATAACATAGGGAGCCTCTTTCTTTGTATGTAGATGGGAATTCAGACGCTGGAGAAACGTAGTTTTTCCAGAACCAGCCATTCCAACACAGATAATCGTTGCCGGAGCCATGTTTAGTAATTAGTCGGTCTCGATAAATTTTTTTAGAAAAGATTTTGGCTAATTTTTTTTTACCGTGCTAACAAATGGACGTTCAAGCTCTTCACCAGTGTTTCCTCGGAACACTTCAGGCCAGCCCGACGATCAGAAAGCAGGCTGAAAGTCAGTTGAAACAGGCTGAGACTATCGTGGGCTTCTTGGGAGCCTGTTTAGATATCTTAGAGGCAGACTCTGTTGAGCCTGTCGTGAAACATGCATGTTCCATCTATTTTAAAAACCGCATCCTCAAGTATTGGGCCGATCCGAACGGTCACATCGATGAAGGCGAAAAACCCGCCATTAGAGATAGAATCATTCCCATGATTTTGAAATTGGAGCGTACGTTAAGAAACCAGTTTGTTCCTGTCTTGAGCGTAATGATATCTTCTGATTTCCCTACACATTGGCCAAACTATATCAGCACCACAAAACAGCTGCTCCTCAATACTTCCGATATCCAATCCATGTACACGGGAGTACTATGTTTTTCCGAGCTGGCCAGATACTATAGATGGAAAACCAACGCTAATCGTCACCAGGAACTCGACCCAATCATCGTGGACATATTCCCAAGTCTTTTGCAGATCGGCCAACAATTTGTGGCCAACCCTTCTGCATACGATAAGCATTTCGAAGCTGGCGAAATAGTCAAGCTCATCATCAAATCGTACAAGTTTGTGGTGTACCACGACTTGCCGGAACCGTTGCAACAACAAGACAGTTTCTTGCAATGGGTCACGTTCCATGTCAGCGTGATCAACATGGACCTACCTGCATCTGTGATGAGTTTGGACCCAGAAGACCGTTCGCTCAGTCCGTGGGTGAAAAGTCAAAAGTGGGCCTATGCCAACTTGTACCGTCTTTTCGAAAGATACGGCTCTCAAAGACTCTCCAGCCGTTTTGAATACACCGAGTTCCAAAGCATGTTTAGCAATAACGTTGTTCCTGGACTGTTGGAAGTGTATTTCAAGAGAATAGAGGACTGGAGACAGCAGAAAACCTGGATTAGCGGCGCTTCCATGTATCAGATCATTTTATTTCTTGAACAATGTGTGGTGCAGAGCTCTTGTTTTCAGCTTGTCCAGCCTCATATCCCTCAATTGATATCAGAGGTGGCATTTCCGCTGTTGATCCCCACGGAAGAGGTGCTGGACATGTTCAACAACGACCCAACAGAGTACATCCACATGATTCTGGACTTTTACGAGGAGACAAACTCGCCCCAAATTGCAGTTCTGGGCCTCATTTACACGCTTGTTGAGAAAAGACCCAAGGTCGCGCTGGAGCCAGTTCTTCAGTTTGCATACCAGAAGCTGGAGTCTTTCTCAAAATTGGCCGAGTCTGAGGATGTTGCCAAGGAGAAAGAGTCTGTTCTGCGGATTGTGGGCCAGATCGCCCGCAGACTCATGGCTACCAAGTCTCTTGCTGACCAGATAGAGCCGTTCTTGGCCAGCTATATCCTGCCAAACTTCAAGTCCCAATATGCATTCCTCAGAGCACGTACCTGTGACGTGGCTACCAAATTCGATTCCCTGGAGTTTAAGGACCCAAACAATTTGTCTGTGCTTTTCAATGGCGTGCTTTCGTGTTTCAACGAGTACGACAGTCTTCCGGTGCAGTTCGAAGCTGCCCGTGCGATCCAGGCGTTCTTGTCGTTTGACCAGTTTAAAGAGGCATTGGGATCTATTATTGTGGAGTCTATGGAGAAACTGCTGGAGTTGTCCAACAAAGTGGACAGCGATGCTATTTCTGCTGTTATCCAGGAGTGTGTCGAGTGTTACTCTGCGCAGTTGCAACCGTTTGGAGCCAACTTGATGGCCAAACTTAGCGAGCAACTGCTTCGTCTTCTGACCGAGATCTACGAAGCTTCCAACAGCGGACCTGATGCTCTGGACACGGACGACGTTACTGACAAGCATGTTGCTGCATTGGGTGTTTTCAACACGATGGTGACAGTCCTGTTGTACTTTGAAAGCTCACACGAACTGATTGCTGGTCTGGAGCAGAGTTATGCTCCGGTTGTGCAATACACTTTCGAGAAGGAACTCGACGACTTTTACGCTGAAGCTGCAGAGTTGATTGAAAACACGCTGTTTTTGACCAGATCTGTGTCGCCAGCTATGTGGACGCTGTTTGAGAGCATGGTCACCGCATTAATGAAGAACGACTTGTCGATTTTTGTTGAAGACGTGACTCCATCGTTGAAGAACTATCTGGTTTACGGAGCTTCCGTCTTACGCGAGAACAAGCAGTACCAGGAGGCCTTTTTCCAGATCATTGCGCAAATTCTGTCTGGAGAGGACTCTGAAATTGGCGAGATTTATGCAGCCGACGAGTTGGCATCCACTTTTGTGCTAACGCTGGACAAGTCGTCGGTTGCTCCGTACTGTGGCCGTTTGGTGCAGACGATTCTGGAGAAACTGTCCTTGGAAGACACTATGCACTCGTCGGACAGTTTCAAGATCTCTTTGCTGGGTGTTGTGATTTCCGGGCTCGTGGTGAACCCAAATGTGTGTGTGCAGACTCTGATGGAGGCTGGAGCGTTGGAATCGTTCATCTTGAGCTGGTTCAAGCTTGCTCCGAAGATGAAGCACGTTTTCGACCTCAAGGTGAGTGTTTTAGGGTTCTTTTCGTTGTTGAGCATCGAGTTTGAGGCATTGAAACAGTTACAACTGGACGGCGTGATTCCTCAGATCGGTCACGCTCTGGCGATCCAGTACGAAAAGCTTCCGGCAGCAATTAGTGATTTGGAGAAAAGAAGAGCCGACTTTAATGCCGACGAGCATCTCTCAAAACAGGAGTTTAGCGACGACTGGGACGAGGACGAGGAGTCCAATGCTACACAGGACTACTTGCAATTTTTGGAGAGAGAATCTGGACTTTTGGACGTGGACGACGACGAGTACGAGGAAGATCCGTTCTCCAACACGGTTTTGGACAACATCAACGTGTTCAAAGCATTGAAGGATTGTATGGGCCAACTGCAAGCGTTCCCGGAGAAATATCAGCTGCTGGTTGGACAATTGGACTCTAAAGAACAGACGACCCTACAAAATATAGTCCATATTGCACAATAAAAAAAGAAAAAAAAAAAATTGAAAAATAGGGCACCACCAGACAGATCTCTATTATAAACTAGCAGGAAAAATATTCTGGAATAAATAAATTTGCTCCCGTTTCCGAACTTTCCGGGATTAGTTAAAAACACCTTGGTAGCCCCTGAATTTAAACATCAATTAACATTTGGAATATCATCAACATCATGGGAAACGAGATCGGAACGAAAGTTGCACAATTTTACGAGAGATTGCACGGGCTTGTGTACTATAGTCTCCCCTTTTATGTCATGACGTCAACAGAGACGGCGTTCACTTTTGTTTCCATTGTGCTTGTTTCTGTGATTCTGACGTACGGAGTTAGTGCTCTGGTGTACCATAGTGCGCTACTGGCGCAGAAGTTCATCGATCTAGACCACGTTGTGCAGTTTGGGAGCCTCAAGAACTGACTGTTCTGTTTCGAATGACCCCCTTTATCTTAATGACCCCTGGATTGAATGTGATGATTGCATCAAGCTCTTATAATGCTGTACTGTGATAGCATCAATTAGTTGGCCTAGGCTAGCAGATTCCGTCACACCACCTAATAGTTCCACTATTTTGGAATGCGAGCAATGAAGTTTTTATATACTTAATATGAAAGCAAATTCCCTATTCTGGTAGTCTCTCAAGCGGTATGCATACTGGGACCTCGTTTCACTGCCCCTCCGGGCCAATTATATACATGTTGCGCAGAGGTAGCGCTGTTATTTATTTGTGCTTGTTTGTTTTATGTCACCTTGAAAAATTGCTTAATTGGGAATATCAATTGGACCCCGGATTTTATTCAATGTAATCTTGGCTCTGCTGTCAGTTTTGGTTTTATCCAATATATCCTGATCGGGCGACTCAATGAGATTCGCTCTATCCATCTTGACGGGTCTGCTGCTTCCCAGACGTCCAATGGTAAAACACTTTTAAATCAAAAGGGACGCTTTTGTGGTTGTTGAATTAATATAAATTCACCCTAGTTTCCTCTCTTTGGATCATCATCCAACAAAATGCAATCCTCTCTCAACGCTTCCCAAAGACAAGAACAAGAAGACGACGCCGACTACGGCAACTTTCTCTACAGCAATACAGTCTGGAGTTCCTTTTGCACCATCTGCTAGAAACCGTGTTCGTCGGAGAAAGTACTTGTCGTTCTGACTAGTCGCCAAAGTTGCTACCAAACCATGTTGGTTCGTCCACTTTATATTTTATCTCTGGCCAGAGTTTATATTTCAATTAATTTCGCTAAACACAATCTTTCCCTCTAAAATTATTTGTACGCGTTTTCTTTAATGGCCCTTGAGACCATCTCATTTTCCGCCTCCACAAGCAACATCGTTGCCATCCACCAGCTGATCTCGTCGATCTTGCCCTTCGGCGGCAGCTGTCTCATCAACATCACCGCCAATGGGCTTGGCTTCAGTGTGGTTGATAACAACATTTGCAAAGTGTTTTTGACCCTCGATAAACGCATCTTTAGCAGTTTTCAGTTCAACCCAACTTGGATCAAGAAAGAACGTGTCTTGGTCTCGGACGACGAGGGCACGACCGACGACGATGCAGACTTAGACTCGGTCCCGGACCGAGCCCGCTCCATTTCCGTCAACCTTGATCTCAAATCGCTAATCGAAACAATAAATATACACATCCCAGGAGACAAGGAAAACATCGACCTACGAACAAAATGCATCATGAGCTACCAGGGCGAGGGGCATCCGTTTGTGTTGACGTTCGAAGACGACTTCATCATCGAAAGGTGCGAACTAACGACACTGTTTATCGACCCCTCCGATTTCGAGGCAGACTCCACAGACTCTCAGTCTGAACCATCGCTTTTCCAGCTCGACACATCAAAAACGATGCTCGACCTCACGCTACAGTCGTCCATTGTTTACGACGCCCTTAAAGATATGAAAGACTTGAACACCCAGGAACTTATCATCTACTGCTCCAACACCGAGCCAGAGAGCCAGAAGAAACTGGTGCTAATATCCAAGTCAGAGGACGACTCCATTGGCTACTCCAAGCTACTAGTTCCCACCAGAAAACCATTCCTCAAAGAACTGAGTCTGTTCAAGCCGGAACCAACAGAGTCCCATTTCCAAATGGTACCCTGCTCAACTACGATCTCGTCGTTCTACAACTTTGCATACTTCTCCAAGATCCTCAAGGCCATCCGTCTGTCTAAATCGATCAAAATCCGCAAAGATCTTGGCGGACTCACATCTGTTTCGCTGCTTGTGGGGTCTTCATCTTTGAACGGATCTAATCTGTCTTCCGCAGACGGCAAGAACCTGTTCTACGGCACCGGAGTCGAGTTCACCACACTGGAGTCCACACAGGTCGACGACTCTGGTGCGTTCAGAAACGGCTACCACAACCGGTTTGTGGAGCAGCTGATACGAGAAGACGAAAACGTCAAGGTGATCAAAATCGCCAGAAACGGCCAATTGACCACCATCGACGACTACTTTCAGTCCGTCAACACACAGTTGTCTGTGCCGAGCTCGGCTGGCGAGCCAAATGAGCTCCAGATCACCGACGAGCTGGCCCAGTCTGTCCTGGGACTCGGCCCTGCACCCGCACAGGAACCGAAACAGACCGGCCCGACCAAGCCGTCGCGGTCGAAAAAACGCAAGCTCGAACCCCGCAAGAATAACAAGTCCGATAAGGCAGACCGACTGCAGACCGTGGGCGGTGCCATCGAGATCCCGCTCTTTATCTAACTGTCTGCTGCTGCCAACCCCAAAAAGTGTCACGTGATTTTCACACCTTCGTGCGAACCCTGGTTGGTTGGGTAAATTTTTCACAAAATATTTTCTTACCACTAACTGACCAGATCTATCTGAGGAAGAAGTTACTAATATGTCTGACGTTGAAGAACAAGTCCAAGTCGAAGAAGAAGTTGTTGTTGAAGAATCGTCCTCCGTTTCCATCGAGGACTGTCTGCAAAAGGTGTTGAGAACCTCTTTGGTTCACGACGGTCTTGCCAGAGGTCTTAGAGAGGCCATCAAGGCTCTTGCCAGAGGTGAGGCTGAGCTGTGTGTCTTGTGCGACTCTGTCACCGAGGCCAAGATCATTTCTTTGGTCGAGGCTTTGTGTAACGAGCCAGAAGAGAAGATTCCTTTGATCAAGGTTTCCGACGCTAAGCAACTTGGTGAGTGGGCTGGTCTCTGTGCTTTGGACAGAGAGGGTAACGCCAGAAAGGTTGTTGGTGCTTCTTGTGTTGTCATCAAGAACTGGGGTGCTGACTCCGAGGAGAGAAACGTCCTTTTGGAGTACTTCTCTCAGCAGTAAATTTATAATGTATAAATATAGTTATATCTTGACTGCACATTAATTATCCTACACGTAGACCGTTGGTTTGTTTCAGAATCTTTGTCGTATTACACATGATTGGCCATCCCGTGGCCTATAACTCGAAATCCATCTCGTCCTTGAACTCCTCGTCGTCCTCGTCCACGATGGCCGAGTCATTCTGCGTTCCTGCAAGCGGGTCTTCGTCATCGTCCTCGAAATCCACGTCGAAGAAATCGTCGTCAGAACCAACAATGCTGGTGTACAGCAGCTTGGCCTCGGTAACGATCCCGTCGTACGAGACCTCCGCAGAAGGCATGTTCGAGTACAACACCTCATGATCAACAGAGTTTTCAGACCCTTGGTTCAACGCGTTCTTGAAGATGTTCTCGTTGACAACTCCAAATGGCTCCACAGACGTGAATTGCGTGAACATCAGCTTGAACAAAAAGGTCAGCTTCTCCTTAGGAACAAACTCTTTGAACGACTTTCCAAGCTTGACAGAGTTGATCACAGAAACGTTTCCGTCTGGTCTGACAACAACGTCGTCGTCAGTCAAATCGACGTCAAATCCACCATCCTCAGATTCCCGTAAAATACTTTCTTCAAGCTTCAAAAGAGCCGTCTCCAGGTCGTGTCTGGCCTTGTCGCCCTTCTCAACGGTCGACAAGTACCATATACACTGACCGTTCGGACAGCAGCCAGAGCCAGAGCCCATGATTATCACTTGAACAGGGAACGCGTTAGCAGATGGAAGACTGTTAGGAGGGAAGACAACAACAGCAGCAGATTCTCCTTCGGAAAACCACTCTTTGCAAGATTTGCTCACAATGGTGATCAGTCTAGTGATCTCGTACTGTTTGTCTGGGACGTTTTCTGCGTTGGCAGGTGCCTGCGATGGAGAGCACACAAGTCTTTCGGTGACCTTGACTGTGCTTCCGTCGGTGAAAGTGGCTATCTTTTTCTTGCTGTCATAGGATTGCAATTGCGAGTCCAGCTTGTAAGTTGCACCTGCCACAGCTGCGGATCTGCAGAAACCTTGAGAGATTTCTCCAGGTCCACCGAATTTCGAGTAAAGAACCGGGAATGTACCGTAAACACTGAATGAGGTCAAATATCTTCTAATTCTGGAAAGACCTTCAGGGGTTAAAATATTAGGAATAGGAGACAGACCCAAAGTAAAGCACAACTCGTTGACCTGGGCGGGAGTGAGTTTGTATTTTGCTTCGATAAACTCTGTGAATGGGGTTGTCTTGTATGCTTCTAATTCTTTGACAGATTTTGGTGAGTCCGACTCGAGAACGAGCTTCATGAACTTCATCAAGTGTCTTTTAGTTTCGAGAGAAAGCGACTGGTCGGTGAAGATCTCCTCTTTGGATGAAGACATTTTCCCAAAAGAGTCATTCTCGAAAGTGTGGAAACTGCTCAGAGATTGGAACTCCAAGTATCTGTACACTCTTGATTTGAGGAGCAGCGAAAGAAGGTCGGATCTTGCGAACATAACGCGGGGAGTCAGATCAATGCTGTAGTCTCTGCTGTTCAATTGATCCGGCCGCGGAATGTAAAGCAGGGCTTTCGAGTAGCCTCGGAATCCTGCGGTGTTGATATTAACATTGTGGCACCAAGCCTTAATTTGTTCGATCGTTAATGTGGAGGAAGTATCTCCGTAGTACGGATTGGAGTCGACATGGAGAACGTTGGAACCTTGCCAGGAAAGAGCCGCGGCCAAAACAGACTCCACGAGCCCTGTTCCGCAAATCAGCACGTCACACTGGTCAGGTGTGGTGGGCAAAGCGGGTTCTTCGATTCCGGCAAGATGCGGAATCACCGATGGCCGTCTGCCGGCAGGCATTGACGGTCTGCGTTCTGCCATCGAAGGCCGTCTTTCTGTGGTTGACAGTTTTCTGGATGATTCAACGGTGGCGGACATGTTGGAAACAGACAATCACCGTAAACGACTGGGCGGTAACAAATACAGTCGAGATTGGTGTGTGAGTGACTAGACGCCTAATTAGCAAGCTGTGCGCGGGATAATTGGAACACTTGGCGAGAAAATCGGTATTATAAAGCTTCTTGTTTGCCGAACGTCAAGATTATTGTTTTTTTTTGTTTTTCTCGTGTTCTCCATATCAAGATTGGTGTCCACAAAAAAAAATTTTCAGGTGTAAAGATGTGCTTGGGGGAAAACATCTGGGCACAGCACTAAGCCAAATTTATTCCTTTGGGAAGGCTCGGTAGCCAAATTGGTGCAAAATGAAGAAAAAAGTGTTTTAATTGGTAAATCATTTGCATGCTCGATGCACGGCGGCATTGTTATCGGAATTGGTAGCAAGCTCGGACGTCGAAAGGTAAACAATCCTGGCCCAGGTAATCTACGGAGCCTGCGGCACTATATGAAATTTACTACGTTGGGAAGTGTCTCTCTTGCGGCTGCGGAGCACTATAAAAAGATAAAGAGGTAGTAGCAGCACTTTTTGTATATTCTTCGGAAAACTTTTCAATTCTCTCGTATGAAGCTCACCACTTCCTTGTTGTCTCTCGCTTTGGCGGCCGTTGGCCAGGCTTATTCGTCTGGTTCAGCCTCTGCTTCCGCCACCTCTTTTTACCCAGTGAAGACCGCCGGTCTTAACGAAACCGTCTATGAGGAGCTCGAAATTTACAAGCCCCAGGTTTTCATCATCAACATGTTCAGCTACGAGGCCGAGCCATTCTTGGAGGAGTTCAAGCTCGTTCACAATGTCTCCATTCCTGGTCTTTCTCCAATCTATCCTGAGATCCATTGCAACCACAATTACTCTCTTTGTGAGGTTATCACCGGAGAAGGTGAAATCAATGCCGCAACCACCATTACTGCTTTGAGTTTGAACCCAACCTTCGACTTGACCGACACCTACTTCCTGATTGCCGGAATTGCAGGTATTTCTCCTCTGGAAGGAACTCTTGGTGACGTGACCTTTGCTCGGTTCGCTGTCCAGATTTTGGAGTACGAAGTCGACGCCCGGGAAATGCCTTCCAACTGGTCCACCGGCTACTTCAGCTACGGAACCACCAACTCCACCCAATACCCAACCGAGATCTACGGAACCGAAGTTTTCGAGGTCAACGAGAATCTCAGAGATAGAGCTTTGGAATTGGCTCAATCCGTCGACCTGTTGAACGGAACTAAGGCCAACGAGGAGTTCAGAATCAAGTACGATTACGCTCCAGCTAACAGAACCCCAGCTGCCATTGCATGTGATACCCTGACTTCCGACAACTACTGGTTCGGAAAGGACTTTGACGAGGCGTTTGCCAACTACACCGACTTGTTGACCAACGGAACCGGAACCTACTGCACTACCCAGCAGGAGGACAATGCCACTTTGGAGGCTCTGATGAGAGCTGCCCAATACGGCTTGGTTGACTTTAGCAGAATCGTTGTGATGAGATCTGCTTCCGATTTCACCTACGCCGACTTCTACGCCAATGAGACCGTTTACTTCTTCACCGAGGTCAGCCAAGGTGGAAGCAAAGTCGCTGTCGAGAACTTGGTTGTTGCCGGTAAGCCATTCATTGAGGACGTTCTTTACAACTGGGACTTGTACGAGAACGGAACCGTCTACGCTCCATCCAACTACATTGGTGACTTTTTCGGCTCTCTGGAAGACACCACCTACAGAGAGTGGGGATTTGACGTTTCTGCCTAGTTGATTGGCTCTGTTTTGTCCATTATAGTTTCAGTAGCAAAAATATCATTGATACCTTTATTTAATTATATTATTTTTAAGATGGCAATTCCTGTTGCTCAATGGGTGGCCGACGCGCGCGCTAAATTGACGCTAGCAGAGCATATTTGCAACGATGCCAACACATACATTACAACTTCGAACGAGAAATTGCAATTGCGCAACCGCAAGGTGCCGAAACTGCTGTATTTTCTAGATGCCCTTCAGCAGCAGATACAGCTATTGACGGTGATACGAGACTCCTTGGTGCTCAATCTCAACAGCGTGATGGAGCGACGGTCTGCTGTGCGGTCTGGGCTTTTGCGCGACGTCGACCGGCTCCAAAATACCATCAGTGTCATGAAAAACACCACTGTGGTGTTTGACGGCGAGACCTCGCTGTTTGACTACATCAGCGAGGCCGGGATCGAGGACCTGTTTGCTGATGTGGAACAGAACATCAAGGAGATTGACAGTCTGGTCAAGGGCAATCGCACAGACGCGTTGCTGATCCGGCTTAGCTCCGATCTGGATAACCTGAACAACGAGATGAACACGCTGATAAGCAAGGCGCACGACCTACGGTTGCTGGACGACCAGGACGATTTGGACGAGTTTGTGGACCCAATCACGAAACTGCTGGAGATTAACAACGAGCTGGAGAACGAGATGGTGGGGATGTTGACCGGGTTCAATAACCATTACGATCAATGCGAGAAGGGCCAAAAACTGCTGGAGGACCCGAGTTTTCCCGAGGACGAGAAAGAGGAGCTGGTGACGGTGCTGGAAAACGACGTCGAGGACCTGCCGGAGGTGATGCGGTCGCTCAAGAGCACGGGCGACGTGATCACCAAGAACTGTAAGGAGGTGATCAAGATACTGGATATCTTTGAGACGCTGTACGGGCTGGTGGAGAAGTTCATTGACGAGCTGCAGCAGTACGGCGAGCAGAAGCTGGTTGTGCAGCTGAACGAGTTTGTGGAGATCAACAGCGAGGTGGGCCGCAAACTCGAGGCTTCAGAGATTCACAAGGCCAGTCTTGCTCAGTACAACGACGACTTCCAGCAGTTTATCCGGTCGTACTACTCGTTGATCGTGGAGGTGGACCGGCGCGCGCAGGTGAACCAGCAACTGACAATGGCAATCAACAACTTCAAAGCCACGGTCAACAGCATCGTCGACAACGACTACGAGAAAAGGCTCGAGTTTCTGGACAAGCACGGCGACTTTATTCCGCAGAACCTGATAGACCCGCAGATCATCAATAGCACCACGCCGCAGATCGAGATCGCGTTCGACCACGAGCCGCTGCCGCCGCTGACGAAAGACGCAATCCAGACAGCTAAGAAATTCTTACGGTGAGCACAGCTATTTATATTCAAGTTCGAGCTGCTGGAAAGCAGACCGCACCTCCTCTATGTTCATAGGTTGCACCTTGCGGCTCTCTCTGGAGCGCACGGCAACGGTGCCGGCGGCGACTTCGCGGTCGCCAACCAGCATAATGTAGTTGTAGCCTTTCTGAATGGCATCTTTAGTACGCAGACCGACGGTTTCTGCTCTGGCGTCGATATCGACGTAGAAACTGGCCTCGTGCAATGCGGACGGCGCGTCGAGGTCTGTCTCTGTGCTCTGAGCAAGTTCGCGGTGGATCTGCTGGCAATACGACAGGTGCGACTCGTTGACCGGGATAATCACAGCCTGACGCGGCGATAACCAGAACGGCCAGTTTCCCTGGTACTCGTCCATGAGCAGGGCCATGAACCGCTCCACAGATCCGAAAACAGCCCGGTGCACCATGATAGGCGTCTCTGGGCCGGCCTCAGCCTGGTACTGCAGTCCAAACCGCTGCGGCAGCTGGAAGTCCAATTGCACGGTTGCAGCCTGGTGTTCTTTTCCCGCGCGGTCTGTGACTAGAATATCGATCTTGGGGCCGTAGAACGCGCCGTCCTTGTCTCTGAGTGCCCAGTTTTGCTCGCCCGCGTGGTTGTCAAGGGCCTTTTTCAGCTCAGACTCGGCAGAGTCCCAGTCCTCTACAGACCCGATGTGTGAGTCCGGTCTGGTGGAGAGCGTCATTCTATACTTTTTAAACCCGAAAACAGAGTAGCACAGCTTGATTAGTTGCAACGAGCGGCCGATCTCGACTCCAACCTGGGCCCTGGTGCAGAAGATATGGCCATCGTCCTGATGGAACCGACGAACACGAGTAAGACCGGTGAGTGCTCCGCTGGGCTCATTGCGGTGCAAGCTCGACCAATCAGATAGTCGCAACGGCAGGTCGTGGTGCGAGCGTGCAAACCGGTCGAAAATAACACAATGGCCCGGACAGTTCATCGGCTTCAATCCATACACCGAGTCGAGAGAGTTGTTCCCCGAGTTGGATTCGACTCTAAACATGTCCTCTTTGTAGTTTTCCCAGTGTCCAGACGTCTCCCACAGCTCCTTCTTGTACATGAGGGGCGATATCACCTCTGTGAAGCCGTGCTTCTGTTGTTGGACCTTCATGAACTGCACGAGCTTGTTGAACACCCTGGTTCCGTGCGGAAGAAAAAACACGCTGCCCGGCGAGCTGGCGTCTACCATGTACAGCTGCTGGCGCGTGGCGAGCTCCAAGTTGGCCACGGACGTCGACTTGGCCGCACTGTAAAAACGTTTAAACATTTTCTAATAAAAAATTATGTACATAACTCGTCACTAATTACACTAGTTGTCGCCCTTGGCAAGCTCCTCCTTGCGCTTTCTGGCGATATCTGCGCGTCTCTGTCTCTCTTTCATTTCCTCGTCGCGGCGCTCGAGCTCCTCGACCCACAGTTTTTCTCTCATTCTGGCCTTCTCAATGGCCAGTTCCTGCTCAGACTTGTTTTCTCTGAAAGAGCGGTCAAAGTAGAACGATCCGGCCACAAGCGCCACCACGGTCAGTCCTTGTAAGCCCACACGCCACCGGAACCATTTCTGGGCGCTTCTGGCGTTGCCTGTCCGCACACCTTTCGCAGCAAGAGCGACCGCAACACAGGTGCCCAAGCACCCTAAGGGAACAAGCGGCTGCTGTTTGGACCGGAACAGGATCTTTTCGAACGGAGTCATGCTGGTGTTTGTTAGTACTTTATTCGGACTCGTCACTCACTCTTCAAGAGCCACGTCCGCTGACGAGGGGTAGTTTTCAGATGCCATGGTATAAAAAACAAAGTTAAGATAATAATTAGAGGTGGTATTTTTTTATACAATTAATTCCGGCCGTGGCCAGTGTAGCTGTAGTCCTTCGGACTTACCACAAGTCCCTTGCCCTTGACGGCACCGCGGTAGATGGTTTCTATGATATCGATAAGCTCCTGTTTGTCGCGAACAGGGAAGTTGAGCTTGTTGTTGTTGCCTGTGCCAAAGTCGCACATCATGTGCTTGTTGCGGTAGAAGAACATCACCGTCATCGGGTCGTACAGCTCGTACATCTCGTTGAAGTCGGGAACCTGGTCGATGTCGCACAGATAGACAACGGCAAACTGGCTGATCTTGGCAGAAATCCCGTACAACAGCTCGTCCATCAGCATGCAGTCGCGGTCGGCGTCGCGGCCAAACCGGATCACCACCAGACGGTCGTCCTCGGACAAAATGGCCTGGTCAACGTGCCAGCCCGTTCGAAGGTGCGGCAGAAATACGCTTCCCATGTTTTCACAGATTAAAGGTGCTCCACCTCGCACCGGCTATATTTAAAGGGCGTGGAAATATTTCTACACCACTAACCATCAATTAAAACATGTCCGGCGCACAAGCTTACGACCCTTACAATCCGTTCAACGACGACGCCCAGAAGGAGCAGTCCGAACAGCCGTCCAATAAGAACCTCCACAACCTCCAGAACACTCTGCAGGAAACGGCGGGAATCATGAGAAACAACATAGAGGCAATCAACCAACGAGGAGAGGTTTTGGAGGATATCGACACCCGCGCAAACGACCTGAGCACCAACGCTAAGCTGTTCAACCGGTCCGCTAACCAGGTCAGAAAAGACATGTGGAAAAAGAACCTCAAGCTCAAATTGTGTCTGGCCGCAGTCATCTTCATCTTGCTCGTGGTGATCATCGTGCCAATCGCTATTCACTTTAGTAATTAGACTACTTAACACGCTCCAATAGTTTGTACGTACTCTTACTCCGCGGCTGTCTCCTGCGCGGTGGCGTTTTTCGTGACAAGCTCGATGATCCGCTTGATCACAGGAATGTTCAGCCACGCAGGCACATACGCCTCCACCCGGTGGAATGGCCGTAGCTCAACGTCTCTGAACGGATCGCTGAACCGTCCGTCCGGATTCAGTGGCTCGAAGAAGTCCTTGTTGCCCCCGTTGCCTGTGTCGTTCTTCACCCGCTCCGCAAGATACGTCGTCACGGCCGGGTCCAGTGGAACCTCGTAGTCCGCAACAGAGTACTGCGCAATCAGCTTCTGCACCTGCACGGGCCGCAACGAGTGGCAGATCTCAAAGATTATGTCGATGTCCTCAGGCGAATTCTTCCGCAGCTGCAACAGCTTCGAAACTTGCAACAGGTGCGCAAGATACTTGGACCCGTCCGGAATCTGGTGGCCGTTGCACCACTCCTCCAGCCGCGTCACGTTGTAGTTCAGCTGCAATCCACGCTTCCACGACAAAAAGTTCCGCCTCATGATCAGGTCGTTGAAACAAACAGCATCCACAAACTTCAAAAGCTCAATCAGCACCTCGTTCATCACACGCGGCTCAATAAAATACGCCTTCATCGCCCAGTACACGTTGTTGAAGAACGTCAAAATGTCGTCCATCTTGTACTGCTGGCTATGGTTGTTCTGGAACATCTTGCTCAAAAACGGCGAAGACTCTGGAGCAACAAACCCTGGAAGAGCCTGCGCAAGAACAACAGCAGAAATGCACTTCTTCTCCAGATCTTTCTGCAGCTTTCTCATCCACATGTTGTAGATGTTGTACGAAAGCGACTCAAAGTCTTCCCGAACAACAGCAACGAGCTTTAGGTACTCGTCGTACTCGGAATCGCTCATGTCCTTGCTGATCGAGTCATTGGCCAGAATAGTGGACTGTGCATAAGCAACAAACGAGTACAACTCGTGCGTGTTGGTCAGCCAGAACACTCCGTGCTTGATCACATCGTCGTCCTTCAACCCGTTCACAATGTTTTGAATAACTCCCAAAACTTCTCCTAGGAACGCCTCGCTCTCAGAAGTCAGTCCCAAACGCCACATGTCACTCAAAATGATGATAATGATACGGGCAGGGAACAGCACCTCCTTTCTCGTAAGCTCAGACGCCACTGCTGCGTTTGGAAGTCTCAGTCCCCTCAGTAATCCATCAACAATCTCCTTGTGCAAAACTTGAGAGTTTCTAAGCAACGACCAAAGCTCGCTGTTGATAGCCTCTAGATCGAGCTCCTCTCTACTCACAGTAGTAGTGACAATCGAGGCAGGACGTGGGTCGTAGTTGCCATTGGTCTTCTGGTTCAAACCAGGAGAGCCAGGAACACCTCTAGAACGAGCTTTGCTCAAACCAGCACCACCAGTTGCAACTTGGCTTTGCAATTCAGCAAGCTCTTGCTTCAATTGCGTGATAGAGTCGTTCAAAGTGGTGTTCTCCTTCTTCGAGTCTTCCAGAGCTTGTTGGGCGGTCTTCAACTGTTCAATGTTGTCTTGGAGATCTTGCTTCAACTTGGTTTGCTCCTGAGTCAGTTCGTCAACCTTCTGACGTGCAGTCTCGTAATCAAGTTTGTACTTGTTCAAGTCTTCGTTCAAAGAACCAATATGCTCGGTGTGTTTGGAGACAGTGGAGTCGTACTTTTGATTTAGTTCAACTTCTCTGGATTTGGACTCCTGGTGCTGCTTTTGATGGTCGGAAACTTGCGATCTCAAGGCCTCTATCTGGGTCATTAGCTTGGAGTTGTCCTCAATCTTGGAGGTCAAAGACTGTGTCAATTCAATGACCTTATTCTCCAAACTGTATTGCACCTCTTGTAATCTGTTGACCGATTTGGCCTCAGCCTTCATATTGAGATACTCTTTCCGTGCAACTTGACGACGGAAACAGCTCTGTGCGTACAAAACGGCCCACATGGTCTTTTGATAGTTACGTCTTGCAGCCAAACCTCTAGCGGCAGATTGAATCAAAGTAGCCGCGCCAGAAAGTTGAGATTCCCTCAGATGCGATCTATAGAGGTTACCCTTGATGATGGCTTGCAAAGACGCAAGAGACTTCTTTGCAGATGAATACTTGGAGCGAACAGCATGACCTCTGACCAAAGATTGTATCTTGATAGAAGCATTGTTCTCAATCTCACGCCTGATACGTTGTCGAGCCAAGAATCCTCTAGCAAGGGTCTGCGTTTGACGTAGCGATGTCTGTATTTGAGAGTACTGCTTCCGCTGGTGATGTCCCTTGAGGTGTTTCTGGACTATCACAGCAGATTGCTTGATCTTGTTCGATCTGTATTTCTCTAGAAGAGCAAGTATTCCTGCTTTGAAGAAAATCTTAGTCTTTCCGATCTGGTATTTGTGGTCGTCATCGATTGTTGTTTTGAGGATCTTCCTCGTTAATTCAACTGCTTCCTTCTCGCTTCCAGAGCCCTTCAAGTAAGCCTCTTTGTCGCTGGAATGCAAAAGAATCGAGTAGTATCTGGCAAAGTCGGAATAAACAGCCTTCGAAGGGAATCCAGCACACGAGATCTTTATAGTTTCCAAGACACCACAAGCACGCAATTGAGATAACACCATCAGTGGATCGAAATCCCAAGCTTTCTTCTCCTCGTTTGGCTTAATACATCTGATGTAGTGAACATTGGTCGAGTTGATGGTGTTCATCAACTCAATCAACGACGACTTGAAGATCGATCCAAGAGTTGGCTTTCTGACCACCTTCTTTCCTGGCTTAGCCGCAGCTGCAGCTGCTTGCTCAGCAGCTAATTTCTCAGCTTGTTTGTCAACGGTGGCAAGAATCTCAGAAAGCATCGCGTTCTTGGTCTCCTTCAACACCTCCAATTGACCTTCGGAAACGGTATCTCTATTCTTCTCGATGAATCCTTCAGAATCATACGTCACGTCCAAAGCATAGTGGCTGACGATGAACTTGTTGTTACCAAATCTTGGTTTCTTGAAGGATTTGTCGTGAGGAGGCTTGGCCAAAGATTGATACATCTTCTCAATCCAAGAATTGTCATTTCCGGATGGCAATCTTGATTCTTCATCCAACAACGAAAGAATACCCATTCTGTTCTCGATAACGTCGATACATGGTTGGTTGTCGGAAAACTCGATGAAAGACCACTCGATTTCCTCCTTGACGTATTCTTCTTGCTCTAATTTGAAAACGTGCTGAGTGAATTCTTGCTGGAGCTTCTCGTTGGCATAATTAATACAGAATTGTTCGAACGAGTTCTTGTCAAAATGTTCAAAACCGTAGATATCCAGCACACCAATGAACGACTTCACCTTACTTTGGAGTTCAGGTGGACACAGATCGGAATTCACATAGTCAACCAACCAGTCAAAAAGAGAAGTGTAGATATACTTGGCCACAGAATCCCTTGCGACAATAGCCTGTTGGTGATTCAAACTTGACACAATCTTCTCTGATCTAGTGACAATTTGTTTCTTGACGATCCACTTGGCGAATCCCGTTGGATCGATTCCAAGGAGCTCGCACGCCTTGACAAGGCTTGGCTCGTCTGAGGAAAGAATGGCATCGTTTCTGGTCTTGGTGACTTGGATATTTCCAATGTGCAACAGAGCGGACAAAATTCTAAATATTCCGTGTAACTGCTCTTGAGTGATACCAACCAAGGACAGAGAGTCGCACGTCTCTTTGAAATCCTTTGCATCGTCAACACCGGCAATCTTTGGCATCTTACCTTGGTTCAGGTAGAAGAAATCATCGACTGAGGAAATACCAAACTCTTTTTTCGAGGCCTCATCAAGACCTTCGACCATTTGGTAGAAGATGTGGTAGTTTCTCTCGGTGGCTGGTTGGAAAACCAAACGGGACCGCTCCAGCAAATATGTACGGATACTGGCACCGATGATGACCACGTCGTTGTCGAAAAGAATTTCAAGATACTTTCCGAATCTGGAGGAATTGTCATTTCTAGTGGTTTTGGCGTTACCAAAGGCCTCCATGATAGGATTTGTGGCCAAAATCTGTTTCTCTGTATCTGACATGTCGTGGTTGTTGTTATCTGAGTCAACGGACGCGAAGTACCGCATGATGTATTTGGCAGACACGGTTTTCCCGGCACCAGACTCTCCAGAAACCACGATGGATTGGTTTTGCTTATCTGTTTTCATGCACCGGTAAGCATCCTCTGCGATGGCAAACAAATGGGGTTCTTCCTCACCTCGTGTTTTCGAGGCGTACCGTTGGATTCTATGTGGAGAGTACAACTCATCGTTACGTTGGAAAGGATTGATGGCAATCAGCACGATTCCAGAGTACGTATAGATACTGAATTGGGCGTATCTAAGCTTGATCGCGTTCAGAACAGAAGGCTCGTTCAGATGTGACAGCTCTGTCAGATCCTCCACGGTTTCGATCTGGTTTCTCAAAAGTGGGAGTTGCGGGTTGTTTTCTTCCAAGTTGTCAGTTTCGATCGACACATTTTTCTGTCCGTCTTCGCTAACAAGATCGATCATGTACTTGCCGTCCTTCTTGTTGACGGCTTTGACTTCCACGCCCAGCCATCCTGTTTCCTTGTCGGGTATCCAGCAGCGGCTAAAGAGTTAGTAAACAAGATGAAGAAAAAACACTAACGTTCCGGGCTCGAAATGGGTCTCCATGGTCTTCTGCACTGTGATTTCCAGAATATGTGGGGGCCTTTTCTCGGTAAATAAGCGCTGATCGGAGGTGGGGGCCAATATTAGATTAATTGGTGTATTGACAGTTACCAACAAAGAAAATTGAGTTTCAATGCTGGCGATATTTTGATTTAAAACGCGACCTCTGCCAAAATACAAGTCTGGTTCCTAAAAATAATTCAAATCTGTTTCCAATGCCTCCTCGTCCTCACATTGTGGTGGACCGACCGGAGTTCGATTCCAGCGGGTCCCAGTTATCTGTTCCGTCATTCTATGTAAGTCCGCCTTCTACCGGGTACAACACGCCGCAACGAAGCTCCGACAGGTCGGCCTCGCTAGTGAATGTTCTGGGCTCGGATCAAAGACAATATCTGCCTGTTCCCGCTTCCGGAGACCAGGTCTCGCCCGTACGGTCGGCCGATTCGCATCTCAGGACGCCCAGACGACGGCAGCGCGCGGCTTGTTGGCAACTGCATGCCAAATTCGATGAACTGGCCTCACTACTCGCTGAAAACCTCGATAAACGTCTGGACTCCATGGAGGCCGAGAATGGCAAGCTTCTGGAAGAACTAGAATATCGTGCCTCGGAGCTCGACCAATTGAATACAGAGCTCAACGAAAACCTGGACAGTTTGAACGGATATCTGCGGGTTTTGGGAGCAAAAGAAGAAGAAATAGGCCAGTTATACTCGAGCGACGTCTTTAATAACCTAAACGACCTCGACTCCCGTTTAAACGTGGTCAAGCAGAACCTGGACCTCAACAAATCGAAACTGGACACTTTTGACTCCAACCTGCGCACCATAGAGGAATTCAAAAAGTACGAAATCATCAGCAAAGGTGTCCAAAATAATATGCTACTGCTGCTGTTTTGCAGCCTTGTGCTACTAGTGATCAGATTCTACTGATCGGCTCGCTTATGAACTCGTTACGTATGAAATCGCTAACTCTAATTATGTTCCGTGCTCATTCCTCTAAATGGCTATAACAATAGTCCATCTCCTGTTCGCTTAAACAGCTGATGTAAAGACACTTGGACAGAATCTGCGGGTTCTTGTGGTATTTGTAGATTTTGGAGTACTCGATGTTGCGCAGAATGTTCTTGACAATACCACACGAGACCCGGAACTTGTCGATGTTGATCAGCTCGTACTCCTCTCCGGAAGTTGTTGGTCTCTCGCTGTTGATGGTCAAGTCGCTCAGGTCCAGAGCAAGGAACGGAACCATGCCCTTGGATGCTCTGATCTGCTGCAGCTCGGAACGGAAGTTGCCAAAATTCCGGTCGGGACTGCACAAGTCCTTCAATTTCTTGAACAACAGCAGGTCGCCGACATCCATTGCGTTCCACGTGCTTTTGAGCTTCTTAATGATCGTAGAGTTCAGTGCAAGAACTATCTGGTAAACCGTCGCATAGTTTTGCATCTGCAGACAGTTGTTGGCAATGTGGATAAACCGAGACAGCGTCAAAGCACGAAGAGCCACGGACTTGGTCAAGAGAATCTCCGAGATAATCCAGTTGGTGGCCAGGTTGAATCTCAACGTGATCAGACGAAGTCCCGTCTTGGTCTGCTCGTCAAATAGCAGTTTGAGCCACGAGTTGTACGGAGTCAATGGCTGCTCCCAGGTCAGGTCGACCAGCTCGTGCCAATCGATCTCCAAAAGGAAATCGCGTTCAATCAAGGTGAGCTGTTTGGCCAGCTGGCGAGACTCGTGCTCCAGAACAAACGGAACGTGTGTTCCCTTGTACATGATCTCCTCGACTGAAAGACCTGAAGGAACCTGGAGTCCCTTGCTTGGCGTGTTGGAGAGAGACTGAATGGTAAACTTGGAGATGTTGCTTGCGACAGAACCGCGTGCAACCGAAAACCGGAACGGCGTTGGAGTGGCCGACTTGCGCTGTGCTGGCTTTGCGGTCGATGCTGGTTGGATAAATAAATCACGGACTTTCTGTTCGAGCTTCATTTCGTCCAGACTCTGCTGCGAGTCGTGGGATTGCTCGTCGTTCAATCCGTACACCACCTTTGGCTGTTGCCCGCGAAGTTTCAGTAATGCATGGTTGATTGGGTTGTCTGAATGGTGTTCGTCAGGTAAGGCGGCCAGTTCTGCGATGGCGTTCACGGAAAGTCCCGGGTATGGAAGCAGACACGAGCCAGAAAGAAAGATGGATGCTGTTTTGGTGTCGCTCTCGAAATCGTCCTCGAATGGTAGCGACCATCCAAAGAATGGGAGCTCGTAGAAGTATAGCGAAGGTTGTTCAGAAACGGTCTCGATGGACTGGACTTTCTCTAGAATTCCTGGCTCGTCAAACTCCTTTTGGTCCTCATCATCTCCTCTCAAATTGGAGAAAGAAAGCTTCTTGCGAAGAAGATGAGGTCCAAGGGACCGACGAGACCGACGCGAAGACAGGTCGGAGTCGTAAGACATGTACGATTTGGCAGATCTGACCGACTCTGATTTGATAGAGCTGTGTGCCGGTTGGCTTCCCTCGTCCAAGATTTGCTCCATGTCCACCTCCATCACCGTTCCCTCGGCAAATGAAGACCAGTTCATGCTCACCGAAGGCGTGCGGAACGACCCGGCCGACTGGTTGATGGCATTGAGAATCTCGTCAGTATCGTCGAGATTGCGTTTTTCCCTTCCCCTGGTTGGAGAAACGTCGTAAACCTCGGCGTTGAATAGATCGCCCGAATCCCGTTCGCTTTGCAAAACGGTGCGTCTGCGACCTTGGCGGCGCTCCTCTGCTCTTCCTTGATATTGTCCGAACTCTGAAAGCACTCTCGAGCTCAGTAAGTCGACATTGTCTCCCGTTAACAGTGGAACCTCGCTCACCACTGGTTTTTCACGAACAACTTCTGGCTTACTGAACAGATGGAACAGTTTCCGAGGCCGTCGAGCTTCCACCTGCTGTTGTTGTTGTTTTGGCTCGACCAAGAGCTTTTTCAGCGGAGTTGTTGGAGATATTTTATCCACCTTGCTTTCTGTAAACACATCCACTTTTCCATTGACACAGAACCCGTTTTCTTTGTCTTCCAGGTCGATGAGCTGGCTGAGCTTGCGGACTCCTTGGATCGGGGTGGCCTTCACGCCGTCCAAAATCTCGTCGTAAACCGAAGACCGTTTTGCTAAACAATTAAGCGATGCCTTTGGGTGCAAGATGGCTCCTTCGTCAGCAACTCCGATCCGGCCCTCCACCACAGACAAGATCTGCGACCTACGCACGTTCTTGTCTCTGAGATGTTGCAGTCCAAGCATGCTGAACCGAAGATTGCGGGGGTTTTCGTGCGCATCAATTCTGTCAACAACGATCTGGACACGATCGCCGCATTCCCAATAAACACAGCACATGTTGGCATAGGACTTCTTCAGGTCCAGAATCACCTTCGTAGAAAGCGAGTCCTCTGGTCCGCACCATTCCGGCCGAGTGGCTATCTCGTTTAGTCCTCCGCAGAAAAGCTGTCGAAGACGTCTGTCTTGAACAAAATCCGGAAAATGGTTGAGAAGCCAGTGACGAAGCGTGACGAACGTTCGCACCAGAATGGCAGAGTAAAATGCAGGAAGGTCTTTTGGTTGTGTGTGGGATGTTTTTATGGTTTCGGCATCGTTTTCGTCTTGTTCGATTGTCTCTGAAGGTTGAATGTTGTTGGCTCTTTTTAAAGCCCACGATAGTCGACATAGTAAGAGCTCTAATAATGGTAGAGAATCAATAAAATCCCTGTATGAAAGAAAGAAGTCAACAAGAAGTTGATAATCGATCGAGTCCGGAGACGTCAAATGACAAACAATCGATTCAATGGTTCCCTCCTTAAGTCTGTTGTTTTGGAAATGTGCTATTTCCGACTCCATAGGCGTCGGAAACAACAACGAATGGTCGAACAGAGGCTCGTTCTCTTGGAAATTCTCCACCAGCGTGGAAAACATGGCGAAAGAACGATAGTTGATGGGATGGTACAAGTCGTTAGTTGAGCTTTATTTTGTTTATATTTTTAATGTTTATCTTTTCCCAAAAAAAGCCCACTGTGCGCCGCGACGCCGTACTGCCACGAACTTTTTTTTTTCTTACCTTTTACACTCTTCATACGTATCAATCAATTCATTCCTACTTACTCTGGCTTCTGAAGCGCGATTCTAACAGCCTTCCATTGAGTGTAGTTGTCAAGAGCCTGGGCTCCCATCTCACGGCCAATTCCGGACTGCTTGTATCCTCCAAATGGAACCATCTGGTGGAAGTCGTTGTAAGTGTTGATCCACACAGAACCAGCCTCCAACTTGTTGGAGACGTAGGTGGCGGTGTCCAGAGACTTGGTATGCACACCAGCAGCAAGTCCGTACTCGGAGTCGTTGGCCAGCTCAATCACCTCGTCGGCAGTCTTGAACGGAGTCACCACGGCAAATGGTCCAAAGATCTCCTCCTTGTAAACCTTCATGTTTGGCTTCACATCGGCGAAAATGGTTGGCTTGACAAAGTATCCCTTGTTTCCAAGTCTCTCACCACCGGTGACCAACGTGGCACCCTCGCTGTGAGCGCTGTCGACATAGCCGAGAATCTTGTTCAGTTGCATTTGAGAGGTTTGTGCACCTTGGAAAGTGAGAAGATCGAATGGGTCTCCAACCTTGAGGGTCTCAGCAGCGCTCTTGAACTCCTTCAACACCTCGTCGTAGATACCTTCTTGAACAAACACCCTGGAACCAGCAGAGCACACTTCTCCAGAGTTGTAGAAAATACCTGCAACCAGGGCCTTGACAGCAACCTTGACGTCAGCGTCGTTGAACACAATGTTGGCAGACTTTCCTCCAAGCTCCAAAGTGACCTTCTTGAGGTTGGAGTCGGCAGCAGTCTTCATGATCAATCTTCCGGTGGCAGTGGATCCGGTGAAGGCAACCTTCTTGATCTTAGGGTGCGAAGCAATGGCGTCACCGGTGATCTTACCGAATCCAGAAACAATGTTCACCACTCCTGGAGGAATACCGGCTTCTTTCACCAACTTCGATGCGTACAATGCAGACAATGGAGTGCTCTCTGCGGTCTTCAACACAGTGGTGTTACCGGCAGCAAGAGCAGGTCCAACCTTCCAGGACCACATCAAAAGTGGGAAGTTCCATGGAATGATTTGTCCACAAACACCAATTGGCTCTCTCTTGGTGTAAGTGTGGTGGGTAGCACCAGTGTCAATGTATTGACCGGTCAGCTTGTCTGCCCAACCAGCACACGATCTGATGTAGTTGATGACCAGAGCAACGTCTCCTTGAGCCAATTGCAAGGCCTTACCGTTGTCAAGAGACTCGATAGCAGCCAAGGTCTCCTTGTGCTCCTCCAAGAGCTCAGCAAGGTTGTACAAAGCCTTACCACGAACGGCAGGGTCGACCTGACCCCAGCTGCCCTTAAAAGCAGCCTCAGCAGCATTCACGGCGTCGTCAACGTCCTCCTTGCGGGCCTCGTAGACCTGGCAAATTTCCTCTTCGGTCGAAGGGTTGATAACCTCAAAGGTCTTGTGTTGCCGGGAAGGAACAAATTCATTGTTGATGAACAAACCAGTAGGCTGTTCGTAAGTCTTACCATTAGGAAGGGTGATGGTGGTGGAGAGAGGGTAGGTAGAGTACATCATGTTGGAGGCTCCGATGGTAGACTTGGACATCTTTCTTAGAGAAGCTCTTAACATTTTCAGAATATTGTGGGAGGAGGGGGCAGCAACATATTTATAGTGCGATGCCTCCTATTTATGCAACGTCGCGGGTAGTGACCCTAGTATCGGCTCAGAGGCATCACCTCCAATAGAATTGCTTGCAGACCAGCATGGTTGGCAAAAGTGGGGTATCTAGGGTGTGCAGAAAAAGGGGGGGTTAGAGGAGACTAATTTGGGCACAAAAAATCGGTATGCGCACATCCGGACTGCCCCTCTTAATGCGACCTTTCTCGAGATCCGGGCCGTGGTAATTCGTCAACAAACAGCCTAACCAAATACCTAGGTTATCCTACGCTCTGTTGCCCTAACCCCTAAAACTTGGGTCGTGCGCTGAACAAAATGGTTTCGCCCCGCCGGAGTAGACCTTTTACCCCACTTCGGAGTTTCGCCAGGGTGTCACGCCTACCGATTTTAGTAAGGTTAGACGGCACGGGGTGTGTTTGATGTATTATTAATCTAACTGACGTAATAGGGCCTTTGTTGAGTCGGAACCCGCTATTTCAACCCTGCTTTTTCAAACTCGCCTGGTAATTTGTCCAGCGACTCCAGCTGTTTCAATGTCGCCTCGGTTCCGAACACCTCACCGTTGAAGAAGATCGTTGGCACCCACTTCCGGCCTGAAATGGCGGTGAATTGTTTTTCCAACTCCAAAGCCTCATTGCTTGGCAATTTGTCCAGCTCGACGAATTTCACCTGGTCAAGCACCCCGTATTTCTTGAAAACCGCCGTTGCGTAGTGGCAGTCCGGACACCACGACTTGGACAGAACCAGAAACTTGTTGTCTTGAATCAATTGTTTAGCACTAACCATGACACGAAATTAGTTGTAGTAAAGAAAGTTTTAGCACCCGCGCACCAACTATCTATACGGTAACAAATGACGTGATTGGTGTGGAGCCATGGCTTGCAGTGGCCTTGTGTCGTGGTTACTGGCTTACAAACTGGTAACACACTGTTGAATAGACCGTCTAGACCAACCAAGGGTGCACTTTAGTTACCAACATTTTTAAAAACTTCTCCACCCCCACATTTATTATTTCCCTGTTTTAATTCTACAAACCCCGTATTTCTCGAATCCGTTTCCGTTCGTCCAACCGTCTTTCGTAGCTGATCCACAGCCCGTCCAGATAGTTGATGTTTTCAAACCACGCAATAAGGGTGCTCTCGTACCGCTGCCGCGCAACAGCCTGCGGCCGCGCAACTTTGCGCAAAAACCCTTCGTTCTTCTCCGTCCAGCTCTCCATCGCTTCTTTTTCGTACAGTTTTGTGTATTCCACGGAAAAGGCCTCAATATCCTCGCATTCCTTCAAATTAAGCGTCATCTCCGCAGCGGGCTCGTCTTCCGGCTCGTCGTCGTAAAAAACGTACGGGTACAGACCTCGGTTGACAGGATTCACCCGCAAATCCAACAATTTCAACGTTTTCCGGATTTCGCGCGTGTACGGAATCAGCGTGCCTAGGTCATCGATGCTGTTGCTCAGCAGCTTGAGTTCGCGAAGATAGTGCAGGGTTGAGATCCCCTTGACAGAATGTAGTTTGTTGAAGTTCAAGTCCAGATCCGTCAACATCGGAAACCACTTGCCCAGGTCGGGCAACGTTTCCAGACCCATAGCCGACAGGTTCAGCACCGTCACGTTTGTCATGGCACCTTTGGACGGGAAAACACTCCCACTCAAACTCAGTTTTTGTAGCTTGTACAGCCCGGAAACCAGAATTCCGTCTATTGCGTGCGAATGGTATTTGGCAGAGATCTGCACGACTTTGGTAGGAACGTTCTTGAGCTCGATAACAGGGTTGCGGTCGATCTTGAACACGCGCAGCTCGGGCATCCCTTGGAGATCGATCTCCGAAATATTATTAAAGTTGAGACTCAGTTTCCGCAACGAGCTGTTGGTGCAATGGAAACTAGTCAATTGGTTTCTGTTGGCAGACAGTTCGGTCAATCGGGCAAGCTCGTCGAGTCCTGTGAGTTGGACAATCGCGTTCTCATCAACGTCGAGTTTCTCGAGCAGTTCCACAGACGAGAAATTCACCGTCCCGCGAAGATTGTTGCCTGCTATTGTTAGACTCTGGAGCATCTTGAAGTTCTCCAGCCCTTGTAAAGTGTCTATTTCGTTGTACGAGACGTCCAGCGAATTCAGATTGTAGAGCTTGAGGCCGCGGAGGTTGGTCAAATGACAGTTTCTGAGCTCCAATACCTGCAAATTGTTCAAATTAAACATACTCATGCTGGTGAACAGGTTGTTATTGGCTTTCAGGATCTGAAGCGACTTTGGAACGCCGTCGATATGTGTGAGTTCGTTGTCGTTGGCTTCCAAAACACGCAGATGAGGCACAAACTTGTCCATATCCCGCAGCTTGTCGAGCTTTCTGTCGGAAACATCCAGTTTTTCAACCTCGAGCCAGTCCTGCGACGGATATTGCTCTGTGATGGCGGCAACGAGGTGCGACTTGGCCTGGAAGAAGGACATTTCGTCAAAATCCGAAATCTCGTTCAGCTCGTCCAACGACGCGTCCTCGTCACCGTCGGCTGTGTACTCGTCCGCAGGAACAAATTTTTGCAACCGTTTGTCGTACACCTTTCCCTTGTAGTTTTCGCCGGAGATGAACTTGATTCCCGGCCTATTAGCCGATTCTGATGACACGGGAACAATATGCTTGTCTTCCTTTCCCCGTATTCGCGGGATAGACATCGATTTATCCACCTCGTCACTAACACTCAGATCGAGTTTCTGCTTTAAAATCTCCAAAGACGCTGTCACGTCCGGTCTCGACGGTGTTGGAGAGTCAAACACAGCCGATTCTGTTGACCGTGAAGACTGCGCATCGTCGGTCTCGGTGTAGTCGCTCTCTTCCTCGTTGTTAGCTGGCTGGGTGCGGTTTTTAAGCTTGTTGAACAGTTCCTCCGAGTTTCGCAGCAAAAGCTGCAACGACGCGTGCGAGGCAGATTTCTCAAGCTCGGCAGTCACCTCTGTATGGTCGTCCGCGCCCTCACCATCGATCTTCTTCAACATATCTCTAAATCTCTCTGTGGTATAGGTATCCTGCTTGCCAAACAGTTTCAAAGGAGAAGCCGGCAAAATCGAGTGGTCTGTGCTTCTTCCAAACGTATCCACCGCCGGTGGCTCGCTATCAACCGTGAAAACCGGCGGCTCCTGCAGTTTCTGCTTGAACTGGCCGTCTCTATATTTTCTCCACGCAGCTTCGTCGCCTCCCTCTCGGCGAATGAGCGTGTTGGTCTCGCCAATGCTCAAATAGGGGTCTCTGCTCTCGTCAATAGTGTCCGGCCAATGTTCTTCCTGAAGCACCTCGGGCATCCAGGAGCTTTTAGGGGCCTGCTTGTGTTCCGGAGACGGCTGGTTGAAGTCGGAGTTTAGGATATATTTTTTCCCGTTCCCGCTATCAGAGCCATCCGAACGCGCCAAATAATTATCCGCGTTAACAGAAGCGTTCTGACCCACCAAATCGCTCTCCTGGGTGTACTCAGAGTCCTCCGTATTGAGATCCATTGGTGTTTATTATTATTTTGATAAAAAAAACTGTGTGGCGCATGCAAAATAGAGATCGGCGCAAAATTTGGCAAAAAGAAAAACACTCGCCCAACCTTCGCGGGAGGAGGCGTGGCTGGTGACGAGGGAAATGTTTGTTTATATATTTTTACTTGGGTGAAACAGTAAACAGGATTTAGTTTGCTTCGCTAGAAACATGTCCCGCAATAATTATCTAAGCTCGTCTCCGTCCAAGCTGTTCGACCAGCTGTTTGAAGAGGCTGGTCTTCAGCAGCCGCCGCTTACCGCGACGTCCCAGGCGTCCGGAACGGGATGGACCCCCTTCATCGACAAGGTCTTCACTACAAACAACGACCGGATCCGCCCTCCGATGTCGTCTCCCAGCAAGCTGGAGATCCACGAGGTCCAGATGCACACGCCCGCGGCAGACAAGTCGCTGAAACTGTCGGATTTTTTCATCGATACCCCAACGCTTAACCAATACGATCTCGGAACGCTCTTAGGAATAGAGAATGATAATAAGGAAAACCACCCGCTGTTTGCCAACATGGACACTCCGAATTTCAAAACGCCGCTCCACGAACTCACACATACCCCGAAATTACTGCAAAGCACCAGCGTTAGACGACTTAGTGCGAAAATCAACACTCCTAGTAATTTTAAAACGCCGCTCAAAGAACACCACCAATCGTCTCCGTCCACCATTGTGCTCGCCTCAGCACAGAAACAGCCCGCTACCCAAATGTCGCCCACGCCTGCAGCAAAGTCCCAATTCAAATCGGCTCCGTGTCAGCTGGTGAAATCTGCTTCCAGCATGGAACCTGTGATAGGCATTTTCCAGGACCAGAAACCCACAGCACAGAATACACAACCGCAGCAGCAACAGCAGCGACGGCCCGAGGCAGGCGCGGGCAAGTTCCAGATAATCTTCACAGACATGAACACGCTTAAAGGCAACTACGGAGCAAGAAAGGGGAAAAAGAAGCTTGCACGCACAAGCAGCGCCGGTGAGGCGCTATCCAAGCGCAGGAAATTGGTGAAATACAATTCAGAATCGGCAAAGGACAATCTCAGGACAAATAAGAATTAAAACAATCAGCTTTTATCTTCTTCTTGGACCTTTTGGTCTGTGGAAGCTTGGAGTTGCTGCTGGCTGATCTGCAGACTCTTCGTCTGCAACAATCTCGTCAGGGTCTCCAACTTCAATCACTTTTTTAAACTGCACTCCGTTGCTCTTCAGGTCGTTCAGAAGCCCCTGTTTGCTCGAAGCATACACCATCCGATCGCGCACTTTAGACCCTGACGGACAGCAGTAGATGAAGTAGTACTCGTCAAAGCGGGCAACTGTGTATGTGGGGCCAGACGTTGGAATACTCGAGGCCACAGAAGAGAGCCCCGAGGCTTGCCCGGTACCGTTCAGCTTGAAATGCTCGTCTTCCCCAATGACAATTGTGGCCAATTCACCAGAACTTAGCGACTTTATCTTGCCTATCAAATCCCCGTTAACGTCCATTTTCAAGCCGCTAGAACTAGCACTCACCAGCTGCTGTTTGCGTCTTTCTATTCCGCCCGAGTTAAGCAGTTCCATCTGCTTCACCGTGGCAAGAGTCTCCTCGCTGCTGCTCAAAGGCTTTTCGTCCGAGCCGCGAAGCAAGTCCAATGCGTCACCACTGATCTCGTCTCTATCGTTAATGAACAGAATTGGGTGGAAGAACTCCGCACCAAGCTGTCTGATCACTGTATTTTTCGTAGAAGCGTACAACATCTTGCTCCGAACAGGAGCGTTGTCCAGCACGAACGAAATGAAGAAGAATTTGTGCGCAACGTCCTCGTTACGCACCACCAAATACACCGCGTCGTCGGCCAATTGGCTGTGCAGCAGGTCAAAGTCCGCTTTCAAGTTGCTCGAACCTTGGATCACACCTTTCGGAACAACTTGCTCGTTCTCGATGGCCATTAAAAACGCCCGCGACGTTCCGCTGACGTACTCTTTGAATTCGTTCACGAGCTCCTGGGAGCCTGAAGGTTAGTAATGCAATACGAAGGCAACCACATACAATTTATTCCAGACTGGTTGGACATGCTGTACTATATGGGAATAAAATATTCTGTGTAAGGATGTTTGTTTTTTACAAAGCTACATGATCCAGTCCCAAAGGAGCCCGGTGCGCAAGAACGCTGCACGGTCCTGTAAAGTACACGGCTTTGAAGCCGCCCTGGCAGGTATTATTGGTCGAGACATGATTGTGCATTGGCGGTCTTGTAAAATGCACGAAATACGAGACAGAACACATGGGGTATCAAACGCCTGGTGACAGGCCGTTGACTGCTGCCTCCGTGAGAGTTCACCCCCCCACTACGCAGTGTCACCGGTGGACCCCCCGCAAAAAAATTGAAACTCACCGCAGCCCTCAATTTCTGCCTCCTAATAATCCCGTTTCTGCCACATATTAAAATTTTGTTCTGCTCGGTTCCCTCTGCTTATGGAAAAAGACCTTAGTAACTCGCCCTCCACGCAGCAGCAAGGGTCGTTGCTCTTTTCCAACACACCTTCAGACAGCAGCATGGCTGTGCTGTCTCCCCCAGCTTCCCGGTACGCTTTCGAACCGTCAGCATCGACGGCCGCAATCCCCCCACTAGGAACCGTTCACCCGTTGGATGGCTCGCCCCTACTCGAGCCCAACACCAGTGGTAACTTCGGCTCTTCGGGCTACTTCATCGACAGACCGAGCTCGTCCATTGGCTATGGCAACGAAAACGACGTCCCGGCTTTCGAACCCCAAACCCAACTTGTTCTGCAAGGCTTTACCCAAGACCTGAAAACTTTCACCAACTGGCTCAAACACCTCAATGCCGAGGAGCAGCGCACCTGTATGGACGTGTTTCTTGGTGAAATAAAAGAGGAGGTTTGGCAGTATGTCAAGAGTAAGGTCAACAACACCACCGCCACCCGGTCCACCAATGATCAGGGTTTACTGTTCTCGCCGCCTCTTTCGAGCAGCAACATATACCAGCAGCCGGTGAGGCCGGTTTCGCCGCTGCTGGCGCTCAGTTCGGAGTCTGCCACGCTGGATTCCATTCTCAGCGACGAGCAGGCCAGAGGTCTTTTGGCTCACCCCAAGCCCGTGCACCAGTTCCCGTCGCAAATGAGAACTGGCAACTCGTTGGCAGCGGTGATGGGAGGCGATCCGGTGAGGCCCAGAAGTGCGGGACACGCAAACTCGGCAGGAGGAAAATTCCAGCGGAGTTCTCAGCTCGGTGCGCAGACGAAAGCGCACCAGTCGCAGTCGACGGCCCCGTTGCTGCGTGTTTTCTCGCCGGAGGTTGACCCATCCGGCTTCCAAAGACGCACCAGAGAGTTCATGGAGCCCGCTAGCGTTGGCGGCGAGTTTGGCCTCACGTCTTCCGAATTGGCCGGCTCCAACGCGATCAAGCTTTCCAACTCGCTGAACACCATAACTCACCGGTCCAAGCTCGATAGCAACAAGCCCAAACCTGCCGAGCCAACTACACCTACGTGGAGCAGCGTGGTGGCCAGTTCTGACGAAAGAGGCCGACTCCCAGTGAGCCGCGCCCCACAGAACCAGTCCAGCTCGCTCCCACCAGCCACAAGACTGGCCTCCAAACCCGAACCTCTCAGCAAGAGCACCATCCATTCCCCACAGGCGAAAGCTGCCGGCTCTTCCCACTTGAAATCGCCGTTGAACGCTCCTGTGCCTCCCAAATCGCCTGTTCCGCGGGACATTGCGTCCAGATCTCTTTTGAAGGACATTCCGGCTTGGCTCAAAGCCCTTAGGTTGCACAAATACACGGAGAATCTGCAAAGCCTCAACTGGGCAGACATGATCGAGCTAAGCGACAGCCAATTGGCCGATCTTGGCGTGAGCACGGTGGGGGCCCGCAACAAGCTGCTCAAATCGTTTGCGTTCGTGAAGGAGAATCTACATGACTAAGACTGTATAGTTACCTGCTGGTCTGGCTACCAGAATTTAAAAGGTCACTCAACGTTTCCTGTAGCACGGGCACACCTTTGCACCAATAAAGCAAGAGTGAACCGTTAAATGTCTGCACGCGGTTAACGAAGAATTTGGAACGGGTATCCCGCGACTCCTGAAACTCTGGCACAATAGGGAAAAACAATGTGCCAGTTTTTAAAAAGAAACGACAGGGCAGTGGAGCAGTGCAGTGAGGGAAAAATTTGAGATAGAAACCAGTATTTGGGTTCTTTTTGCGACAAGTTCGACTTCCCAGCGGTTGGTACGTTGACAAAACAACTTCTGTTAAGTTTACTCCGGCGGTGGGCAAATTCGAGTTATAAAAAACAAATCCAAATACACATACGTTCCTGAGTTATTTGAGTTGTTTTTTTGCGTAGGCGAATTAATGGCAACGTTGGAACTAAAATAACCCCTTGATAACACAGGCAACCCAGGCAACCCAGGCATGATCAGTGAGATATTGATTTTGGATCCGTCAGGGTCTCCGGTGCCTCAGTGCATTGGCGAGCTGTTTGATGAATCACAAACGTTGATCACCAGATTCAGCGGAATGACTTCGCTTTGTATTTATTTATCAACCTACACAAACTACACCCTGACACAGCAGCACGACCGGATTGAACGAGTTCCGAACTCGAAAGAGAAGGAACTCGATCATTGTGTTGGACTCATAATTAACACAGACAAAAAGGGTACAAGTGGCATTTTGGACACTCTATCTTTCGAAGAACAGCAAACGCTAGTTGCTAGTCGGTTCCACCATTTGAACTTGGTGGCCATTTGTCAGTCGTTGACCGACTCCAGCACGAAATCCGTTCTTAGTTCCCGGTTTCTACCCGTGTTACGCCACATCTACAAGCACATCCAGACACGTTTACTTCGGGTCCAAACGTGGGTCGGGTTGACTGACGCGGACAAGTATCCGGAGATCAACACTATGGGCGGTATTACCAAGACACAGGTTTCTGCGGAGACCGGAATGAAGAACATCCGATTGTTCAGCACAGATATCCGCTATATCGAGCTTTTAGACCTCCCACATGACGACGAGCATTACAAAAGTTTAATTGCAAAGTGGGGGTTTCCGGCGTTCGAGCTGACGTACGACGAGCTGCTCTACTGTGCGTACTTGATGTTTGACCATGCGCTGATCGGATACAGAGATGATTACCAGACTCCCGGATTTCGAAACCGGCTAATGTTGTTCCTGTTTTACATTCGAGATTACTACAGAAAGGGCAACCCGTTCCACAATTTCAGGCACGCTATTGACGTTATGCAATCCATCAACTACTTCCTTGGCCAACTTGAAAAGTCCGATTTTGAGCTTCGCTTGGAGAAACACGAAAGCTTGGCGTTGCTTTTGGCTGCACTCGGCCACGACATTGGCCACCCAGGAACCACGAACGCATTTCTAATAACGCACAAGACTCCAATTGCCGCCATTTTCGACAACCAGTCGATTCTGGAGCAGTATCACCTGGCACAATACTTGAAAATTATGAAACTGTTTTTCGCAAGAGACGACAGATGTGTGGAGATTGCCAGATGCTCGATCTTGGCTACAGACATGGCCAAACACGACGCCTATGTTCACGATCTGGACCGCTTTGACGAATACGTGACAAGACAGGAGAAGTTACAATTAATTTGCGCAATCCTAATTAAATCCGCCGACATCTCGAACGTGTGTCGTCCTGTCGCCCAGAGCGTGAAATGGGGTTTGAGTCTGGGGAGGGAATTCGCCGAGATTGGTCAGTTGGAAAAGGCACTGAAGGGAGAAGAAACTGCTACGTTGAAACCTCTTCCTGTGCCACTTTCAAAGATAACTCCTGAAGAAGCCATCGAATTTGACCCGGATTTGGACAAGTCACAGATGTTCTTCATCAACAGGTTCGCATTGGAGTTCTTTACCAAGGTCGCTGACAGATACCCCCCACTCGCGTGTCTCTCGCAGGAGCTTCACAAAAATATTGCCCATTGGCAGCTGACAGGAAAAACAGGAAATTGACTTGGTGACTTGGTTCAAAATTATATTCTCGCGCAATATAGTAAAAAAGTTATACTTTAACACTAATCTTTAGTTATGATCTCTTCTGTTACTCGCCAGCTAGTGAGATCTGGCCCTAGACTCTTCCTGAGACACCAATCCAATGTGTTGAACACAAGCTCAGTCGTCTTCAACCATTCCAAGGGCCCGGTCACTTTAAAGTTCACCGACCAACACGAGTGGATATCCCACCACCCAGACGGTGTCACCTACGTGGGTATCACCAAATATGCTTCCGATGCACTGGGAGACACCACATTTATCGAGCTTCCCCACGATTCCGTGGGAGAACAAGTCGCCAAGGGAGACGTGATCGGCTCAGTGGAAAGTGTCAAGTCTGCCTCAGAGGTGTACTCACCTGTTGACGGCGAGGTTTTGGAAGTCAACACTGCGCTAGAAGAGAGTCCGGAACTTGTCAACAAAGACCCAATGGGTGATGGGTGGATTGTGAAGATCAAGGTTGAGGAGCTGGGACCTGACCTCTTATCTGAGGAGGATTATGTCAAGTTATTGCAAGAAGACTAGAGTTATTGCTGACGGCTCCATTCTGCCTCGGTTTTTGTTTTTAGTTGTAAAGCATGCACACCTTCGTTCTTTAGTTCGTGGTCCAACGACTTGTAGATCAGCCTATGTCTGGCTGGAAGTGCGATTCCTTCAAACTTGTTGCTGACGATGGTTATACGGAAATGAGACTCTGTCACATTCGACGCTCCACGAAGCCCCGCGTGATGCGCATGCTTGTGCGAGTCGTTCGCAATAGTCAGGTGCGACGGAGAGAACTCGGAGGTCAGTTTGCGTTTGATCGCTGTCTCTATAGGCCCAGCCATTCGAAGCATAAAAAAGTTATTCAAAAAGAGAAAAATGTTTTATAACCTAACTAACATATTTAGTAGTCGTTTCTGCTACCACCGTAAGAGCCGGAACCAGATCCGTAAGAGTCGTTACCAGAGCCGTAGGAGTCGTTACCGCCTCTGGAGCCGGAGCCGGAGCCGTAAGAGTCGTTGTTGGATCCGTAAGAGTCGTTGCCACCTCTGGATCCAGATCCGTAGGAGTCATTGTTTCTCGAGCCAGATCCATAAGAGTCGTTATTTCTCGAGCCAGATCCATAGGAGTCAGAATTCGAGGAACCGTAAGAATCGTTGTTGGAAGATCCGTACGAGTCGTTGTTTCTGGAACCGGAGCCGTACGAGTCGGAGTTCGAGGAACCGTAAGAGTCGTTGTTTCTAGAACCAGATCCGTAAGAATCAGAGTTCGAAGAACCATACGAGTCGTTGTTAGAAGATCCGTAAGAATCGTTGTTGTTTCTGGAGCCAGATCCGTAAGAGTCGTTGTTAGACGAGCCGTACGAGTCCTTGTTGGAGTTCGAACCGTAAGAGTCGGAGTTTCCGCTCGAACCGTAAGAATCAGAGTTGCTGCTGTCATTGCCACCTCTGTTCTTGAACTTTCCGTAAGCGTCAGTAGCCTGGTCCTTGACCTGGTTTCTGAAGTTCTCGTCGCCCAATTTGTCTTTAACACTGTCGAATAATCCCATTTTGCAATAGTGGAGACTCAATGGCAAACGGTGACCTATTTATATTCCAGAATGAAACTTGTTGCACGTTCATAGATGAAATTTGGACATAAGTCAACAATGCCACAGCATGCGAGAGAACGTGCGGCAACAAATTGGCGAATTGCCCTCGAAAATTGTCCAATGGTGGTGAAGCGGGCGCCTCAATTCCAGGGGGCAGTCATTTGTGGCTTAGCGTGTCGTTCCATGCACCGTTCAGAGCAATTGTCAATAGCAAGTCAATTTTAAGCCAAGATACCCCGGGATCAATAGGCCTGCATGGAACTCGGTCGTGCAGCGGAGATAACTGACGCAATGACGTGGCAAAAAGGGGAAGGCGGAAATGTGGGAAAATCCCGGCCCCGCACGTGACCTGTTCCACTAACTGGAATTTTGCTCGTTCCAACATGTTCGGTCTATTTTAAACCTGGCGTTTAAAATTGCCGTCACGTGATACACATACACATGATAAAAGATTTCACCTATTAGACTCCCCAATCGGGTAATAGATCAACAAAAAAAGTTTCCTATCCAACCTCAACCTCTTCATCCATGGCCCCATCTACCCCTGGCCATCGGACTGTGTTCAGCAACACAAGTCCGAACCTTCTATCTCAGAACCGAAACTCAATCTACGAGGGCAAGAAGATCATCTCTCCAAACTTTAATGTTGTACTTTCTGACTGGTCTTTATCCAGTCAAGCTCGCTCAAACTTGACGTTAAAATTCCCATCAAATGACAACTCTGGATCCCCAAAGAAACTGCGTAGGACAAACACCGCAGAGCTGTTGGACAGGTTCATTCCTTCGAGACAAACCACGTCTGGAAAATTGGCGTTGGACGAGGCGCTTCCATCCCAATGCCAGCTTCCTTACCAGCACATTGAATCGCAGACCACTCAAATTTATCAGGACACTGTTGCAGAGGCATGTGGACTAGCTGTGGGTGAGCGTATCTTACAATTCCAACCTCTGCCGCCAGCAAGTAAGAAAGGAACTAAGCTCAAAAGTGGTCAATTCAAATCAAAAGCCGCCATTTCGACTGCAGCGGCCCAAGCTCGAATAAAGAAAGTGCCCACATGCCCAGAAAAGGTCCTGGATGCGCCAGGATTCGTTGACGACTTCTACCTGAACCTGCTCTCCTGGTCACGTGATAACGTTCTAGCGATCGCGCTGGAAAACTGTGTCTATTACTGGAATGCAACCACGGGAGATGTGGATCTGGCTGCCGAGTGCGACAGCGTGGTCACATCTGTTCGGTGGTCCGAAACTGGCGGCTACCTATCCATTGGCCTGGATTCGGGAGCGATTGAAATTTGGGACCCTGAAGCTGGCTCGCGGCTTCGTAGCATGGCTGGCCACCAATCCCGGGTAGCTGCGCACGCTTGGAACGAGCACCTGCTCACATCGGGATCGCGGACTGGACAGATATTCCATCATGATGTGAGACTCTCACAGCATATTGTTTCGCAACTGAACAACCATTCTGCTGAAGTTTGTGGCATTGAATGGAGAAAGGATGGCATGCAATTTGCTTCCGGAGGAAATGACAACGTTGTGAACATTTGGGATGCGCGTTCGAGCGTTCCCCAATTCACCAAGACTAGTCACACAGCCGCAGTGAAGGCTCTCGCTTGGTGTCCAACACACACGAGTTTGTTGGCTACCGGAGGAGGATCCACCTGTCGCAACATTCACTTTTGGAACACCACGACTGGCGCTCGCGTGAACACGATCGAGACCAACTCGCAAGTCTCGTCGCTACGGTGGGGTTATTCAAATGGAATTGGGCCAGAAATTGCAGCTACTCATGGATTCCCGGACAACGATATCAGCATTTACAGTTATCCATCTCTGTTGAAAACGGGCGTTGTTTCGGGAGCTCACGACTCACGAGTTCTACATAGCAGCCTATCACCGGACGGCACTACGCTAGCCACTGTGGCAGCTGACGAAAACCTCAAGTTTTGGAAATTGTTCGATTTACAAGAACAAACGCCAAACAGCGGTAAAGACATCGCCGTGACTACCATCAGGTAATACCATTAGAAAATTTAATTGTTCTGATTAGACCTTCCTAAACTGGAAGGACGTAGGATCAAAAACAAGTTTTGAACTTTTTTTGCAACACACTTTTTATCATGAAGACCCCAAAGGTTGAGATTCTAGAGTACTCTGATTGCAAGAAGGCCGCTCGTACGCTGTACGAGTCCTTCGATAATGACGATGTCGCAAAATTTGTTTCGCGTCACTTGGAAGATAATCCTGAACTAAAGAAACAGTGTGACTTGCTCATGTACGAGGCTTACATCCACTCCCACATTCTCAAAGGACTCGTTGTCGGCATTAAAGGTGACGATCACGAAGAATCTGACAGCTTCGAGACGGTTGCCGTTTTCACCCACCCAAATTCGGGAGAGTTGGACGACTACCTGACGCTTGTCAGATCCGGATTTGCTAGATTGGCATGGATGACAGGCGCTGAGGGCCGTCAGAGAATCTTTGGCACGATGTTCAAAGTGTTGCACGAGAACTTTGAAAACATCATGTCCGTTGATCCTGACGGAGAAAACACATGGACTCTTGTGTATCTTGGATCTACCCCAAAGGCCCGTGGTAAGGGTAATGTTCGCGCGCTCATGGATTATATGTTCACCAATCATATCGACCCAGCCAATAGCATAACGTATTTGGAAAGCAGTGCCATCAAGAATCTGCCAATCTATTCCCGTTTCGACTTTGTGCCAGTGGCTGATATTTGGCTTGGTGATAAGAATGACAAGAATGACAGTGCCAGAATGGACGTCATGGTTAGAGGCCCTCAGGGCAAGCCATGGAAGTTCATTGATGAGACTCGCGAAAGAACAGGTTACGTTGTGCCTTCCGTTTAGTTATTTTTGAGGACTTTACTCCTCTTATATACTCGCTTATAATCCCGCACCTAGTGCGAAATTTTTTAATTATGTTCCAAGCAGACGATCCCCAACACTCGTATCAGGCGAAAACAATAAAGGCGCTGGCGGACGAAAAAGTGTACACGTGGATTGTTGAGCTGGTTTATGGCCCCAATAAGGAGCAGGCGTTGCTAGAACTCGGCAAAAAGCGGGAATTATACGATGACTTGGCCCTTGTTTTGTGGAATTCATTTGGTGTCATGACTAGTTTATTGGAGGAAATTGTGGCTGTGTACCCGATGCTGTCACCTCCAAACCTAACTACCCCAGCTTCCAATAGAGTCTGCAACGCCCTTGCGTTGTTGCAATGCGTCGCCTCGCATCCCGACACCCGTACACCTTTCTTGAATGCCCAAATACCACTGTTTTTGTATCCATTTCTGAACACCAATTCGAAACAACGGCCCTTTGAATACCTAAGACTTACTTCTCTCGGTGTGATTGGCGCCTTGGTGAAAAACGATACCAGCGAAGTGATTCAATTCTTACTCACAACAGAAATTATTCCTTTATGTTTGAAAATCATGGAATCGTCCTCAGAGCTTTCCAAAACAGTGGCCATTTTCATTGTCCAGAAGATCCTGATGGATGACTCGGGACTTGCATACACGTGTCAAACGTTCGACCGGTTCGAAGCTGTTTCCAGCGTGCTCAAGCTCATGATTGACCAGCTTGTTGCCAACCCCACCGTCCGTCTACTCAAGCACGTGATCAGGTGTTACTCTCGCTTGGCTGACAATCCAGAAGCCCGTATTGCTTTAAAGGAGCGTTTACCCGAGGCACTAAAGAACGACATGTTTTCGTCGCTACTTCGTGACGATCCGGCTACTAAAGCCTGTCTTTCACAGCTACTCATGATGATCCAATAAACGATATTTTTTCTGCTTACTCTCTTGCTTAGCATATTTTGTGTTATTTTCATTTTTTTCTTTCCACGTATTTGTTTTGCCAATGTCCACCCATACTTACAAAAAGTTCGAGGACATCGACTCCGGCACGCTGCCGGACAAAATGACCGTGTACCAGGAGTGTTTGCAGGCGTTCAATGCCAGTCCGATCCAAGCAAAACGGTGCAGATTGTTGTTGTCACGGCTGTTAAGACTCCTGTATGCCGGCGAGACGTTCCCCAAAACAGAGGCCACCAACTTGTTCTTTTCCACCTCCAAGTTGTTCCACCACAACGATGGTTCTCTCAGACAACTGGTCTACTTGGCTATCAAGGAATTGTGTTCATTGTCGGACGATATTTTGATGGCGACGGCTTCGATCATGAAAGACATCCAAGGAGGTGATATTCTATACAAGCCTAATGCAGTGAGAACACTTGCGCGTGTTTTGGACGGTAGTACCATTCATGCTGCTGAGAGAGCAATGAAGAACTGTGTTGTGGACAAAAATCCAAACGTTTCGTCCGCTGCTCTTGTTTCGTCGTACCACCTCCTTCCAGTTGCTAAAGACGTCGTCAGAAGATGGACAAACGAGACACAGGAGGCAATCACTTCCAACAAAGTGTTCCCACAAACTCAGTATGCTATGCATGAGCATTACGGTGTTAACAAGCTTTTGACAGCAACCTACACCTACCAATATCACGCGTTAGGATTGTTGTACCATTTGAGAGACCACGACAAAATGGCGCTAATGAAGATGATCCAACAATTCAACACACAACAGCCGCTGAAGAGCTCTCTTGCCACGGTCCAATTGATCAGATACGTTGGAAAATTGATCGAAGAAGACTCACATCTCACCCAAACTTTGTGGCCATTCTTCCCAGGTTGGTTGAAGAACAAGAGTGACATGGTTGAGTTGGAAGCATCTAGGACCATCCTTTCTTTGCCTAAGTTCTTGCCAGAGCAACAGATGCAAGCCATCAACACTCTTCAAACATTGCTGAGTGTCCCAAGAACTGTGACTCGTTTCGCAGCAGTTAGAATTCTTAACAAGATTGCTATGAAGAGTCCAGAGAAAATCATGGTGTGCAACCTGGAGCTCGAGTCCTTGATCAACGACTCGAACAGATCAGTGTCCACATACGCTATCACCACTCTGTTGAAAACAGGAAATTCTGAAAACGTCGATAGATTGGTCAAGACTATCAGTGGATTCATGGATGACATTTCCGACGAGTTCAAGATCATTGTTATTGATGCCATTAGAACTCTGTCATTGAAATTCCCAGATAAGCACAAATCGATGTTGAACTTCTTGAACGATGTGTTGAGAGACGAGGGAGGATTCAACTTCAAAAATTCTATTATTGAGGCCATTTTCGATATCATCAAGTTCATTCCTAAGTCCAGAGAGCTTGCCTTGGAGATGTTGTGCGAATTCATTGAAGACTGTGAATACACAGAATTGGCTGTCAGAGTTTTGCATCTTTTGGGAGATGAGGGTCCTAAAACTTCCAATCCAACACTTTACATTAGACACATTTACAACCGTGTTGTGCTAGAAAACTCGATTGTCAGATCTTCAGCCGTCATTGCTTTGTCGAAGTTTGCTTTAATCGGAGATCAGTCCATCACCAAGAGCATCAAAATTCTTTTGAAGAGATGCTTACAGGATGTTGATGACGAGGTTAGAGATAGAGCTGCTTTGTCTTTAAAATTATTGTCTACCAAGGACATTGAACAGGCCAAAAGCTTCATTGCTCCAACTTTCAAATACTCTCTTCCAATTTTGGAACAGCAGTTGGCTCTATACGTCAGTAACGCTGACAAGGAGACATTTGTGCATCCATTCGACATCAAGGCTATTCCAACAATGACCGAGGAGGAGGCCAAGGCTGCTGAATTCAAGGAGAAGACCACTATCTACGAAGAACCAGTTGCTCAGGCTGCAGACAACTCTTCAGAGGAAGAGAAGGTTTCCGAGTCCGCCAGACACACTCTTTTGCAACAACAGTACGCTCAAGAGTTTGCTGCTATTCCGGAAATTGCAGCTTACGGACAGCTTTTGCATTCATCCAGTGTTGTGGAACTGACCGAAAAGGAAACCGAATTTGTGGTGACCGCTGTCAAGCACATTTTCGAGAGCCACGTTGTGATTCAGTACGACGTGAAGAACACGTTGAGCGAAATCCAACTGGAAGACGTTTCTGTGGTGGCCCAACCAGAAAACGAGGAGTACACGGAGGAATTCCTCATGCCAATCGACGTTTTGAAAATCAACTCGAGTGGATCAATTTACGTCTCTTTCAACAGACCAGAAGGTACTGTGCCTACCTCCATTGCAAACACCCTATCTTACACCACAAAGGATGTCGATCCGGCTACTGGTGAAGCTGCTGAGGACGAGGAAGGATTCCCAGACGAGTATCAAATTGAAGACTTACCTGTGGTTCCTGGCGACTTTATTGTCCCAGCATTTACTGGTAACTTCACACACGCATGGGACGAGTTGGAGCATGAGAACGTCGCTGTTTTCAATCTTGGAGATGCTGCCACAACCGATTTGCAGGATGTGGTGACCAAGCTGATCAAGACCATGTCCATGATGCCAGCAGAATCGACCGATCTAGTCACATCAAGCTCGAGTCATACTCTTAAGCTGTTTGGTAAGAGCATCGGTGGAGACAAGGTTGCTGCTATTGTGAGGTTGGCAAGCAGTTCGAAAGGTGTGATGATGAAAAGTCAGGTGAGATCGAGCGATGACGAGTTGAGCCAGATGGTGGCCAATTATATTGAGTAAACAGTTTGAAGCACACTTAGATATATACGACGGTGATATACATGTGTTTATTTCTTATGTACAGAAGTGCATCTAGTAACAAACTACTTAGTTAACTTGGAATCCGTAACCTTTCATGCATTTTTTGTAAGCCGAAATGATGCTTTGGCAATTTTCAGAGTCGGAACCATTTGTCAGCAGGCACTGGTCTCTTTGCTGCTTTTCATCCAAGCAGACACAGCAAGGCTTAGGTTTGTCTGATGTTAGAGCCTGAGGAGAACAACTTACTTTCTTTCGCTGGTTCAGCCATATTATTAGTAATAAAAATAAAGTAAAATAATAAGTTGGAATATTTACGAATTCTCTATAAATCGGGAATTGAAAACCGGATTTACAATGTGGCTAGCAAATGATCAATTTGGCGCCATCTCTATGTATCTTCCGCGTCTGTGACTTTTTTCACTTCATTCTACTGTATTTTCCATTTGCGATAATCCTAAACTTGGGCTTCAGGTCAATGCCCTTTGGGCTTTCCTTCCGTTCCTTTGGTGTATATTAAACACGGCTGTGCTAATTAAAATTAATTGTTCTTAACATGTCTGACAAGTGCGAGCTGTTGGGCCCATTTTCGCTCCTCGTCCAAGGTTTCATGGGCGTCTGCGCGCTACTTTCTTTGGTATGGAAGCGCTCAAGAGAATACCCCAACCGAAGGCCTTGGAAAATATGGCTTTTCGACGTGTCTAAGCAAGTGATAGGGGCACTGGGGATCCACATGCTCAACGTGTTTATGAGCATATTGGGTGGAAGATCAGACGAATGGTTTGTAAATCTTTCTCAACACACATCGCCTTACTATCTTTCGGGGTCGCCACCTTCAACTCCGCTCGAGCCCCCAAATCAAGACTTTGATAACCCATGCGACTACTACTTTCTTAATATCCTTTTCGACACAACCATTGGAATCCCCATTCTTTGGGGACTGCTGCATGTTATTTACAAGCTGGCTCGCAACGCTGGGATTGAGGGCATAGAGTCTGGCGAATATGGCAATCCTCCAAAATATTCTTACTACTCGAAGCAACTTGCCCTCTATTTCGTTGGATTGGTGTCGATGAAGCTTATCATATACATTCTCCTTGTCGCCTGCCCATTTTTAGTTCGCTTCGCTTACTGGCTGTTGTCGTGGTCCGATTCCGTGCCTAGATTACAAGTTGCTTTCGTTATGCTACTGTTCCCTCTAATCATGAACAGCTTTCAGTACTACATCGTCGACACAATCATCCAGAGCAACGAATACAACCACCACAGCCTCAAGATTCCCGAGGAACACGCAGCAAACGAACAGCAAGCTGACGCCGCCGAGTAGCCACTTGAGCTCGGTGCAAGGGTGTGCCAATTTCCCCAAATTGGTATCAAATTTGTGCGCACGTTCAAAATAAAACAAAACATGCAACGGTCCCAGGAAAAACACAAGTCGTGGGCCTCTGTCGATTCCGTGTTGGATTACGAACACGGCGGGATGTCATATACGGCAAGGAGAACCACCAAAAACAGCAGCAAGCTGAAGTTCGTTGTGATTTTACTTGTGTGCTACTCATTTTTTATCTCTTTCATAAACTACGGTCGGGTTTCGAGAGATACTGAGTCACCGGTCGACTCTGATGCCCTGACAAGCGGAAAAAAGAACATAATTATGATGGTGACTGATGGAACAGGTCCTGCATCGATCAATATGGCACGTTACTTCAGACAATATAGAGATAAGCTCGATATCGATGACGTCCTCACACTCGACAAGTACTTCATTGGATCGAGTCGCACTCGGAGCTTGTCATCATTGATTACTGATTCTGCTGCTGGTGCAACTGCCTTTTCCTGTTCGTTAAAATCTTACAACGGGGCTATTGGCGTCGACGGCAACAAGAAGCCGTGCGGTACCATTTTAGAAGCCCTGAAGCTTCAAGGTTACAAAACAGGGTTAGTGGTGACTACAGGTATCACTGATGCTACTCCTGCTTCGTTCAATGCACACGCCGACTACAGATACATGCAGTCTTTGATTGCAAACCACCAGTTAGGCTATGACACATCGCTGGGATTAGTCACAGATCTAATGATTGGAGGTGGTCAGTGTTTCTATCTTCCAGGTTCTCATCCTCAAGGATGTAGAGACGATGAGGTTGATCTTTTGGAAAAAGCAAGAAACTCAAACTTTACCGTTGCCACCAACAAACAAGAATTTGATCAGCTTCAACTCGGAGCTAATGCGTCTTTGCCATTGCTTGCTCTGGTTGCTTACTATAATATTCCATATGATATCGACAGACAAGAAAATGAATACCCAAGCTTGGACGAGGAGGTCAGAACAGCATTGACTCTTTTGACTGAGGCAACCAAAGATTCCGACCAAGGATTTTTCCTGCTTATCGAAGGATCGAGAATCGATCACGCTGGTCACTCGAACGATCCTGCCGCACAGGTTCGTGAGGTTTTGGCTTACGATAAAGCCTTCAAAACTGTCATCGACTACATTGATAGTGCAGAGACAGAGACTTTCATGGTTTCCACCTCTGACCACGAAACGGGAGGTTTAGCAGTTGGTCTCCAGATTGGTTCCAACTATCCTGAATACCGATGGAAACCAGATGCTTTGCTCAACGCTACCAAGTCGGGTGAATACCTAGCTAAGAAGTTTTCTGCTTTCCAACAACAAACTTCGGACAAATCTGAGTTGGAGGAGTTCATCAAGACCGAGATCTTTGAGACCGATCTAGGAATACTTGACTACACGGAACACGAGGTCTCTCATATTATAAATCACCCAGAGTCTGCACATGATCATTTTGTTGAAATGGTTTCGGTTCGTGCAGAAGTTGGCTGGTCTACTCACGGCCACACGGCAGTGGATGTCAATATTTATGCTCACTGCAATACGGATAGAGGAAAGGCGGCTTTGCATCATTACCTTGGCGGTAACGTTGAGAATACCGATATTGGTAAGTTTTGGGAGCAGATTACCAATTCTGATTTGCAGCACGTGACTGGTCTATTAGATGGCACGAAACATGTTCCAACCCCAGCAGAAGTTGAGGATGAGGTCCACATGTTTGAGCAAGAGCACGGCTTTATTGATCATCGTGCCGAGGCTCCGGAATTGCCATGATCAATAGTACATATTTATTCTGTTTTTTCCGTGCACGGATGTTTTCACAAACGGTGGCGGAGACAGGGCAAGAAAAAAAAAAATACAAATATTAATCTAATTGATTGACTTTGCCCGATAAAACAAGGCACTCCTTCCTTTTCTGCTTACTGAGTGACCCCTTAGTCTTTTGCTGCCTGTATACATTGTATACAACGCATTTTTCCAGACTTTGGAATCTTTTTCATGCCGCTGTTTAAGAAACAGGGCGTGCCCTCTGAGTCGCCAAGGGTTCAACCCAGCGTGATGATCAATAGGGACGATTCCGACTTTTCCCTTTACCAGACAATCTCAAATTCTTCAGTTGCTGATTATTCCCAAGGTGTGCCAGGCCGTGGTCGTACCTCATCGATGAGCCATAAGCTTAAGAATTTATTTGTCTCCCATGACCCCCCAACACACAAGCCTGAGAGAACCGCATCTGTGCCACACTCTAGGAAGGCTTCTTCCCCACCCATGTCTACTACATCTTCAACAAATTCCCCGAGCCTTGAGGCAGTTAATGAGCACAAATCACTTTCAAATACTGATCTTGTGGAGTCCCTGAATAGACTGAAAATGATGCCACCGTTAGCCGAGAACGATCTAGACGAGGCGGTTGAGTCCTCAGAGAGACACGCTAGACAGTCTACTCCACCTATTCCTAACAGTGCATCCATTGGTTCCTCTACCTCATCCGTTCTTTCCCAACCTGCTCGTGTTCGTTCCGTCAAGAATATTCCGAAATTTATTGGGTCAAATCTTTCTGAAGAGTCACTATCGCCTCCTTTGTCAAGAAGCAACTCTGCGAACTCCCGTCAAAGATCAAGTTCTATTTCGGTTGCAAATTCTGAAAGCAGTTTCCACCATAATTATAGTGCTCTGAAACAGACACAATCTGGTTCTTACTCACAAATTCATCTCCAGACACAGAGAGAGAATCTTGTCAAGTTGAAGAACGGAAGGCTCAAGATTTCTCCTGATGGATCCATGCATGAACACGATTATACGAAATACAAGACACATATCTCCAAGAATACAAAAACGTGGTGGGGTTGGACCAAGAAGCGTGAGCCAGAGGATGACGAATTTGTTAGCATTGAAAATAGTGTTAGCTTGCTTCCGGACTCCTATTCAATTCAGCTGATGGAGCTCAAGAGTGATCCGAAGAACTATCGGTGGAATTACGACGACTCAGATGAGGAATCTGGATCCGACTCCGACTCCGACTCCGACGAGGATGATGATGATTTTGATGATGATGCCGACGATGAGCTAATTGAGCCCATCATTGGTAAGGACCAACTCACTTTAATGAACATGATGATGGACAAAATGGAGCGTCCAGAGAAGTTCAAAGAGAAGTTGAAGACGGTAGGAAGTAAGAAGATGAGTTTGAGTGCGAAATACGGTCACATCGGTGGGGTTGTTGGAAGGGGATCTTTTGGTACTGTCTGTATCTCTGCCGTCACAGATCCATCAGGTAAGAAGAACAAAGCGTTATTTGCCATCAAACAGCTCAAGAAACGTACTGGAGAATCTCTGCATCATTTTTCAAACCGGGTGACATCTGAGTTTATGATTTCGTCTTCTTTGACTCACCAGGCAGTCATCAACGTTTACGATCTCATGGTGGATCCGACCACTATGACGTACTCTCAAGTTATGGAGTTTATTCCTTGTGGTGATCTTTTTGCGCTGATTGCCATGACAAATGGGCTGGAGGTCACCGAATGTGATTGTTTTTTCAAACAAATTCTTAACGCCATTACATATCTTCATTCGGTTGGCATTTCGCACAACGATTTGAAAGTGGAGAACTTGCTGCTCACACGAAGAGGGCAGCTCAAGATTATTGACTTTGGCACTTCAGCCGTGTTCAAGACCGCTTGGGAAGACAAGGTGCAATATTCTAAAGGTGCTTGTGGTTCCGAGCGATACGTTTCCCCTGAGCAGTTCGTCCCTGAAGGCACCTATGATCCTCGGCTGGCTGATATTTGGTCATTGGGAATTATTTACCTGGTGATGCTTTATGGCAACTATGCATGGCAGGCTGCAAAGCCGGTCGATGAAGGGTACGAACATTTCCTTTCCACACGGGCTATTTATGATTACACAGCAAGATCCAGAACGGCACATAAACAGTTCAAGATTGTGCGAAAGGGCTCATACAACCAGATAGAATCTATTTCGAGTGGTCACAACGCTAGCTCGCGCCGCTATGTGCTATACAACATCTTGAACCCAGACCCCAAATATAGAATGCGGTCTTACCAAATCTGGCAGAGCGACTGGGTCAAGGGTGTGCGCGTTTGCGATGCTGGGCGTGGGCTCATATCACAAGAAGAGTATTACGACATGGCCTTAAAGACTTGGCAAGAGGAGCAACACCTTCGCAAAAGCCCCGAAGTGTGAGGATATGTATTAATAGAGATTAATTTTAAATTCAAGTTCAGATACACTTTTCATTACCTACTTAAGCAAGGAAGTACTCTGGGAATTGCTTCATGTTGTCCTCCAAGTTACCCTTGGTGGACAAGAACTTCACGTAAGCACCATCGTCCTTGACCTCGTTGTTCTGTCTCTTGGCAGCGTACTCAGCTCTGTTAAGAGGAGTGAAACCCCACTTCTTAGAGATGATGATCTTTTGCTGACCTGGGAACTTGTATCTGGCTCTTCTCAAACCCTCAATGACAACATCCTTGTTGGAGTCCTTGGTTCTGACAGAGAGCAAAACTTGTCCGATATCAACACGGGCAGCCAAACCGTGTGGCTTACCCCAGGCACCTCTCATACCTTGTTGCAGTCTATCGGCACCGGCACACGACAACATCTTGTTGATTCTCAAAACGTGGTGAGGGTGCACTCTCACTCTCATGTGGAAAGAATCTCTACCAGACACCTTGGTGATGTACTTGTTTGCGCAAATTCTGGCAGCTTCCAAAGCCTCGGAGGACAACTGCTCCAACTCGTTAGAAACAAGGTGGACACAGAGTGGGAAGTCATCGACATTAGCCTTCTTTCTTCCAAGGTCAAAGATTCTGATCTTGGCGTCTGGGACACCTCTGTTGTATCTAGACTTTGGGAAAGGCTTGTTCTTACAGTATCTGTAACATCTAGCTGGTCTTCTAGCCATTCTGAAAGGTTAGTTTGAATATGACAAGGGCGAAGCACTCACTTTAAAGATATTCAAAGATTAGTAATTATAATGTAGAGCAAAATTTTTTAATGGCGTTGCCCTGGTATGGGTCACGTGATTAAAAAGTGTGTAAACGCCCTCGAAAATTTAAAAATTAAATACGCCGAAGTGGATGGAGTCGTAAGCGCCAAATAGTTAATGCGCCACGACACCAGCCCATATTTCCTGATTTGCTATAACGCGCCACAAATCAAATTTTATTTCAAAAAAATTTATTCAAGCTCATTTATCTATTATGGGACGGTATTCTGTTAAACGATACAAGACTAAACGGAGAACAAGAGATCTCGACCAGATCCACGGGGATCTTTCATCTGTTGAATCTATCCAGCGTCTTAAGCACCAGCCACAAGATGAGACCAAACCAGGACTTGGTCAATATTTTTGCATTCACTGTTCCAAATATTTTCAAGATAACAAAGCCCTAGGCGCGCATTTGAAGGGCAAAATCCACAAGAGAAGAGTCAAAGATCTTAGTAAAAACCCTTACACTCAACTCGAAGCTGATGCAGCTGCAGGAACAAACCTTGAAAAATTCGTCCAGAAAGTGAACGAGTATCAAGCAAAAGAGCCTGCTAGACTTGTCATGGAAAAGGAATTGCTCCAGACACAATTAGAAGAAAACGATCAAAAGGATAGTATTGCGCATGAAGAAGTCTCAGAGGAGATGACTGTCGAGTAGGTCATCTCAGATCCTTTATCTCAAATGGAAGATCTTTTAGAACCACATGTCCGCCGTCAGAGTTTGTCCGGTGACATTCAACATACAGATTATCGGTCTCATGGGGATGGAAACCTGATAAGTTGCAATTGGTAATGGTTGGAATTCCAGGAGGGTCTGTCAGTCTGAATATCCCCAATTTGCGCTCGAATTTGGGAGAACAGACAATTGCTATTGCTTCGTTAAGCATTATTTGATATGAGTTTTGTGTATGCAGATCGACTGATGAGAGAAAGCATGATTGCGTTGGATGCGTGTGAATCCATCCAAGAACGAATAGATCGAGGTTGTCAATAAAATCAAATAATTTTTCCTCATTTTTAGTGTTGCAAGTGTTTGGCGTAGAATCCTGTTCGGGGATGACAAGATAATTGATGAAGAAGGCGTTTCGATTCAACTTACCACAAAGAATACCACATGTCTCAAGCTTCTTGGACGTGTTCTTTTTGGCAATAGTGAGGAATTCATCCACTAGTTTCGGAGGGAGAAAGACGGTGCGGAGGGGAGATCCTCCTTCTGTAAAATTCACAGTTTTGTGAACAGCTGCAGATGAGGAGATCGGTTTTTTAGGAAGCACTGGAGGCTCAGTCTCCGATTCGATAGCAAACTCATTAGGGTATGATATATCAAGTTTGATCTGAGAGTTATTAGCACTGCTGGATGACAAGGTGCGCAATTTGGAAGCCAAAGAAGCATTGAGATCTTCTTGGGGCTCTGGGGAAAGCGAAAGGCTAGATTCAGAAGAACGTTTTGCCATTGGGGTTGCACGTGGTCGCGGAACGTATGGACGTGGTTGTCTTTGTTGCTGCTCAAGGTATTTTGCGTCCAGAAGCTTACGTATTCGTTCCGCCTCATTCATTATCTCTGGCATCTTCTTGCACATATTTTGATAAGTTTGTCGATTGATTGCACCATCTTTGGAAGTTTTCCAGTTCTTCAGTTCTGGGTGCTTGTAGAGCCGGTTCGCTAACAAGTCCACGTACCTGAGATACAGAACATACGTCTCCGTCAAGTTACCGTCTGTGGCGTAGTACTGTCCATGTTTGAGCATAGTTGTAGCCGAACGTAACCATATCTTCAAAGGAATGGAATTAGAGTACTCATAACTCGCAGCTATGGAATTGAGGAGTTTGGGATCCTGTAAACGGGCAGAACTGCCGCCTAAAGATGAATCCATATAGTCTAAATAATATTCCCCAAATTATTTTAATCTACTGATTTACGAAAATTCATGGCTTTGCCCGATTCGGACTTGACAGATGCTAATTTATCCGGACCAGCCTAACGAAGCCAATTCCTTTCTGACTTGAGACTCTGTCTGGATCTTGAGAACTTGGGTATCCTCCAAAAACTCACCATTGTCTTTCTTCTGCTTGAGCTGTTCGATAGCCCGCAGCTTTTTCAGCAGGTTTCTAATTTTCTTCTCCTCATAAGAGATAACTCCACCAATGACTAAAGACTCGCTTTGCTGCACAGGTTCCTGCTTCTCTTCCTCCTTCTTCTTCTTTGGCTTTTGAGGCTTGGCTGGTTCAACAGCACCAGGGATTTGCTTCTTAGCTGGAGCAGCACCAGGGATTTGTTTCTTACGTTGCAAAGCTTCACGCTGAGCCAATGTAGTGACTGGTTTGGCAGGTTGATTTCTTGCATGAGGTGGTCTATAAGCTCCTGCAGGCTTGTCCGACGCGGATGAGACCTTAGTGCGCTTGGCCAAGTACTCAACAGCAGAAATATCAGGAGCACAGGATTCATCCAGGCCACGAATAGGTGGGAAGTCAGCCAAAGGCTGGAATCTCCAGTCCACACTGTAAAGCTCAGAGAACTCCTTAACGTAGCACAGAGAACCGCTGACATGCCAGATCTTCACGCAGTTGTCCACACGAAGACGTGGAGAAGTGGTAGCTGTTAGAATGTAGCGTCCATCGGGAGACCACTTGCAAACAGATGTGTTTGAAGCTTTAAAAGAGGCCACCTTGTTGAACTTGTTTTGTCTATCCAAAATGTTGACGTCTCCTTGCAAATTGCCAAATCCTGCCACCAGGATGAATCTAGCATGAGGAGAAAAAAGAATAGTGTTGGAAGAGGCTTGGGGCAGGGAGTGAATTGCATTTCCACGGGCATCAAAAAACGTAGTTTGCGATGGCATGTAGCCGTAAATCACGGCAAACTCGCGGCTTGTTGGAGACCAGGTGATGTCATGGATCGGGCCTTCTTTATCAAGGGCGATTCTTTGATCGAATGCTCCCGAAATTCCCAATAAATACAGGGTGGTTTGACCGTAATATGACTTGTTGGACGAATCGACATCTGTGCTGACCAGTGCAAGAATGGATGTTCCAAGATCGTTCCATGTAAACTGGCATGACTCTCCGTTGAAAAATTGCTTTTGGGATGTTGGTGTCTTCACGTTAGGCAAAGAATACACCTGGATATAAGACTGTTTGCCTTTAGATCCAGGAACAAACAAAGCAATCGAAGGGTTCTTACCAGGAGACATCTGGAAAGATTGTATTTGACCAATATCCTTCACGTTGATGGAGTAGAGTGGTTTTTGGCCCGCTTCTTGCGATTTATAAAAGTCGATCTGATGCAAGTTGATCAAACGACAGAAAATCGTTTCGTCACTAGTGAACTGTGCTTTCCATCCGCTCTGACTCTTATTCAGGTAAGACTGAATAGGAACACCAGCACTAGATTCCAAGTCCAGCTTCCAAATGGTGACGTTGTTTGCCCAGTTTCCGGAATCGTCGCTGAGCTTGGTAGGCTTGGACCAAGTGGTCAAAAACGTACCTTGCGGCGAAAATTGCATATCGAACACGTCTGGAACAGAAATGGTGAACAACAGCTTTCCTGATTCAGAGTCGCATACAGACACACCGGTTGGCTGAGTGTATGCAAAAAGCGTTCCGTTCGGCGAATAAGCAGAGCATCTAGTCTCCAAAGATGGCGGTTGAAACTCGCCCACCGGCTGGAACTCGGGCTGTGCTCTAATCAATTGCACCGTTCGAGGCTGCCGACCTGACGTTAGTAAATTAACCCTTGTTACTTACAATATATCTGTGGTATTTTCGACATGGAATGAAAAGTTGGAAAAAAATGAGACAAGAAAATAATTAATATGGTTAAAAGTTGGGCCAATGGGAGTCTCGGTCACCTGAGCGGGTTCCAACTACAAAATTTGCAATTTGGTGCAATTAATAGACTATACACACTAACTAGAGGCTAGCTAAGTTTACACCAAAGTCTATGGACTTGGGGGTGAATTTACTCGTAGATCCATCCGTGCAAGGTTGGCTTGTACTCGACAAGCTCCTCCTTCTTGAACCACAGGGAGATCTCCTTCTCAGCACTCTCAACAGAGTCGGAACCGTGAATGATGTTTCTGCCCATGTCCAAGGCGAAGTCACCTCTGATGGTACCTGGAGCAGATTGCAATGGGTTGGTGGCACCAAGCAAAACTCTTCCTTGCTTGACGACATCCTTACCTTCCCAAACGGTGGCCAAGATTGGGCCAGAGAGCATGTAAGACAGCAGGGATGGGAAGAATGGCTTGGATTGCAAGTCAGAGTAGTGTTCTCTCAACAAAGACTCGTTGGCCAAAGTCAACTTGATACCAACAAGCTTGAATCCCTTGTTTTGGAATCTTCTGAGGATCTCTGGGAAGATACCTCTTTGGACTCCGTCTGGCTTGACTGCAATGAAAGTTCTCTCGGTGGACATGTTTTAGTTAATGATGATTTGGTTGAAAAAAGTGAAAATCGTGGGCGTGGGAAATAATTTTCTGCTCGTAGTGTCCGGGTAACAAACCCTTGTTCGAATTCAAGATTCTGCTTTTTTGTAGTACGCGAGTTTTTGTTTACATGAGTGCTACGCCGTATCGGAACGGCCAGAAACGGTCACCAACGACCCCATTGACCCCGATGGTTCGGCAGAATGTTCGTCGCAAGGTTGAGATGTTTGAGGAGTCCAAGGATGGTATGGAATTAGATCTCCATAACAAAAATAACCAAATAGTGGAGGCAAAGGAACCTTTGCGAACCAAGACTTCTCCGCGCGAGCAAAACGCCAACACTGTTAACGGTGAAACCGATAAACAAAAATTAGGGCCTTCGTCATCTCCAAATCAATCATCTCTCGCATTACTACCAATATATCGCCGTGCATGGCTCAACGAACGCAAATACATCCGCCAGAAAGAGCTGGTGGAATTCCTCGAACTAGAACGCGCTGCTTCAGAGCACCACTAATTTGTCATTGGCTGCTATTAATGAACCTTTTCGATATCATGCTAATTTAAAAGGCCTGTGTATCTAAGTATATTTTTTATTATTTAATTGATCCTCTCCATGGATTTCGAGTTAAATTTATTGGCAGATCTTGAGACTTCCTCGGAATACGTTCGCGGAGTGCTGTGGACGATCTTGTTCCATAGACTACTTGGATGCGTACAACCATCGCAGGGAAGTTTTTATGGCGTGACCTATCCTACAGTCAATAATCCCGAATTAGAGGAGCTGGTCGAAGCTAAAACACAGGCTATTGTGGACGCATTCTCTTACGAGATTGCACATACATCTACTGATCAGGACTCCAACATGATTTTCAAAGGCGTGATGGTGCTGAAATTCTACGATCGCAAGGTTGAACAGAATGGCAGACATTCAAACGGCAGCAGCGTACCGAATTCGCGTTCCCACTCCCAGTCATCTTCTATTTCGTTTCAACCTAAAATCGACAAATTCGCCAATTGCTGGGAAAGATGGATCCTCAAGATCAGCATTCTGAAGAACGTCAATCTGATGCTGGATGGACCAACCAAGCTCGAAACCTACAAGCAGGATTTTGAGAAGAATATGTTTGCCATTTTAAACTACGCCGATACCAACAAGTCACACATTCCTCCAATTACGCGCGTAGAGCAGGCGCCTTTCCCTTTCAAAGTGCTATTTGCACTCAACACTCACGAACCACACACTCTAAACAGAGCCTTCCGCAATTTTGAGATCTCCGATACAGAGTCGGAGGAGCTGGTCGACTACAGTATGGAGTCTCTTCCTGATACAAATGAACGCAACAGGAACGCTTACAATGGCCAGGAAATGCTAAAAACGGGCTACAAGTTTATTAAAAAGCTGCTTGAGTAAGCCCTCCCAAAAAATATTAATTCGCGATTTGTTATGACCGGCGAACTGCCGATTTTGCCCAACCCACGGCAACAACAACAACTAATGGACAACGAGTCGCGGAACAAGGCAACGTCCAAGATAGTCCACCAAGATGAAACAAAAGAAAAGCGACCCAAAGCATGTACGTTCTGTCGTAAGAGTAAGGTCAGATGTGAGAAAGAGAACGACGACGAGAGTTGTAAGAGATGCAAAGCTCAGAACCTGCAATGCGTATACGAATACAAGATAGCGAGCTACAAGGTTGTTGGTGATGCGCCGAACAGAAGCGTTTCGAGAATCGTGAAGTCACCTCCTCCGAGACTCTCCAGCTCAGGCGATAAAACGGCCAACGGTAACGGAACTCGCTCCGGCTCGCTTTCACATATATTAAATCCTCCGGCTCAAGATGTATCAGTATCTTCTTCACTAACAACAGGACACCCGCGACCTGGGATTGGCTGGCAATCTTCGGTCGAGACCCGATTACAGGATTTTGATAGCAAGCTTGGTAACATTCTAACCATTTTGAGAACTCCAGAGTCACATAGCCGACCCCCGCTACATAAAGCAGCATCAGAAGCCTCGGTTCTGATAAATTCCGCTTCTCCAACATCACTTTCTGATATTCTTACAATGCGAGAAGCAGAAGAATTATTTCAGTTTTTCGACTCAAACATCACACCCCAGCTGTTTGGATTCAGCATATCGCAGTACTCCATCCGGGAGCTGTGGGATCATTCGCCAATTTTACTTGCAAGTGTTTGTGCAATAGCATCTATACACCACCCTTTACTTGGTCGCCTGTACAAACCCCTTTCTCAGCTTATACATCACATGAGCCAACAGCTACTTACGAAGGTTCCGACGTCAGAATTTGAGTCGTTCAACACTGTGCTTGCACTTTGCTTCTGTGCTTTTTGGTTCCAAGAAAGTCAATTGTACACTGGAATGGCTTTACAGCTTGCGAGCTCTTTAAAGCTAAACCGCCGCTCTTCAGGTTCACAGGTCTCAGATAAGAACAAGCTGAAACTATGGTATCTGCTCTACATTCTTGATGGACAACAGTCTTTGGTGTTCAATAGACAGCCTCTGATGAATCACGAAGACAAAGCTTTGAAAGACAGTCGCCAGTTACTTATCGATGATAATTCTGAGGATACACCAGCATCTGAAAGCTACGCAAACTTGAGACTTGTATCACAAGTTGAATATAACCAAGCTATCAGCAACGTTTTTGACGGTGATGCTTGGGATCTTATGGCTCCTGCTTCGTTTGGTCTGCCTTTCAAAACAAATTTGGAGTTGGACAAATGGATGGTTCAGTGGACCGTTATGCTTTCTCCGTTCTCAAACGCCCCGATATGGTCAAGCAAGAGTACCCTTATTTATTACAATTTTGCCAAAATGCACATAAATTCAGCTGCAGTTCGCTCGTTGCATATGGAAGGAGACGAACTACCACGGTGGAAAGAAGTCGATTCAGATGAAGCTGAGCAGATAAAAGAAATTGAGCCGGTTAGGCCAATGAGCGAAGACGACGATGAGTACGAACTGGAATTGTCTCCCGTTCAGTCCCAGAAAGTCTCTTCAGAACTGGCCCTCTCGTCAGCCGAGACGGTGTTGAATTTGGTGTTGAGTGACAACGACATTCTGGGAGCACTAAAATATGCTCCTGTGCACATCCATGTGATGCTGTACTATGCTGCGATGCTGATACTCAATCCGCCAGACTACCTCTCGAGCGTCTCCAAAAATTTCGATGACATCCTTGCGGCTGTACAGCTTGCTAAGAAGCTCAGAACAGTCATAGTCAGCAACATGCCTGTTGACAAGAGTTTTTCAAGGAAACTTGTGGATGCCCTTACAAGTTTGTTGCAAGAACGCATTTCGAAGCTCAGACAGGAGATATCTGATGAAGAGAAAACTAGGCTGGATGAAGTGTTGGCTAACAACGACAACCCATACAATACAAAAAAGAGAAGACGCCAGATCAGTGCCTGGCCAGGTTACGACCACGGTCATCCTAGCAAAAAAAGGATGAGTGATGGAAATCCCGATGCTTAAATTTTCTAGCGCTCAAACTTTATTATCATGAATAACCAAGCTATTCAGAAAGTAGTCGACGACATACCAAAGCCTGATATTGACTGGTATGATGTGACCAATGTGGTGAAAAGGGTGAGTGTCTAAGGATTGACCGTGCTGACAGTAATAGGCGCCGCAATATATGATCAACAGATTCAACTCGTCAGAGAAGATCTCTGATCCTGAGTTTGACCGGATCGTAATGCAGATCAAGGGCCTGGATAAGCTCTTTGAGACTTTTGAGTCGAGCTTGCAGAAGCACCGCATTTCCATATCAAGACTTTTGAGCCATAGCATTGCAATTGGTGTTTGTATGAGGGAGCTGAGTGATCCCAGTCATTTGGAAGGTGGAATTGTGACCCAGCAGCAAACAAAAATGTTTGAGAACGCATCCAAGTATGTGGATCAGTACGAATCTGTACAACCCGCCATTGAGGAGGAAAACAGACTTTTCGAGGAGCGTGTTGGGGGCCATTTGAAGAAAGTGTCAAAACAAATCAAGGTCGCTAACAAAGCCATCAAGGAACGCAACTACGCCAGCATGGATTACGAGAAGTATCAGATGGATCTGAAGAAGCTTTCCGAGAAGCCCGATTTGTCTTTGAAAGAGCACAAACGGAAATTTGAGGTCACCAAAAAGTTGGATGAGGCAAAAACCAAGTACGAGCTTCTAAACACAAAATTGAAGATGGAGTTGCCTTTATTCATGCTCATTATTCGTCAGATCATGAGCCAGATCTTTGTGATGACGTACTTTGCTACTTATAGCATATTCTACAATCTTTACAACAGCTGTGCTGCTATTTCTCAGGAGTTCAACATTGACATTGAGGGATTGCAGTACGACACCGATTTTGTGGCTATGCGCGCAGAGTTTGAGAAGAACCAGAAGCATGCAGTGGATACCCTAGACCAACTGTCTGTTGTGAATTTCCACCAAATCACTTTGAATAAGCTCCAATTGAAAGTGTTGGAAACCACTGCTCCGTCCGAGCTTTGCGTTGCAATGTATGATTTCCACGGATCCCAGGCCGAAGACTTGAGCTTCCGCGAGGGCGACCGTATCAAGATCTTGGAGAAGAACGAATCTGGCTGGTGGAACGGTATGAAACTTAAGGACGGCAGTGTTGGAATTTTTCCTTATAATTATGTGAATTTAATCTAACGATGAAACGAACTATTTACATAGAGTCTTGTTTTCCAACGACCAAGGCTGCTTCAATGACATCTTCTGGTGACAAGTTGGACTTTGGTCCGAAGTAGAACTTGTACTTGTACACGTAGTAATAGAAGAGCGACAAGAGCCAGGTTCCGCAGGTAATAACCACCGTGTAGTTCATCGTTGTCTTCGACACCTCTTTGTCCGAAGGAAACATGCAAAGGATGATGATGAAGGCTCCCCATGCACAGGTAGTCCATCCAATGAGTGGGGAGAACAAGTCTCCGGTGTAGAAAGGACCAGGAGTGAAGAGTTTGCGTCCACTGGTAAGTTTGAGGAACACAGGCATGCACCAGGCAAGGTAGTTTCCAGCAACACCAAGAGAGAACAAGGCGTTGGAGGCAGTGGATCCTGCCAGACACAAACACCCGATCATGTATGCCACAATGGAGGAGAAAATGACGGCTCTAATTGGCACCTTCAAACGCTTGTCGACCACTTTGACAATGTTTGCGAATGGTAGTCCGTCATCTCTGGCGAAAGCCCAGATTTGACGAGAGAGAGCGGTCATGATGGACGATCCCATTAGCCATTGACACACAGCCATGAGGGACATCATGGCAATAGCCCAACGACGTCCCAAAGAGTCATAGATGATTTGGGCCATTGGGAAGCCAGTGTCAGATTCCAAAACAGACTGAACATCTGTGCTCATGCAAGCAACTGTACAGATAATGAGACACCATCCCAAGATTCCACAGGCTCCGATAGATCCCATGATACCCAAAGGAACACCGTATCTGGCATTACGAGCTTCCTCAGACATGTGCACGCACGAGTCGAACGCTCCGATTGTCCAGACGGCTGTCATCATCGACAAACAGAATTGCCATCCGATAGGCCAGTCTGAGAAGTTTTCAACCTTCGAGAAAATGAACTCTCCACCGTTGAACTCTTTTCTGTTGATCTTGGTACCAATTGGAACGGCAATCAAAAATAGAACAATCAGACCCGTGTTGCAAACAGTCGAGGTGGTTTGCAACCAAGCAATTCTCTTGGAGCTGATGCAGGTGCAGATGGCTTGGGAGAAGATACAGGCTGCAAACACACCGTAGGTTCTAGCACTGGTGATCTCAAAGTCTCCGTTTTTTGACAGGTACACTGCAGCGAGGATCTCTTCTGCATTTCCATAGGCAATACTCACCATTCCACAACACAGAGCCATGGAATTGGAAAGTCCGATCATGTAAGACAGTGGGACCTTGATTTTCGCCGGAGCGTAGTGATATGTCCAGAAATATAAACCTCCACTTGTTGGAATAGCCGAAGCCAACTCACCCATGGAGACACCAACAAGGAAGATAAAAATGGATGCAACGATCCATGACCACACAAAGCCAGAAGGACCAGAACTTAGACCAGTACCCGTCACAGAGGCAATAGATGGAAGCAATCCCATAATACTATAGGCAATGCCGAACACCTGGAAAGTCGAAAACGTTCTGTTCAGCTCCTGCTTGTACCCAATTTCGGCAAGAAGGTCTTCCTCGCCCTGAGCATGCTTTGCGTCGATGGACCTGACCGGCGACATGCCGGCCATGGTTCTGTTCGAAAGGACAGAAGTGAGTTTATGAGACATCTTAAAGTATTTTGATGACCGGGCAAAGCCTGCATATATACGCAAGGCTTCAAAGTTTGTTATGTTTGTTATCAGCTGCAGTCCACGCAAAGAAGAAAAAAAAAAGGGAAAACCGCAGCGCCGCAACTCAAGCGGCTTTTAGAAAACGCGCAGGCGGCTTTATAGCTATTTGCGCAAAGGGTTATCAGCCGATATATAAAGGTTCTGTATAGTTATCTAGATAAGGTGTATTAAGCCATTTTCTCATCGAGTACGAGATCCACAGAAACCGGTTCGGTCGTGTCGTCGTCATTGAGGTTCGATTTTGGACCATGGAAGTATTTGTACTTGTAGGTGTAGAAATAAACGATCGACAAGATCCAGACGCCTGACGCAATCACAACAGCATAATTCATGGTGTCCTTTTCCACAGCCTTGACGGATGGGAACATACACAGCACCATCACATATGCTCCCCAAATACAAGAGGTCCAGCCAATCAATGGAGAGAAAATAGGGCCCAAGTAGAACGCGCCTGGCTTGAACCGGGAACGACCAGTGGTGAGTCTCAGAAGTGTTGGGGTGCACCAGGCAACGTAGTTACCCGACACACAAAGCGAAAAGAGCGCATTGGCAGCAGTCGAGCCAGCTAGACACAAGCATCCGAGCATCAAACTCACAACGGTTGCAAAAATGACAGCTCTGACAGGAACCTTAAGTCTCTTGTCAACAACCTTGACAAGACTCGAGAACGGAAGCCCATCGTCTCTGGCAAAGGCCCACACTTGTCTGGACAAAGCAGTCAGGATGGAAGCACCACACAGGAACTGACAGACAGCAGTGAGGGCCATAATGCCAACGGCCCACTTTTTGCCAAGAGCATTGTAGCATATTTCCGCAAATGGAAAGCCGGTCTCAGACGCTAACACAGCCGCGACATCCGGCTTCATCGAACTCACAAGACAAAGGACACAGCCCCAGCAAGCAATCGAGCAGAAACTCACGGCGGAAATGATTCCCAAAGGAACACCGTACGTTGCGTTTTGTGCTTCCTCTGACATATGGACACAGGCATCAAAGGCGCCGATGGACCAGATCGCAGCCATCATAGACAAACAGAACTGCCATCCTTTGGTCCAATCAGAGTACGAGGTGATTTGGCCAAACACAAAGCTCCTATCTCTGAGTCCAAAGTCGGATTGAGAGGCACCGATCGGCAGAGCGACCAAGAAAAGAGCGAGTAAGACACTATTCAAGACACTGGAGGCACTTTGCAACATGGCCACATTCTTGGAACTCACACAGGTTGCGATTGCGGCAGCAATAATACCAGCCGCAAAAATGCCATATGTTTTTCCCGTGGTAACGTCAAAGTTTCCGTCTTTTTGTAAAACAACGGTAGCCAGAATTTCTTCAGATAATCCATAAGTGACACTAACCAGTCCGGCACAAAGGGCCATGGAGTTGGAAAGACCAATCACAAACGAGAAAAGAACTCTGAATCTTTCTGGTGCGTAAACGTAGGTCCAGTAGTATAAACCACCACTTGTGGGGATTGCGGACGCTAAAAAATATGTTAGTACAAGGAGCGGTGAAAAATAAAAAAGCAGAGTTGGTCATGTTATGCGGTGTAATGTCAAGTTTTGCCCTACAAATAACACT